CTAGTAAAGGGATATATTAAACTATTAAAGTTACTAGTAGTAAGTCCCTTTATATTTATTAAAAAGAAGGATAGATTAGATAGACTATATATTAACTACTAAGTAATTAATAATATAATAATTAAAAATAAATACCTATTACCTAATATCTTAAAGCTTAGAGATAGACTCTTAAGAGTAAAAGTCTTTATAATAATAGACTTAAGAGATAGATACTACCTAATTAGAATAAGAAAAGGTAAAGAATAGAAGATAGTATTTTAATTATACTATAGACTCTTTAAGTACCTAGTAATACCTTTTAGACTTACTAATACACTAGTAACCTTTTAAGTACTTATTAATAATATACTCTATAAATATTTAGACATATTTATTATTATATATATAGATAATATTCTTATCTTTTCTAAGAATAAATCTAACTATACTAAGCATATATAGATAGTACTAAAAGCACTAGATAAGGTATACTTAAGAATTAAACTTAAGAAATACTAATTTAATATTAAATAACTTAAATTCCTTAGATACGTTATTACTATAGAAGGAATTAAGATAGCACTAAGTAAGATAGAGAGTATTAGAAACTAGCCTATACTAAAAACTATAAAAATATCTAAGAATTCTTAGGATTCTATAGATTTAATTAATAGTTTATTAAAGATTACGTAAAGGTTATAATACTATTAATAAACCTTACTAGAAAGGACACGCCTTTTAAATAAATAAATAAGTATAGAATATTATTCTAACTCCTTAAAATAGTATATATAATAGAACTAGTTCTTATTTATTTTAGGAGCAATAAACCACTATAATTTAAAACTAACGTAAGTAATCTTATACTAGAAGTATGTATAAAATAGGAATAAAATAGTAAATAGTATCTAATAGCCTACTACTTATATAAGTTTAATAACGTAGAAATATAGTATAACGTATATAATAAAGAACTCTATACTATTATTAAAGCTTTAAAATACTAGAGAATCTATACTCTTAGCTATTTAACGCTAGAAATCTATATAGATTATAAAAACCTACTTAGGTTTATAATAATAAAGGAACTAATACTATAATAATAAAGATAATTATAGACTACTAGATAGTATAAGTTTAAAGTTATCTATATAGTAGGAAAAGAAAATAGATAAGTAGATATACTTAGTAGATAAAGTAATCTAGTAGGAGAAAAGGTTAAGACCTACTTAGTAATTCTTTATAGAAATAAAAACGGATCTCTTAAACTAATAGTAGAACTTAACTAACTTTTAGTTATAAACTAAGAAGTACTAAAGCAACTATAAACTAAGATTATTAGATAATACTACGATAACCTAATATATAGACACCTAGGCATTATAAAAATGTTAGAATTAATTTAGAGGAACTATACGTTTAGAGGAATTAAGGAAGCTATAATAGTGTATATTTATAAATATATAGACTACTAGAAAAATAAATATAGTATATATCTTAAGTATAGAGAAATATAACTAATTAAGATACTAATAGTACCTTTTAAAGACATTACTATAGACTTTATTATAGGAATACTAAACTTAATTAACCTAGCTATAAAAACCTTATATAATAGTATTTTAGTAATTATATATTAATTTATAAGCTACGTTGAATTAATTCTATATCTAAAGAATATAATAGCTAAAGAACTAGCTTACCTCTTTTAGAATAAGTAGGTTAGATACTATAGTATTCTAAAAATAATTATTAGTAATAGAGATAAGCTCTTTATATTAAACTTTTAGATAATATTTATAGTACTTATTAGAATAAAATAAAAACTATCTATAGCATATTATCTATAGATAGATAGAAAAATAGAAAGAATAAATTAAACTATAGAAATATATCTATAAATATACTATAATAAATAAAAAAATAACTAGGTTTTACTATTACCTATAGCATAATTAGCACATAATAATAAAGTATTAATAGTAATAAGGTAAACACCTTACTATACTATATATAGAAAATATCTAAATTTCTTTAACTAACGACTACTAACGAATATTAACGTAAAAGAAGCCATAGATATAGTAGATAATATAAAAAAATATATAATAAACTCTAAGAAAACCTTAAGAAAGCTTAATAGTAAAGTATTTTATATATAAACTAGAAACGAAAAATAGCACCTTAGCTAAAGAAGGGGATAAAGCATATCTACTTATAAAAAATTTTTAAACTTAGAAGAAAAAATATAAAAAACTAGACTATATTAAGGTTAGACTATTTTATATTTCTAAATAAATATTACTAGTAAACTATAGATTAGAATTACTACTAGATATAAAAATACACCTAGTATTCTATATATTACTATTAGAACTAATAGACCCTAAGACACTAGTTAAAACCACCTTCTATTATAGAGCTAAAGAAGAAACTAAATTTAAAATTAAAAGTATTATATATATAAGAACCTATAAAGGAATCTAATAGTACCTTATTAAGTAGAAAGGATACCCTAATAGTAAAAATACTTAGAAACTAAGAAGTAATCTAGATAACTATTAATAAAAGGTTAGAGAATATAAATAAAACCTTTAGAACCCTATTATATAATAAAGAGGGTAAGAATATACCTAGCTACTAGATATAGGAGGAATATTTTCCTAGAAATTAGAAGGAAGATTATCTATTACTAACTAGATAGAGAAATAAAGCTCTATAGGACTAGTAGACTAAGTAGGCTAAATAGAATCTTTATCTAACTCTACTAATACTATACTTTCTACTATAATAACTTTACTAGTATACTTCTTATTCTATAATAACTACTTCTTTAACTAATCCTCTTTTACTTAAGCTATATATATAGCTTTAAAAGTAGTATTCTACTTCTTTTATACTTTATTTAATTACGCTTCTAACTTCTTCTTCTTAGTAACTAACTATAAGAACTTATTCTAAGTAATAGTAATATTATATTTTAAACCTTACTTCTAATACTTACTATACTTTCCTAAACTAATATAGACCTTATAAACATAGGCGTATAACTAATAGAATAAATATTTTAACACTATAATAATACTATAGTTTTTAATAGTAAAAATAAGGTTATAGTAATACTTTATAGGATAATAGTTAGTAGGTATAATTCTTTAGGGCGAAGAATAAGAAGGGAAGGAATAATATTATAAACTAAATAATAGTAGAGAAGTTTAGGCGCTTATAAAGATAGAAGATATAATAACTAGAATTATAATAAGATAAGGATACGCTAAGTTACTTAAATAGTAGTTATATAACTTACTTAGCTACTTAGGGTTCCTAAATAACTAAGTAGCTAAGAGTTATTATATAGCCTACTTAGTTATTTAGAACTCCTAAGTAACTAAGTAAGATCCCTATATAGAAATATAAGGATAAACCTTTATACTTATATTTAACCTAAGTTTTAATCTATTATTTAGATTTACTTAGGCCTCCCTTATTAACTTATTACACTTTATAAGATACTTCTATATTAATAAGAACCCCTTCTTCCTCCCCTTAGTAAGTCTTACCTAAGAACTAACCTTAACCTATTTAGGACTAGCTACCCTTTCTAGATTTAATAATTTAATAGTTACTAAAAATCTAAATAGATTACTAAAAATCTAGAATAGGTTACTAAATAGTCTTTACCTATATATTTAGAATATTAATATAATATATATTTTATAGCTAAATCTCTACTAGCTATATATTCTAATTAGTATTATATATACCTTTCTATTATACTACCTATATTTAGCTATACTAAGACGTTAAGGCTATAACTAAAATATTATAAGGGGTTTCTATATACCTAACCTAGGCCGGCCTTATAGGTATTTAGTAGATAAGAGTAAATAAATAATAAAAAGAAGTAAGAGAATATTCTAATCTTACTATAGAAAGTAAGATAATAATTATATAAAAAGACTAATAGATCTTAGTATAGAAAATATACTTTAATTTTAACTATAGAATTTAACTATAAAGAGTAGAAAATACTTAGAAACTATTCTAGACTATATACTACTTTTTCTAGTTCTTATAATTCCTTACTAACCTTTATTTCTAAAAAGTATAGTCTTAACTTAGAAGTAATTTCTTTACTTCTACTAAGTTCTTTTACTTCTAGAATCCTATTATTTTAGTAGAATTATAGTTATATACTTACTAATCTAACCCTTTTAGTTTTTTAGTATCTAATAATATATTAGCTTTTAGCCTTATTAGCTCTATTCTACTAGATATCTTTATCTATCTACTACTATTCTATAGGATTATAATATAAAAGCTAAAAGTATAATTTTAAAATATATATCTTAGTAAGCTTACCTAGGTAAATTACTATACTATATAAGGTAATAGGGGTATTTTACTAATTTATTTAGTTTTACCTTCTATAAGGCTAAACCACTTATAAAAGTAATTAAAAATTTAGGCCTAAATTAAGGTATAAAATAGTATACTTAGGTATAAGAAGAGATATAAAGAACCTAGCTATTACTACTTATTAGGTAGTATTAGAAGTAATATTAGTAGTTAGTTTATTAGTAATAGTATCTCTAGTAGTAAAAGTACTATAATTTAGTATTCTCTTTTCTAAGACTTCTTAAAAGAAATTAGTAATATTTATCTTAAGGTTAGTAGTATTACTAAGATAGTAATATAAAGTGCTAATATGGCTATAGCTTAAAGAATACGCTTCTTATAATTTCCTAGGGGCACTTATAGCGCTGGCCTATTTAGACCTAGACATAATCACGGTCTAGCTATACTAGATATAAGCTTCTACAACACTATAGCCCATACCTAGAGAGCCTCTAACCATGACCACTTTGTTGCCGTTGAGCCTGTGGGTATATTTCTTGCAGTCGGGAATATTCAGTATGGTGTTGTGACGCCCAACCAAATGGTTCGAGGTCGTGTTGAGTCAAAATACTGTTGCCCCAGGATGTCCTTATGTTATCTTGCATTTTATTCTATTATTGTTACCGTGACTTGTCTACGATCTGCTGTGCCATTTCCTCCAGCCCCCCAGCCACAACGTCCAGCTTCGCATCACTGAAGACATCGAGGCAAGGCTCCTTCTCCAACACCGAACTCCACGCACCCCGGAACCCAACTTTGGTCGCAGCGGCCACATCCCACAAGTGGGCGGCGGCAAACCACTTCACATCGTCGGCACCCAGCCGCTTCCACACGGCCTGGTATGCGGGGAGAGCGGGTTTCGCGACGCCTAGAGAATCGCAGCTGATGAAGTTGTCGACGGGCATGTCAACACTGGCGCGCTCGAAGTAGCCCTTGACGCGCTGGACGTCGCCCGTCGTGAAACACCAGACGGTGAAGCCATTGTCGCGCAGAAGGCGGAAGGTCTCGCGACAGCCAGGGCGCAACTGCAACGCGCCGTAGCCCTCGATGCACTGGTCGCGTTCAGCGTCGGTGGCCAGGGCGCGTGGGTCCGCGACGCCGCAGAGGCTGAGGGTGCGGTAGAACAGGCCGCGCATAACCTCCTTGTACGCCTTGTAGCTGCCCGAGATGGACAGGAAGGTGAATTCCAGCTCGGCAGCCGTCTGCCAGGTGAAGCCAAAGTGCTGGGGCGTGATGGTGTGCGTGCGCAGTTTGGGGCCGAGGACCTCGTCGATGCGCGCGTAGTAGGCGTCGAAGGAGACGCACGTGCCGACGACGTCGAAGACGACGTGTTTCTGGGGCTGGGACGACATTGCGGGGGCCGTGTGGTGGTATTCTTTATCGGTATCGCAGAACTGGGTACTTGTAATAATCTGTTGGAAGTGGGTTCGTTGCGATGGTCGAGATACCGGGCCGGTGACCGGAGCCCTGGCAACACGTCCCTACGATAGCGGCGGCGGGCTCGTCTCATCTTGTTGAAGCCATCGGATCCGGTCACGCCGTTGCGATTGTACGATTGTACACAAGCCGCGCCATCATTAGACTTAAATTCAAGGGCAAGGTGCTGCTGGGAGCGGCATTCGCAGCTTGCCTGTTGTTTCTTTCTCAGCCCAGCATGGTTCTGCCGACTGCCAACCCCACCAAGTCCTACTGGATCGAGGCCGCCGATTCGTCGCTGCGCGATTTCCGCTCCAGCGACCAATTGCCTGTCGAAACGGATGTGGCTATAGTAGGCAGCGGTTATGCGGGCGTTGCGACTGCGTATTGGATACACAAAGTGCGTGGGGGGCACATCGCATCAGTCGCCACTGGCACGCGCTGACACCCTCCTAGTATGCTGAGAATGCTTCCACGCAGCCTCACGTGACTGTCTTGGAAGCGCGAGATGTCTGCGGAGCTGCCACAGGACGAAATGGTATTTAGAAACACACCTGCTGCGTTGTGAGTCGATGCATTTTGGAACCCCGCCAACCATCGCACAGGAGGTCAATTGCGACCGCATGCCTACTCCCGCTACTCGGTATGGAGCGAACGCTTCGGCCCCAAGGTCGCCATGGACCTCATCGCTCACGAAATGGCCCATCTGCCTGCCTTTCGGGACCTAGCCAGTGAAGAGGACATTGCTGAGCAAGTCTGCCTCAAGTTTGGAGAGACGTTTGATGCCGCCATGACCGACGAGGCTTGGGCCCGGCTCAAGGGCGCGCTGGACGCTATGCGGAGGGACCATGGCGAAGACCATGACATTGTAAAGCAGTGCAGAGTCGTCGAGGACCCAAGTGAGGCGGAGGAGGTCTCGCAAATGAAGGGTGCGAGGGCCGCCATAGTGCATCCTGCTGGGCAAATGTACATCTGCCATCCCAATTCCCTCTCGCCCGAATCAGAATTGTCTGACCACCTTGCAGATGGCCCTATAAATTCATCCACGCCCTCCTGCGCATTCTTCTGCAAAAAGACAATATAAATCTCCAAGCCCACACGCCCGTGACAGAGGTATCACAGCGCGACACCGCCGGCTGGATCACGATAACGACTCCTCGCGGAACCCTCCGCGCCAGGTCTGTTGTCCACACAACGAACCGATGGGCCTCGCACCTCCTCCCTGAGTTTTCTAAGCTCATCCGGCCCGATCGCGGTGTCGTAGCCGCCATCAAGGCGCCCGAAGGCTTCATCAAGCGCACTGGCGCCCAGCATTGGGATGCCGTCGTAAATGTAAGTGAAACGCATTCGAATATCCATCGGCATCGGTCCTCGCTGCCAAGTCGTCCTGCCCCTTTATTCCCAATGTTGATGCCAATATGCTATAGAATTACCACCTCCAGCTCCCCCCACCTTATAATACCATCATGATAGGCGGTGCCCGCCAGCTCCTCGTCCACACGCCAGACGCATGCCATGAAAACGACGCCGAAGATGAGCATGTTCCCGGCGTAGCAGAGTTCTTCAAGACCTGGCCGAACTCGGATGTTGCGGGTTGGGTGGGGCCGAGTCAAGCAGAGCTGGGGAAAGAGGATGAGCAGGGTGGCTGCTGGACGGGTAGTAAGTGAGCTCCATGCGCCGCGTTTTCGAAGCAATCTTTGAGTAGGCAAAACTTGAACTGACAGGCGAACAGTTCAAAGCACAAGCGCAGACGGCTTCCCCTTCGTCGGCCCTGTGCCTGAAAGGGAGGGACATTTTATAGCCGCTGGATTCGCTGGACATGGTACGTATTCTTTTCTACTTCGTTCCTTCCCTTTCCTCTTCCTCAATCTGCATCCAGTCTCGCCTTTCTCTCTTCCTTGTGTCCATCCATTCATCTATTCTTCCATTCATCCAACATCCCCATAACTAACTTGTCCCAACAGGCATGCCTCGCGTTCTCCTCACGGCCGCACACATAGCCCCTCTCGTCCTATCATCCCTTAACATTCCCCATACTACGCCGCGTCTCGCCGCCTCGTACCCGCCGCTACCCAAGCCATTCTATGCCACGCGCGAGCGGATCGACAAGCTGCAGGAAAACGACTTAGCTGCCGTTGCTGATGCCTATAGGAAGCGCTGCGCCGATAGCGCCGCGAAGCCTTTTTGTAACACGCCAAGGAGCGTGGTAAGCAATGCAGCAGAGATTGAAGAACGGCCAAAGGAGCAGAAGGGTACAGGTCTGAAATCGTGTGCTGGTCGCACATCAGTCTTATCCCGAGAGACGGAAACGAATTTGTGTCCTGAAAAGTCTAGACCAGGCGCCTTCTCCGATATGGGCTATCTTGAGAGAGCATTGCAGGGAGCGAGTATCGACACTGCTCCGGCGCTGGCGATGGGGACACCTCAGGATATAAAGTCGGGTGCTTAGGGTTATGAATGGTAGTAGGGAGGTGCTATAGGATTAGAGTATCTGTGCGTTATATGCTATATAGAGACAACTCATAGAGTCTAGCTAGAGAATATGCAAAACTCAAGATCACAATAAGTTAAGTGTCTAACACATTGTATTGGGGCAGATATGCATTACTAGAGTATGGTATCTCTGCGAATACCCAGCAGGCTTCGGAAAGCGCCTAATTAGACGCAGTCGGATAGGCCGAGACCAAGCTGAGCATTGGATGACTTTCTTCACTGCTATACTTTCGGATGGTCTCTACTGTCAGAGGGTGTTATCCCCAGTGCTCTAGGAGTAGGTAGCTTTTCGAAGGATCAAGAGGATTGGGTTTCTCGTCACCAGGGAAATGGAATACCTGCACATCTGTAGATATGGAAATGTCTGTTCCCGTGGCTGTACCGGTTTGACGGGTGTCTAGTTGTATTAATGAGCAGACTGCTTCCAGTATGAGGGCTCAGGCTCAAGTGCTCTTGCACGCAACGATGCGTGACATGGATGCCATTGTTATGCAAAATCTGAAGCGTCTCGAGAAGGGAACAAAGTATGTGCACCTCGTTGCTGGCCCACAATATGAACTCAGATGCACGTTCCTCCAGATCGCTCGCTGCTAGCACTACATATCATAGCCTTCCGGGCCATATAGCCAGGAATTGTCCGAGTAGGCATCTCTAAGTGTGGAGGGATGCCGGATCTAATATTCCATGGAAACATCTGCAGCATCCGTGACATCCTCGATTTTAAGAAAACATACTTGAATTGGGAAATTCTGCGACTTACTCCCAGACATATTGTCTCATGGTCGTCGTTTTCGAGAATGACCAACGCGCGTTAGCAGCTACATCGCGTACCATAGTTCCATTCTAAACATCGCCTCTCAACAGAACACCAATAAGTCACGACAAGGCTATTTCCCCGAACGTTGCCTAACAGCACGCGATCGAAGTGCCGAGCGAAGACTAACGCGCGTTCTGATTGCTTATCTTTTCGCCCTGATCAGCACAGGGTCCTCAGCCCGCTAGCGTCCTGGCCGGTCCGGTCATCGCCTCTAACCGGACCGGCTGTCAACACCACACTCCACCGGGTGCCACCTCCCACCTCCCGCATCACTCCCAACGACTCTTATCATCCCTTATGGACGCTGCGCATCCAAGGTCTGCAAAGCGGCGCTATGTGGCCGCCGAAGAGCGACAGCGAGCCGTTCGCGCGTAAGACAGCACTGCCGACCAGCGGTCTTTACGAGCATAGGCGACAGAACCTGAACTGACGTTCAACGTGCAGCTGTGCCGAGTGTCGACGTCTCAAGGAGAAATGTGAGGACGGCATCCCATGCAGGCGCTGTCGCCATCTACGTCGCGCATGTGAAGTCGCTCCTGTGCCTGCTCCTGCCGACAGGGTGACCCCCGACTTTGCCGGCTCGCTCAAGGAGCTGATGGACCGCTTGCGATGCATGGGATTCATCCTCAAACACCATTTTCCTAATCTCGCTCTGGACATTGATTCTCTGCGACGCACGTGCGACACCCTGGCCTCGCGCACTCCACGGCTCGACCAACATGACAACACGGTGGAATGGTCCGAGCCCATCGCCAATGCCCAGCCGGCTGACAACAGCCCTGGTATTGAAGATGAAGATTGCACAATCGACTCTGTAGATGATACGACAGTTCGTGCGTTGCCCTTGGGCTTCTCGCTGCTAAGCGCCTCACTGACAGCCTTTTTTCTCCGTGCGCAGATTATTCCGGTGAATTCTCTCATTGGAATTTCTCCATGCACATTAAACGCAACCTAGATGAGCTCATGGCTAAATCCAACGCGCCGGTACGCAACCATCCGCTGCCCTGGTCGTGGGTCTGTCCCTGATTTGTTCACGTACCTTTGCTCACCTTGTCTCGTAGAGCTTGGACAATGTCAACCGAGTACCAGAGTTCATCCGCGTTGGCGAAGCAGACCCAGGCTCGACTTCCATCAAGGACGTCGTCGCCATAATTCCACCCCGTCCGGTAGCTACTTTTTTGATCAACGTCTTCTTCAAGCATGCCACGAGCATCTATTATTTTGTAGACCGGCGTTGGCTCGACGGTTTCCTGGACCTCATTTACAATAACGCTACAGGACTGCGTTCAAAAGACCTAACTGCAGCATGTGTCGTGTTGATGGTGATCGCTGTCGGGACCCAATACGTCCACCTAGAATCCCCTGATAAGCAGCGAAGATGCAGCACCAACGCTCCGGCAACCACCAACACCCAGGGGGGTTGGGAGCTCGAAATTGGATCGGTATTTTACCGTCAGGTGGTAAAATTACTTTCGGAAGTTATTCACTCTGGTTCACTACTCAGTGTCCAGGTTTTCCTACTTCTTGGACTCTATTACTTACCTCTCGATGCCTCTGGACTGAGTTATATCTATCTAAACTTGGCCATAAAAATAGCTATACAAAACGGCATGCATCGGAACGTCTCTCGCAGTTCTTTTGATCCGGGCACAAAAGAGATCAGACGCCGTATCTGGTGGACGTCTTACTGCATGGAAAGGTTCGTTGTCAGTCTTCTATAAATATCTAGACTCTTCTGCTCAAGCATCTGAAATCAGAAAAATAGGTATATACCACGGCCGTCCGACATGCATCGCACGATCCGACATTGACGTAGACTTACCCCGAAGCCCTGGCGCAAGTAATTTGAATGATGACTCTTTCGATTCCTCCGGATTGTTGGAATCAATTCATCTGACTGGGCAAGCTGAACTATTCCTTCAAGAAATGTGGGTGCCGCGTTCCATCATTGACAATATGAGAGACGACGAACTGACCACGTTCTACTAGATCACGTCTTAGAACATGCGAAAAGTCCGAGGTTAGAACGATTTTGAACCGCATCAAGCTCATGAAGACGAACCTTCAAGGACGGTGGTCGCCCCCTCCAACCGATGCCCCATTGACATCCGCGACCAGCCAAGCAGAGCGACCAAAGTCACGTGCCGAGATACATGCTCGGTTAGAGTGCTGCCTATTGCACATGTTCATTGGACGGCCGTTCATTCTCGCCCACCGCCATGTGCGTGCGGGTATAATCGTGCCGGAAGCTTCAGCACCACCGCGATCAAAGACACCTGAGCCGCACATGCAGTGGAGTTTCTTAGTCCAAGACTGTGTTGCAGCTGCGAAAGAGGTTATCAACCTCTGCCACACTCTGCAAACGGGGCGCATGGGCCTCGCGAAGTCGTCATACACTGAGTATAGCTCGTGTCGTGCATCCCTGCTGGTCTTGATTGCCTACAGCATCTGTTACCGTACGAACGAGTTCGCAAGCACCTTAGAACGAGGTCTTGATGCAATCAGAGAAATGGCTTCGGTGGGTGATTCGGCTCGTTCTGAAGTGTCTCTTCTTGAGACGCTGGAGGCAGCGCTGCACCGCCTTCGCGTGTTCGATCCATTGCCCGACCAATCTACAGATACTGCCAATAACAATTCGGCACAAGAGGGTTACGCAGGCTTTCTCGACTGGTACAACAGATTGGGCGGCTCCGCTAATTCTCGCGCTGAATCTACGCACAACGGCGATGACGGGCAAGCGGCGAAGGCGCAGCAACCCCGTGAGACCGGTCCACAAATGGGCCCGATCAGATATGATCCAGGAGTGACCGGCATACCGACTGATTCAACCATAGATACCTATCCTTTTGACTTTGATTTGCTGAACACGGATGCAAGTGCGGCTTTCTTCACGCCAGATTTCAATGAACACGGGAATCCAGAGCGGGAATTATTTGAGAATCTTTTGTGGATACCCAGGTAATTGGTGTATCTACAACAGTTCAGAGCTACGTGCACGAGTTTACATAGCAAAGGAGTCATGCGATGCATAATTAGCTCCATAGAATTCCAATCTATGCCTACGCGAAGCACTGTGATGAGGAGGTAGGTAACCGTTAGATTCGTCGTTTACGTAGTTGCTCACAACACTGCCCGGACAGGATCGCTTTCCACGATCTGTTTCCACAACTTCAAAGACACATGCTCCGTCGGCTGACTCCATCTGGTGTGCGAAATACGATATGGGAGAGGCAGATCCACGTTCTCCGTGTCACCCGTAACGATCATGGAAGCAACAGCTTTCGCGGAGAGGAAAATCTGCGGCATACCGTGGCCGCTGAACCCCCCGCACAGGTATTGGCCGGATCTGCCAGGAGTCGGACCTACGTATGGAAATCCGTCATTCGAGTAGCCCATTACTAACAGGGAGAGGATCGAATCAGCTCGATATCCATTGTGTGATGATTCGCCAAGATGAGTTGTACTTACTGCCGGTCCAAACATCTTCAGTGCGAACGTCGCTGTTTTCCCATCCATAGAAATGCCGTTGCATGTACCCGTCGAAGTACCGTCGCGCGCCCTTGATTAAATTGCTATCGTCGGAATTGTCGAACCATTCGTCCAAATTCTTGAAGAAATCCTGCTTGGCACCTCCTACAATAACACTACCGTCTGGCCTCGGAATCATGTAGTCGTACTCAAACTCCGAAAGTCGCATCATGTAGCTATCTGTCAGTCTCTCTATCTTTGTGCCCGCGAGTCGCGCCACTATGCCTTTCACTGGAACGATTTTATCTTTCATCTCAGGTATTAGAGCTGAAGTGTAACCGTTGGTAGCATACACGACTACTCCTGTCTTGACTGAGCCGCGCGATGTGGTGACGAGCCATTGGTGATCTTTTGCATCTGTGCTGGCTGCAGAGACGCTGGTAACAGGCGTGTATGTCTGCAGATTAATGCCGAGGGAGACGGCTTTTTCTAGCAGGTGCGTCACAAGTCGGTATGGCCACAGACGAGCGGCATCGTATGTGAGACAAGACTTTGCGCCTCGGACACCGGACACCTGGAGATACAGTCAGCTTTGGCAATCAGGTGACATTGTACAACGGATATAATCGCTAAGGTTACGTCCATGCATACCTCTTCAGCTTCGCGATCCTCATAGTAACCGATATTGCTCGCGGTAGAAATATCTGCATCAACAGCCCTTTCAAGATCTGCTTTGATCTTCTCCCGACCCTTATCATACAGACAGACATCCATGACTGTTGTCTCTTCAAAGTCGCAATCTACATCTTCGCAGCTCACCAAATCTCTAATTGCATCAACCTGCCTCGCCTCAAAGCTAGCCACATGTTCTGCGACCTTTTTGCCATGAGTCTGCAACACACTAGCTGCCCGAAACAAAGGATCAGGCTTTAGATGTCCACCTAGCATATTCTCCATTAGCATAATCACGATCAAACCCTCCATGGCCAAGTCAGCAAGCAGGCAGGTTGGGTTAAGCACACACCATTGCGGCCAGTAGCTCCCGAGCACGCCTCCCTCGCCTCAAGGATAAGAATCGATGGTACCGGCCGCCCACATCGTACACTCTCTTCAATTAGGTGATGCACAATACTCGCACCCACATATCCAGCGCCGATAACGACAATGTCAGCGTAAGAAGGGAGCGATGAAGTGCTGCGGTGGCGGTCGATCGGGCTGACTTGTCTGCGCCAATAGGAGGGGAGGGCGTGCGCGGATGGGAATTTGGGGTTATCGCGATTAGAGGGAGACATTGCAGCAAAATGAGATCCGGGTATCGTGTGCAGTCCCTAGCATGTTTGATCACGGAGATGTGGGCTTATTGCGTGTAGTTGAGTTGAGCACCTTGTGGGTCTGGGACCGGGCCGGTCGCCGGCAAGGGTTAGGTAGGTGCCGTTGCGCATGTTCGAGATACAGTTGTACTTATGAACGGCTAGTCTGTGCTAAAAGAATGGAAAGTGGGATGATAAGACGATTAGGTTGAGCAGGCTGGACCGGTTGGATTGCTGTGCCAAAGCACCGTTCGATCACCTTGATATCGTGGAAGAGTGCCCCACACGTGATCTGGACTCCATGCGACTATGCGCCATCACGAAAATCTAGGCTTGAGCGAAATCTACTCTATCGGTGCAGAACCCATGAGATGGCAAAGGTACGGCAATGAGATCAGAAGCGTTTGCAACAACGCGTCGTTTGCAGGAGGTGCGCCAGGCATCGCAAGCAACATCCACAGTCGGCATAAATAACGGTCAACATCAGAATAACTCAAGTGAACGATCTCCAAAGGAACGACATCTGTAGATACGATGCGACATACGTAAAAATTGCTAACACATCTCGGCTGTCTCTACACAACGCCCTTGACCGCAAAACCAATCTAACACACACTCACTCCCCCTTCCCTACCTCGCCCTCTCCTGCCCTCCCCTCAGCCTCATTCAAGCCCCTCGCCTCTTCCACCATCGGCCGCAGAGGTACCTTGGATATCAATGCAATCATAGCTGGAACCACAAGGACCAGAAGCGCAGTATTAATATACAAACTGGCCTCGTAGCCGACGGTCTTGTTCGAATTGATTCCATAACTGATGGCCTGGCCTGCCACTTCGAAGGCGCGGAAGACGCCTCCGGCGCGCGATTGAACTTCGGTTTTATTCGAGAAGGTCCCGAGGACCCAGTAGAGTGTGAGTTGGGTCCAGTATCCGGAGACAAAGATGATTAGGTAGGGCATGTAGGCTTTAGCCCAGCGGGAGCCGTCGCTGGATGGTGATGCGTTAGCGAATTTTCTGGACGACAAATTGCTCGGTTTCTCAGGTACGGAGAAGGGGGCCGAGAGATAATGGTTGAACGCGAAGTGCGGAAGCAGGAAAAGAAGGGTGGTATACTTACAGACTGTAGTCCAAAGCCGACTTCTTGCCCAATTGATGGTTCTCAATGTTGATCCATATGAAGCAAGCAGTCTGCGGGATGACCCATAACATAAACGCAATCCAGGCGCGGGTACGTTGCGACCAACGCTGATTGTCGAGGAATCTACCGAACCCGATGACGGAGGGGATGGTTATAGATGCTGCGTTCAACCGGTCAGTCTCAATGGAAAGAACGGTAGGCAAAGATTGTTCAGTGTACTTACGCACGATAAGCGAGGAGAGGGCACGCGAGCGGACAGAGAAGTGCAGTGAAAGGTAGGTTCCCAATGTGCCACCGTAGAAGAAGGAGTAAAAGGCGGGTACGAATACGAGCCATGTCTTATCACATTGTCAGTAAATCTGTGCATGTGAAGCCGAACATCCAGAGAGAGCTGTTCGATCAGAGTTGGATGTATGTACCTTGCTTTCCCGGAGGTAGTGACCCAGAGAAACAAACTCCTGCTTCCATGTTTGCATCTTCGATATGAGGATTTTACTGTTGTCGCGGCGCCGCACTTTCGCTGTCTTGGAAAGGAGCAGGGCCCAAATGACTCCCGTGCATTCTGCCCATCTTCTGTCAGCATCGAACTAAACCAATCCTCGTTTTCTGAGGCAGAGTGAATGCACTTAACGTACCAAAACCCAAAAATATCAGATATGTTACCCAAGCGATTCCGCCGCCTGTTGATTGCGAATGATTGTTCGAGAAGTTGATTGCACCGCCTATGACACTGCCTGAGTTGCGCATTGCGGACCATATACCTGGAGTGATATGTTAGTTCAGAACCATCGTTTCTTTTGAAACGTGCTGGTAGATTGTTTTATCAACATACCAAGGTAAAAGCCCCTATCCTCAGGGCTAGGATAGGACAACATAGCCGTCGTTTCACCCACATAGAGGAAACCAGAAGCAACTCCTCCGATTATCTGTACACCCAGTTAGCACGATAATCCCCAAGCGTCCGTCTCCACTACAATCTACTTCAGAAAACATACATTTGAGGCGAGCAAATACCAGTCAACCGAAAACCTCGCATTAACATAGTACGCACTTCCATACAGCGGCATTGCTAGCGCGGCAATGAAACATGCCCACTTAATTCCTATTTTGTTGACAAGAGGGCCTCCAATAATAGTGACAAGGAAACTGCATGCGTAATTGAGTGAGTTCGCGAGATTGGCGAGCCACGGGGAGGACAGACCGCCGCCACCGAGGTTGCTGATTGCGTCCGACATGGCGGGGCCGACGAAGGAGAGGCTGTTATGGGAAAATTAGTACGGTATTTTTGCTTGTTCTCGCGTGTTGTTGACATGAAAGAAGGCCGAGTCGGTGGGTGGTTTGGAACGTGATATGATGACTAGGAAGGATGAACGTACCATCCAAACAACACCATTTGGAAAAGCACACTTCGGTAAAATTTGCCCATGGTGTATTTCGTCGGCGCGAGTTGTTCTGTACTCCCGACCGCGAAATCTTCGTTTCCGTCATTCATTGTGTCGGCGACGGTTGGGTCCTTCATCTCTTTCTCGGAAGGCTTCATGGCAATGTCAATGGTTGTTGGCCTGCTTCAGCGGGCTTATGTTTGGATTTCAGATGAGTGGTGGAACGGACACCAGATAGGTCGACCCACGAGCACGGATTCTGGGGTAATTTAGTTCAGTACAAGTACCCCGCGCTATCAGTGTAGTTGCCGCGTAACGTCGGGCCGGTTGATGTAGTTGTATCGCGCACGCGATGCCTGTCATGATCGGGCCGGTCGACGCTACGCTAGATACTACTAGTACTTAAGTTAGCTATCTCGCACAAAACGCGTCTACGATAACGTATCTCTTATCTGCGATATCAACGCAGGACTGGGAGGAAGACGGTCTACTTTTAAACCTAGATTAGCGATTACGTTACTACTTGAAGCGCTGGTCCACATTCGGTAATAGTTCCGCTACTCAACGTTGTTAGTTACCACGACTTAGTAGATTGACGCATCCCACAGGAGCTAATTGACACTTTCAAGTTGACATGAGCATGAATAGTTTACGACAACCTCACTAAAACGGTGGCACCCGTTGATAGAAATGGTATTAACACCTTCAACATTCCTCTGGCTGTGGTGCGCCCTAGGGCTGAAATGATGTTTTCGACCAACTTCATTTACTTCTTAGCAGATCGGTTGCGCACCACGCCGTCTCACCTCCTTACGTCTACCAAATATTGGCTTTGGCACAACAGAAAGCTTGGTAGGCCGCTCGGTCTTGTTCACCACAGCCTTATTTGTGAAGACGTTTGTGTCTTGTGAGCTCATCCAATTCAGTACACAAATGCTCTCCAGCCGTAAATGCTCTTACCCAATGATGTACAATTCATTTCAGGTGGGTCTTGTGATACTTGGTACTTCTCTTCAGCCCGTAGGCTATCTCTTGAGCTTCCAGAATGTCCAGCTCTTCCAAGACATCACTTTCTTCCGCATCAGCATGAATCTCCAAATCGGCATCTCGCCTCGGCTCACGCAGAAGAAGTGGATCCTTAGACTTATTCTGCTTCATCTCCGTGACTTCTCCCTCTGGTTTCGCCGCGGATCTGGACATCTTCTGTAGCCAGGCACCATCCTTCCGTACGTTGAGATTACAGCCAAGGTAGCTTTGGCCCTCTCGTTCACGGTTCCAGCACTCGAATCCCACAAAGTGCAAGAATGCGTCGGCAAAACATTGCACCCAGTTGACAGGTGGCATGCCACAAGCAGACACCAGGACTTGGGTTACGACCAGAATACGGTGGCACCGGTTCAGAACGTCGTCAACTCCCTTCTCCATTGTTCTTATGTCTCCGCGATCGTATGACATGCTTTGCAGCTTTTCTGCAGTCGTTGTGTTGCTGTGCGTGGCGTCGGAGAGGGCAAAAACAAATGGTACCCACGTTTCATGTGCAGCTGCAAGCGGGAGCGACTCTGAGAAAGACTTCAACATGACCAGAGAAAGGGCAAGCTCGAGCATTTCATCAATCATACTCAGCCAGCCGATGTTTGACCGCCGTGAAGAGCACAGTATGTCGACTTGTACATCTGCGGCAGCTTTGATGCGAGTAGACGCACATTCGGCTAGATAACAAAGCGGTTCGGTTTGCTCGCATGCCAAAAGCGCTCTAATCGCGCGATAGTAGGTCCGTCGCGGGTCTTGGCTTTTTTGCGGGCTACCCGTCCAATATGAGGTTCGCTGCATCGCTGGCTTTAATGGAGAATCGTGCGAAGAGTAAGGTCCTAGAATATCAAGGGGAAGGCCAAACACGTCATCCGAAAACAGCTTCTCTTGCGGTGTTCGACTGGTCCTCCCTCGGTGCTTATTTAAGTCTGTGGCTCTCTGTTCGATTGATCGGGCGAAAGCCGTCGCTCCCATATGCACCTCGGAGGTCCACTCGGCTCTCGACGTCTTGGGGGCGAGAATTACTGGTTCGCGATCACCATGTTTATCCTTCCAGCTCTGGTAGCTACGTTTGTAGCGCTGATCGTGTCGATTTGTCCTTGCCGGTACGATCCAGAAATGCCGCTGCAGGATAGAATCGAGGGACCCTTGCAGTGTCTCCATTATCTCTTCTCTGTAACGATGTTCTTCAATAGGGAAGGCTGAAGCAACGGCTGTGATGAGGTCAAGATCATTATGGAAGATCGGTCCATGATGTTGCTAAGCACGACAGAAGAGTCATAGGTGAGACTAGTGTGGCTGTGCAACTCAACCTTGCTATTTATGGATGATTGGGGGCCCAAAGACACCAATACGTGTTCAGATTAGGCTACCGTTCCATCTTATCAACTTTGGTCTACACCATCGCACCACCATGAGCGTCGCTACAACAACCGTAGAACTCGACGACGTTCATTTACGACTCATCTCCGCAGGTGGCTTCAATAGCAAACTTCGACCCCTTGTTTCGACATGCTGTCTTCATTTTCCACTTCTCCTCCGCGCAAGCTGGCTGCGCAACTGCTCAATCTTGCGTTCGCGCTCAGCACTGCATTTATGCTATTCAAGACTTTTGGCGTGATTGCAGACTGCTCGTCACCCATCGTCGTAGTACTCTCGGAATCTATGGAGCCAGCTATGCAAAGGGGAGACCTCATCGTACTCTGGAATCGAGGACTGGATATACAAGTGGGAGATGTCGTGGTCTACAACGTCGAAGGAAGAGATATACCGATTGTACACCGTGTCATCAAGCGGTTTGGGGGAGGGTAAGTGCAATGGGCGCCCAACACACAGTAGTTTGTTGCTAATCATGAGAGCACAGAGATCAGCATCTACAGTTCTTAACGAAGGGTGACAATAATCAGGTTGATGACACCGACCTTTATGCGACCGGGCAAAGCTTTCTGAGTCGAGGTGACGTCGAAGGCTCTCTAGTGGGCTACATACCGTACGTTGGATACGTCACGATTCTATTCAACGACTATCCATGGCTCAAAACGGTCATGATCTGCCTCGTGGGCTTGACTGCTCTTTGACAAAGGGACCAAGTTTACTCAGCAACAAGCTGAAGAAGTCTAGCTAATAAAAACATGCAATCCTGCATCATCAACCAAGCAATCGCGAGCACATTTCTCACATTGAGTGGCGCTTATGGGAGCTTGCAAGAGAGCTTGACAGCACCTGAAAAGCTGGAGGAAACGGATGAGATGTTCGGACCGTGCTTTAATTACCAGGACAAAAGTCGCACAATGATTGCATTTGAACACGAAAGAAGGATACATATGAAGATGCATCTAATGAAGCACGTTTGACTTTTCAGTCTTCTACACGAGGGCCGCACCATGGGGGATCTCAGTCCCGTAACGCAATCGCTCCCATTTTGAGAGGGGTGGATCTACAATCGCACTTGTAACTATGCTTGCTACAACAGAGGGACTGATTAATGTGCGCGGCACTCTTGGTTCCGAGTAAGCTAGGATATACTTTATCGTAATGAGGAAGTCCGATAATTCTAGACCTCCTTCATCGTTAATGGCCTGCACTACGCCGCACACTTGCATCGCGGTACACCAAATAACCTATCCCGTGCCACCTACTTGCTGTGCCGCCACCTTCTGTCTTACGTGAGCGTATCGCAACCCGCACGCGAGCTAAAGGCCACTCTCGTGCGTGCACTTCTGTCCTGTTTTCAACCGCTACTTACCCCCTTCTCCAACTAGCATACTACCACGCTTCACTTAAGGCCAAGCTGTAACGGTCCCAATGGCCGTACCGAAGAGGTTGATCGATGATGTGCCACCAGCGGCTAGGCAGAAGCCTATGGGGGTATTGGCTTTGGGCTTCAGTAGGACAGGTATATGTCAAGTTCATTTACCTGATCGATGCTAACACTAGATAGGGACGATGTGTATGATCGTCACTCTGCAAAGCATACCTGTCTTCACGGCTGACATCACTAGCATTGAAAGCGGCCCTCGAGAAGTTGGGCTACAACGTCTATCATTGTTCAGAGTGCGCAATGCGATGGAAGGAAAACCACCCTGTCCTTTTCAAAGAAGCTATGGAGGCCAAATTGCACGGCAAAGGGAAACTTTGGACTGGTGCGGAACTTGATAAAGTTCTGCAAAACTACACCGCACGTTGCTTCCTCAATATGCTGTTCAATACTGAAACGTCTTAAGGCGATCGAAGACATTCCATGCCTGCATTTTGTAGACGAGCTCTTGGAACAGTAACCAAAGGCGAAAGTCATTCTGACCACGCGAGATATCGATTCATGGGAGAGATCCGTCCGGAATACAATTTTCAAGATCGTCGATTTACGCATAGTGCAGTTCATGGTGGCCATCGACCCGGTAAGTACACGTCATCGCATGACTCGCACATTACAAGGCTGAGAAGAGGTGCTCAGATCTTTTGGCGACCATACTACTGGCTCCTCAAAGCAACGGTAGACAAATGGACTGATGGAGACATGTCGAACTCAGCGGCCCTACGAAAGTCGTTCACAGACCATTACGATCATATCCGCGCAAAAGTTCCCAAAGGAAATCTCATGGAATTCCACCCTCACGAAGGCTGGGCGCCTTTGTGTAAATTCTTGGGCCACGAGACGCCGGGAGACGACCCATTCCCAAACGTCAATGATGCCGTTAGACTGCATTATTTCATTGTTTTGATACGTCTGTGGTACATGTTCAGAAAGTATGTTGGAATTTCTCTCGCCGCTGTCATCGCTTACGGAGTGTCTCGGTGGATAAGAGCTGGCTAGGCTCAGATGTCTGGCACGTGTTACAATTAGAATACGAGCTAAAGGCCAGGTTCTGGACAGGCTTGCTGTGCGTTTTCACGGCCTGAAAGGGTTCACGGTGAAGTTTACATGCGAGATGGGGGACATTGCACAGGACATCTGTTAGTATGCGTACGATCCAACTGAGAGAAAAGACGAATGAAGAAGGTATGGAATAAGAGTCGAGAGTGATGGCAGTGAGGCGAAGCGTCCCATCTAGGAAGTTCCATTGTGGATGGCTAGCCATTCTACACAACGAATTTGTAATATTTTGGGGTCAGGCATCGTTTCGACTGGAGTAAGTCATGACTACGGCCCATACTGGTCTCGCGTACCGAATCCCGTGCCGAAATTCTTTTTCCTGAGTTCCCACCACCTTGACTCGCGCACTGCAGTCCCGGCTCAATATCTCAATGGCAGTGCTCTCCATCCGCTCAGTAACCAGACAGTACTCGAGTACAAAACTCTCTCCCGAAGTGACATTGCATTTATAGCTATTAGTTAGCACATACGCAATTGTTCCAGTCTGTGTCATTACGTTCTTGCATTCACGGCCTCTGATCTCGACGTTCGTGAGATCGCATACGGGTTGCCTATAGTCGTCCGGTCCAAACCTGCCTTCGACAACTGTAGCAGAAGCACACCTTCCTCGACGCGAGAGAATGACACAAATCGGGGCTGAATGTGGAACCAGAAACATGCTAATAATTCACCTGACTGATAGAATCTTCCAATAGGGCTAGCATGGAATCTAGCCCATTCTCCCTAGCCTGCTTAACACATTCTTCCGCTGTTCCTAGTAAGCCCAAGCTGGTTCCGTGGTGGATTAGAAGTTCAAACAGCATCGTATTTTCTTTCTCAATCGCGTATACAAGTGGACTTTGTTCCTTGATCGTCGAGCCATCAGCCAATGCGACTCTCTCTCCAAAACCCGCACTTGCATCTACGCCATTGTTGAGTAACATTCGGGCTATGGTTGTGTATCCTCCCTTGACTGACTTCAGAAGGGCGTCTTCGCTTCCAGGGTAGGTGGTTAAGAGAGTTCGAACGATATGAGCTTGACCTCGCTCTGCAGCGCTTGACATGGCTACTGAAGCAGAAGCTCCATGTTGAAGGAGGAAGTCTACTATGGGACCGTGACCCTCCGCCGCAGCGATGCGAACCGGATGGCTCGGAGACTCATGAATGCGGCTCCAATTTTTCCAATTGCGATGTCCGACCCAGCTGAAACCATACTTGAGCGCAGGTTCAATAAGTCCCGTTGCAGGGACATTGTGTTGGATGAGGTAGGTGACTGTATCCAGGCGGCCAGCCGCTGCAGCTTCTTGCAGCGCGTACACGAGAGCATATCTTTTTAGTATCGGATCAAGCTCAACAGACAATGTCGCAGCAAACTTAATCATGTCGAGATCCGAAGTGCCTTGGAGCCACATGGTCCCTTCCCTAGAGTAATCGCCTGGGTCATCGAATTTCCATGGGACCTTGTCTATCATGTAGTGATAGAGAAAGGAGGCAATTTCCACTCTGCCTGCCTGTGCCGCTTCTACGAAGATAAACTGCCGGAAACCGGAATTGAGTGTTTCTGTGCCAGCTGTCAAGAAATATTCTAGCACTGTTGTACTCGCGTAGTGTGCTGCTAGGATGAAGCAATCACCCAGTATCAGGTTGGCCCCCCACCGGCAATTGATCGTTGTTTCCAGCAATCGAGGATCCCTATTAACACAATCTTTGATGATAGAAAGGCAATTCGTACGTATCGCTGCAGCGTAAAGATGGCTTTCAAAATGAGTATCGGTCACATGGCCAGGATTTCCTTTCCGGGAAACTTCTATGAAACGCGCGGTGGGAGAGTACCTAGTATCGGACCATTTCTCGTAGCGGCTTTGGATGTCGGTTGGGGAATAAAATGAGTCCATGGAAGAGCACAACAGCTTGACGTAGTCATCAAGTGTGGGTAGCTTGACCATTCCGGGGTCGCCTGATCTATGTATCTCGATGGCTGCCTGCCTGATACAAACAAGAATCGGATCGCCATTTGGCGGTTCGTGAATTACCCGGTGCGTGAGATATGGTCCACGCAGTGATAGCGGTACGTCTCTCGGGTCATGTGGGCTATAGCGATCGCAAAAGTGCTCAAGAAGTTGTTCAAGGAGCCCAAAAGTATACAGAGCACTTGAGACAGCTTTCGCAAAGGTTTCTTGGTAGAATTAGCACGATATCTGATGAAAGGAAGGAATACGCACTGTTCACTAATCTTAAGCGGAAGGCACGCTTTAGGCCCCTTGAGATGATCGTATCGCGCAATATAAGCTCGAACAACTCTACTGGGAGGTCAAGAAGTTGCATAGTCGTTGAAAATTACTGGAAGTCGCCAAGATCGGTGCTTCAAAAGTCCTTGTGACTGTTCGGTGGTTTGTTGCAACGCTCGTGTATAAAGTCTTCGATGACGTAGACGTCGGTGGCAGATGTTAAGATACGTGGCTTGTTGTGCCGTTGCTGGATCGAGGCACTATCCGAGTGGTCTTGATGCGGCACAGTTGGGCACAGCCTCATTGGCAACCCTGTACCTAAGACGATCGTGCCAAGGCGGAAGAACACCCACTTAGGCAGGGCACACAGCTTAGCCAACACCGCTTGACTCCGTCTAAGACAATTACGAATCTTTTCCTCTTGCAGAGATACTACTATTATAGAACCACGTTGCGGGCTAGACATAGATCTAGCTGGTGTTATAGTCATATGGGAGTCAACTTCCGTACGCAATGTCCCTATGGTACGTCACTCCACCACCACCATCATTTCATTTATTTTATCACGTCGCCATCATTTGCTGTGCGGGGTAGTATTCTCAGTGAATTCTATACTCTGTATGGACGATAATGAGTGGGATTATGCACAAAACTACCGCAATATGATTGCAAGCACCTGCACTTTACTAATGAAAGACTTCGAAGCGAGTAAACGACCTAGGGCTCGTTTCCCATCAAGCTCTCTTAATCTCTACTCTTGGGGCCCGAAAGCTCCCTTGATCTGTTCCCATTCCAGGGTAAGAGGCACTCGCACTGTACTCGCCTCGCATGTCACTCCCGGCGTAGAGCGACATCAGAGTAATTCTAAGCGAGGGTAGAATCCCATCAGTTCCCAGTACACAACTATAATAGCTTCACCTTGGGCGCTCCATCTCATACACCGTGCCTTCCTTTCCCGACAAAGCCCATATGCCTAATTTTAAGTTTACCCCAAATCTTACGGTGCTAGCCTTCCAATCAATATCTTCTTTGATTGCTGTTGATACCCAGGTTTCCAACAGTATGCGACATATGTTGCACGGAAATTTAGGCCCAGGTTTTAGCTACAAGATATAACATGCTGGAATAGCACAATGGTGTGTGTATATTATGTATGAGATTGCAAATTCGACCTTGGAACAGTCAGCTAGGTTGGCGCGTGCCGATCTACATCGCGACCCGAAAGGATTCTCTGCAGGGAATGAGGTCCCGTTTCGTCAAAGGAGGACCGAGATGCAGATGGGGAGCCAGAATCAACCTGTCAGGAAAGACCTCAAACACCCAGCGGGAGGAATCGATACCAGGACCTACATGAAGCCTTTTTCGGAGATCGGTCAGGTGTTGAGAACACATGGAGTTTTTCGGGTAGAATCGTACGCGCGGACGACTTTGATAACAGGCTCACGCCGGAGGGCCTTCACGTCGGACAGCAACAGCACGTACGTTATGCTGTCTTACAAGCTTGGTTTCGAAAGCTGGCATCTGCAGACGACGTAAGCATTCAATCTCGAGCAAAAGCTGTCCAAGCCGTCGCCCAGTGAGAAGTATAGTATGTACCGTAAACATGGGGACCCTATATACCTAGTTTCCTCGACGTTGTCCGCAATTTACATGAACGTCCCTATGTTTCCTAGAGCTATCTAGGATTGTACTCGAAGAGGATGAGCTCTTCACATCAGCACCCTTGCATCAATCTGATCCTGGAACCGCGTTGGCTGGCTGGCTTTCCGATCATTGCCTTAGAACAAGTTAAAGATCGCGACTACGATATATCTTTCCTGTGAGGGGGAGGGCGACGTTCACGCAGGGCCCTTAAGTCCACTATGCCGATAGGGAGACTAATACCATGGGATCATACGTCATGACAAGCGCGGTACCAGCCGTTCGGCCTCGGTGACACTCAGTCCAGGCTTGGCTAAACGTCTCAACCGGCAGTTGCCCTGCAGCAAACAAACCCCTGCATTCTCCGCGGGATCCGTAGCACACTTCGACTTCTCCGCAGATTCAACCCCGTGGTAATGCTGATCCTGCTGAACCGTTATACTATGGTAAGTTACGCAGGGTTACTGGGTCTATGAAGCAGCCGTTGTTTAAGGCCGAGCGTGCCGAACATGCCGAGTCTGGGCCAAATAACCGATGCCGAACATGCCGCTTGTTGAATGAAGCCAACGATGCCCCTAGCATGAACGGTAGGAGCCGGCATCTCACAAGAGTATATACATGCGGTCGATGCCGAAGTCCATTGTAGCATTCCTCTTTAATCACCATCCAATCTGCTAAGATGGATACCACTTTTCGAAAGTTCGGGCTATTGACGGCAAACTACAAAACTGTCAACAGGACGTCGATCAATGTCGACGTGCTGGTGCCTAAAGACCTTACAGCCGGTTATCATCCTATAATTACTCGCTTTCACGGAGGCGGTTTCGTAAGTCTTCAACCAACGACAAAACCCTTGCACTGTGTTCTAATGTTGCGAGAAGACCAGCGGTTCAAGTTTACACCCTGACTTCTTCCCGCGATGGGTCCTCGAGCTGGCTGTTATCATGGGAGCAATAATTGTCACCCCCAACTACCGATTGTTACCTGAGTCAAATGCAGTGGATATCATGGAAGACTTGGATGATCTATGGGCTTGGCTTTTCTCTGGATTACAAAGTCTCCTCTCTTCATTCTCTGCCACCGGTGTTCAGGCGGACCTGACACGGATTTTGACGGTTGGAGAGAGCGCAGGTGAGTTAGTCCGAAAGCTGTTGATTTCCTTCCGCTGAATCTCGGTGTGGCAGGCGGTTATCTCAGTGTCCAGTTTGCACTAGACCACAAGGGAGATGGCGTTCGTGCGTGCATTGCGGAATGTCCATCTCTCGATATTCGAGCTATTGCTGCTGCCGGAGGGGTACAAGATGCTACCGCCGCTCCTCATGACCATGATCAAGTGGAACGTCAAAAAGCCCTCTCGAGTCCATCTCCCGTCGCTGACGCCACACTTTCTCGATTCGGAATGATAGACGAGCTGATACGAAACGGAACGTTATTGAACTACTTTCCTAACATCGAAAGAGTACATCCTATCGATAGGGTACGTAATGGGACAAGGATGCCTCCAACGTTCTTTATTCATGGACTGAACGATACCATCGTGCCCCATGAGCAAAGCGTGCGTTTTGCGCAGGAGATCTTGAAACAAGACTCTACAGCTAAGGTCCATCTGGAACTTCAGCCAGGTGAACATCTGATGGATATACCACTGACCTTAGGACATCCGTGGCTTATCAAAGGTGCGAGGCTTATAACAGGCGCCTGGCTTGGTAATTAGCTCTTAGCATCATGAATCGAGACACGATGCGACAATGCGGATGAACTGGCGAGTGCTGGGAAGGGAGCGGAGGCGATGGAAAATGGATTTCGGGTACGCTGATCAACGCGTAGAGGCCAACGTTTCTTCCTTTTCACGAGTGCTGCCATTCCTTGATTTTCCTTGATATTCTCCTATGATTGCGCAGGTACAGTGTCCTTCTTTGCACGGGAGAGACGCCACTTTGGACAACGATATAGGGTTCGCAACGGTAGTTATGGTGAAACAGAAGTCTTTCTATCTGTCCTTGCTCACAGAACTCTCATGGTGATTTAACACTCAAATCTTGCAGATTGCTTTCCACTGAATTTAAAGAACCGTCCTATCATCTATGATTTATAGCTCTATCTTAAATTGGAGTAGTGCCGTAAGCCTCTGATTTGGTACCGCAAGACCTAGACAGCATCTTCGAGTTGGCTAGTGATATAGTCCATTTCATTCCATGTGCCCATTCTGTGGCAACATTAGGATAGGTCTAAACATGCGGCGCACATCAAAGCTAGCTAGCTAATCTATCAGAGCAGCTAATCTTACCTTACCGGATCCCCTAACATCTAATGGAAGTAATGGGACGAGCATGTCTGTGTATAGTCAATACTAAGGAATCTTTTAGCTTCCAATATACTACTTTGAGCTTTGTCTGAGGCGCACATCAGAAATTCTCGATCACAAAGGCGACGGAATATAATGTACAGGTCATTCTAATTAGTGAAACACCTCAAACGATCGAAAACCTCAATGATGTGATAGCGTAGGAGGATTACGAGTTTTATATACTAGACTACATCTCACCCATGAAAAGGCTCCGCTCTCGCCCAGTATATATGAAGCTGGGCGGTCCTCGGGCAAATTAGTAAGCTTTCTACTTACACTTCTCCTCTTCGTATATCTGGAACACGATCCATGACCCGAAAATCCTACTAGATCATTGCGAATCATGATGTCAAGCTCCCAGTATGGCGCCGGTAGATCAGGAACCTTGGCTGTAAATGCACGTATAATGGCGTTCTTTTGGGTTCAATCGAAAAGCAACTTGCGAAAGGGCCCAGCGGACAGTGTTCACTTTGCCGTTGAGTAGATGTATCAACGAGCAGTTTGCAGACTGGGGATTTTTTTGAAGTTGACGACCCAGAAGAGACGCGGGCAATTAGTGTACTCGCGCCATCTGTCGTTGCGCTAGTCCGCACACGAAACGCCCACATCAGCAAAAATGTTCTCGTAAAGATTCTCATCACAAAATAATACAACATGTACTGGCTGCTCCTCACCCCATTAGCGCGGCCAAAATAGAACGAAAAAACATACAACAGCGGGTATTCGCTGCTGGTCACCCACGCAACTACTAATCCGCCGGTACACTGCTTATATATGGCTGAGCGGACGGGAAGCCTAGTTTTCAGTGTCCTATGGTCGTATGTGAAATAAGGTTATATTTTGCGCTATTATATCGCAATGTAGTGTGTGCGACAGGCTGCTAATTACCCGCCTATACGCTGGCTATTTTTATCAATGTCCTTGGTTTAAAGCAGCGGATGGCCCCCAAATCACCTTTGTAGTGCCTCGGAACGCAACACGTAGGATTCTGATAGGAGGTTTTGCGCTACCTGCCACTTATCCTCCCACCGAACAGACGAAGTATGCGCCCAATGGTCCCTCATCGCCTTCACGGAACCAGTACCCGTTGCTTCCCACGGTGTCGTCTTCACCATCCTGTAGCGGCAGCTTAAGCGGCGGATGCGGGTAGCGCTCGCAGGACCTATACTGAACTGTTGGCTCCTCGCCATCCAAGCACCTCCAAAGGGCTCTTCTGTTCCACTCCTTGGCGGGCGCCTCGTGCGGGTGGTCCATCATCTTCCAATCATTCGCCTGCTTATATGCCTCAGCGGGCAGCTCAACTCTCATGTCCCGTAGCAGCTTGGAACGGTAGAATGCGTCGACCATGGGCAACGCTAGGCCATCGAGAATCTCGCACGCACGGTCATACTTGTCGCTGGCGCCTAAGAAAGCTAGGCAGAAGCTGCGCAGGCTGTGACAGTGAGTGACGATGTTGTCCAAAATAGGCTGCAAGTGGTCCAGGTTGAGGATTGGCTCTTCGTTATTCCGTTTGATCCAGTGCACCCTGATGACTATCTCAAGAGAGGTCATGGACGTGAGTCGATTGGTTGCAATGATCCGGGGGAGGTTCAGTAGCAGAGGCTCGCTCTGAATATTGATGCAATTGGCAGAGTACAGGAAATCAATGCCTTCAGTATACGCCTGTCTGCACGACAGCAAAAAGCCCATGACGCCGATTTTGTTTTCCGGAGACTTTGATTGGCTCTCATGATGCAAGCATGGGTCGTTCCAAACGTGCGGACCAGACCAAGGGTTAAGCGGAGAAGGCTGAGATCCATGGTCATTCTGATAGCAGACGAGACCTCTCCATTGCCAGGCTTCGTCTCGACGCATAAGGTCCATGTGGAGAGTGCGACTACCAAAGGCAATCGAGAGGATTATACTCCGAACGTCCCAAGGCAACTGGAAGAGTAGGCATGCAGCTGTAGCGAATGACTCTTGCGTGATAGGACGGCGTGGCGAAGGAAGCACTGGTAGCGCATCTTTGGAACGCTTTTTGGGACCAGGTTTGAGACTCAGGTGTTTCTTCACCCATGCGCTGAGTTTGGGCATTGCCGTGAGGTAGATGTTCTTCACGACGGAGAAAAGGTCGATAGCTAGGTAGTCAGTCGGTGTACACAGGTCCGGTCACATTGCCAAGGTGATTGGAGCGGAGCAAGGTAACTTGTTCAAAAGCGATGCCTTTGGCTATCTAAATACATATGCCGAGCCGTGGTGACTGACTAAGAAGGCGTTATCGCCTTGTAACGGAGCAGCCGCTGATGGGACTCGCAATCTGAGCATCTCACCGATGCCAAGGAGCTAAAGGAGGCTAAGTTACGCTAGTCTGAATACGTAAGGCACTTCATCCAAGCGCCGAAAACATCGGCACCTTGTTTATACACTTAGACATACACCTTAAGAGCTCTACGTCGGCACAGCTGACCTCCGAGCAATAGTCGTTGCTGGACCACTCACACCGACACAGTAGAAGTACTCGGGCCACAGGTTTTCGCAATTTTTACCAACTGCCGGGTTCCATTCGTAAAATTGGCTGTACGTAGGCAGTCAGCGCGAGCACCATATCAGAAGAGTCACGTAAGGGACAGACTTACGCCAAGGAAATGCCGGCATTAGATGCTATCGCTCCGCAGAGTTCGCCAGGCTGCTGCAGGTAGAATCGCACGCACTTCTCCGTCATACCCTCACGGACAGGTGATGGCGTCTCCACCGGCTGTGGTGCTGCAGTCGTTGTCGTTGCAGGCTGAGTTGACGAGGACCTCTGCGTTGTCTTGATTGCAGTCGACGACTCACTGCTGCCTCCCTGGCCGCTGACACCTACACAGACGTAAAAGTCCGACTTGAGGCCTGCACATGAGCCTACCTTAATGGCTTTGTTCCAACCGTAGAAGTCATCAAGCGATATGCCGGCCTGCCGCACAATACTGTCACAGTTATCGTCCTCTCCCACAAACCAGTAATTGGAACACGCCGTAGCAATGCCTGACTGGGTAGGCCGTGTGCTCGGTATCTGGGTCGGTGACGGTGCGCCATCGGTACGTGTCGTGGGCGTGCTCGGGCGACCTGCGCAATACCATGCTTTTGTGACGATGCCGCTGCAATCACTAAGAATGGATGGGTTCCATTGCACGAAATCAGCGACGCTGAAGCTGCCGAACATGCGTGCGATTAAGGCGCATGTGTCACCAGGGGTAGTTTGGTACCAACGTGCGCAATCGCTAGGCGACCCGGCAGGAATGCTGCCTGTAGTAGGTTTAGTCGTCTGGTGTGCCGGCAACGGAAGGTCATTATCAGAGTATGCGCCGACGCAATAGTATGTGTCGAGCCACATTCCCAGGCAATTGCCATCAAGAGCTGGATTCCACGACAGAAACTGCTGTTGCGAGAAGTAACCGTATAAGCTGACAAGGTCGTTGCAGTTTTGATTTGCTTCAGCTTTGTGGAATGCCTTGCAGTTGGTAGGCATAGGTCCCTGAGAAGGCGTCGGCGCGAAGCTCGAATCAGCCGTGGGCAACGTCACAGATGTATACTCCGTGGGCTCGGGAGGCTCAGTGAACTCAGGCTGAGCCGTCTCCCATTCGAGATCCGTATTGTATTGCTGCTGCTGGACGCCGACGCATAGCCAATAGTCGGCAATAAGCATTTCACAGTCCTCCTTGGCGGCGGGGTTCCAGCCCAAGAAAATTTCGATAGACTGGAAGCCGTACTTGTTCATCAGCCGTTGACATGTGTCGCCAGGCATCACACGATGCCACGCATTGCAGATTGTTGTCTGAACCGCGAGCGTCTTGGTAGGCGGCCACGTCCTGTCAGTACTCGTTGCCGACACATTCCACGAGGTGACGGGATGCAAGGTTGAGTAGGTTGAGTTGAACGAAGAGGTGGGGATGATGGATGATGTTGTTGCCTTCGATGCCGAGGTGATGGTCGTCTGGGATACGGACCTTGAACTAGAAATGCTAGTCCCGGATGTGGATGAGGTTGTCGGTGGTTTGGAGCTGCTCTGTCCAACCCTCACGCAGTAGGCCGATTCCAACCAGAAGTTGTTGAGGCAGTCGGAGGACACGGCTGGGTTCCAGGCGAGGAATTGCTTGAACGAGATGCCATATTTCTGGGGCACGCTCTGGCAGGTATCGCCCTTAACAATGGTGTGCCATCCATTGCAGTTCTCGGGTTGACCTGGATGGACTGCGCCGCCAGGACTAGAGTCTTGAGCAAAAATGACTGGAATTATGAGGCCAGCAGCGAACCAAGCTTTTGTTTGGATGGGAAGTCGCATAATGTGTACTGAAAGAACGGCTTGGTGAAAGTTGAGCAACGAAGCTTGTTGGAAACCTCAGTATGGCCAATTCCTAACAGACCAGACTCGGCGTGATAAAATCACGAAGACAACTGCACACACCACGGTAGGTTGGGTGCAAGTGGGTGGCTTTACTAAAGAGTGGGATTAGAGGACAAACCTGATAGCTTCAGACAAGAGAAGACAGGAGCGAAAGCGCAGACTCGAAATCGGGATTCAGTCTGCCCGACGCCCTAACACACATGAGTCTGACAATCCAATATCTGAGTCGCCTAATAACGATCAAGACCCGTGCATGGCGATGCATCCAGACAATCTTGGCAGCAATCAAGATACTAGCACTTGACCACGCCTCTGGTCACGCTAATGCAGCCGACATCAACTGCAGGGACCCGCAAGATTTGAAGACAGGGCTTGGCAAAATAAGGGTGTTATAAGGCTGACTACAGGTGCCACCCTCTATCCGGGTCAGCAACCGGATTCGTACTAAAACTTAAAATTTGGTAGTCATGGGTCGATGTAGGGAGATTGCATACCTCCATCAAGAAACAAACGTAAGCTCGTGTAATGGGGCGTTGTAATACATAGGTAAGCAAGCTGGGGCCAGAACCAGGAGACGGACACCGCCGACATGCCCATGGATTTTAGCTTTCTCTGCCTGACCATAACAACTTGGATCCGAGAGTGGTTTTCCTGATCGGTTCCGAGGCACTATCAACCTGCCGTCGAACACCACTTACCCGTCAAGTCACTCCCTTGAACACCTCAACCACGTATCGATCGTTTGGTTTACTCATTCACCATGTACCTTTCTCCTATCTTTATCATTAGCTTCTTGCTGGCCAGTGCCGAATTTGTCCTCGGCGGCAGCAGATTCTTTGAAGCAAAAGCCCCAAACAAGCGGACGAATCCTAGCCCAAACTATGTGACCACGGAAACGCTCAACGCGACATCGCAACTTGCCAGACGCGGTATATCGATCAAAAACCTCCCGGGAGACGACGGAGCGCCACGCCTATGGCCGAACAGGAAGATCAGATATTGTTATGACGATAAAGATCCTGACGCCGTAGTACGAGGACTCTGTCACCAAGCTATCGAAGCATGGGCTGTCCTCAGAGATCAGCACGGTTTCTCTTATGAGGAAGTTACAGACGCTGAATGCGAATCGCAGCGGAAGACCGTCCTGCGTATCTACTACAATTCCGAAGGCAGGCTCGCATCGACGCTAGGCATACCCCCAATCAATGAAGCAGCCAACAGAAAAGACCCTGAGAATGCCATCGAAGGGCCTCTTTCTCATCTTTCCGATATGGAAGGTATCGGCCAAGACGATATTACCGCCAACGTTGCTCATGAGCTCGGTCACGTATGGGGTCTTTACCATGAGCATCAAAATCCTCACTACTGGAAAGTAACCTCTGGAGACGTTGGCTGGAGTTTCCCCACGAAAACTGATGCCGATGTCCGCTTCCAGACTAACAAGTTCAATTGCCAGAACCTCAAAGACTATGACGTAGCTCGTGCAAGGGTGCAGGAAAAAATTGATAAAATGGTGGAGGAGATTGCTAAGTTACAAGACCAGGAAAAGATAAAGCAGAAGACAAAGGAGAAGGGCGACCTAGAGACCGAGCTTTCACGCCTTTGCGTCTCTCAGGTCGTTGCCGCCAAACACAGATTCAGTGCTGCCGAGTGGATCCCTCTGGCAAACACTGTCAACGTGGAAATGGATGACCAATTCGACCCGGATTCGCTCATGATGTACCCATCCGGTGCAGGTGGCAAAGGTCTTTCCGACGACCGTCTTGTTGTCATGAGCTACCAAGATGGAAGCCCCATTCCGAATCGCCTGGCTCCCTCTGCAATGGACTATTCCCGGCTGATCGCGCTTTATGGCACGACGGCTGCCACGACGCCGGGTACGGTGCATACCTCAAAGTCGAGTAAATTGAGAAACCTCTTCAAAAGCAGCAGGAATAAGAACAAACGTGCCGGTGACACTGCAGCTGGACTATGCTGAGGGAAGGGGCGGGGAACACATGTAAAAGCACGAGTCACTGGGATTTTATATCTATCTATTAGGTTCTAGCAATATTATCTGATGCAACAAGTCTCAAGAGTCCAGTGTACACATCACGATGAGCTGAAAGCTTTTCCATGTAAGCCAGACTCATCTCCAATTTTCCCATCCGAAAGTAAAGCTCAAAGTTTGATCTCGTGATTATTTCTTAGTACTGTTCGCTTCACCACATACTGGGAGATGAGTTACAATATGCTCTCACCGCAAGGTAACACATTTCATGCTTCTTGAAATTTGATTTGCAATATCAAGAATATAGAGTTGTTATCTACAATTCTGATTTATCAGGAATGTTGCCACACTCGAAGTAATACCTCGGCGAATATGTGGGTAGCTCAGGTCGTTGAATGTTCTCTCCAAGAGCTTTGGTGAGCGAGCCATCATCTAAATCTATAGCCCAGACCATGGTCCTAATGCGTAGTTAGTAAATGAAGAGTATTAAACAGCGAGCAGTGGTAGTTCTTACCCTCCTAGACAATGCTGATTAGCAAAATCAACCTTCATTCCCAGCGTCTTAGTATCGTCAAAAGATACCCACTGGTCCGAGTCCCAGGTGACAATCTGCACGGCGGCCTCTTCATCGTACGTGATTTTGGCGCCGTTTTTGATGATCTCATTGATCTCACCTGCCGATAAAACGCCAGGCGTTCCAGTGCAGGAGCCACCATTCGCGCCTTCGGAAAATTCGCAGCCGGCCTCCATGCACCCAGGATCTTTCATCGTGAAGCTACGTCCGTAAAAGCCAAGTCCAAGTGTAACGCGTTCTGGGTTGATATTGTTGCGCCATAGGAGCTCGAGACCCATCTTGATCTCGGTCAGGTTTGTATGTGCCTGAGCATAAGGGCCAGGGCTGTCAATCTTGGCATCCCAGACGCCGTGGATGTCGTAGGTCATCACGTTGAACCAGTCGAGATACGGCTCCATCTCTTGAAGATTGAAACCTCGAAGATACCAGTAAGAAGCGGGCTGTTAAGGTTAGCCACGAATGGCCAGGAGGTGAAGCAGGTTGTGCCGCTTACGAGGGTTAGACTGATGCCATACTCCTTTCCGGATGCATTCAAGCGGGCTCTCAGACGCCTAAGAAGATTGACGTAATTGTCAAAGTCCTCGGGGATACCGCCGCGGTCTTCCGCTACGGGGCTAGAGTGTGTGCGTCAGCTCTTAGAACAGGCTTAATACTATGAAGGCTTCATCACTTACTACTCCCAGTCTAAGTCAACGCCATCCATATCATACTTTCCCAAGAACGTTAGCAGCGAGTCAAAAAAATTGTCGTGATTAGCTTCGTTGCCGGCCATGTCGGAGAAGGCCGTTCGATATGGGCCAGGATCATTCAAAGCCCAACCACCAACTGCAATCCAAATTTTGAGATCTGGCTGCTTTTCCTTGAGCGCTGCGACCCTGCCATAACGCGATCCGGTTCCGGAATCCATGTCCTCGATGTGAAACGTCTTGGGGTTAATAAGAGCAAAGGCGAAGTTGATGTGCGTCCAGTGGCCTAAGGAAATCTTCTCAGGCTCCATGTTGCCACACGGGCGCTGATAGTTCCAGCCCTCATAGTATCCGATGGTGCGACCGTCAGAAGTCCGCTGCGAGACGTCGCATTGAGGTTGTGCCACAGGATTGGGACCACAGAAGTCGACTGTCGTGCCGCAGAAGCCGTGCTTGCTGCAGCACACATTGAGCGGGCAAGTGGTCATGTTGGCATACTGCTCGCCCCAACCACCGCCATCACACTCGGACTTTCGCTTGCAGTCGCTTGTGCAATCATTGCCACAGAAGGTAGGACCGAAGCCACAAGCACCAGTGCCGGTGTCATCACTAACGACACGTTAGAATTATGACTATGCGCACCTGCCGAGAAGCCTAACTTACAGAGGCCCGCAACATCCCAAATCGCAGCGTTTCTTTGCGGTGCACGTATAGTCAGGAGGATCGTTCACGGCCTGGAGAAGTAACTCTCTAGCCTCAGTCGTCGTTTCCTGACCTGCAACATTTTCCATGAGCAGCTTCGTTTCTGCCTGTCCAGAAAAGGTGCTTAGATCAATTGCATTCACGCTCAAGAAAAGACCTAAGCCTAGGCTTAGGCGTTGGAGAGCTCGAAAGGTCATGATGATGGCAAAGGATGTCTGCGTAACGCCCACGCAGTAAGAAGCAAGACGTAAAACAACACGACAGATTGTAGAGAAAAGCAGGATCGTCAAACCTAACAGAAAAACGAGAGTCCCGGGCGAGAGGGCAAAGGGTAGACCGAAACTCCGATCTTGTCAAGTTCTCGAACGATAATGGAAGTGTTCTGGTCAGCAAATTTCACTCGAAAGTTTCAGTATACACCACCCCCAATTCGCCTTGGCATGAGAAAATCCACAGTACAATACTAGGGGTGATTCACCTCATGACCACTATCTCTAGGCACGGCTTATGCCAAGGTGACTGGATAACGAGGCTGAGTTCATCCAGGCCGGCACATGGAGGGGCGACTAGGGGTTCTGCAGGAACCAAACGGCAAATGTAAGACGGGGTAACAGGTACAACCGGGGTGGGGGTTCTTCGAGGGTCTCGCTTCGCTACAGTCACCGTATCTGGGTAGTCGCCGATGTAGGTACGCCCCACGCCCGGTTGCCTTCTTAGGTAAGAAAGTAGCTACCTGCACATCATGGTCTGGGCCGCATATTCTACAAATCTGAACTGACGGCGTTACTTGGCATCAGACTCGGAAAAGGGAGATTCAAACTTTGTCCACCTATTCCGATGGCGAAAAGTGTTTGCTGACCATGATTGTAAGCGATGTGTATTGGCTAACTCTTGGCTCAGACTCCCGGGCGTATTCTGAGTAACACAACACTATCGTTAGAGTTTTTACGGTCTTGATATTGGGGGTCTTAAGAGCTCCTCCAAATTACTCTCTGATCACCCAGTCCAAGGGTCTTCGCACTCTTTGTCACATTCCGTCAACTTTCTATTTTGCGTCTTTGCCTCTACTGGCACATTACTGTACTATTTCCCTTTGCAGAAATTCGACCGTATCTACTTGACTCGAACTGATCATTCATGTCGCTCATTTTGGCCTTGTCATACTAGCTATCATGATTCTCGAGTCACTGGCGGGCTTCTTAGCCCTGCTCAGCGTGGTTCATGGCCATGTGCCCCAACCTCGCGCAAAGTTTGTTTTTCCTGACAATCGTCCCTCATTCTCAAGCTCATCTCCTCTGGTGAAACGAGATGATGACCCCAGCAACATGGAATGGATCAAGCGATGGGCAGCTATCGGTGACAGCTACACGGCTGGAATCGGTGCTGGACGGCTGGAATCGGTGCTGGACGGCTGGAATCGGTGCTGGACGGCCTCTTGGTCACCGGATCACTGCGGATGAAGTGGCTATCAGAGTTCCTGACGGCCTCGAGGAAATCCGCGACAACTTCAAGTGCTCTCGGTATGATATGGCATATCCAAAAGTTATCGAGGCGCAGTTTGGTGCCCACGTCGAGAAAGATGGCGGCTTCCAGTATCTCGCTTGCAGCGGCGATCGTTCTGAACAGATATACCAGCAGGCTAAGGCCCTGAAGGGTAATCTCGACTTTGTCACATTTACGTCTGGTGGGAACGATCTATGTCTGGCCGGAATCATCAAGGACTGCATAATGGTACCTTACTTTAAGAACAGCGCCTGTGAAACGGTTCTCGCAAAAGCTCAAGAGAATGTCAAATCCATCATCACGGATAACATCAAGCAGATTCTGGGTGCGCTCAATGACAAGGTGAACAAAGACGGCATAGTTGTAGTCAACGGCTACGCTCAATTCTTCGACACATCGTCGAACAACTGTGAAGAGCAGTCGTGGGACATCCTCTGGTTGTAAGTGTGCTTCCATAGGGTGAATGTGAGACCAAACTGACTCCATCTTCAGCCTTCCGTTAGGCGCCTCATATCAGGCACTCACGATCTCTCGTCGTAAGACATTCAACCAGCTGGTGCTAGACATCAATAAAGCCATCCGAGATGCTGTAGATGAGGCTGCAAAAGACGATGATATCAAGTACATGGTCGGTTACTCCGAGTGGGACCACTGGGTTGCGGAAGAGCTCGATGCCCAGATGTGTTCGCCAAGTAGCAATGGCGACTACCCAGACAAGAACCAGGCGGACATGCACTTCATCAAGCCAGACACACATCCCTGGTGGAATTGGGGAAATGATGTCGGCAGAGACGAGCTGCGCAAGCGTGACATGGATCTTGAGGAATTAATGAGCTCGACTAGGCTTTCTGACTCACAGAAACGCCAAGTCAACCGCCTTAAAGCTGTCATGGAGGCCTGTGATAGGAACATCGAGGCCACGCTCTATGACTCGATTCTCTACAAGTCACCCAGTCCCAATGCTGCCGTCAAGCACAAGCTCAATCCCCGAGATCCCGCACCGCCAGGCTGCCCAGGAGATGGCGGCGCGGACATGACTTTTGGCCTGGGCATGCCAGACCATATAGGAGAAAACGTGAGCATTTCTTGCCCCCAAGCACCACATCTTCGGTTCATTCTAGCTCACACCCGCAGTTCCACCCCAATGAAGCCGGTCACCTAAGTATAGCATCCTTCGCGCTCGCTGAACTTATGGACCTACGTTCTATCAAGCTTGGCGTCGACTCACCGTCCTGCGCCATCAAAGACGAGTTTACATGTTTCTCCAGCACCGACAGCAAGTACTACGTCAGCGGTAACCGCACCAACGAGAACTACAAGGAGTTTTGCCAAGAGGTCGCTGACAAGCACCCCTCCAATACAATCAATTGGAGCTACAGCACGCCTTATGACAAAGGTACTCCCGAGGAGCACGACTACGTCGTCACGCTCGGCAACGGCGTCTCGGCATTTGACAAGGATCAATGTGAGGAGAGCATGAAGAAGATTATCAATTCGTGCGACACGTCTGACAACCCGATGAACTGGAAAGGCGGAGGCCGTTACATCCGTAGCGAAGGAGACTACAAGTACGAGCTCAACCCTAGACGCTCCAATCGTCCTTGGCCACCGCCCAAGAACCCATACGGCCGTTGTGAGGGTTGGTACAAAGTCTTCTTTTCCCAATACGAGGTCGAGGGCGCCGGCTTCTCTACGCTAGACTATGGGCAGAAGTCCATGATGCCGAATATGGATAGCTGCTATGGGTTGGGGACGACGGCGTGGAAGTTTGATTACCATGATAATCCGGGGGATCATAACGGGTATGAGTGGAAGGCGTCCTTCAATACGCCGATCTGGGTGAGGGCAAGGTGTTGGAAGAATAATAAGGTTGTTCAGGCGGCAGGTGGGTGGACGGATGGATGCGCGGGGAATGATGCGTAGGAGAGGTTTGGGGTCGAATGGCAAGAGTATATACAGCAAGTTTGCTAGCCGTAGCGTCGAGTATGGCTGACTTTGGGTATAGTAAGTAGATGTCAGCAGCAATAACAGTACTGTGTGTAAAGTTCCAACAACGCCGTCATTACCGCTTCCTACGAACGCTTGAAAAAAACTGAACTAGTAGGGGACGAAAGCTAAGGGCTTCACGAATGTGAAGGGGTGACTATCTGCTGAAGGTACACAGCGTTAGCTCAATTGAGCCTCCTTCCGATTGGATAACCTCGTATTTGCACAGCGTGCCTATTGGTTTGCTCAGCCCCCAATATGAGTACCTAATTAGATAGTTTGGTAGTAGTACCAGACGCGATATCAAGCACAACGACAGTGATCTTTCCAAATAGTATGACCTCGCTAGGCTGAAGGTTAAATCTGCTGCAAGTATGCGGGGCTCAGCGATGTGTTAGCTAGGAAGCGCGAGGATTTGCTACTCCGCACCTGGCAGGCATCTTACAGGCACTGCAATGACTTCTCGCTAATGGGTTTTCAACTGCGAATCCCACCCCAATATCATTGAGAATTATATTTCGCCCCAATTTGAACATGTAAGTCTACAGCTATTGATCCTTTCAGACCAAGAACTCATAAGACTCTTCTATGACCTATGATGAAGAATCAGTACGATGTTGTAGTCGTCGGGTCTGGCGCAGCAGGACTCTCCGCCGCTATACGTGCACACGATCTAGGACTCTGCGTCATAGTTTTTGAAACATACAACAAACCTCGGCGGCTTGACAGCCTTCTCAACATTTGATGACACACGCCGGTATCGACGATACACTCGAAGAAACACGCGCATACGTCAAAGCGCTCAACGACGACCCTTCTAAGTTAGATGAACAGTTGCTAGGTCAGTGGGTCAATGAGGCACCACGTATTCTAGAGCATCTGGAGCGATGCGAAGCTGTGAAGTGGGAAATAATTCGAGATTTCCCGGATGAATACCAACTGCGGAGATTTTGTTGAGACAGCGATTAGCTGGTTGGATCCGGAGTTTGCTGATCAGCTCGAGGTCCCTCTCGCGCCGGCAATGCAAAGATAATCGCAAATTCTACGAGAAGATCACTGTGGCTTGGGGTTGGTCGAATGTGTGTTCAACGACATTGCATAGGAGTTCCATGAACGGAAGCTTGGACAGAGGGTTAGAATTTTATTACACGACAGGCCAGTGTAAGAGAAACGTACATATGTCCCTTGGAGTAGGTAGCAAAATGATTTCCAGAGAACTGGCTCGAATTGCATCTCGGGGTGTTGAAGCGTGTGTACCAAATCTTCGAGACTGTGATGGCTAACATCGTTGGAGCCACGGTCAACGATCCATGAAACCCACTCCCCATCGACACATTCGCAGACGTACCGCCAAATCGGAATTGAGTCGGGGTCCCTATTAGTACCCGCTGAAGCTTTCATTGGTTTTGAGGCCTTAAGCAGATTCAGAAGCGCACAGATTTCTTCGTGACGTATGGATCCCTCAGTTGCTTGAGAGGAAGAGCTTGTGAGAGTGTGTGCGACAGCGAGCATTTCCTCTCGTGTATAGCCCCATTTAGATTGCGTTTTAATCTTCTTCCTCACCATGATAGAAATCATTACATCTAGCAGATCCCTATCGTCATCCTCGTTACGTTGTTGGGTGTTAATCTCAGAAGTATCCTCGGACTGTGGAATGGCCATGCTTCGGAGGAAGACTCGAATATCATCGCTGCAAAGCCGAGGTCTGGTGACTAATTCTTCTTGAAATTCGTACTTGTAGCTTCGCCTTAGCAACAAAGCTTGCCCTTGCTCAGAAATCATCTGTGTCCCACGCAGGAAGACTTCACAGCTCATTCTTACTTGAGTCTTTGGGTGGAAAGGAAAACTACCGTAATAGATGATGGTTCGGAAGAGTAGCGGCGTCTTCAATAAGGCTTTCCTTACCCGGATGGCGCGACAAAAGAAATCGAATGAATGTCTCGGATGTCCAGTCTAATGTGTTTAGCGGTCTGATTGGCGCGGTACGCGAGGATACGTACAGCAATCATAGGTTTGAGGTTTCTCGGTCGCGTTCATGTAGAGTATCGTGCGGCGATACTCAAGGAGAGGGACTGCATATTCATAAAGTAACTCTAGGAGCTCATGTTCAAGATGCGCTTTAAAGAGTGAGTCTATAAGCACCGAACAGAAGAGATGAACGCGTAGTGTGTGTGTATGTGTGTGTGTGTAAAAATGTCCGTTATGACTGCCGGGATTACCGGGATGCTTCTGCGGCTCCTGCGTTGAAGGAAAGAATGATCAGATGTACTAGAGGTGGTAAGTACTGTTGATGGAATAGTTTTTGGGCCAGGCACGTGACTATTGATAACGCCCATTGTCACGTCTATATATGTGCTTCAGTAGTAGTGTTGAGAATGTGATAATGGCAGAGATACGGCTCGCAAGACATTGCCCCGCTTAGTCATCTGGCTAGTCTGACCTGACGTCATGCTAGAATCTAGGTGAGGTGCATGGGAGGCACAGTCGACATTTTTGGGTTTCCTCCCTGTGCAGGCTTGTTACTTTGAATACTTTATTGATTAATTGACCAATCAATTGCCACGTCCTCATGTACATGAGACTCCGTGCCCCAGTGACATGCGACCCTATGAGATGGAGTCATATGACTTGGGACTATAGAGCCATAGAGCTGCTCGCTCTGGATTGGGGATGGTTGAAATGGCTGAATGCGCGCGTGCCGACCGCTAAAATCCCAACGACCCCAACCAAGCGCTAAACTCGTGGCTAGCGGTGAGCTGTGACTCATCGTCATCCATCTTATCATCCAGACACTCACCTTGAGTCTGCGTCTTCAAAAAAAAAAACGCAGTAACTCACGTTACTGACTGTCTCAGCTCGATCTCTATTCACGGGCTGAGGTGATTTGGTCTTTCTCGCACGGATGCGCTTAGTCAGTCACCAGGCAGCAGTACATTGCCGAGCTTTTATAACAACGTCGAATGCCTCAGCATTCAATACAAAGTCCCACTGGGCCCTCTCACGCCGACTCAGTTAGGCACACAGCACTTCGCACGCTGGGAAAGCACATATTTGAAACTATGATTCCACCTTAGAGCCTAGTAAGTCATAATTGCTCCTACTACCTGATTACATTCGGTGCTTATAGAACTTTGTAGCAACCTCAATGCTTCACTTATCAAATGAACTACTTCTCGAGATCGTAGAGGCCCTAGAATCAGACGCAGATATCAACGCCTTTGCACAGTCCAATCGCCGCCTCTACAATCTCGCCAATACTTACCTCTATCGTCACAATGTGCAAGAGTGCCAGAGTTCAGGAATCCGAGGGGCTGCACAGAGAGGCCAAATCACAGCGGTCGAACGGCTCTTAAACGAGGGAGCTAATGTGCACGCTAGATCTGACGATGACCGCGATTATGATGCAATGTTTCTGGCGTCCAAAAATGGACATCAAGACGTCGTCGAGCTACTCTTATCACGAGGCGCCAAGGTAGACGACGGCCCGGTATTTGAGCCCATCGAAGGCTCGACGACCGGTCGTCGTTTCTGGCGGAGCACCAGGAGATGGGGCAATGCGCTCCACACAGCTGCGCGGAACCGCCACGAAGCAATCGTGAAGCTGCTGCTTGCCAAAGGAGCCGATCCCAATTCTAAAAATGGCTCCTGGGGTGACCCAATCGGTGCGGCAGCATATGGAGGTAGCGAAGCGATCATACAGTTACTGATTGATCATGGAGCGAAAGTCACTACGTACACGGGACATTACGGGAAGGCTCTTCAGACGGCTGCCGATAAGGGGCATGTGGGCGCCGCAAAAGTGCTACTGGAAAATGGTGCAGAGATCAACTTCGATGCCAGACAATACGGCAATCCAATCCAGCCAGCTGCGTCTAATGGCCACGAGGCAATGGTACGGTTTCTGATCGACAACGGCGCCAATATCAACATGGAAAGCATGTACTACGGCAACGCGCTCCACGCAGCTTCTACCTCCGGACACGAAGCCATCGTAAAGCTGCTCCTCGAAAAGGGTGCCGACATCAAGCTCGGCTCTCCGCTCCAGGCAGCTTCCAACGGAGGCCACAAAGCCATCATAAACATCCTCCTTGACAACGGCGCCAACGTCAACGCCAACAGCGGCTATTACGGAACAGCACTTCAAGCAGCCGCTCAAGAAGGACACGAGGATATCGTAAACCTCCTCCTCAGCAAAGGCGCAGACGTCAATATCTGTGGCGGATTCTTTGGCAACGCACACCAGGGAGCGGTCGAGCGATGCCACGATGCTATCGCCGAGCTGTTACTCGAGAAGGGCGCTATTGTTAATCCATTCGGAGGAAGTTTTTGCGAGCCAAATGTTTGCATTAGAAGGGGCTGCGAGGTGTGTTATTCTTGTGCTCCACAACGAGATCCCAGTCGTACGGGCGATTGGCGTTTTTGGCAATACGACTGAGGCTTGGGCATCGTGAAAGGGTTGTATTGCTCGAAATTACTATCTATCAAGGGCGCAGAAGGCAGGTGGAAGAGACTCAATCATTCTGCGCGACAGCATCCGGCATCCGTAGACGGCATCATTGAAGAAGAGATCGCTATAGTATGATATGAGCAAATTGCTGCCGCGTGTTTCCTAGATGAGATGGCAGTGACGAGGTGTGTCAACGAATGTAATAACGTCAATTACATCTGTCGTTCATAGATGATGGAGTTGTGAAAGTGCATCGTCGGGATATCTCCTAGGCGCACGAAAGGCTATGGGCTTCTGCCTTTCGCGATTGACCGTCAACTGGAAGACATCATGCCTTTGGTACCCACCTACAACGTCATGAAATTGTTTGCCTTCCACGCAGTCCGACAGATCAAGATCAGCGTACAGTATCCCTTCTTCTCGCTGCAGAAACTCGGTCTCTTCTCGTATACCAGTGGCACTGTCCACAGTATAGCCAGAGATCGGCGCGCCAGTAGGGTCTAAGAACATCGTCGCTCCCCTTTGAGCACCCCTAAGTACCTTTTTGATATCGCCCGCATCAGGAACTCCGGCGGCGATCGTTTCAATCGCGTGCTCGTCCAGAAAGCCTGAGCAGAGAACACCAAATGCCTTTGCTTCGAAACAGTGAGCAGCAGCTCTTGTACGGTTTGCAGCAACATTGTCGTAGTCTTTACCCTTGTCGCTTTCTCCACTGGTGTTACCCGCCACACGCGTGGGCCACACAGCCGGCCATGTAGAGATATGCAATTGCTCCCCCTGAGCCATAAGCGCGTATCTTGCTAACGGGTTGGTGTTTTCGCCGCAAATCAGTGCTCCGATCTTTCCAAAAGGTGTATCTGTAACCTGGAGACCGTGTCCATCGCCCGGTGCCCACGTTAACTTCTCGAAGAAGGTCGGTACCAGCTTGCGGTGATGATTCAGCACCGCACCATCTGGACCAATGAGCAGGTTTGAGTTGAAGAGACATCCCACGCTGTAGCGCACTTTCTCAGAGATGCCGATGCTCACGTAAGTTTTCAGTTCTCGGGCAGCAGCTTGAACCGCTTGCACTTCGTCGCCGTCAGCGTATATTGACTGCTCGGCCATCTTTGTGAACAACGCGTGATTGTGCGTTGGGGGCCGAAGCGCACTCCATATCGGGAACGCCGGTATGTATGTCTCCGGGAACACAACGAAGCTGGCATGATTGTGAGATGCGCGTTGGATGAGAGATATCGCTTTTTGGGTGGTTTTCCGAGCGGAGAGGAAGACAGGCGCAGCATGACAGGCCGCAACTTTGATTGTTCCTGCCATTGTGGCCGTGTTTGGGACTCTCCAACTAGACCAAGGTTGGTATTTGTTCGCTGCAGCCGTATCTTCTAGTTTGTAACTCAGCCGATAATCACGATAGCGACAGTGATGACGCTTCACATGTATTCTACCTATGCAAGATATATGCGAAGCGAGTGTACGAAGTGAGGGAGAGCGGTTATGGCGGAACGTGCGGGAAGAGGCCCCGCCCTGGTATCGCTACTCCGCGAGTAAGTTCTCAGCGACACTAATGGGGCACAAACGCATCCCCGCACGCTATCTTAACCTGTCCCTACTTGCAAATGACATCCGGCCGACAAAGCGCACCTTGCAGGGCCTCAATTGAACGACTTTGAAGGATGTTGACCAGCCCCCTCCGTTGCGTGCAGGTCTGGTTGGGACAGACAACGACGTAGTGCCACGGGCCAAAACAATACCACCTTTGTATTCCCCTCACCGGGATGACGATGCAGGACTACAGCATCAATATCAACTCCAATGATGTACCACTTTTTTTAACACGGATTGAGCGAGATTGTGTGCTTTCGCGCAAGGCACAGTTCGCGGGCACGTTCCAATCTATGCAGCTTATCGATTCCATTTGTGATTTATTTCCAGCGAACGCGATGCGGCACAGCAAAGAAGTGACGTGGAAGTTGGAACGCGGCGAAGCAAGTAGATGCAGGGGCACCGAAAGTAACAATGCGGCTCAGCACCAGGCTGGTCTCTTGCCACGCCTAGAGCAAGTCGCTCTTGACCTTCGTCGGGCGCTGGTCTGTTCTACAACCAGTGTCGCGATATTCGACTCCCGGAACTGACACCACTGCCGCGCACGCTGTCCACGATGTTCTCCGTGTTCATGGCTCTCTCTCTGCCTCTCATTCTCTTTTTTTGTACCACCGTTTGGAGCCTCTTCCGCAACTATCGTATCGCTCGCCAAGTCGGTCTTCCGATCATCATCGTACCGATCAGCCCCGAGAATCCAGTGTGGATGCTCCTGGCTCGCTACATGCTCCCCATACTTCAATACGTCCCTTTCGGAAATGGCCACTTCTCTCGATTCTGCCACATCGGCTGGGAATTTGACGAAAAAGCTCGCGCTCATATCGAATTTGGCGATGCTTTCATGTTCGCGACCCCAGGGAAGAATTGGATCTACCTATGCGATGCGGATGCGGTGCATGATATCATAAAGAGGGAACGACAAGGAGAGTTTGCTCGTCCCGTAGAGCTCTTGGCCATGCTAGACGTGTTTGGGCCAAACATATCTACCATGAATGGCCCTGACTGGCAGCGACAACGAAAATGCACGGCTGCGAGCTTCAACGAACAGAGTAATCTCTTGGTGTGGAAGGAGTCTCTACGCCAGGGACAGCAGTTGCTCCAATACTGGAAAGACAACTCTGACGTGGACGGTCCTTCTACTATGGCCAAAGATACCAGAACATTGACCCTAGACGTACTCGTCCACGTAGCTTTTGGGAAGTCTTTCGACTTCTACGGAGCACGTGAGAAGAGAGCAACCTCTGGCCCCCTCAGCTATCGAGACGCTTTGGCGCTCCTTCTTGAGAATGCCATATTGATTTTTGCCTTGGGACCACAAACCTTGAGGAAACTCGCTTTTGTGCCACAGCTTCGCCGGTTGAGCAACGCTGCAGAACAGTTCAGACAATACATGTTGGACATGTTCGAAGAGCAGGCACAGCATGTCCAAGAGGAAAAGGCCCAAGGCAATCTCATCATGTCACTCGTGCGGGCTTCGAAGGATGACAAGATCATAACCCAGGACGAAGTGATTGGGAACATCTTCGTGTTCAATTTTGCGGGCCATGACACCACATCGCATTCTTTCGCATTCACCTTCATGCTTTTGGCGGCGAACCCTGAAGTTCAAGAATGGATGGCTGAAGAGATTCGACACGTCGTGGGAAATTTGGATATCTTGAGAGCCGACTACAGCATGTTTCCGAAGCTTGTTCGGACTCTAGCTGTCTTGGTGAGTCATGTGCGAAGACGAGGTGGCATATTGTTGACATCAAGTAGCTTGAAACACTACGATTGTACGAACCACTCCTCAGCATCGTAAAAGGCACCGCGGATCAAGCCGCTCCCCTCACTGTTCGGGGGAAGACCGTGACTGTACCGCCTCACACCCGCGTGGTCCTAAACGTCAACGCCCTCCATACGCATCCGAGATACTGGGGCGATAACGGCTTGGAATGGAAACCGTCGCGTTGGATTGTAGAAACGTCGGGAAAAGGTCCGGTGCATGACCGCGAGCAGATACTAATGTTGGCGGAAGGTGTTCCGCACGCAGCTGGTAGGAGCTACCCTATTAGCTTAGCCTATATAGGCACTTCCCGCCACCCAACCAATTCATCACTCTTACACTCAACTTTATGTTTCCTGTACGTTTTAAGCCTACTTTTAATAGGTTATAAGCCTAGCGCTCCACTGCCTTTACTCTACTAAGCATTAATTCACGCTCTATAAATAGCTGCATAACTACTACTGCTTTGCTACCTACCTGCGTTACTAGCTCTCTCCCTACACCGCTGCACTTAGCTGCTAGATTAATTACTATAATAAATAGCTACTATTACAGCAGCTAAACTGCGTAGTCTAAAAACCACTTTTAATAGCGTCTACCGCTATTGCTATCGCCACTAGCGGTTCTATTAATAATTAATTATCCGCTATTATTAAGGACCTTGTCGACGCCTACCTAATTAATTAAGTTATACGCTAATACCTACTTACTATATTAACCTTCTCTTTTAAGCTTAATCCTACTTTGCTGCCTAAGCTCTCTACCTATGGCGATAACTTCCCTAAGTATTACTTAGCGTAGACGATAGCCTTCTAATACGTAGGCTTATGGCTAGTTATTTCTAAGAAGAAGCCTAGGCCCACTACACTACCGCTCACTAATGCTAACGCAGCGGCACTAGCGCTCTATAATAAGGCGATAGACGCTTAGAATACTAATAACACTAAGGCGCTAGTTATAATACTCTTATCTATTTATAATAACCTAACGCAGTAGGTTGCTAACTATAAGACTTTACCTATAGCATAGGACTATCTTACTAGCTACTTTAATTATAATATAGGCTAATTATCTATCTTACTTTTCTAGAGCCTTACAAATCTCTATTATTATAATAGTAATAACCTGCGCCTCCACCTTAATAAATTCTATTAGTAGTAGACCCATATAGCTAAATGTTTAGTATTATTAACTTAGCCTATAGCTATCGCCATAAGGGCTATATTTAATAATAATAATATTAAAGGCTCTTTCTTTCTAGCGACTTTGCCTAATACTATAGATAATATTATTAATAACCTAGCTACCCGCTAGCTTATAGCTTTCTAGGATATTAAACTAAAGATCCTAGATATTAGCGAGAAATACTTACTTAATATTACTAACTTATTAATAGTATATACTATTTAATAAATAGCTACCTACTAGATAGCTATATAATTATAGTAAACTACGTAGTCTAGCTAAAAGACCTTTTTACCTACTACTAATAAGTATACCTAGTATTAGAAATATAACCTAACGTTTATTAGCCACGTCTATACTAACTATAATAAGCTCCACTAACATAAGGAGTAGTAGTAGTAGAAGAAGAATCCGCTAAAGGGTAATACCTATAGTAGGCCGCATAGTAAGCGCTAGAAAGGAAACTTAGCTAAAGCCGTTACTAGTAAGTTAGACGATAATAACTTAATTACTAAGGTTAATAGATTTATTACTAGTATTATTAATTTAAGTACACTGCCTTTAACGCCGTCTATTACTCTACTATAAATTAACATAAATAGAAAGCACTCCTATAAATATATAAGTGCCTACGCTATTTTACTTTATTAACTAACTATAGGCTTTAATTTATCTACTTTATAGCTATTTAACACTAGTGCTTTGCGCTATATATCTGGCTATATTAATAACTTTACTGCGCTCTTACTAGGGCAAGGAATAATTATAATAGTAGGCAGTATTAAGCTGCCTATTAAAGGTATTAAAATAATACGTCTATAATGTTGGCTCCCTAATAGATTAATAAGTATTACTAAACTAACTAATACCCTCTATTCTAGTAAGCTTTACCGTACCTGCCTATTCTCCTAGGTATATATCCGAAACTATTATAAACTTACTACTAAAAAGAATAACCTATATCTCTTATAATAGGGTAAGACGCTGCTCTAGGCACGCTACGTAAATGGTATAATATAAATCTAACTTAAACTACTAAGTTACACGAGATTAGCACTAGTGGTTATACTAGTAATTAATTACCCTACTAAAAAGTGCTCCTTACTAATAACCTTAATAATAGGTGCTACCTACTTTAGCTCCTTTAATAAGTTCTATTACGCTATTGGCCACTACCTAATTAATAACCTATAGCGGCTCTATCGTAACGGCCACCTTATCCTAGTAATACCTAATAGATATAAGTGTAAGACTTATACTCTATCTAAATTAAAATACTACTATTTTACCTATAACGTAGTAGCACGTCTATAACTAACTAAACTACTAGAAGTTATATACTTAGACCTATTAGGTAAGTTCTCCTATAAGAGCCTTAATAGCTTATAGTACTATATCTTATTTATTAATAACTATATGCATTTCGCCTAGGTTAAGTTTCTTAAGAAGAAAGTAGACGCTGCTTAGGTAATTACTAACTTTATTAAGTTTACTAAGAAATAATTTAATGGCGGTAAAGTTAAGTATGTTAATACTAACGCTATGCTGTAGTAATTTAAGTTAGATAATAGTAGTAAGTACCTTATCTTAACTATCTAGAAGTACTTTTTACGTAAAGGTATTACTTATTATATAGTGCTACCATACGCCTATAAGCTAAACGGCGTCGCTAAATAATTTAACTAGATAGTTATACAAATGGCTTACTCTATAATTAATAGTAACACTATGCTATTCCTCTGGCCTAAAGCTATTATTACTACTTATTTCCTTATAAACATTACTCCCTACGTATTTAATAAACTATGCTATACGCCTTATAAGTGGCTATTTAATTATAAACTAATAATTAAACACCTCTACCTATTTAGAATTAAGGCATACGTTTATATACCTAAAGAGGCGTATACACCTAACTCTAAGTTACTATACTATATAGAATAAGGCGTCTTTATTAGCTATAGCTATAATACTAAAGTCGCCTATATCTATATACCTAACTAGTATATTATTATTAAGACACGTAACGTTAAGTTCTAATTCTTTATATACTAGAAAGCTCCTACGTATTTTATGCTAGCTACTAATAATAATACTAATCTACTAAACTATGTAGTCTGGCCTACTCTAAATAAGCGACTTAATATCCGCCAGCCTAAGCGTGATCTGGTAAATATAGAGGACCTATAGTTACTATTTAAAACTCCTTTTAAACTACTATCTTTACTAGGACAGACAGCGTCTAATATACCACTACCGCCTATAACTAGGCCCCTAACACCTAGCCTATTACATAGCAGCCTATATTAAGAACGTTAATGCGCTGCTACTACTTACTTATATAACTTATAAGAATCTTTATATTTAGTGGTGCTACTAGTACTACTAGGATCTTTGCGTTTAACGCCTACTTCTAATACCTTAGTAATAACTACCTATTTAGGTTAAATAGTTAAGCCATTACTTAAGGCGTAAGAGTCTTATAACGCTTACGCTATGGAAGAATTAAGAGATCTAATTTTTATAGATAACCTATTAATAATAATAGAGATCTATGTATACGCTACTATTACTATAGATAAAAACCTCCTACGTACGTATATAGAAGCTATAAGTAATATAAACACTCTACTCTAGTAACTACCTATTACTTATGAGACCTACGCTTACGAAATAAATAGCACGTATAATATTATATATATAGAAGATCTACCCTTAGGCGTAAAGCTTATTAGTATACGCTAGGTATTTAATATAAAAAAGAATAAATAAGGTACTATTATTAAGTATAAGGTGCACCTTATTACCTAGGGCTTTTCCTAGTAACCTAGTATTAATTATAATAATACCTATTTACCTATTATACGCTATAATAGCCTATAACTTATTATATGGCTATTACTCTATAAGAACTAGGGACTCTACTAAATGGATTTTAATATAGCATACCTTAATAGCGTGCTTAAGTATATTATATATACTTACTGCCTACTAGGAATTAGTATTAGCGGCTAGGTTCTAAGACTTTAAAAAGTACTTTATAGCCTTAAGTAATTAGGCTATAAATAGTATAAAGTTCTCTATAACTAGCTCTACTAATAAGGCCTTATCCTAGCGGCGTTTAATCTATGTGTATTTATTAGTAAGGACCTTATTATTGGCGTCTATATAGATAATATCCTTATAGCTAGTAACCCTAAAGTAATTAACACCTTTATAATAGCTACTAGTTAGTAATTCTATATAAAGGATCTTAGCCGCCCTAAACTACTACTTAGCCTAGAGTTTAATTATAATAATAATAACTGCTATATCTATCTACACTAGTGGACCTATATTAACACTATACTATACTACTATAGTATAAATAAGTGTAATAGTTATAAGATACTACTTAACCCTAATTACTTTCCCTATTAGACGCTATCTAATTAGCCTATTAATAAGGACCGCCAATGCCACTATTAATTAATTATTAGATCTATTAATTTTCTCGTAATTATCTTACGCCCTAACTTATTATATATAGTTAGCATACTAGGCTCCTATAATGTAAATCCTTCTAATTAATACGTATTACTCGCCACGTAAGTATTAAGGTATATAAAGGGTAGTATTAACTTTAAGATTACTATCTACTAAACTGCGTAGGCTAAAGTTAATATATATATAGATACTTTATTTAGCTCTAATCTAGATAATATAAAGTTCTTTTTAGGCTACCTTATAAAGATTAATAACTCTATACTAGCCTAGTTATTAAAGTAATAGGCCTACGTCGTAAAGTTAACTATAGAGGCTAAGTATATAGCCATATTATATGCTGCTACGCACCTAGTGTGGATATAGTTAGTAATTATAGAACTTATAGGTAGCAATTACTACTATAAATTATTAGTTAATAATAAAGCTGCCCTATCGCTTATTTAAGACTCTAAGATTAGCGCCTATTTAAAGTATATTAACGTTTATTATTACTTTATACGCTACTAGTATTCTACTAGTAAGTTTATAATCAAATACGTCGCCTCTAAAGATAATCTTACTAATATCTATACTAAGGCGTTACTGTTACTACTACTTATAGACCTAAAGTCACGAATCGCTAATAGTATTTAATGTTAATAATTAATTAATTAATTAATTAATTAATTACATTAACTACCTTAAAATTACTTTTTAGATTAACCCGCCGATTAGCGGTTCTTATAATGGGTATATCATTAATTAAGGACTATAATAAAGGACCTATAGATTGCATACTTATGCCTTATATATAATAATACGTTTACTCCTCTACCTAGAAGGACTGTTGGTGGAAGGTGTTCTATACGTAGCTAGTAGGAGCTACCCTATTAGCTTAGCCTATATAGGCACTTCCCGCCACCTAACCAATTCATCACTCTTACACTTAACTTCATGTTTCCTGTACGTTTCAAGCCTACTTTCAACAACTAATGCCTGACCACGGGGCGTATATTCCCTGGGGCGAAGGCAACCGTTCATGTCCGGGAAAGAAATTCTCTCAGGTTGAGTACGTTGCGGTCATGGTTGCTATGTTTCGGGATCACTTTGTGTCACCGAGGAGGCGCGATGGAGAAAGTAAGCAAGCAGCGAGGGAGCGTGCTGAGGACACGTTGAAAGACACTGGCATGCTACTGCTCCTACAGATGCTTCATCCAGAGAAGACACCATTGGTGTGGCAAAGGAGAACTTAATGCAGAACGTTGCCTCTTATATAGCCTGAGCACAAGTCGGCCTGTATAGCACTAAGAGCTGCGTAGTCAAATTGGAGCCGAGAATTAATATAAGCTAGCAAACTTCTGTAAGTGGAAAGATGCAACCACTCGGTGGTTGGCGAAACCGAGCCCATAGTTGTCAAAATACAGTTTTGCAGATACCGTAGACCACCTCTGTTGTGTGGTCTGGTACCCGCTGAAAGGTTAGTGCCCGCCGCATTTCCGTATTGACTCAAACGTGGTTGGGTAGGATGTACTCAAAGGGATGTACACGAACACATCGCTGCGATATTGTCGTGTTCTTAGCCACCAATATTTTTCTACATCTCCTGCACTTAAAAAAGAACAACAAGGTTTTGCAGCACTCCTCTTGCAGCTGTGCATTGTGATTAAAAATCGCGTTCGTCGACGCTCGCAATGTATGGGTCCTCCAATGAATTCTCGTATTATTCTATCACCATACACCATATTCCAGTTTCTAACACACCTTGCAAGCACAGCAACCCCAATTTGCACACGCAACAACCTCCAATATCAACCAGTCACCCTTTGCTCAACACAATGCCTTTCCTCGCAGGCTTCGAAACCGTCGTTCTAGTTAGCGGCCTCGCCTTCTCCACCGGCATCGCCATCCCCTGGGTCACAACGGTCGAAAAGCGCGAGCTACGCGATGAGAACGCCGAGCTGCGCGCGCAGGGCCGAGGCGAGATTTCCTATCTGAAGTATGTCTGGCATAGCATTTGGCATGAAAAGAAGCCTTCACAGGTGAAGGCGGTGGAGGCGCAGGGTGGTGATGTGGAGGCTGAGGAAGCTCATGATGTTCAGACAACGCTTGGCATGGACGAGACTGGGCAGTTAATTGTGGTGAAGCGGAGGAAGGTGAGGAAAGATCTATAGTGCTGACCCGTCGCCCACATGACTTAAGTGCAGAAATTAGACCCCTAAGCATTCCAACACATTGGGGCCTATTCAGTCACGCTTCCTCGTGTCATCGTCTCCAGGGTCATCCCCCCACCTATCCACGGACGGCTTCGACCAGCAATCGAGCTCGGCGCCAGACGGCTTTGACCAGCAATCGAGGCCAACGCGGTATCATGATGAAAAGCGCAATGATCAGCGCCAAAACTATTATTGCGATACTAATAGGCACTGATATAGGCGGTCAGTTACATCATCATCAACAATACAGCATTTGACTTACTGCCCACTTTCCAAAGATCCCAGGATGAGGGGTTCTTGTCGTCCCCTGTCAGTTCCGACACATTTTGTCCGAAGTAAGACGTAAAGAAGGATAGCGGCAGCTGAAACGCGGTACTGTCAGTTTCTAACGTAGTAGGAGCTAATTTAGCTTACAAATATGATTGTCATAATGGTGAATAGCATTACAGCTTGGCCTTGTTTCGTGGCTGCGCGTGCCTCTGCTAGACTTCCGGCATTCGACTTAAGGTCCAGTAAGTAGTTGATCTATGAATTCTTAGTCGTCTGTCGTTACATAAACAATCACCCAGATTACCACTTGATAAGTAGATTTCGCTTCGTCTCTGATACTGTCCAACTCCACAAGAAGCTTCAAAAGTGTCTCGTCTGCGGTTACCACGTAACCCGCGGCGAGGCCAGAAATGCTTTTCGCCAAGAGCTTCGTGTTCTCACTACTGTGATGCACACTTGCTTTTTTTTGCACGTTGACGAACATCTGACCCTGATCGAGTACTTCGATGTGTTGAAACACTGTAGTCGGCATATCGCCGTGGTTATCTTTCCGTATTTCACTCTCCGAATGGTATAGCCGGGTCAGAGCCTCAATGAATTGCGCTAGAACATCCCTCTGTGTCTGAACAAGGTGTCTTATCATCTTCAACTCGTCAATGATGTCAGACACATCGAGCGCAATTTTGAATTCTTGACTATCATCTAAAGCTGCCTCCTTGGTGTGCTTCCTGTGGAAGTTTTCAAAACATTCTGTTTTAAGTGCAGCCTAAGCATACGTTAACCACCACGGAATCTTCATGGGCGACCCTTGCGTTATCTTTGCTCTTGAAACCCATTTGTATGTTTCTATGAGGTCTACGACGTTCTTGTTGTTCTGTTCCAGGAGATGACCTACGGCTTCTCGGACTATTAGTGCCTGCAAGTCCCAGACCGTCTTGCAATGTACTGCGTTCTTCCTCACACTTCCGTAAAGGCCAAGGTAATTAGGTGAGCTTCCAGAACCGTTCTTGTAAGGAAAGCAGGAGACAATGGTTCCTAGGGCAAACGTCAATCCCGTAGTACACATGCTGTCTTCCCACGCTGTTTGCAACTTACTGTCGTCGATTGCCCAGCACCAGAGCTGATCTGCCATGAGCAAGGCACGGTCATACGCAGCGGTTTCCCTTCCATCGTTTCCTAGGTTATTACCGGTCCATTTTGAGATTGTCTGATCGGCGTCCCGCGTAGATGTATCGACAAGCGATGGATAGTAAAATTGATCAAGACTTCTCCTCGGATGGACATCCGTTGAGGTAACGTAATCGGCTATCGTATGAGTGTGTTGTTGCGTCGTCCCATCTGGATAAAATATCCGGTATGAGTTGTCTTTGTCATTATTTCGGTATTGCTTTTGGAGTTTGCGGTATCTTTTGCACGATTCCAAGCTCATGTATGGAAGCTATCCTGCGTTAGAAGGATCTCAAGTTGCAAATCGTTATCGAATAGTCCCTCACGTATAATGTAAGTCGCGGTAACCAACCTTCGCCATCCGGCTTTTCGCTTCCTGCTTGTGGAGGGTTCGCATTTATGCCTACGGTGCAGGACGGCTCCATGTGCCTGGAATGCCTAGGCTTGTTCACTTGCCTTGGAATAGGACGTTCTTTCAACTCGGCGATTTTTGGATGCAGGTTGTACTCCGCATCGATTTTCGAAAAACAAAGCTTATATTGAGTGAGCGGTTGATACTAGTGCACAAGTGCACACTATGTGTTCTGGAAGAAACTTACAGCTACAAGAGCCATGCTGTTCACGGGTATGTGAATCCATTGGATACCAGATTTGACAGGAGCAATCGTCTCTTCACCTGAGCGTGTGCTGATGGTAGATTCGGAAAGGATATGTCCATCGCCTATATGATGTATGCGCATATACTCATTCAACTCTGGTCCTAAGCTTGACATTCCCCATCGTATCCATTCCATGGTGGGCCCAGTACCGCGCTTGTCTGGTGAAATCAAAGATGATAGTATGTCTTAAGAAATGCAGCAGGCTTTCGAATTGCACGGAAGATGCACGCTCTTAAATGTAGGGCATATGTACACAAGGCTGAAAACACTGCGGGGTCTACGCGCCTTCGGATAATGAGGTGCATCAGCTGAAAACACGCGCACCAATAGCAGTTCTACATGCCCCGCGAGAACACTATCATTGGGGACCTCGAGATATGGCTGCAGGAGGTCGTTGCCGATCTTCCGGAATGCACGCGAAGGCTGTACTTTGTTCGGCCTCGGTCGATTAATCCAGGCAGCGGCTTGCTTGAGCGCGAGTTGATCTTCGGAAGTAGGTATCGATGATGGCTGCCGAAACGACTATGTCTTCTACTGGAGCGGCCACCACCTCTGAGGTAGTTCGATTTCTTCCGGTGCGACCATCGCTTGTTCCCTGTCATGCGCTTCTTATCACGTTCTGTTACATACCATAGGTAACGTTCAGAGGAATAGCTTTGACATTATTTATTGGCGTTTTGTTAAGCAGTAATTTCTTACTTGAAACTTAAATTCTTGATAGTCCTAAAAGCTATCACTACAATGAACCTCTATGTCACCCATCTTACTACTATCCTGCTATCTTCTACACCCTTATCTACATCCACACTGCCCTGACCTCGCTGACTCTAGCTACGCGGCCTACACCACTAACTAGTCATGCTAGGGACAACCTCCGCCTTCACAACGATCATCCTCTCTCAAAGTACTCTCCGCCTAAAGACAGCACCTTATCCAGGTTCTGTCGATTGAACCTGTGCGGGCGTCAGCAACGGCTTACCGGTACCTAAGCGCAAACTTAATCGTATCAATAAAGTCTACCAAGACGACACTCTCTTCTACCAAAGCGCCTCATACGTCTGCGTCAGTGTCGCCTTCTCAACTATAAAGCATGTCAGCTCTATAAACAAATTGTTCCAAACATCTTTCCACGCGCCGAGGACCAGCCTTCCCTCCGCCATATGTATTCTGACTATGTAGGGCTCACAAGGAGGCGGCCTATCTTCATAAGTTGGGTTAGCGAACGGCGTGGGAGCACTGGACTTTTTCACATAATAAGTTGCTGTTCGATTGCGAAGCAATGTAACCTCGATGAAATTCTTATGTGCCGCAAATCAGCATTCCATCACCACATATTCCATCGGTATCCCTGCTGAACAATGCGTGTTCCAGCTGTATGCGAGGCCGAGTCTAAGGAAGCTGGCTACCTTCACACCCAGGATTAGCGAACAGCAGTAGCATGCATCTCTTACAGTCCTGACACAAACAATGGAAAAAATTCCTCTCACCGTCAAACATATTCAAGACAGGTCAGGAAGCCTTAAAGTCTAAAGAGGACGAACAACAGATACCATCTTATGCATTGCCTCTATCCTACACAATAGTCTCTTAAATGTCCTGTCCAATCCACTATTCCATTCCAATACCACCTATTTTCCAACGCCCAACAACCAGCGCGGGTATCACCCCAATCCGGTCCGTCCGTCTCTAACGAAACACATACAATTACACTCCAGCTCGCCTCGTTATCGCCTTGCCTACTCGCCATCCTCCCCACCGCCCTCCACCTCCGCCGGCGCAATCTCCTCCCTCGCGCCACCCGCATCCGCCTCGTGGATGATCTTCTTCCACCCAAGTTCCTCTTCTGCGTCCTTGACGTATTCGATGGTCGGGAAGTAGTGCTCGTTCTTCTTCATGGTAGCCACCCACGGCACGTTGTCGAAGGTGACGACCTTGAGGCGGAAGTACTCGTTGTCGGCGATCTTCTTGACCTCCGTCAGGAAAGAGTCGAGATCAGGCGTAGGGACGTTGTTGACGTGAGTGAGGAAGTTTGTGGGTGCGAGGCCGTACATGTACGCCGGGCTACCACGGGAGCGGCTGGATATGTAGACATCGGAGTGGATGCGGGAGATCTGCTGGCGCACAGCTTGATGAGGACGGTGCAGCGTTGCGCCGCAGAAGTTGACCACGCGGGCGGTTTCCAGGTCTTCGGTGGCAACGGTCGGGACCTTGAGGGACATCTCCTGGCGTTTCCGCACAATGGCCGCGTCTAGGAAGTCATGGTCGTACATGACATCCAGATCCGGCGCGCGGGTAATTAGCTTGCCGTTGAGGGTGAGCAAGACATCGCCTTCCATGAGACCGCCCTCATGTCCGGAGTCGACCTTGCGCACCATGAACAGCTGGTGCCGCTCTGGATCTTCACGCTCTGTCTTCTCGATCCACTCCTCGGGTACGCCCATCACTCTTGCCTGACTCATTTGCACGGTCTGGAACTCGACGTTGAGGATGCGTAGCTTTGGTGTCTTTCCGCTCTTGATCTGCTCAAGGACGGGCAGAATCATGGGGATAGCGAGACCGAGGTGGTATTCGACATCTTTCCCTGATTGAGACGTACGCTCGCCAAGGTACGAAAGCCATAGCGCTTGCACGGTGCCGTCTTCGGCGACCAGCACACCGGAATGGCTATGGGAAGCCTGGTTCGTGTCCACGGTAATAGCATCAAAATTAGTAGCGCGATACCTCGGTGTGACAGCACTAGCAGGGATGGCTACCGTGCTGATATCCGTGACGGTGGTCTTGGTCACGACTGGCCTAAAGTTCTGATTTAAGCCGAAGAAGACTGTCTCGTCGCCCTTTTTGATAAAGTCGGTCGCAAACTTCGGTGTCTTGACTGGCGCGTTTACAAGCGACGTGTCGTATTTTATGATGGCGTAATTCTGGAGAGGGTGCATGAAAACGACCTTTGCGTCGACAAAGATGGAGTCTGCAATGATGAGGGAAATGTCGCACAGATCGTAGGGAAGGAGAGCTCGGGAGACGAGGACAAGACCCTGTTCGGCATCTACGACGAGACCGTAGCCTTGCTTGTTGCTCTTGGGGAAGCCGTCTAGCTTGATGGGCATGTGGACGTGCACGCGCACAAAGCTGCGGACGATATCGACGGCAGCAGGATAGTTCGACGTGAGCTTGATAAAGTTTGCTTTCCGAGGAATCGGGGGTACAGCGGGTATTGCGTCGGCTATTGTAGTGAAGTCCCAGAGGCCCGTTTCGTCGTTTCGCTTGGCCACCCTCATCTTAGCGTGCCAGTGTCGATCGATCGTTGTGATGCTTGTGTTCGCAGTATGGAGATCGCGCAAATGCTTGTATACCATGACTACTCGTTTCCGGTCTGGGATCTTCCTCATGACTTCGATGAAAGTCTCCAGGTTGGGCGTAGGATGGTTATCGACTTCTTGGACGAGCCAACCAGATGTGAAGCCCTCGGCGAAGCGGAAGGATCCAGCAGCCTCGCATACGTAGACACCAGCATCCTTGAGTGAGATGGCATACAATCTAGCTTGCTGGTAGGAAAGATCGTGGAAAGAGGCACCGGCAACCGATATGAAGCGATCCGGAGTGATGTCGTGGAGATCATTAACGTCCAATTCGACATCGAGATCCTCGCCCGCACGTTGTATGGTGAGCGATACCTTGCCACCAACACTGTCATCTAGCATGGCGTCTAGTCGTACGAATTGTGTCAGGAGCTGGCCATTGACCTTGACGAGGACATCACCCTCCTCAACCTTCTTGGACGCAGGGCCGTTCTCGAGAACGACTTCGGCCACCAACATTCCCGTCTCTTTCGGGAATGCCGTTCGGACGGCCTTTTCTGTGTCGGGCGATAGACCTAGGCGGCGGCACTCGTCAAACGGCTTCAAAATCCACTGCGTTTGAATAGTACCCCGCGGTACGAACTTGCCCTGGCGTACGAGCTCCAGAGCCCGCAATGGCCGGTCGAGAGGAAGGAAATAGTCTGTCGCCGCGCCATCAGCTCTGCCACCGGCCTGTAGTGCGACTGCAAAGCCATCCTTGTTGACTACAGGACTGCCAGAACTGCCGCCACTTGCCGCAGCAGCAGCTTGTATATAGTTTGTGTTGAAATCCGAGTATCCCTCGCCATACTCGGGCGCATTGCGGTCCAGTCGACTGATCACGCCAGACAAGATACTGAGCTTCTCACCGGCATCGTTACCAACAACGCGAATTTCGACACCGACCTGTGCCTTCTTGGGGTGCAGCTCGAGCGCGGTAACGGGCATGTACTTGATCTTCTTGGGGTCGAAGCGAAGGATACCGAAGTCGTGTACGGGGTCGCGGTATACTGGGAAGACATCGACCTGTCAAATGTTAGCCCGGCCATCATGGTGTCACGCGGCTGACCTACCTCTTCGTGGTTGTCAAAGATGCAATAGCCGATGAATGGCCCTGCTCCAACAACGTGCTGTAGTTCGTCAGCTGGACTCTTGATTCAAATATCCACTCATGGCTACGAACCCTGTTGGTGAGAATGTATCCCCGCTCCGCATCAACGACGAAGCCCGTTGCCTCACTCGCGACGGCCGGGTCGGTGTCGAACGAGCACGTCTGGCAGAAGTGAATGGAGACGACGCTCTTGACCACCGTCTCGATTGTATTCTGCCACTCGGCCGTGTCGTGGAGCGCGCCCGCAATGTGCGCCGGGGCGAGGTCGTCCATGCTGACGTCCAAGCTGGGCGTGGGTGTTTCCTCGTGGGCTAGAGGCTCTGGCGAGGCAGCAGCGTATGTGCCGTTGCGCGTGTGGCCGTCTTCGGGTTTGATCTGCTTCATGGGACGCTCGTTGGAGGGCGTGGGCGGCTGCTTGCGCTTGGAGCGAGTGTCCGTGTGCTCGCCATGGTGTTCGGCAGGCATGAGGTGCGTCGTGAGGCGGCGGTGGTGCAAGAGTATCGGTGCGCGAAGCAGGCAACGGAAGGCGCCAGCGAGGGGTGGCCTGGAGGGTATGCGAGCGAAGGAGTGGAATGCGCTGGCACGGGCAACGGCGCGGAGGGAAGTGAAGGGAGAAGAGGCGACGGCTGCGAAACTTCTTTTGAAAGCCACAGAATGAGTTTGGCGGCTAAGCATCGATGCGCGGGCAGTCGCGCAATTCGTCCTTTCCTCTACTTAGACACACAGATACACGTGTAAACAATCCGGCAAGACCCAGACTAGCAGCAAACTCTTCCTTTGGCGGTGCGCTGCAATGCAGTCGTTGGCCCTGCTGTCGGCCTGCAGAAGAGCGCAGGCATCAGGGTTCACTAGCCGGCCCGAGCGATGATCCCGCTTCCACGCTCTTGGGGCTGCGCCGGCGTACTCTTATCACGACATGCATGCAATGTGAAACGCGACCTTCGACGGTATTGTATTCAATCGAATGCTGCTTCTGACTCCAATGTCAGATAGAAGCGACAGCCATGATTTGACGGTCAATCAGTAGCATCTCCGTTCTCTCCTTGGAGCCACTGTGATGAAGTCGGACAAGTTCAGCCCAACAGAGTGCTCAATCCTCGTCGCCCTGTCTCTCACTCAACCAAATTCATCTCATCGTCCAACTCGTCCTTGACCTCAGCCTTGATCTCAGCGTCGGCCGCCTTCTTGCCCTTCTTCGTGGGAGAGCCACCATCTTCGTCCTCGCCCTCCTCAGCAGCACCCTTGGCCTTGCGCTTGGGAGTGCTCGGAGTGCCCTCGTTGTCGCCTTTGGCCTTTCGACCCGGCTTCTTGCGCGGAGTGGACTCGCTACCAAAGGGTTGACCCGCCTTGAGTGCCTCGAGCTCGGCCTTGTACGCCGTCTTGATGCGTCCGATCATGCGCTCGCACGCGATCTCGCTACGGCCATTGGGACGAGGAGCATTCTGTATGCATCAGCGAAAGTGACCATAAAATGAGTAGTCGATGTTTACCTTGTAGTCGAGCTTCGTGCCCGCGCTCTCGAGGACACCGAGCAGGTAGACGAGCTGTTGCACTGTTAGCAGCGAAGCTACCCAGAAGGACCAGGTTGCTGCGTACGCGCTCTTTGTCGGTCCAGGCAGACTTGGCTTTGCCGGTGCCATTGTGCATCTCGGTGTCGGACATAGTGAAGATGCGGTAGGAAGCGAACACGGAAGCGATTTCAGAAGGAACCGTTGCGTAGGATGTCAATGCTACTCCGACGTGTGCGATGGGACGGTGAAGGTGTGCAAAGGTGCGAGAAGGTGCGAGGGCGACGAGGAGTCAGTAAGGTCGAAGACGGGAGATTGCGCTGGTCCGTCGTGCCTTCCCGTTGTGCCTTCACCTAGGTGACCTGGTGAAAGTGAACTCATTCAGCGGGAGATAAGCAAGTTGCAGTCTGAAATTCACCTGCTCACATCGTTCACGACCGCGGTTGACAAGCGCCGGAATAGCTGTGGTGGATATCGTAATTGAGTGAATCATTTTAAGGAAAGAGCAAATAGCTCCATAGTGATTTGAATGGTCATGCAAAGGACTGACAGGATCATGGGCTGTTAGTAAGAGTCACTCAAAATCAGTGCAAGATCAATTGCCCACGGAATATGCTGTGATGACCTGTCGGACCAAGAGGAAATGCGGTAACATGATGAACGTGTTCAGACATCACGGAGATGGACTGGTGAGGCTGAAGTGTGAACTCGTAGAGCGATGATCGCCTAGCGCTGCTGAGGATAGACGGTCGGTTGATCTCCATGTAGGCAGCCCTGCGTCGATCGCCGTTGGAACCATTCTGCTTGGTGAGCTTGTCACATTGCATGACACCGCCCCGGACCATGCACGGCTTAATCTGGAGTACGTTGCGCCAAGTACCCTCTCTTTCAACTTCTTCAGCTTCTCCAGCCTCATGTCAGATGTCGCCCCCGTCGCTAATCTCATGTCGGCATGTAGACACTGTTCCGCGACGCCTCAGTAAGCGAATGTCGTCAAGAAAAGCGATGAGACGTGCGCCTCGCCTCCAGCCACGATGACATGGGGCGGAAACTAGGAGCTGCGGTATACCATCTAGAAGGCCAGGGTCTGTAGGAGCCGAAAATGCGACGCCGGCCGACTAGAACCGACTGAAGTTCCTCCGATTCCGTCTTCGATGCATTTTGTGCGAGATCACCCTGTAGAAAATGGAAAAAGCGGATTGCTGGTTTTGCGGAGACGGCACTTCGGACGGCGGAGCGGACGATCGTCCGCCGGTCTGGGTCCACGAACTCTCCGCTGGCACCAGATACGGTGTGTACCTCGCCGAGATTCTGCTACGTCAGTGTTCCTGAATAGCACAGCAGTTCGTACAGCGACAGCGTCCGTTGGCGTGACGGCCTTCCGGGATAGGTGTCGCAACTCGCGTAGAAGTGGACAGCCATGTGGCCGCATTGAGCCTCGCATTTGTTTATACGAGCCATTGCGCGTCTGCATTGCGTACGTGCCTTAGAAGAGAGCATATTGCGCTGCGTCAGGCGTTCAGGCAGCAGCCTTTGAATTCCAAACGGTGTTTTCGCTCGGTCGGTCGAGGAGTTTACAGGTCTGCGCCACATTGTTTAGTAGAAACCAGGGATCGCGCCTTGCCTCGTTGGGTCATGCTTGCGAGAAAAGCTAAGCGCAGCCAACCCACCGACCGCCGGTAACGACCAGCTATGAGTGCGGTTTGCGAACAAGCGTTGTTCGCTCCAAAATGCATTCTGCATTGTTACACCCTCGGTACTCCATACTGCATCCTCATAGGCTCAGTCGTCTGTTCGCACTCGTTTCCGCTTACCTTTGACCGCTGTCGTCGCCCCAGCTTTTCGCGCCCGACATAGCCGGCGCGCGCGGAACGAGGATAAACGGCCATTCGATTGAGTCGGACAATACGGTATCCACGTGTGGCTTTGACCTTTACACCAGACGATCGTGCCGCTCCAATACTGCAGAAACGCGTTCACTGGGATCCTTTGCAGGGCTGATTTGGAACGGGAAGCCCAGACTGACGACCGCTTGGCTGAGTAGCACGTCCAACGTGGTTCTGATGGTATTCGTGTGCGTCAGAGGCGGAGTGCCCTGCTGTGCATCATCGAACGACAAGATACCGGATCTTTGTATATAGCTGCTGCTGGTGGTACTTTGTGCTGGCGATCGCTGGACTGGTCACTCCAAGCTTCTTAGTTTGTTGTTTTTTTGCATTACTTTCTTACCTTCTTTAGGGTCTACTTTGAGTGTGCGGATTGGCTTTGAAAGAGATAGCAATATGGTGTACACGGGAAAGCCCTCCAAGGGTTGTGGCATGTGCAAGAGTCGAAGGATCAAAGTATGTTGTGATAATTTCGTACATTCATCTCTTCCCTCCTAGCCTTCTTATACAAAGTCGGAGTGGCGTTGATCATTTCCGCCCTCTGTGCCTCCCTGCAGGTCGTTTCGGGCCTATCGCATCGTACAATCTGCATGTGGCTGACTTTGCACCAGTGCGATGAGAAACGTCCAATCTGCAGCCAATGCCAGAAGAGCGGGCGAGTCTGTCCAGGTTATCCGGACGAGTTTGATCTCATGTTTCGGGATGAGAACAAAGCGCTCGCAAGGAAGGCCAGAAAGGGAAGTGGTCGGAGTGACAAGAGCCAGGAGAGCCGGTCGGTGTAAGTCCCTTCTCCAATCAAGTTTGCCCATGTATAGGGAATCTGCGGTCATTCAAGGCACCGCGTCTTCTGCTAAACTTCCGCCTGAAGCCTCAAGGGCAATGGCTTATCGATGAATTGGTACCATAGATGAGCATGACTGAAATTTGATAGATCTCCGGGCACACCGGTCAGCTTCACGCCATCCCCACAAATCGAGAGCTCGAAATCTCAGGCATTACCGACTTCGGAACCAGATCAAAGCTTAGCACTCACCCCGCCTTTCGCCTTACCTTCCGGCTTATCTACCTTCCAAGACTTGATATGGCAATTCGACCATTCCATCCCAGCAACCATAGTAATGGCCCCCGAATTTGAAGCCATTCCATTCTTCTTCCGAAATTTCATCACCCTCCCTCAAGAAGCAGAATCTTTGCGCGGCTACCTCGAACTACTCGTCCCCTTGTATAACCGCGCCCAACCATTTTCCGCCCTTCACCTCGCCACTAGCGCCGTAGCCCTTGCCACGTGTGGAAACTACCCTGGAAGGCAGCATCTTCTACGCGATGCTGCTACCACGTACGGGAAAGCCATCCGCAGACTCAATGAAGATCTTAAACATCCCCACCTAGCTAAATCCGATGAGAGTGTACTGGCGACGTTGCTCTTCTCCTTGTATGAAGTAAGTCGGCTCATTACTTCAGCAAGGTCTTCAGTAGTTTTCCTTCCTTTGAGCGTGCGGGTTGCATGGGAAGAAGGCTGACAGCAGGCAGACCATCATGAGCACGGATGATACGATTACCGCGTGGGGCAACCATGTCGACGGTGCAGTTGCATTAACGAAACTGCGTGGGACCGATCAATTCGATGATCCCATGAGCCACGATGTATTCCGCGCAGTCAGAACGATGATGGTAAACGCATCTCACCAATACAACATTCTTTTCTAACTCGCCGTCTAGATTACATCCTGCGTCCAGCGCTCCAAACCCATCGACACCTTCCCCGGCACCACCGGCTGGCTAGCCTCTCCGCTCTCCGAAGAAAACGCCGCGAACCGCCTCACCCTAATCTGCATCGAGCTACCCAACATCCGCTCCCGCGCAAACACCCTGACCAAAACCCCATACAACGTCTCCTATGAGGCCGAATGCCTTTCCGTCCTCGAACTCGCCCAACTCGTCGACTCCAACCTACAGCAATGGTACCTCACGCTGCCCCCAGAGTGGCACCACCATACCATCGGCATCGTCAACGAGCCGGTGGAGGATCCTGCAACGGCAGAACGCTGGCTAGGCGAGCAGCATGTATACCACGACGTCCACCTCGCCAGTATCGTAAACGACTACCGCGTATGCAGAGTCTTCTGCATGCGCGTCATCATGGCGTGCGTCTCCTGGTTCGCCGTAAACCCAAAGCACAACCTAACCGCAGACTACGAAAAAGCCGTATTCGTCATCCAACAAATGGTCGACGAGATATCTGCCTGCGTGCCCTTTCACATGGTAAAGCACCCCTTATTGTACTATTCATCTATGAGTGAGAAACACAAGCTAATTCGAGGAACGAACCTGTAGAACTACGATCTCCAGCCCATGGCCAAAGAACTCGGCCAAGAACGAAACGCCGCGGAAGCGTTCGGCGGGTACTCCCTCGTCTGGCCGCTCTACGTCGCCGCAAACGCGGAGACAGTGCCGCAGGCTCAGCGCGACTGGCTCAGCGGCAGGCTGATGATGATCGGGACGAGGTTTGGCTTGACGAGTGCACAGGTGCTAGTCCTCGCGAGGAGACACGTGCTTACCTGCGGGCCGATGTTTCCTTGATAAAGGCGGGTCTTGTGGTTCCTTTATGTTCACGAGGATTGAACGAGGATGGGATTTCGGCTACGATGTTGAGATGAAAGGAAGGGTTGCGTGAGTTTGCGAAGGGACGAGGGTTACTAGAAGACATGCAGGCATGTATACGTAGAAATGTAATATCTACTCTTAGGAATTTCTTCGAACACTCACTGCTCTGGATCAAGTTTTGATCAGTTCTAATGGAATTCCATGATATACCATTTCATAATTGGCCAGAGGACTTTCGTACACCTATTCTGGTAGGCTAGTGCCCTATCTTAACGTCTACTGTGATCGAATTCAGCTCTTCGACGATCCTGGCTTTGCAATGTGAACCGGCTAACGATAGAGTAAAGATCTCATAGGGATCGAATGACATCGTTTCAAATTTGACCTAGAGCTATAAGAACGTAGTGGAAGAACTTTTGCAATCAACCATACATATCCTAGCTTCCTAGCTGTCCGTTTTATATCCCCATCTGTCCCCCAAACCCACAACATCTCCGCCTCCCTCCCCGCTCAACCTTCCTCTTCAGACCACCCTCAGGGAACCCCGTATCCGCACTATCGCACGACCGGACTCAATTTGACCATCAGCGCAGGCTTCTCCCACAGCATAAACAGCTTGTGCCGTTCCAGCCAGTCGTCCATGCCCGGCTGCAGCTCGAGATCAAAGTGCCAGAGCATTTTAGCTAGGATGACGCGCATCTCTGCGTACGCGAGATTCTTGCCGAGGCAGTTGCGCGGGCCGAAGGAGAAGGGGTTCATGACGGCGTGGTTGTCCTGTGAGGTGTTAGTATTTGTGAGTATGGAAGGGTAGAGGTTGGGTGGTGTGAGCCCGGTCTGGGGTAACGTAGGGAGGGTATCGAGACATATTGGCGAGAGACGGAAAAAAGCAGGGGAGTACTCACATGTCTAAATTTCTCCGGCGCATCTTTCAGCCATCGCTCCGGGACAAACGCATCCGGCTCGACGAAGTTGCGGGGGCTGTGATTCGTCGCGTGCTGCGAAACGTACACGACTGTTCCCTCGGGGATGTATCGGTCCGAGACGGTGTCTCCGCCTTTGGGCGCCACGCGGGGAAAGCCTGTCGGGACGGGCGGGTAGTACCGCAGCGCCTCTTGCAGGACGGCAATCGTGTACTCGAGCTTCTCTACTGCCGCGAAGGTGATCTGATCGGCGGACGTGAAGCAGCTTCGAATCTCGCTCTTCAACTTTTCGTAGACGGAAGGATTGCGCAGTATGAGGAAGGTGACGCCGGATAAGAGCGTGGCCGTCGTCTCGCTGCCGGCTATCATGAGTGTCGTTGAGTTCGATACCATCTCCGCCTTTGTCAGTGCCTTGTTCCCGATTCCCTGGTTTTTGATCACCGCAGTGAAGAAGTCAGGGCGCTCGGTCTCCCTCTCTAAGCGCTGATGCACTTGCTCCGCAACAGCCTTCATGAACGACTCCCGCGCGTTCAGCAGCGCCGCAGAATTCTTATTGAACATGGAGAGGAACCGGTCGTAGGCAGCGACAAGGGGGTACTGCCGACGCATCGACATTATGCCTCCCGCCTTGAGCGACCCCAGCACGAGCTGGACCCAAGGGTGGTAGCCTTTGTCGCGCAGGCAGTACAAGGGCTCGCCAAAGGTGAGGTCCGTGATGATATCAAAGGTAGTATAATTATACCAGGTCATCAGATCTGTAGCTTCCTTGCCTTCTGCGACTCGCTCGTTCAAGCGCTGGATCAACAAGTCGACGAGGTCCTGCACGAGGGATTCCTGGTCCCTGAGCGCCCTGTCGGCGAAGGCGTGGCTCAAGTTCTTGCGCATGCGGGAGTGATTCGGATCGTCTGCGATGAGCATGCTTGGACTTCCGGTGTAAGGGACGGGATACCAGTAGCGATCCTTCTGAAAGGTGTCGCCTCCCTTGTTGCGGCCGGTGCGGAATCCGTAGATATCTTGCCATGCAGTCTCGCCGGAGATGAAGGAGCATTCGTTGGGTGCCACGCGAACTACGTCGCCGTACTTTTCGTGGAGCTTCTGGATCCATGGCACCATGTCTCCATACCTGATGCCAAGGATGTAGGGGATTGGTGTTGCGCGGGCCCAGAGGGGACCAGGGATGTGGGAGAGGGGATGGAAGTAGAGGTTGTAGATGCATTTGTAGACGGAGTAGGCCGCTACCTGTAGAGTTGTTAGCAGATGTTTTGAGTGCGGGAACAAATGTTGTAGGCAATGGCTCTGGTATTCGACAATCTAGCCTAAAGTGACTCTCCCTATATAGTACGTCTCCAAAAATTTGCCATGATAGTGTGTGCGGACGCCCAAGTTGACGCAAGAGAGTGATAGATCGCGAGAGGGGAATCATCGGAGGAAAAACCCGATGAAGGAGACTGTACTCACTATCGAGAGAAAGGCACCGAAGGAGACGGCAATGCCCGCCGGGCTGGAAAGCCGGAAGTCATTTGGTAGGATGGCAGTACTCATAATGAGACAGGACCACGGATGCTTTCCTCGCTGAAAGGTTTGGCAGCTTGTTTACCCCAGGATGAGCAATGCAATACCCGAACTATAGAGTAGGATTGTAGAGAGAGCAACTCCAGATGTTCAGCTCTGCAAAAGATGATTGCAGGGGAGGCTTTAGCTAGTAATGGCCTGGAGCGGAGTTCAGCTGATCAAGAAGACGAAGACGTTTGCGCCACAGTAAGCTTGGTAGGATGTCTCCTGGGTATACTTGAGGGATATAAGACGTTTAGGGTAGAGCTAAAACGAACTTGCTGATTCGCAACGTACACGTGCCGCACGACCAAGCGCACCTGGGCAACTACTGTGTACTCTCACATCTCCAGCAGAGCGTCTTATAAGTATACTGCCTCGGGCCTATATGTGTAGCGCCTCGGCCGAGCTCCTGCCAGCAATGATCAGGGATGGAGTCCTGCCCCACGGTGCCAGACTGCAGGGTCGCAGGAATGTGTCGCACTGGCTACGCGGCGGTGGAGATGTGCTGATCGCTGATGCACGTTAAAACGTCGCACATGGTTGGGCTAACCTTGAGTGGAGCTTCCGGTACGCTAGGCACAAACCTTCATGTCAGAACTTGCATGAGGTGTTACATTGCGAACCATGCCGCTCATTATCTCAGATGGGTAAATATTCGACGTCGTGGTACGTATTGGATGACGGGCAGCGTCAGCATTAAGGTCCGCGGAAACAAGCTTTTTTTAAAGCTAAGACGGAGGTGCAGGGTAGCTGGTATAGCCGGCCAACGAGGGGGTTTTGTGGGCCTTTCTCCGCACATATAATCGGACTTCGTTGGCTAAACGCTAGGTACGTCCGACACCTTGAATCAGTTAGGGACGATGAAGTTGAGGCTGCCCATGGTGGCTAGCGGAGGAACGAGAGTTACGATGACCTGCTACGATAGGTGTAGTGTCTGTACGATGGAAGCTGAGATAAGCGCGAGTTTCTCTAGCCTGGGACCGTTGTGCCATGGACTTGATGATGGCTGAATGACCAATCTATACCTAAAAGGAGATATGCTGCACTCTCGACGAGAAGTGAGAAATGCTGCGATTGGGGTGGACCTCGTGCTGGGAATTCCTGGGCACTACGACTCGACATGCTGTGTGAGGACTACCTCTGCATACGCCAATTAATTAGGACCGAACACCCTCGGTGTTGTCGGGGATTTTTCGATCACGTGATGCGCCAGCCAATCATGTAGCTTATACAGAGCTCAAAGGTTATCCTTTATCGGCCTAGTCAACACCTGACAGAAAAACACCGAACAACCCGAAGGTAGTGCAGAGAATATGCGGTGTGGATATGGAGGTGCAATTAGATAGGAAGAGCGGGTAGCGGGTGCTTCCTGTTGGCTAGCGCACACCTGTCGTACGCCCAGACACTCGTGGAAGTATCGTCTTCAACAATGACCGGCGCACCGATTCACCGAGTCACCGATCCATTCACGCATTGTCCAAGTGACGTTCTAGGCCTCTTGGTATACTATGCTGTGGTATACGCGGCTATTGACTGTTCGAGCATGGTAGCTGCACGATCACAAGCACGAAGGGTCAGTTCATTTCCTACAAGCGCACTCACGCACTAGAAGCCGGAAGCTTCAGAGACCAAGCGATAACAGATATATTCGTCCAAACCGAACCTGAAAATATCGAAATCAGCGATTCTCTAATCGCTTGGATGGTATTGCTCGTACACGGGTCCCATCCCGTCCATCCCGTCCATACCACCAACCTACATCTGCCTTGTTGCTCAAACCGAAAGAAAACACCCGCTGTACCAATGCAACGCAATGCTCCAGCACCCACCCAAAACATCCCAACATCCCACATCTCTACCTCCCCCTCCCGGTCCACCTATTTCGTCCTGCTCCTACTCGCACTCGGCCTCTTCTCCGTATAGCTACTGCTCCTCGAGCTCTGCCCCGACGCCGCGCTACCCCCCTGTGCTGTATTCCACGTCTTGACAAACGCCTTCTGCGTGCGATCGGCGTAGTCCTCGTCGCGGACCTCCTTGACCGCGACCTTCGCGCCGTCTTTCGTGAACACGACGTTCTTCTTTTCCATCTTGCGGACGCCGCGTTCGGCGAGCTCGTTGGAGTAGAGGTAGATCTTTAGAGGGGTGGGATGTTAGCGGAGGAAGGCGAGAGAGGAGAGCGTAGTGTATGGGAGAGGGGGCGGAGAAGGAGAAGGGAGGGGGAAGTACCTGGTATCCTACCCATCCTGCGCCTGCGACGACGGCGAAGAGGATGACGAGGGGGACGAGGTTGCCTATTGCGCCCATGGTGTGATCTTTGCTTGTTGTGTGCGGTGTGTCGTGTGCTTGCTCTCAGGCTGTGTCCCCAAATGTTCGCTGATCAGCGCGGGGTAATGCTTTCTTTTGGGCGATTGCACTAGATGGCGCACTCGCTGGCAAGTCTGCGACAAACGGTCTTCAAGGTAGGAACTGATTCGTAGAAAGGTGGCAAAGGAGATGCACGACGCAAAATAAATTGTTGCACCGGAGTCTGCGAAACGAAACGGTGTTTCGCGCTTTCCAGCTGAGGCTGAAACACGCGGCACGGAGAAATGACAGGGGGCTCGCGGTTCGCGCAGGGGTCAGCCGAGTGAGCTAAGTGGGTCTGATCCGCTTTCTAGAATCTTTGGAACGGTTCAGGGTGTTCGGTCGACACAACACCACATTGGAGATACTCCACGGCAAAGGTAACGTCCGGCAAATGTGCGTGTATACCGAGGGAACTCCTAGAAATGCTAAAATGCACAAACACCGACACCACCTTCAATACCCACTACCGACCATGACGACCAGCTAACCTGATGTTTCACTTCAGGAAGCTTGCACCGGGACCACCTGCCCTCCTGTCCTTCTTCAGCGGCGAAAATGTGAACCCTTCATCGGACATCATGTTGTAGCCCCCACTTATTGGCCGTCCAATCCCCTTACCCAACCCGGCCTTCCCCAGCGCCCTCGCAGCAAAGAGGCCCTTGCTACTCTTTGGCTTGGCCGGGGCATCTTCGTCAGCCTCCTCGTCATCGTCGAAAAGCGTCTTTCCAAGTCCACCTGCCCCCAGTTTGCGCTTCTTTTTCTTCTCGGCGGCAGGCTCGTCAATGAAGGTCGCAAAAGACATGAGCGATTTACGTGGCTTGATTTTGGGGACAAGCTTCGACTTTGTAGGCTCTTTGGACGGACCATCGGTGGTCTTGAGCGGCACGGTAACGGCGGGTAACAAGTTTTCAGAGTTGTCCTTGGTCGAGAGGTGAGAGGCTTCTTCAGCAACGACGTCAAGAATGGGCGCGCTGGTCTTCTTTCGGGTGCCGGGTTTAGCGTTTGCCTTGTTGGATGCTGACGGTACGAGGGCCTTGATCTTGGGTGGTGCTGCTGCTTTCTTGGGTGGTGCCATCGAGGTTGCTTCCTCAGCGGCGTCGGTGCTGGCCTTTTCGTCATCTTCCTCCTCAATGATCGTCTCGCCGGGCACGCTGATAGCAGTGCGGTTGAGGAAGGGTGTCAGTGAAAAGTTGGACGTGTCGCCAATGGCCGTGGCCGATATTCCGCGTCTAGTCTTCTTCGCTGGGATGCCGTTACCTGGTGTCCCCAGGTTGGTCTCTGGCTCGACCGAGGCGGCCATGCGCTTCCGCACGTTCTTTGCGGGTTTGACGGACGTCTCGCGAACGGCTTTGGCAGGCGGCGCGGTTTGGGCTCGCTCGGCGCGCTCCAGTTCTTCCTCCTTCTGCTTGAGCTTCTCTTTGGTGGAACGTAGCTTCTCCCGGAAAGCGCTCAGCTTATCGTCGAGAATGGCGTTCTTGTTCTGCAGGTCGGAGAGGGTCTTGGTGTATTCCTTTTCTTGCTGCTTCCGCTCCCGCTTGGCCTCCTCGAGCTCCGTCTTCATATCTTCGGCTTTTCCATCGGATTGTTGGCTGCCCTGCTGGCTCTTCTTGTTGGCTTTCTCAAGTTTCTGACGCTCGCGTTTCTCCTGGTCGAGTTGCTGCTGGAGCTCCTCTAACTGCGCATCGCGCTCGCTGACAATTGCATTGGCCTTCTCAGCAGCTGCCCGGGCGCTCTTCTCTCGTGCTAGTTCCTCACGTAGCTGCTCGACTTCCGCCTCGCGTTCCTCATCCCGCCTGTTCGCCTTTTGAGCTTCCTTCTTTTCGGCCTTGTCCAGCTTGGCTTGTGCGCGTTCCATCACCTGTTCCTGCGACTCTAGATCAGCCTGTGCCTGCTCAGTAGCCTTTTCGGCCTTGGCCAATGCTGCCTCAGCTTTGAAGCGGTCCTTCTTCTCCTTGGCCAGCTCATTGCGCAGCTCCTCCATCTGTCCTCGGAGATCCTCGTCCTGTTCCATCTTCTTTCCTTGCTTTGCGAGGGCACGCGCCGATGTGCGCTTTTCGTTCTCGAGTTCAACCTGGATTGTGGTCAATTGCCGCTGCAGGGAAAGCTTCTCAGCAAGCAGGCCGTCGTTCGATTCGACCTGCGCGCGCAGGTGTTCGACTTCGGGGCGAAGCGAGGAGATTTCGCGGGTAAGGGCGAGCTTCTCGGAAAGGATCTTATTCGAATCGGAAGTGATGTTTTCCATTGCTTTGAGCTCGGCCTGTGCGTTTGTTCAGTGGGTGAAGTTGAATGCACGGCCGAAGTGACGCACCTTTAGGTTCGCGACTTCCCGGGCCTGGGTGCGAATTTGGTTTTGCGCTAGCTCAGCAGCAGCCGCTTGCTCATCCAACTGAGCAAGGGCTTCGTTGAGCTCGTTCTCCAGACCATCAGAACGCGCCTGTTCCTCTTCTAGCTGCTCGTGCAGGTCGCCATTCTCATCTCGCAGAAGGCACTGGCTGACCCGCAGCTTTCTAATGTCTTCATCTTTCGCAACTATGTCAACTGAGTGCTTGCTGCGCTCCAGGCTGAGCTCGAGGTCTTTCGTTCGCAGCGCATGTTTTAACTACGACACGTCAATACAAACTTTTGTTAATGCTATATTCGGAGTGGCTCACATCTTTTATTTCATAGTCCCAGTCCGGATTCACGACAGCCATTACGACGATGCAGCAAAGGGTAAGATGGGATGATAGGATGGAGGGGTTGAGTTGGACGTCGGCCGACGCGTCGTAAACAAAACAATAGCCGTTGCCAAGAAACCAGGCACCACCGATGGATATCCGACGTTTTGCAACACTCACCAACAATTGAAATGATGAGGATGGAATACCGTATTATGGATATCTATGAACACTCAGAAATGCAAAACTCTTCCCAGATTGATCGACCGTAATCTTATGCTGTTTTCAAGAGGTAACATTCGAGCATCCAGCCATATCCCTGCAGCTCGCTTAAGCTGATTACGTAGCCCTTCCGCTCCAGCGCAAGGACACGTTCCCCAAGCTCTCGACATCAAGCAGAGCTCCCATTCTGTCACATTTCCACCCGCACGCCTACAATGCGCTGGCTACAGCTTCTAACAGCTTCGCTGCTGCCTTTCACGGCGCTTGCCGCCAAGAAGTCCTCGGGCGACCGCTTCAGCGACTTCCGCTCCAAGTCGTCCTCCGGCCCGCTCAAGCTCGACGATGCCAGCTACACCAAATTGACCAAGGCCCCCCGGGATTACTCAGTCGCTGTGCTGCTGACTGCTTTGGAGACTCGATTTGGATGCGTGCTGTGCCGCGAGTTTCAACCGGAATGGGATCTGCTGGCCAAGAGCTGGGTCAAGGGCGACAAGGAGGGGAAGAGCAGGTTGGTGTTTGGAACGCTGGACTTTGTGGATGGGAAGAACACATTTCAGCAGGTATGGAAGACTCTGCTGTGAGAAGGAGCGTATGTACTAATGAGCCGCAGTTGATGCTCCAAACCGCCCCAATTCTGCTCTACTTCCACCCCACCGTCGGCCCTAATGCAAAGGTTGACTCGCAGCCCGTCCGCTTCGACTTTACCAACGGGTAACAACTCCCGTTCCTCATACACTTGAAGCATAGAACTGACAATACATAGTCCTCAATCCGCTGAGCAGATCCAGGCCTGGGTTGCGCGCCAGCTTCCCGCCGACGCTCCGAAACCTGCCATCTCCCGCCCCATCAACTGGGTCAAGATCATCACCGTGACGACCGCTATCCTTGGTACTGTTACCTTTGTCGTCGTTGCATCGCCTTACGTCCTTCCGATCCTGCAGAACCGCAACCTGTGGGCCGCATTCAGTCTTATCGCTGTGCTACTCTTCACCAGCGGACACATGTTCAACCACATTCGTAAGGTCCCGTATGTCTCTGGAGACGGCAAAGGTGGAGTCAACTACTTTGCTGGTGGGTTCAGCAACCAGTTCGGTCTGGAATCCCAAATTGTTGCAGCTATATGTAAGTTTGTTATGTCGAAGTAGATCAGACTCACGGGCTAATCCGATATAGACGGCGTTCTTTCCTTCGCTACTATCTCCCTCGCGCTCAAGGTCCCCCGCATAGCCGACGCGCGCGCCCAGCAGTTTGCTGTCTTCCTCTGGAGCGGCGTCCTGCTCTGCATGTACAGCTTCCTCCTCAGCGTCTTCCGACAGAAGAATGGCGGCTACCAGTTCTGGCTGCCTCCGTTCTAAGCGCAAAGAATACGTGTGAAGCAGAAGAGAAGAAGGACAAGAAGATGGCATGTTCTGAACCTGCCAATGTTCGATAGTTGAGCCTCGCTGGACGGACGAGCGCTCCCACTGTAGAGTTGATAAGATTTGTCACGTGTATATTGCATCAGCCGGCGTTAAGGCTGGACAGGAAAATTAGGATATCTATGAAACTTCGCGTCGCGACATCAATATTTGCACCATTTCCTGTCTAGATACTTACATTGACGAATCGTGGACAATCAGTGCTATCGCAATCGGCGCCGTCAAAAGCTCGTCATCCAGAAAATCTCTCGCGCGATTCGACATCTTAGAATGCACCAGAAGTGTGCTTATATCCTTTGACTTGGCCGGATGTATCGACGTGCGGAGAACTCAATGGGGACCACGAACAGTAATTGAACTGTATAAGCCATCATGTCCCAGCATCACTATCGTTGCAATTCGCCGTCCCATGCTGTTCGCCTCAACCTTTGGCTAAGCTAGTACGACCAGAGTGTTATGCGTTGAACATATTTCTGTCGTGACAGAGACGTTATCAGACACACTTCATACTGTACGACTTCTTGATGCAAAATCAATTTAGGTGGAAACCTGCTGTTGAAGATCCCATGAGTGAGTGTCATCGTTACGCGGGGCGTGACGCCGTGCAGCATTGTGAGCGTTCTCAGCATGCGGGTTTCGCGATGGATACACAGAGAAGTGTTCCCATGTGATTTCCTGATGAAGTTGTGATACCTGCGGTTTCTTCGATTCAGTTCGGTATAGCGGACTTCGACATAAGTTATAGAGGCATAGATTCTACAAGCTTTGACAACCAATGAGTTGAGCGTAGATTTGTTTGATGAAGCAATCAATAGACTTATATTAAGTAGGTTGATAGTTTCTCATCTTGCGGGATAGCGGCGCTCGGGAAGCTCATGGATAGGTCATTAAAGGTTGAGGGAGTGGCGAATATGAAGGTGGTGGATGCTAGGGTTGTAAGTATTCTGGGATACTATATAGAGACTTCCAGGGAAGGCGTCTGACGAAGTATAGATTTCGCTACTGCTTATTTATCACGCTATCAGGTCGTTTTGTATGCGACTATAGAGCAGCTTGTGAACACCGTCCCAAAAAAACGTAATATATCAATTGTAAAGATCGAGGATATCGCCAACGGAAGAAGACTTCGAGAGGGATTAAATTCTTACATGGAAGAATGTCGCAATCGTTTTACAAGTTCCAAAGCTATTCAAAGTATAATTTAATTTGCATATAGCAACTTGTTTCTGGAAAGTTAGAATTCAACTTCTTTTTAGAGATCCTGCACTATATTGCGTAAGATAAGACAGCATGCTTTAAACACCTGAACGGCATATTACACATACCACAGTAGATTACTACCAGGCACTCAAGATATTTTAATTAGATCCGATTTCCAAAGAGCATGCGCTGTCAAAAACCGCTATTAAATGCTATTTCGTGATGTTAAGGGTCGTCACAAAACTAAACATATATCAATTCCCACGCAATGGTACAGAAAATAATATTTCACACTCCCAACAATTGCCAAAGATCTTACACTCCTACCGGAGCTGCTTGCCACAAAACTCTTTATCCTGCATCTTATCATCCAGGTATTACTAGACCCCTACTTCGAAGCTGTGTAGGAATGGAAAACGCAAGACTTCGCTCTGGGAATTCGGAACACACTTTGAACGACGAACCTTTTAGCCCATTAATATATCTGACCTAACGCTAAATAACTATCCCAACTCAATCTGTCCCATGTAAATACTGAACTATACTGCAAGGCACTCGGTATCTATTAAATATATAGAGCTATAATCCACGACGGTCTTAAATTATAACAGGGATGCAATAATCCCTAGGTCACTCTCAATCCTCTTTATTCCGTGCAAGACCCCGATAGTATTAAGGCACATAGGCTCTTGGAAGCTCTACAAGCTTGGTTCTATTAATTCCCAAAATTTGGATAGTATAAGCACAGAGGCTCCAAAATCAAATCACTGAAGCGCACTAGTTGAACGAAATCTTAGGATACGCAGAGGTACAGAGACTATTGATCGTCATAGAGAATCTGAAGATAGATCATACAGTTGACGACCATACGTTCCACGCAAGCAGGCTGATATATATGAGCAGGAAGAGAAGCAGGGCAGAGAGGTAGGGTGATTGGGTCTTGGGAAAATTCATGGAATTCCGGAAAAGCGATAGTGGCCAATATTCAGTTAAATGAGACATTTATTTAGGACACTGATCAGCGCGATGCAGATGTGAGGAAAAAATTAAAACATTTGGGGCTATGCGAATAAGAGCAACAGCGGTTCTACTGCCAAAATCGTGTGTCTGTTTAAGTCTGGCTGCAACACTTCGTGGTCAGGAAAGTGTTAGAGATGAGGATCGTTCTGCGCGCTCAAGGCGTTTGCTGAGCACTTGTGCTATGGAGTTGATCATGCCGGTGGCGGAATTAATGAGGCAAATCATGTTCCAGGGCTCTAAACCGTGTAGTGATGCTACGGAATATGTGTTATGGGGATGGCTTGTCCATCTTTGACATTTCCTTTCTCTTGAGACGCGTCTCGCTCTTGAAGTTGCCTTCGCGTACACCTTTTGTGACATGAGAGTGACGCATCTACTCACCCCTCATTGTCATCATTTTTCAATTCAACACGCCATAGGTTAAATCTTATAAAGAAGAACCTCTAAAAAGTATTCCTGGAAGGATCACGACGGTCTTCTATTGCTAACTCACGATCAACAAAACTTGTTGATACACGGCAAGACTCATACAACCTTTCGTCTTGCAAGGCCATGCAACTTGAACAAAATAGAAGATACCCGAGTATATCCCCTCTACCCTGAAAATATTCAATAATCCCTATGTTGATACTGCGCTTCTTTCCAAGCACGACTTCACAATCTCTTCGCAACAGGCTCTTTACTGGACCGCTAAAGCCAAGATATATGGTAAGCATGACAACAGTTTCCGAGAATCGCTTCAGCCCAACTCTATAATAAGCCTTCGATGTATCGTAAAGACCGTTGATGGCATAGTCTTCGCTGCTTATGATGACTACTTTTCAGCTTCTTCGCGAGATAGCGCGTAGAGCCATGCTCCGCACCTACAGCGTCTAATCCCACAGGAACTCGATTGCGCGTTTAGGCGTGTATCAGTGAAGCAGTGGTTCACTGCCCATAGAAAGCACATCTTTCATGGGACAAGATATCGTAAGTTATTGTTTAGCTTTGCCATATATGTCACTGTACCAACCGGGTAGTTTAGCCGATAGTCTCATTCTTAGAACATCACCTCTGTCATTGTGTGGCCGGGAAGCTTAGCCGTTAGTCCCATTCCCAATTCACCGTATGCATGTCACTGTGTCCCCCACATAACTTAGCCGGTCCATCATGGGGTTCTTTATGTGCGAATGGCCTCGTTGTTTTGCGATAGCAGACCAACGTAGACGGTACGTGTTTTCGAAAACTGGTGGATGAACCGTTCAAGGCAGCTCAGCATTTCGAGGCCTGCGGTAGAGATGATGTATCCAATCCAAAGATACCCCCTTTGTCGCCGCCCAAGCGCGCAAGGTTGCTGTGAATGCCTCCTTGCATTTTCTAGAAAATGCTCAGCATATCTAGAACGTACTACACAGTCGGCCAACTTGTCGGTAGCGCAATGCGCAAGCGGTAGCTAGCTTCTCAAGACACTAATCGTGTACTGCATGTGAAGCGCCTCCATCATCATCTAGATGATAAATACTTAGCTTCCTTAGAGTGCCAGAGGCGATCATATCCTTCATGAGTCTATCATGGAAGCAAGATAATGCCAAGTTTCTCAGCAGCCCACCAGCAGTCACACATAGCTTGCCCATTACAGGGATTAGGGCGAGCGTTGTAATAGGGGAAATAGTGACGCTGAGCACGCGAAAGGTCAGCCGTCTCCCGAAAAGTCGCATTCTTGCTGGGCTGGCTTTGGTCGCCACTAGGCAACATCATTGTTCATTTCATCGCATCGACAGTACAATGCGTTCGTGAGGATCGCGGTTACCTTCAACATAGCGCTGATGCCCGCCGTAGTATAGATGAATGGTTCTATCCAGAGGACCAGTCAGTGTGCAGGAGCCTGCGAAAAAACACTGACTGTTGTGGTAGAGCCATTATCGCAGCTGTAGATATTACCTAGGTACCGTGCGACGAACTCTAATGTGGGCATGCAAGGAATGTCATCACGAACAAGTCGTCGTGACTGGTATGGACCCGTGCAGGAGTAGCGAAGGGTCACAGCCATAGCATCTGACCTGTCGAAAGACTTCGGTGGGAGCCAATGGATACGGCTGGAAGGTAGGCATTGCATTCCGGTCCTCGAGGGTGCATGTTGATCTCCATGGCGCCGGGAAAGCGGTTGACACGTCGTTTATACTCGTGGTTCTGCATGATGGACCAATCGCTAAGCCACCTCTAGCGCCAAACGATTGCGCGTGTCACTATCCCAGCCTTCAGCAACACCAGCATTGTCGTCTCACAGCAACGTTGCGGTAACGTTCACCGTGAACCGAGAGCCTCGTCTCAGCATGGGCGCGGTTTCGCAAGGACGAGTCGTTCTTGAGTGTACACATCGGACTGTTTCTAAAGCTAACGGACCGGAAGCCGACTCATGGTTTCTTGATGCTAACGGGGATGCAGCGCAAGACCACTGCCATCATCAGCGTCGGGCATCTCCAAGAAATCTCTTACCTTTGTTGCCACTCGTGAGCCTGGCCCAACGACATCGTAAACCATTCCTGAAGAGTATTCTGTCGTTGAGCGGACCGCCGAGACCAGAGTAACGTCCGCACACAATGCCGTTATTGACAGAGGGTGAGTGTGGCGGGTTCAAGGAGAAGGGCGAGAAGAAACATTGGCCTGGAATGGGTATGCTCCTTGCCAAGATCAGTAATCCCTTTTTCGGTTAACTCCATCTGGGTACTTCGACATGTCGACGACGGCGTTGTGCTCCTGGCGTGACGAATTAATGGATTCCGGGCATTCGATCACCCGTCGAAGGCATTGCCGAATGTTTGTATAGGTGCTTGGCGAGAACGATCAGCATTGCTAGTATAGCGTACAACGCTGCATGCAGCTTGTTAGTACTCAGGAGCCTCTACGGCTATGGGCTGTAGCAAAATTCAAAGTCAATAGTCCGTAGCTTTAGGGTAAAAGGAACTTTGACTATGCATCATAATATAGGGTACGTGATTTTGAATCTCTACCTAGGTACCTATGGTACTAGGTCGCTCAAACAGGAAGGTCGCACAAGAACACAGTGCTCTGCGCCATCTTCCGCCGCTATTCATCACGTGGATGTCAAGTGAACCGTAGCAATAGAGCGCGTTTCAGAGACTCATTTCAGCCTAGCTGCCGGTGCTCGGGGATGATCTACGCCTCACTCTGTAGGAAAATTCAATCCACGGAGCAGACACTACGCTCCGTAGCACGCTGTGTTGGAATCGCTGAAGTCAATGGTGGCGGGTTTGATAGCACCGCGTGGGGATGGTACGAGCGTAACTAAGTAGGAAAGTAAGGCTCATGGTACTGTATGGGTTCAAATTCTTCAGCGACTGTGGTATCGATGGAGAATGGGTGGCTTCAACGGAGATTGGATAGGTCCGATCGAGATTGGATGGCTTTTCCTTTTCTGTGTAAGCAGATCAAGTTGTGGCAGCGATTAGCATAATATGTCTAGCCGCATATTGAAATTCCTAGCCGCCAGACCTCGACTTCGAGTCCCACATTCCGCCATCACATTACGGCGTCAGCTGTTTGATCGGGAGGAACTCCGAAACGATCACCCCTGCTTCGAATTGAAGAACGTGAATGCATGCCAAATTCGATATCATAAACACAACACTATAAGACAACGGATGGGCCTAAGGTTACATGTTGTACGATACTTTTTCGGTGGATATATTCAAACTAGTAAGTATGGCAGCTGTCCCCGGAAGCGATGATTAGAATCACACTAACAAACGTCCACAGATAGGCCATTCGAACCTCAGCAAGGATGTTACTGTTCACGTTTTCGATGCTTTTGGCTCTCGCAGCCGCCCAGACCTCGTCATCTGCGGCCGCAGCATCGTCAGCAGCAGCATCTTCAGCCGCAGCGTCTTCGGCCGCAGCATCGTCGGCGGCTGCTTCATCGGCAGCAGCATCATCGGCGGCTGCTTCATCGGCAGCAGCATCATCGGCGGCTGCATCTTCGGCGGCTGCATCTTCCGCAGCAGCATCGTCAGCAGCAGCATCGTCCGCAGCGGCGTCGTCGGCAGCAGCGTCGTCGGCAGCAGCATCCTCAGCAGCAGCATCTTCAGCCGCAGCATCTTCGGCGGCAGCATCTTCAGCAGCAGCAGCATCTACCTCATCAATCATCTCCAGTACGGCGCTGAGTAGTTCTTCTTCATCTATCATCTCCAGCACGACAAGCAGTTCTTCCTCTATCATCACCAGCACGGCACTGAGCAGTTCTTCCTCATCCATCATCACCAGCACGGCACTGAGTAGTTCTTCCTCATCTGTCATCTCCAGTACGGCGCTGAGTAGTTCCTCATCATCCATCATCTCCAGCACGACGCTAAGCAGCTCGACGACGACATCCTCCCCATCAAGCTCCTCATCGGTGGTGTCATCGTCTAGCAGCTCGGTGGTGTCATCGTCCAGCAGCTCGGCGGCGACATCTTCCCCATCAAGCTCCTCTTCGGTGGTGTCATCGTCCAGCAGTTCGGTGGTGTCATCGTCTAGCAGTTCGGTGGTGTCATCGTCCAGCAGCTCGGTGGCGACATCCTCCCCATCAAGCTCCTCTTCCGTGGTGTCGTCGTCCAGCAGCTCGGCGGCGACATCTTCCCCATCAAGCTCTTCTTCCGTGGTATCATCGTCCAGCAGCTCAAGCATGCTGACTTCCTCCGCAGGTGATACATCCTCTTCCTCGAGCAGCGCTGCCGCGCTTATTCCAGTATTGACGTCTGTAGTAAGTTACCTTTTCTATATTCGAATGTCGTGCAGATTGTAGCGCGCAGCACGATCACTGGTTTTAATTAACTTCTTAAAGGACGCCAGTACAACCTCAAGCTCAGCCGCAGCACTTTTGACAGCCTGCTCGCCTGTTGTCGTCACGTCACAGCTGCCTGCCTCAACAGCAGTGGTAACAGTTACCGGTTCAGCGGATACAAGCTACATAACAGTTACCGGTGCAGCAGATACAAGCTACATAACTGCGTACACAACTATCCCTGCAACAGTCACCGACTCCGGCAGTGCTGCCACAGTAGTCGTTACGGAGACAGTTATGCCGGACGCTTCTACTGTTGTCGTTACTACAACTACGACTGATGCCGGCACTGGTAGCACGGAGACCAGCACGACGACTGTGTGAGTATCATCTTCCATTGTCAATCAGATGAAGCTGATGAGATATTAGGACGCCGGCACCTAGCACATTCACCGCCACCATTTTCCAGCGTGTTGCCGTCCCCGTAACGATTGTTCAACGGGTCGCACAGCGAGTGGCTGTACCCGTAACGGTGATCCAGCGTATCGCACAGCGGGTGGCTGTCCCCATAACGGTCATTCAGCGCGTCACAGTGATTGCCTAGGGGAGCAAGACGTGACAAGTGGGAGGGTTATGTCGGTGGTGCGTAGCTATCGTTGTTGGTGTAAGTTGGTGAGAGGAGAGATCTGTGATGCCAGAATTTGCATTGCCGTCTTGCTGAGGAGTTCTTGGAGGCTTCACTTGAATGGCGCTTACCAGGTAGCGAGTGGGTGTGCTCCGCTACGTGGCCTTGGTGCATTGTTGTTTGCCCGTACAGTCTCTTTACATCGACTTCTCCACACCTGTTCAGTGTCTTTGATCTGCAGCATCAGATACTGTTACTTTAATCCCTCCATAAAATTGACCTTTTCGTACCATATTTGGCTCCAGGGCCTGCTTCGAATTCTTGAAAACGGTAAACACCCGGCTCGTGATGATTTTCGGGCTAGATTGCTTCGCGCGGAACTCCGTGTGCGTGCTGGTAGATCCGTCTTAGGGGTTCCAACAATTTTCTGGACAAGAATCAAGTATAGGAGTTACGCAGCCGCCATTCAGAGCGCTCGGTATCGCTTGCTTCGGTGACACAGCAATAAACCTCGATGGCTGGTCCAAAGAGCCTGAGGCCAATCTTGCTCTCCTACTAGTGTGCGGAACGCAGCAGGGATTACAGTGAGAGAGATGTTCGATTTATATCACACAACAAGTAGAGAGCCCCGTCGTGATGCAATCTATGATATCATTTCAGTATTCGCATCCACGGTGTGCTTTTCAGCTCAGCAGAAACAAACCTTGGAACGATTCGATAGCAAGCGAAAGACAAAGAGGCATTGGATAACGATACTCAACCCTCTATGCAGATCTGGGAAAGCAAGCAGAGATGTAAAATGCAAATATAGCGCAAAGGCCGTTGAGCTGTTCTGACATTGAATGAACTTCGCTTCGGCCACCCGCTCGTGCCGCTCTCCGCAGCCCTGCTAGCCCAACTCCGCACCTTACGGATTAGTCGACCGATAGCGCACCTTAATCCAACCTCAGACCACCGCATCACGCTCGCGTTCATCGCCGTGTCCGTCCCACAGCGTCCGATGCATCGAATCTTCACCTGATTTCAACATAGAAACCCTCTGCGACACCGATTACCCGCCCAAAACCAAGCCGGAGCGTCTCCGCAAGCATCTCTCGGCCTGTGTCGCGGCCGCGGCTGCTCCTCACGCGCGTTCCATCCCATCTCCTCCGACTTTAGACATCAAAACCGCCCAACATGGCAGGCACCAACTTGCTGCATGACATGGACATGTCGACGACGCCCGTCATGTCCTCCAAGACGCTGCCCGACCTCTCGATCCCGCTCAAGTCGGCCTCCAAGCCTAGCGCCCCGCGCGCTCCCCGCATCGACATCGAGCCGCTCTACACCGCTGTCAAGTCGGCCATCAGCGACGCAGACTGGACCACGTACAAGACCTCACTGTCGTCTTTCTTGCTGGGGAATCTCAACCAGGAGGAGCTGAGCGCGCGGCTAGATGCGATCTTCGCGCGGGCGGAAAACGAATCAGCGAAGGCAGGCCTGGCCCGCGGCGCATTGGAAAGAGCGCACAATGCGCTTGTCATGGGGCTGTATGCGAATGTCTTCCGGGATGCGCCCGAGGCGGGCATCGCGAGCTGGGTGTCTAGCTCGGATAAGGTTGCGAGCAGTATGCCCAAGGGGACGGGCGACGAGAGCGAGAAGCGGCTGAAGCAGGAGGTTATGCAGATTTCGCGGCGGGAGCGCAAGCGCTTGAAGACAATACACCAGGGTGGGGGTGGGGCGTTTGATTTTGCGCCTGTGGATCCGGTGGGCGGCATGATGATGGAGTATCATGAGGCGAGGAGGGTGAAATTGCCGGAAGCGGGGCCTGCAGCGCAGGCGGGCGGATATGGCAAGACGAGTATGTCGAATGATTTCGCTCACAATAACCCATTTATTATTATGCATACTGACAATGTTACCAGACTGGGACCTCGAAATCCGCAAACGCTACACCGCACCCCTCTTCACCGAGACGCACGAATTCCCCACCGCCCCCACAATCTCACTACGCTTACTTCCCATCTGCTACGAATCCGGCCTGCCGCAGGGCCACACCCCCGACTGCGCCGAGCTACTCAACATCGCGACGGAAAACTACATCAAAGAAGCCCTGTCCAATTTCTTTGCCTTGGTGCACGTGAATGGGCCCGGCTACGTGCGCACGGCAGAGTACAAGAAGCGCGTAGAATGGGAAGAAGGGAAAGTTGCACGGGGGGAGATGGCGCGGGTTGGGGGAGGCGAACTGCCCGTGGAAGTAGAAGAGAGGCGGAAAAGGAAGTTACTGTGTATGGAAGATTTGCGGCTAGCATTGGAGATTGGCGACAGCTACCTCGGGCAAATACCCATTCTCGCTGGAGAGATTACGCATTCGAGGTTTCTGGATACACCGGGCATGGAGGAGATATATTTGCCTGCTTCTGGCAGTAGGAGTAAGAGTTTGACGAACGGGGTCAATGGGGTGGGGAAGAGCAGCGCTCCATACGGCGAAGTGAACCTCGATGGGGACCCAATGGACATTGACGAAGAGTTAACGTGGCAGGGTGGCAGCGTTAAGGATATCGAGGACTTGGATGCCGTCCTGGATGATGTGCTTGAGCTGGGTGACCTTTGATTTCTCATGTTGTTGCGAAGGTCGACTTCGGCCTCCCCCGCTTCGGCGGTACTTGCATTTTCGGCGTTGGGATTATTACGGCATTTGCGTTCGGGTAGGCTGGCGCCTTGGGATGATACCCGGAACTTGATTTCTTATCTACAAAACGGCGTTTCTTTCAGTTTGAAGTTTGATCTTTTCAATCATTGCTGGTATCACTCTAATGCGGGAGGCAGACGGCTATAGATGCTGTAAGAGTAATAGTGTAAATGCAGATGCATACCATGCCTATTAAACCTACGACCGATGCCAAGATCACCGACTAGGGTGCCTAAAAGCTAATGTCTAAAGGTATCTCTAAACACACCTCTCCCGCATTTTTCAGCTCGCACGACGCATCTCACTTCCCCTTCGCCCCACTCCTCTCCCTAATCCTCTCCTCCCTCTCCCATCTTTCTTGAAATACCCTGAAAAACAACCCTAACCACTCCTTCTCCCTCCCACTCAAACCCCGGCTAGGGTTCTTCCACGCCCCCTGCAGCACCTCCTTCACACGCCGCCTAAGCACCTTAAGCGCAACCGCAGCCCGCCACTCCCTAACCGCAAACCTCAGCGTATTCCCCGGCATCGCAACCACACCAGCATGCAGCTTGAACTCGACATCCGCCGCCGCCATCAGGATGAGCGGAAGCGGGTAGACGATGCTAGTGGAATGGGCATTGTAGAATTTATTGCTCGACTGCATGATGTGGTAGTAGCTCAGATACTTCGCAGTTGAAGGATTAATGGAGGAGGCTTTGTTGACGGAGGTAGGTGCGAGCGAGACGGACTGCGCGTTGGAAATGTTGCGCCAGCCTTTGCCATCGCGGGTGAGGATCTTGGGGTAGAAAGCCATGCCGACGACGGCGTTGACGAGGATGTCGTTTGCGGAATGGGTATCGTAGGTGGGCGGGATGGCGACGAAGGTGCGATGGCGGGAGGTGCTGCGGTAGCGGGATAGTGCCCTGCGCTCCTCCGGGGTCATGGATATGAAGCCGGCTTCCACAAGGGAAGAGAGTAATTGCGCTTTCAGGTCTTCGATGTTGGACAGGTTTGGAGCGCTGAGGAAGTTCTTGTGGCAGAATTGCGCTTCTGAACGGCCGGCTGTTGTACATACATTTTTCCAGGCGTTGTAGGCGTTGTATGTAGTTAGGAGGTCGGAGTCGCCTTTTTTGAAGGCCCAGCGTGCGGCGTCGGCGCGTTGCTTTGCGCCGAAGGGGGTTAGGAAGGGGGATTTGGAGGAGAGGATGGCTGCGATGGTGATGGCTGCGTCGACGCAGCTGAATATCGCTGATAGGAGGACTAGCTTGCCGAGATGAGCATCTAGCGGTAATTTTGCGATTTGGCTTCCGAGAGGTGTGAGGTCCTCGCTAGGTGTGAGAGCATCGACTTCGATGAGCGCATCGATCGCGCGGCGAATGTTTCGTGATGAAGGGGGATCAAGGGCTTCGGAAAGTGTCTTCTCTATGTCACCGAGTTTACAGATCTTGGTACGCATAACGAGGTCCTGCAATGACAGCCGAAGCATTTCAGGTGTCTGCTGGTCCACCATGAGGCTGTCATGTCGATACTTGGTGAACAGGTGGAAACACAAGCCTTCTTGCACACGGCCTGCGCGACCTCGTCGTTGCTTTGCGTTTGCACGTGAGATGAATGACTGCGTTAGACGAGATAGCTGTCTGCGCTCGTCGAAGCGCATCTCCTTGTGCTTGCCGGTATCGATGACACACGTAATATCTGGTATGGTGACACCTGTCTCCGCGATGTTCGTAGCGATAACGATCTTCCTCATGCCTGGAGGTGGGATCACAAAGGCTGCTTGCTGCTCTTCGCTGGAGATGGTGGAATGAAGAGGGTATATGAGCCAGCTGTTATCAAAGGAAGGATGAGCGACCAGTAGGTCGTTCAGCTGGCGAATCTCAGCAATACCTGGCAAGAAGCACAAGATTGCGCTGCTGTACTTGGCGAGCTGCGGATCATATGCAACTGCTTCCATGAGTCGTATGATCAGTTCATAGTCGATCGCATACTCGTCATACTCGGCCAGTACATTCCGAGTGGCAACGCTGTAGCTCGTCAAGGTGTTCGGGCTGGATGACTTCTCAGAGGGGTTCTGGTCGTCATCGTCGCTGTCTGAGCCGTTGAAGATCTTGTTGTTTGGTGCTGCAGCGTAGTGTGTCAGCTCAATTGCATCCTCAAGGTACTTGGTCTGAACAGGGAACGTCCTTCCGGGGACATTAAGCACCGGTGCCCCATTGAGGTAGTTCGAAAAGCGATTCGCGTCAACAGTAGCACTCATAAGAATGACTTTCAGCTCTGGACGAGTGAGCATGAGTGAACGGAGAATGATGAGTAGAAAGTCGGTGTCGATGCTACACCTTATCAGCTTCGCAAGTTCATCAGATCCTGGTATGCATACCTTCGCTCGTGAACTTCATCAATGATCAAGTGCGTGACTTCGTTGAGGTTGTTCGCCGATTCCAACATACGCAAAACTACACCCACAGTGGCAAAGACGAGCCTTGTTTGAGGTGTTGTCTTGGACTCCAATCGAATCGCGTAACCGACTAAAGAGCGAATCGTTCCGACGTCTTTGGGTCCTTCTCCTAGCTCATCGCTCACACGCTGAGCTAGAGAAATAGCCGAAATTCGTCTAGGTTCCGTACAAAATATCTTACAGGGCTTTCCCTGAGACAGCTCGTGCTCAAGAAGAAAGGAGGGTATCTGGGTACTCTTTCCGCATCCTGGACTTGGTCAATGAATGTACACCTGCTTATCAGCTCTGAGAGAACGCACCCGTTTCACCGCACACTATGGTGACTTGATGCTTATCAATTGTGGAAAGGATCAACTCCCGATAGGCAAACACGGGCAAAGTAGTCCGACCCGCAAGCATATACTGAAACGAATTTGTGGAGGCCTTTCTATACCACAATTCCCTAAGACTGTCAAATGTCTGTGGAGGCGTGATCTGTCCCGATGCGGACGAGCTTGAACTGGTTGCAGCCTGATTACGCGCTCTAAAACGACTGGTAAGTACGACGCCTTCTGTCTCTTCCTCTTCCAATTGATCTTGCACAAGGGACCGAAAGTATCTAATTCTTTCACGGTCGGAAGCATCAATGCGAGACCTGCGGCTATCGAGCAGGTCTCGGTAAAGGTCCCTCCACGCAGGTGGAAGGCGTAGGTAAACTTTCTCTTCCTTAGCGGAAGCAGCGAATATGCTGAACAGTGCTACCGTCGATATAAAGCCCTCGCTCTGCTCCACGGAGACGGTAGCAACGTCGGTGGCCTCGAACGTGGATCGACGGCCAGATACGTTACAAGTCACGCCGACGATTTCAGTGTCATATTCAAGGTCCTGGTCTTTAGACCAGAGCACAGTCATACTATGCCGGCAAGAGTAGGTCGTAGGAGAGATTTGCTTGTATGAAAGGCGAGCACCAGGGTCCCTAAAGTATTTAGCAGGTTGGACCAAGTTATGCGTGTTCGTGCATACCTTGCACGGATGGCTTCTTCCAGAACCCTCCGTGGGTTAATACCGCTCTGCTTGCCAAAATCGCGTAAAATTACATTATCGTTAGCATCGTTCGCCTTTATACCATCGCCTTTCGGGGCTTCATCTGGTACAGCTGAGAACATATCGCCTAGGAACACCTCCTCGTCTTCATTCGCTTCTTCTGTACGTGTAGCTGGCTCCGGCTTTTTCCAAGACGGAATCTTAGGCCGATTGGACACTCCATTCTCTGTTCTAATAGGCTTGGGCGTTTTCGGAACGGTCGGTTGCAGCTGTCTCTCTGCTGCCATCTTCTGGGCAATTTCAGCCCGCTTGTTTGGCCATTGCGCTTCTGCTTCAATCTCGTCAAAGAGCGCATCCGACTCCAATTGCTGCAACTGCGACAGTAACTTTCGGACCACAGGAGGCTGTGCTACACTTGCTGGTTTACCATTTCCGGATTTCCTACCCTTGCCCTGCTTCCGGGACTTTGCTTCAACGGTGTCAGGGTCGATTTCGAACAATTTTCCCTTTATCTTAATATACGTGGGGACCAACTGATCCGGCTCCAGGTCACTGTCCAAGTCGCTAACAGCTACGTCAACTCCTTCGGGTTCCGGTGGTGGGGCTCGAGCTTCTCCTCCGCGTAGCCCTGGACTTGGGGCTCGTGATGATTCATTTTCAGAACCAACACTACTCCCCGTAGTGGCCGTAGGGGTCTCCGGCACAGGAGTTCCTGAAAGATCGAATCGTCAGCTTGGAAATGGAACCGAACGTAACAACAGCCAGTATACAGCATCAGCGAGCGCAAACCAAACGCCGTCATGATGAGTCATGATGACCAAAGCGGATATGCACGAGCACGACTTACCAGGTCGCGATGAAGTTGGGGAAGCACCCGCTACTGGACGTGCCCTCTTTGGCTCGTCGTAAGAGAGCGAATGACCGTCACAGTGATCCAAAGCAAGCCACTCAAGAGCTTCCTGTAGACCCCATACGCTAGCTGTGCTGTCGACAGAAGCAACGTTGGCACAAAGCCAACGGAGAACAGGCTCTATGTGAGTGGGCGAGAAACCCATGTCGCGCAATGTCAGATCAAGCATCCACAGTCTAGAAGTGGCATCTTCTTCAGATAAAACCTTGAGCAAGGATTGCTGTCCTTGTCTGCGATTAGAGTCTTTCGACTCGGTTTGGGCTAGCGAAATGATGATGTCTGTGACGTCCTTGGAAAGCCAATCATGCGTAGTGAGAGACTCGGCGGCAGCGCGAAGTACTCTGCGGTCTGTTTGAAGCTTCGTCGCCTGTCTACGAGACTCTCGTCGGACCTTAGGCGCATGCTTCTCAACCAGCAGCTGAAGTTCATCGCGTTCCAGCTGAGCTTCCAGTTCCTCTGGGGTCTGTTCGACCTTCTGAGCAACAGATGCCGGAGTAGGAGCAGCAGTAGAAGAGACCTGGGAAGTCGGCTCGACTACTGGACCTTCCTCCTTTTTGGGTGGACTGGGTTCGTCTTCGGTGGCGGCGGGCCTTTCCTGCTTGGGCTTGCTCGCTATGGATGTAGTAGCGAATCCACGAGCAGGATTACCGGCAGCCTTCTTCTTTTTCTTGTTTGGGGCCATCGGTCACGAGACCAGTCCTCTCTTGGTGGCAGCAAGCAAGTGGCAGGCGGAGGCAGGATGTGCACTCAGGTCGGGCTCCGTATAGAGAACCAGGGTGCTTGATCTCTGGCTAGATCGAGGTTGGCGGATCCGGGTCTGTGGGTGAAACGCATTGGGGCGTGCACAAGAGACGGATAGGCCAGGGACGAAAAGGGCGTCGATGGGTCGTGGAGGGCGCCGCCGTGTGCTGTCGCCGGGTGCGCTAGCGACTCGGCAAAAGTTTCCTCCGCCGGACGTTTACGTCGTGCGCCCAGGAACCTCAAATTTGAAGCTCAAACTCACCCCGCCAAACCCCGCCGTCGCATGGAGTAACACGATGGCAGTCAATGGGGAGAGTGCGCAACACCTGGACCGCGAGGAGCTGCGCCGCGGACTCGTGACCAGCTCCACAAAGCGCCGTATCCATGAGCTGTCGGGCCTGCAGCATCAGGTAGAAGACGATTGTGCGTGACAACGGTGCATGACGATACGAGTGCTGATTGTTTCGCAGCCCTCCTGCCCCCGGACCTCAAAATCCTCCTCGAGCTCCTCTTCGAGACATATCCCCTCTACGACGACAGCGATTCGAGACGAGCCGTCGAACAAGTCCTCCGATCCCTGATCAGTAGCACGCATGGCAATTTGGTGCTCTCCGCAGTCGTCGAATTTCTGAAGAGAGAATCGCAGAAAAAAAGCCTGGCATTGAGCAATGTTACTGTATTGATAGACTGGTGCTCGGTCCTCTTGCAACATTTCGCAAACGTGCCGGATCAATGGGCAAAACATGGGTTAGACGTCGCGCTTGCCCTCGCAAGAGTGCTGGAGCTATGCATGAGCATTGAGGATAAGAGACGAGGTGCGCGCGTCCACCATTCCGCCCTTGTTTCGACACGCCGAGCATTGCGTCCCCTGTTCCGCGCGAAGGACATCGGAGAAGATGCGCTTGGCAAGTTGGTCACTACTCTTGCGGCCAAGGGTGCATCGTCCACGGCTGGAAATGCCGTCCTCCTCGGTGCCATTGCCGGCGTCTCATCACGCCTATCGACCGTTAAGCCTCTGATAGAAGCCCGCAAACAGGAATACTATACTTTCTACGTGCGAGAGATTGTCGGATCACGGACCCAGTTGCCCGACCATATATCGCACGCTTTCCACGACTTCTTCGACAGCTTCGCGACACTGGAAGAGCTGCGAAAGGAGGTCATTCCTCCAATCGAAAAGGCACTCCTCCGCGCACCAGAGGTGGTGTTGAACGACATCGTTACGCCCATGGTATTAGCTCTGCCCAAAGACATGGACCTCTCCGACGTGCTTCTCGGCAACCTGCTTAAACCACTCCTTTCGAATGTCAAGTCAACAAACCCTAGCATTCGCGCGGGGGCCCTTCGCACGTTCCAAGCACTCGCTTCGCGGTCCCGTAGCGATTCAGCAATAGGCAAAATTACAGATGAAGTCTTGAACCCGCTGAAGCAGGGTAAAATCAGTGGAGTCGATCAAAAGGTGCTTCACGCCCAAATGTTGAGCGCGCTCCCGGAGTCCGCCGCGTCATCGCAGAAGATTCCTATTGCGATTGCGCCAGTAGCTCTCAAGGAACCGAACGAAGCCGCTGTGGTCGCCGAAGTGGCTGCCCTAACAAAGCATCTGAAATTCGGTCTGGCAAATGGTGTCGTTATGGAGAAATCCATATCAGATGCCTTCATCAAAGGAATGGCTGACAAGCGCGTTCCGATTCGGCGACTTTGGGCCCTTCGCACCGCGGACCTATTGTGGGATCTAACCCCTCAGCAACTAGAAAGAAAGGATGTTATCTCTTTCTACCAAGCTTCGCTCCCAAAATTGGTAGAGATCTGGCAAGAGGCCAATGCCAATCCTGTCCCAGCTACTCAAAGCGGACTGGTAACGGTGGGACACTATGTGACCGCTCTCTTAGCAAGCAGAGTCCAGTCTTCTGGCGATGCTACACTCAACGGAATTTACAAGAAGTCTGATGTTGTTGCTCAGTCTTTCGCAATAAAGCCTAAACCTTCGTTTCTGCTCAATCCACGCGTCTACTCCAAGCTCAATACTGAAGAGGACGTCGAGATCGCCTTGCGTGCTCTGACTGCTGTCTCGCCTTGGCTTCTTGAAGAACGTACACCCATTGAGGCACGTGAAGCGTGGGCACATGCTTTCATATTCTTCATAGTCGCACAAGGTGTCTCGACCAAAGCCAAAGCAGCTGCTAAATTGGTCCTGGAGAAGGCTTACGTACAGGCACCCAGCCAGATCAGTAGCGTCATTATAGCTGGACTGTGGTCATGGTACAAGTCGGACGAGTCAGGCGACAAAGAGAGTGCGGCGGTCGCTTCGAAATCCGGGGTCAGCGAGTTGTACAACGTTCTTGCTTCAATTTGTCTTTCCCAAGATTCTGTGAAAAAGCACGACGCAAGCATAGACGCTGAACATCTGCGAGAACAAAGCGTCAGCCTTCTTCTACTAGCGAGACCCGAACTCATGCCCCGAGTCTCCTGGATCGATCTTTCCCTACGAATGGGCGTCGATCCGGGACGATTGGTCAAAGACAAGTTGCAAGAGTGTGTCGAGCTCATTAATAGCGCCACGATGGTAGGTGACACGGATGGCTCTTAGATTGCGGAACTGACCAGGGTATAGGACCAGGAGAACAATTCATTCCCGTCCATCATTCAAGCTGCATACAGCGCATATACTGATCTAGCGTTTGTTGCCCCGGAAGTTGCATTACCAGTCATCGTAGACCAGTTCAGCGGAGACCTCGACGCACAACAGCTGGAGTCTGTCGGTCCTACCGAAGCTGCCATCTTCCGGACACCAGAAGGCACCGCATACATCGATGTCCTTTCAAAGAAGGCTCCCGTTACAATCGATAAGAATACCAAAGACTATGACACCTTGAAATGGGAAGAGGAGCTGAGGGCGCAATTGGCGCAGAAAACCGGTCAAACCAAGAAACTCACTGCTGACGAGCAGGCCAAAGTCAAAGCTCAGTTGGCCAAGGAAGCTACCATCCGGAAAGAAGTCGCAGCTGTTGAGCAGAAAATGAGACGTGGTGTTGGGATAATTCGAAGTTTGGCAACCGGTCCGCCTACTGAAGCAGAACAGTGGATGGGTCCCGCGGTCAATTTTCTCATCCAAGCTATCCGTGCTGGTGCTGGCCTATTACTCGGAGATCTGCCCGCGACTGCATATATCAAACTTTCCGAGCGAGCTTCCTCCCGCCTAGGCCCCTTTAGACCATTCGTCGGAATTGCCACGTTGAGGACCATTGGCTCGATCCAGCTACCGGCGGAGTATGAAGCGGAAAACCTAGGAGGTAAATCACACAATCCTTTAACATAGCCAGGGCTCACCCATTACAGATATGATCACTCGAGTGCTTTATCGCCTTCGCTTCCTGAGCGATCAACGACCTTTAGACGCTGTGTCCCTGGCCTACTGCTTTCCTCTTATCTTCCTCGTCCTCGAGAAGGGAGGCATAGGCCGTGCAGACCCTGAAGAAGCTGATGAACAGTTGATATTGGCCATTGAATTCATATCATTCCATACAAACTCTTGTACGTCAATCGCACCTTTCATGTTATCTGGCTCATATTTCCAGGTACCGACAACCGACTTCCACGCAAGCAACTTATCGAGACCTTAATAGCTTCTATGCAACATTACAACCAACACTACAAATTAATCAAAGACTGCATCATGGACTTGGCTCGTGGTCTGGCTGCAAATATCACAGACGAGGAACTGACAGCACTGCTAAAGGGGATTATAGTGCCAGAGGTCGCTGTACGGACAACAGTGTTACAAGCAATCGACGCGGAACTCGACATGAACGATCAACCTTTCAGCGAAGAGGTTTGGCTTGCTTGTCATGATGATGTCGAGGAAAATGTTGAGTTAGCCCGCACAATTTGGGAGGATAACGAGCTGCAAGTGAATGCCGACGTTGCGGCCAAAACCATACCATACCTGGATTCGTTGGACAAACAACTACGACGGGCAGCAGCACGCTCTATCGGCGAGACAGTGTCTCACTATCCGGCAATATTCCATGAGACTCTTAAGACCCTCCAAGAATCGTATAAGGAGAAAGCTAAGCCGCGGATGCCCGAGCGTGACGAGTACGGCATGCCGCGCAAGGTTGACCTGCGCGACCCATGGGAATCACGAGATGGTATCGCACTTGCATATAAAGAGATGAAGTCTTCATTTAAAGATGAAGATCTTGTCGACTTCTTACGATTCATGGTTTACGATGGTCCTCTCGGTGACAAGAGTGCTACGGTTCGCGACGAAATGATCGAAGCTGCCACATCCGTCATCACCGAAAAAGCTCAGTCTAAAGTAGAGCAATTGATGGAGTTGTTCGAATCTGCATTGGAGGACCCGGACCGGAAATCGGAAATGTACGACCAAGTCAACGAGGCCGTTATCATTCTTTACGGTGCTTTGGGAAGACATCTGAAGAAGGGCGACAAACGTGTTCCCAAAGTTGTACAGCGCTTATTGGCAACCCTGAGCACACCATCCGAGTCAGTGCAATACGCTGTCGCACAATGTTTGCCACCATTAGTACGGACGTCTGAGCAAGAATTGCAGACGTACGTTGAGCAGATGTTGGAGCAGCTGTTGCAGTCTAAGAAGTATCCCGCTCAGCGTGGTGCCGCCTACGGTCTCGCTGGAATCGTTAGTGGCAAGGGCATAAGCATCATCAAGGAGTATCGTATCATGTCAACGCTACGCAGCGCCACGGAGAACAAGAAGGAGGTCCACCAGCGTCAAGGTGCCTTCCTCGCTTTCGAGCTGTTCTCTCTCATCCTGGGTCGCGTATTTGAGCCCTATGTCATTCAGCTAGTTCCACAATTGCTGGCTGGATTCGGCGACTCGAGTGCGGATGTGAGAGAGGCCTGTTTGGATGCCGCGAAAACTTGCTTCTCGACACTTAGCTCCTTCGGTGTCAAGCAAGTCTTGCCGACCCTCTTAGATGGCCTTGATGATGACCAGTGGCGAAGCAAGAAGGGTGCTTGCGACTCACTAGGAGCCATGGCATATCTCGATCCGCAACAGCTCGCCTTGAGTCTGCCTGACATCATCCCGCCACTTACCACAGTCTTGACTGATAGTCACAAGGAAGTGCGCAATTCTGCTAACCGCAGTTTGCAACGCTTCGGTGAAGTCATTAGTAACCCCGAAGTCAAGAGTGTTGTCAGCATCTTGCTAAAAGCGCTCAGCGACCCGACCAAGCATACAGATACTGCTCTCGACGCTCTCATCAAGATTCAATTCGCGCATTACTTGGATGCGCCGTCTCTTGCTCTCGTCGTGCGCATTCTGGAGCGAGGTTTGGGCGACCGCTCTGCGACCAAGCGCAAAGCAGCACAGATTATCGGCAGTCTTGCCCATCTTACAGAGCGCAAAGATCTCATCGCGCATCTCCCTATCTTGGTCGCCGGTCTGCGTGTTGCCATTGTCGACCCTGTACCAACCACTCGCGCAACGGCATCGAAAGCCTTGGGTTCCCTCATGGAGAAGCTTGGAGAGGATGCGCTGCCCGATCTCATTCCCAGCCTCATGGCGACCCTCAAGTCCGACACCGGAGCAGGCGACCGCCTCGGATCCGCTCAAGCGTTGTCCGAAGTGCTTGCCGGATTGGGGACAGGTCGCTTGGAAGAAACTCTCCCAAGCATCTTGCAGAACGTTTCGAGCAGCAAGCCATCGGTGCGGGAAGGTTTCATGTCGCTCTTCATCTTCTTGCCCGCTTGCTTCGGCAACAGCTTTGCAAACTACCTCAGCAAGATCATTCCGCCTATTCTTGGAGGACTTGCGGATGATGTGGAGTCCATCCGCGAAACTGCGTTGCGTGGCCGACTGCTCGTCAAGAACTTTGCTACTAAGGCCATTGACCTGCTGCTGCCCGAACTCGAGCGTGGTCTTGCGGATGACAGCCACCGCATCCGTCTCAGTTCCGTCGAGCTCGTGGGAGACTTGCTCTTTAATCTCACTGGTATCAGCGGCAAGGCAGAAGATGATGAGGTTGAAGAAGGTGCCAAAGAAGCAGGGCAGTCGTTGTTGGACGTTCTTGGAGAGGAGAAGCGGGACAAGGTCCTCTCGGCTCTGTACATCTGCCGCAACGATATCTCCGGACTTGTACGATCCGCTGCCATCAACGTCTGGAAGGCACTTGTCGCCACTCCACGTACCCTACGCGAGATCATCCCAACCCTTACCCAGCTCATCATCCGCCGTCTGGCCAGCTCAAACATGGACCAAAAGGTTATTGCTGGCAACGCGCTTGGAGAACTTATCCGCAAGGCTGGAGACGGTGTACTCGCGACTTTGTTGCCTACATTGGAAGAAGGCTTGCAAACTACTGACACGGATGCCAAGCAGGGTATTTGCATGGCGCTGAGGGGAGTTGATAGCAGCCGCCACGCCGGAGCAACTTGAAGACTACGAGAAGACTCTTATTCAAGTTGTACGATCCGCCCTTGTCGATCCTAATGCCGAGGTTCGTGAAGCAGCTGCTGAAGCTTTCGATGCCTTGCAAGAGATTCTCGGCAAGAGGGCCATCGATCAGGTTCTGCCCCACCTATTGGCTCTCCTTCGCAGCGAGGATGATGCGCAAAATGCTCTCTCTGCGCTTCTTACTTTACTCACAGACAATGCGCGGTCGAACGTCATTCTACCAAATCTCTTGCCGACGTTGCTCAAATCACCGATGTCCGGTTTCAACGCCCGGGCTATCGCATCTCTTGCTGAGGTCGCTAGCAACGCCATGGCTAGACGTTTGCCCAACGTTCTCAACACGATCATGGACAACGTCATTAGGTGCAAGGATGATAATCTTAGGCAAGAGCTAGAAGATGCCTTCGACGCTGTACTGCTTTCAGTGGACGAGTTCGATGGTCTTAATACGGCCATGAGCGTCATGTTGACATTGATGAAGCACGATGATGAACACAGGCGCGCAAAGGCCGACTACCACCTTGCCAAGTTTTTCGAAGAAACCGAGGTGGATTTCTCTCGTTACTATCCCGACCTCATTCGCGTCCTACTCGTCTCCTTCGACGACCGCGACAAGGAAGTCGTCAAGGCAGCTTGGACTGCGCTCAGCGCTCTCACCAAACAGTTACGCAAAGAGGAAATGGAGTCTCTCGTCATCTCCACGCGGCAATCATTGCAACAAGCCGGCGTTGCAGGCCACAATCTTCCTGGTTTCTCACTGCCAAAAGGTATCAGTGCCATTTTGCCGATCTTCTTGCAAGGTCTCATGAACGGATCCACCGACCAGCGAACCCAAGCCGCCCTTGCAATTTCAGACATCATCGACCGCACCGACGCGAAGGCTCTCCAGCCTTTCGTCACGCAGATCACCGGTCCCCTTATTCGTGTGGTCACCGAACGCTCCACAGAAGTCAAAGCCGCTATCCTGCTCACTCTCAACAATTTGCTCGAAAAGATTCCCACGTTCCTCAAGCCTTTCTTGCCACAGCTGCAACGAACTTTCGCCAAGTCTCTGGCCGATACGTCTTCCGATGTTCTTCGGGCACGTGCGGCTAAGGCGTTGGGTACGTTGATCAAGCTCACACCTAGGGTGGATCCCCTGATTGCGGAGCTGGTCACGGGTTCCAAGACAGCCGACCAAGCAGTCAAGGCCGCTATGCTCAAGGCACTCTTCGAGGTGGTCAGCAAAGCCGGCAAATCCATGAACGAGACGAGCAGGAATGCCATTCTCGGTTTGATCGATACAGATGTCGGGGACGAGGGTGATGCAATGGCTATCACCAACTCTCGTCTCCTTGGTGCGCTTATTGGTGTCCTACCAGTGGAGACTGCCGCGGGACTGATCAAGACCCGTATATTGACTACGCACTTCAGCAAGGCGTCGATTCTCGCCCTCAATGCAGTCTTGCTCGACTCGCCTGACGCACTAATCGACAACTTCCCCGACGAGACCGTAGACACAATCTCCAAGGGCATCGCTTCTTCGCAGGACATTGTGCGCGACAACGCCGTCCTGGCATCAGGCAAATACCTGTACGTCCTCCCTCATCTTCTTTCTATTCCCTTACTACCCTACTAACCCCGCATCCAGACTCCTCGAGCGCGCCGCCAAATCATACGACCATACCAAACCCCTCTTCGAGGCGCTCGCCCCTGTAGTAGCTCCCGGCAACCCAAGCGACACACGGCGCCTATCCCTCGTGGTTCTGCGCACCATAGCGCGCACACACAACGATCTCGTACGCCCGCACATCCCCCTCCTCACACCGCCCATCTTCGCTTCCGTGCGCGATCCGGTTATCCCTGTTAAGCTAGCCGCGGAAGCGGCCTTCCTAGCGCTCTTTAGCGTCGTCGACGAAGAAGCTGCGGTATTCGATAAGTACATGCAAGCGCACGGGAAGGACCTAGGACCGGGTCCCCAGCGCTCTATGGGCGACTATTTCAAGAGGGTTGCTTTGAGACTCGCTGGTCAAGCGAGGGAGAGGAGAGAGGCGGAGGGCGGGGAGGGCGGATTGGGACTTAGTAGTGATGAGGTGGAGGATGAAAGGGAGGTGTGGAGTGTGGGGATGGTGGAGTTGGGTGATGTTTTTGCGCAGTAGAGGGTGGGGTGTATATGAAGGAAAGGAAAAGGAGGAACAGTGGGATGGGATGGGAAAATGGGTGGGCATTTAGCGGGCGTATAGGGTGTATATTGCTGATTTTATCGCGTTTCAAAAGTGGGTGCGTGTGTATTCGAGGTGTATGTTCTGCTGTGTACAGGAGAGTGTGAGCAGACTAGTGATTTGAATTCGTGAGGTCATGTATCGAGTTGAAAGTTATTCTCTCGCATACGACCCTAGGACACCGAGAACTAGTTCTCCTGCCCGGCCCGCTGTGTGTCATGGTACTGTTGCAAGTAGTCTGTTGTGTATTCTGAGTGGTTTTTCAGCAACCTTTTGCACTGGGGCTGTCTCTCCAGTTCTTTGATAAGAGGGATATCAAATTGTTTCCTCCATGCCGATCAATGCAGCTCTATATACTCGAGCTCTTCACCTGCCTGGAGAGCCTCGCCATCCATGATACCGTGAACGTAGGCGTCCCCAACAATAGTATAATGGTGTTCCTCTGGTCTCAATATGAATGGAACTCGACCTCCTGTCAACACTGCAACGACGTCGCCTTGTCTCGCATGCTTGGGTGCTAAACCCACCCGTCCGTCTCTTGTACCCATGACTCTTCGATTCCTGTGAGCGAGCCCTACGCTCATGTTTATGGGCCTGTAAGGGTCTGGTATGACGACTGCCCCGGCCTCTTTGGTTTCCGGTATTTTTCTGAGAGTCTCCTCGTATCCTTCATGGAGATCCGTCTCGATACCGCTCAGCCGATGGAAGATATCCGAATATTTTTGTGTAGGCTGCATTTCATTGAAATCATTGAAATCTTCCGGAGAAGCATTCGAATTTCTTTCGATACCTGCGCACATTGCTACCCAGAAGGACTCACGTTTAGCCAGTCCAGGGTCCTCTTCTTGGGGTGGTACGTTCGCTATCTTCAGCCACTCATCGATGGCATCAGATGTTGAGACCCCACGTTGTCTCTGGGAACCGCCGAGGTCTTGGGTAGCCACCGTTCTTATCACGTCTATAATCTTGCCCCGGATTGAGAGGGCTCCTGGTTGTGCTTTAAAATCAACCTTACTCCCATGACAAGCATCATAAACATCGAGAAGGCACCACTGCTTTGACCAAGCTCTTTGTTCTGGCCAGTATATTTCGCTCAGGTCCATTGTCCAATCTGGCACGAAAGACGGTAAATTAAAGTTCGGCTGGCGCTCGGTTCTGACATGGCTGAAGACGTCGAGATGCTTCGTACGATCGAGAAGTGATACGACGAAGTTTTCGTACACCTGTTCCACAGAGAGAGTATAGTCAGGCTGAATAAGATCTTTCGTGTCACTCGCACCAAGTCCCAGGAGGCCATAAATTTTGTCTCGCGGATCTGTTGCCTTCCTGTGTCGAAAGGACCCAATGCACTCCAGGAGGCTGCTACGAAACGTCTTGAGATGTTGAAAGGCCTCCATGGTCGAGCAAGCATTCGAGATATAGATCTGAAATTTGATAGGCAAGTCAACCGCACAGCAGAAGCGGTCATGCTTCGTAAGATGCGACATGAACTGCATGAAGGCGCCTCCGTCGAAGGTGTGTCCGCCGCAATAGAAAATCGATTTTTGGGCCAGGAAGAACTCTTGCACGGTCCATGTCCGTTCAAACCAACAGTGCCTTATGAAAGACCTTAGACCGACGGTCAATCCCACAATCTCACGAGCATTTTCGCCGTCGAGTGATTCTACGTCGACTTCCTCAATGTTTTCGATATAGAGGTCGTCAGGCCAGGCGTCGACCAGATGCGCATATGACGGGACTATTCCTTCAGCGGTAAGACCTGTCGCGAACTCCTTGAAGAACTTGAAAACGGACTTGATGTATTTTCCAGGCCAGCCCAAATCGCCAAGCCATATTGCCACGTTGGAAGCCTGAGTATAGATTGAGTGCATATGGGACAGTTGTTCTGATCGCTCAACCAAATTAGATTGGTTAATGCATAATGCGTAAACCCACAATACCCGGGGTTTATCTGAGTAACGTAGGCCTTCTAGCGCATACCAAAGATTGTCTGTAACCGGGACCAGACATCCTCCGATGTGCACGGCATGCTTCTCCGTACGCTCACCCCAGACGCACGACAATGCTTCGTATTCCGCGCTCTTATCATCAAGCGACGTGGTGCTGAAGTGACAGGCCAGGTAGTCTCCAGGCTTACCAGGGTGGAGATGGAGAAGTCGTGTCTGCCTTTGCGATGTGTCGAGAGCGGTATACTCCATGACTCACATGCTGTGCCACGCGATACTTTGCTGCCGCTTCAGATTTGACTTCCCTTCAAAGTTGTGGCTCCACAACTCGAATCTTCGTTTCTTAGCATATTATGTATGAATTAGGTCGAGAATAGCTGCGGCGTGCCACGTTGTAGCTAGGTCTCAATGTGTTGCTGGGAAGCTGTGTTGGTGGGGGTAATCGCTATGGTGCTGATTGGCAGAGGGGCGTGCATGGAAATATAGCACCACGTCAGCCTGCTCTAGCAGCCACCCATAAGCTCAGGAGTGGGCCTCGACGATTGGCGCCCAGAACTCACCTGCAAGGGCGGCTGGGAAAATACGAAGGCTTGTTCTGTCGACCGCCAGGTACTCAGAGATATAAGTCCAGGGCTCTTCGGCTTTCATAGCTCCTTCCGTCTGCGTCTCCCTTCTTTGTGCCATGTGCAGCTATAATGTTGTACATAATATTTGTGGTGAGCGGTCACGAGACAACAAGGCTTCCCATCCCATAAGCACGACGAAGGTGAGAGGCGCTAAGAACGTGAGCGTGTACGACTTCTGCAGCAAAGCCGTAAAATCTTTTGGCACTACTATATAATAGGACAAAACCTTACTTTCTTTCACATACGACCATAGGACACTGAAAACTAGTTTTCCTCTCCACCTCGCCATCTTTCGAGGGACCGTAACCGGGAACGGGAAACAGATCAGGTTATATTAGCAGCACAACTATGCCACACCGACTATGACAAGATCCCGTATACAATACCGCTAGCTATCCACAGTAGAACCTGCGCCATGGCCGAATATAGGCCCTGCGCGCGGCAGATAGGTATTCCTTTTACATACAACCATGAGACACTGGAAACTAGTTCACTTGTCCGTTCCGTCAAAAGTCGTGAAGCTGGTTATAGCCCAGCTGCTACTTCTTTTTTGCCATTTTGTTCACTGGAGACCGGAAACAGTTTCGAGGCAATCTGAAAAGCGACCACCCTCGCCAATACACCATCGAAACAGACTCCTGAATCCTGCAGATCTGTGGCAGGCTGTACGGCACCAACCGTAGCTTTCACGTTGCGTTCTTTGTTTCACTGCGTACCTCAACATATCCGACGCTACCTTGGTACATAAAGGCCTTAGCGATGGCGGCTAAGCTGCTGAGGCCTAGCATGATGTAGGCAGACATGGAAGGATGAAATTTAATGTCCCCTAGATTCAACGTGCCAAAGCCGCACTGTCTTGTCGCTGGATGCAGATGCTAGCTGCTTACCGTCTGACAAGAAGGCTACATTACACACCTGGCCTGAATGACCCTTAAGTATCCGTCGTAGCTCCCCAAATCTGACGTCCCAGAGCCGTATTGTCCCATCGTCTGATGCGGATGCTAGCTGCTTACCATCTGGCGAGAAGGCAACCTGTTTTACCTGAGATAGGGGGATGTGCATAGTAGGATTAGGGTTAAATTGTAATATCTGATAGAAGTAATCTTTAGAATCATCGTTAGGACTTATTGAGTGATGGTTTGTGGGCGGTGATTACTGTTGTGTTACGGCGTTCAAGGATCTTGTACGGACTTGAGCAGAAGTAATCCTGTAGTTGTATTTCGTGCGGCTGCTGCGAAGGTTCTGAGGCTGGGCAGGAGACACACTGTGCCTTGCGTAGTTTATTATACCCTGCTCAAGCTCTCTACATCAAGCCTTATTCTGCTAGGAAATAGCATCGCGGGTAGTCGGCGTGGGTATGGTGCGTCAGAACCAGGGGTCAAATCCTCGACACCGAGTTTCAACATTTTTTTCGCGATAAGAAATTCGAGCGGGAAATGCAGAATAGTGACACAGTCTTCTGGTGGGGGAGTATGCATGCTGGATCTGCGATCGCTGCTTAGATGGGCGGGTGCCGGCGCTGGGAGGGAAGGCCGTCAGAAAATTGAAAGGGCTCTAGGGTGATCAAACTCCAGACAGTGTTTCTACAAGATGTGCACGTAGCATGGGACAACCTGATGAGTAGCAATGGCAGGGAGAAACGGCGGACTGGCATGCAGTCGAACAATGTCCAAAGATTGGATTGTCCGGATGCACCAAAGGATAATCTGGAGATATTCCACGTTTCTCGTGCCTGTAGAACACGACCAGTGACAACGAATATACTGGAATTCCTCTTAAGCGGCCTGTAAAATTGTAATTATCAACGAATATGTTAGCCCATGAATAAAGAACGACCGGAGGACACTGAAAACTTAGTCTCCTGCGCGTCTGTTGTGGTACTGTTTCGAGTTAGCCGTCGTGAACCTTCCAAAAACTTGGTCTTGCTATTCAAGAGCGACCTAAAGTCCAATGTCCTTGCCAACTGGGCAGCCTAGGCTGGCCATAGCTGCCACGTGCAACAATCCGCGACTGCACCCTCTTTGGAAAGTAAGTCTGTGCCTGCACCTGCGAACGGGCAACCTCTAAGGGCGGCCTTTTGAGGAGAGGAAGGAGAGAGCTGGCAGTGTTCTCTGCACTATATGAAGCTGCACTTCGCCCTCTACCGTCCATCTCTCCTACACTCACCTTTTTCCACTTCCAACCACTTCGACCCTTCATACACTGCCCTCTTCGCCACATGCTCTTTGGCCTGCATCGTGACTCTTCTACCTCGCATTTGAATCTCTCGGATTCACCACTCTCACCTTAATGGTCTTCGATCCCAATTCAGCAACTCAAACCCGGGCTACTGCATCTGGCAGACCGTCTCGGCACAAGCACAACCGCAGTAACGTGAAGCTTGCTGTGAGTCACCTTCTCTTCCATCTCCATTCTCTGCTAACATAACTACAGCGTCCACACTGACTCGACGATCCAGCTCTTCGAGCACAGCACCAGCTCGTCGGCGTGCGCGCATCCCATCCACTCCTCGCGGCACGATCCATCCCTGACGAACACGACTAGCACGCTGCTAGGCCTGCGACCACGAGCAAGGATGCCGCAATCGTATACCTTAGTTGTTGGGGGAACAGTGTTGGAACTTCTTGAAGGCGGGTGGAATGAAGAAGCCTACGGGCACTTTGTTACGATCTGAGGCTTCGGCCAGTGATGACAATCTAGCAATCTGACCATAAAAGTCGCCCCGCATTAGCTTTGCTAACTCCGCGCAATCTCAACAGGTACCTTCACTCGTTTCAGACCTCAGAACAGTGTGTCAGCGACAGATCTTCATCACCGGTCTCGGGCACTTTGTTACGAAGTGGAGTGAAGTATTCCTTGGGAGGAAATGGGCGGCCGCACGCGAGCTTTTTGTAGTATTCGTGGTTCTTCTTTGGGAGCGTTGGGACGCTTAGAGGTTGGTTGGGCTGGGGCTGTGTATGTTAGTCCAGCAAGCTACCTGCTTCTGCATGTTTTCGGTCCCTTCTTGTACCAATGTTGACTCTATGTACGGTCTTGTGCCTTTTTGCCGTGGGTAATATGAATCCAGTTGAGTTGAAGACTTTTGTAGTATATGATTGGGAAAATCATAGGCTTCCTGTCCGCTCAGTGGTAGACAGCGTATGGGCGGATTAGTAATTGGGTTCGTGAGAGCCTTGAAGTTCCTGGTGTTGTCAAGCGCGCCTGAAGCCAATCAGACAGTCTGTCTCAGCGTAGTTCTCACGCTAATCGCGATTCGACCTCTCTGCATATCTCTGGTTGAGAGCGCTGCGAGTTTGTTGCTCAGCCTTGCTTACAAAACCCGCTCGTCTGGTGGCCTCATAGCCTGCGTGGCCGATGTCGTCTTCGCCGTCGCGTGAGAAAAAGAAGCTGGCTGCGAGACGCTGCGTGTTGTGGTACCTGTGCGCAACCGTCCGCGCGACTGTTGACTTGCCCTTACCTGCTAGGCCGTGTAGCCAGAAGACATATTGCTTGTCTTGTCTGTCCGCCCAGCCGTTTATCTTTTCAAGCAGACTGACACGTGTTCCGGGTTGGCAGGCAGGCTTATACTGCTTCGCATACGAGTTGAAGGGCGCCTCAGCAAATCTCTGCCAGTGGGCGGCTGGCTAAGCAAAGCGGCTAATAGCATCATATAATTCGCGGCTCTTCGCACTTGTGCAGGTGGTATTATGTACGCTGTACGTGCGTATAGATCCAGGCTCGCGGGAATTCCGAAACTGATGAATCTAACGGTTCACGGTGTATTCACCCAGTGACCGGTTTTCCGGAAAGGGTGTTTTTAGCGGTCTGAGTGGCGAGTGGAGCAGAGAGAACTAGGCTTCCCGTCCGCTCAGCCATATATAAGCAGTGTACCGGCGGATTAGTAGTTGCGTGGGTGACCAGCAGCGAATACCCGCTGTTGTATGTTTTTGGTTTTTTTTCGCGTTGGCGGGGAGCAGTCAGTACATGTGTTTGTGCGCAATGGGGGATAATTGACTCGCTAAGTGTACCATGCTACTTGTACTATTGGGGTGGTGCTAGTACTTTTGGTATCCACGCCGCCTATCGTAGGATCCAAGAAACTCCACACATCCTCCATGCATTCTTGACAACATTAACAATACATACAACAAGATAACAAAATTGGATGGTGATAGGTACGCATGGCGAAGAGTCTTGGACCAGGCCTTATTATTTTTTGAGATAGATTCAAGTATCGACGTGCACGATTCAAGTCATCGTTGCGAAAGTAAACACCGCTACAGCAACGCTTCTCCCATTCCATCTCAATCCAACGCCTACCATCCGCCGTACTTCCTACTCGACGTCGTCTTGGCCGTGCTTTTAGCTGTGGTCTTTGGAGTGGTCGTGCAAGAAGACGTTGTCTTCAACGTCGATTTTTTGGTCGACGAGCTAGGTTTTAGAGTCGACTTTAGCGTTGTCTTGCACGAGGTTGAGGTGGTTTTTTTCGTTGGAATTGGGGATGAGGTTTTCGTGGTGGTTTTGGGGCAGTAGTATCCTAGGCATTTGGACGTTGTGGTATGCGTGTAAATGGAAGATGAGGAGGGCTTTGAGGAGGTGGGGGAAGGTGTGAGGGAGGAGGTGGTTTTGCTTGAGGGTGACGGGATGCTGGAAGATGAAGAGGTAGGAGTGGGCGACGAGGTGCTCAAGGTCGAACTTGAAAACGGCATAGAAGACGACGGCGGGGTTGGCGTAGATGATTGGATGCTTGACGATGAGATGACGGGGGGACCGCACGGCTCGGTCGACTCCAGGTTCTTCGCTACGTAGAGCGACAAGCGATCGGCGCCACCGCAATATTGCGTGCTGTTTCCCGAGCATGGGGTCGAGCATTGAGTAGAGTCAGTAGGAATAGTGCCGTTGCCTAGAACAACACCGCAGTAGCACTCTCGTCCGAATTCGGTGCCTGCGAACGGGAAGCCTTTCGTACCGCAAGCGTCGAGGCACGTCTCGGTTGTCATTGCTGAGATGTTGAGGTAGCTCCATTGCGAATAGTCGAGTGAGCGGCCACTGTCGCCTTCGGTGTAGCAACCGAGGGACAGGAACTCTGATGAGATTGCGATGTCGTCTGCATCAGTGAAGGTGGGATCTTGGTAGATGGATACACTGTCTTCTCCTCCACAGGCTTGGGTCGAGTCACCTGCATGTATCAGCAATGATGAGGGGCGAGGAGAATGAGCTGCTATACCATTGCAAGGGAGATTGCACTCCGCTTCAGGAGCCGCAGCAGCTGACACGCTGGTCCCGCAGAAACATTGCCCTGGCACTGGTCAGCCCATTATGAGTGCCGTTGGCGTTGAGCTTACCATGATACTCAAGCCCTGCGTATCGGTAGTTGTTGCCTTTACAGTAAGCGGTACACTGCTCAACTGTAGCGTTGTTGAACTCGAGGTCGGCTGTGAATGGGAGTGCGCGACTTGCGACACTGTCTGCAAAACATCCCGAGTAGACGAATTTGGTGTAAGGGTAGACACATGGTGGTTGGGGCGGGTTGTTCCTGGCAAGTAATGATAGAGATGGGGATGCTGTCACTACAGTCAAGAGGCTTGTAAGTGCGAACAAGGCCATATTTGAAGAACGTGATCGAATCCGATGCTAGGCTTGCACTGTACCATACGATAGCCAGTGGGGAGTCTTTATAGTAAGAAGTCGATAAGAAGGGTATTCGCTGTTTCCTCGTTTCTAGTATATGCTTGGTCCTACCTACGGTTTACGCGAGGCTGGGGCTGTTATCGTGACCAGGGGCCATTCTAGATCTCAGCATCCCCTGTCGCGCGCAGCCGATACCAACAAGAACCGTTATAATCGACAGGCACAGCTTCCGGACTCGGACATCGTGTCTGCACGACAGCCGCAGGATATACCGGAAATTCTGGGACGCATCGTATTTCCCGTCCCCCGGTACCTGGATGCACGTTTTGGGGGGTTCATCGGCTTGGGGAACCATTTCCGGCTTATTGATTAATCTACAATGTACGAGCGGCCATGGATTTATCGGGATCGATGCAGTCGCATGCAGGATAAAGTATTGTCTCGATGTAGAATGGAGGATATTGAGGCGAGGAGTACGAAGTAGGTCGGTTCGTCAGCTACTACCGACCTGTGGCACGTGCACATGCCGGGTTCAACGTCGTGTTCGTCTCACATTCCTACTTCGAGGACAAACAACAGCGAGTGCATCTCGGAGATATGAGATCTTGTCCATGCTCCTGCTTCACAACGAAAACTCTCTTAATCAATTGACTCTTTCTTGCATATGATGTGGCGCTGTGAATACCGCTCTTTCCGACTCCTCCCCTGTCTACTGCTGGACCAAACCCTCGAACACACGAAAATCCCAAAAACCAAGCACATAGCGACATGATTATCCAAAATACCCATCATCATCTGGTTATGCGGGCGCTGCCATACGTGACTTATTTTGCTGAACTATAGAGCATAGGAGTTTTTGCCCCTCCCTGTCTTGGAGTAAGAGAAAGTCCGCGCAACCTGGCTAAGGTTAGCGTGGCAAGAAGCCAAAAGAGTATATAGCTTCCGCCCATGTGAACTGGCTGCCCTCTGGCTCTAGATTTCCTTCAAATCAAAAGTGGCTCGCAACCACTGCATGGTACCAAATCCCGGCAAAGATCCAGACGTGAGCGGGAAAGTGCGAAAGGATACAGACTATTGACGCCATCTCTCTTGATCACAACATTGGCCTGCTGCATATAAAACTCAAATGTTACACCTTTCTTCTGTGTTCACACAACTTCATCGCTCCTTCAAAAATGATGCTGCTACACATAGCATGGGCCTTCGAGCTCTTCTGCGGTGAACTAAAAAATTGCATTCGAGACAGTATGTGAGTGGGTTGGAGATAGTCGAATTCCTTCTGCTCATGAAGACGCTCCCGCCCAGCACTGCCCAGGTGATGACCAAGGACATGCCATTTGGGGGATCCTTTCTCGAGCCTGTTTAGAGTCGACGGACACTTGTGATATGATGTGCAGCTTCTGGTAAGCTATCTGACATCCGAAAACAAGTTGAAGATTTGCGATGCCCAAGCTTTGTGCAACGAATGTAACACCACGTTCTAACCCACCTAGTTCCAGCTCTTCCGGTAATACAAAGCACCGGTCCTTGAGCTCTCTTTCTGTCTTCACAACTCGGATTTCCTAGGTCGACTCGAATGGCACGACTAGCGAAGAATGTGTTCTGCCCTCTTTTGGGTGCCAGAAAGAATGGAAAGGGAAGCTATGACGAGCGGGCCCTTCACAATCTCATAGGCCTGTAGCATAGGTTGACGGACTTGCACACACCAAAAGCAGAACACAGTGAGACTATGTGGAGTCAACTTGCTTCTAGATCGTCAAAACGAGGCTCCTGAAACGTATGCCTCACGGATATTAGCCAACTCAGCATATGTAAAATCCTCCGTCTCCACTTCTTTCTTACTTCACACTTCTTCCTATACCACTGAAACTCATTCGAAGAAGGGACATGTAGCTTTGGGCTTCTGAAGGACACCAAAATCACATCTACAGATGTCTGATGGCCTGCGGACTTCTAAAGCGTAAAGAGCTTGGCATCGTGTGGGTTCTGCCTTCCTACCAAAAGTCAGCTACCATCGATTATATAGTTTCACTCTTCCGGTTAGTCCAAGAAAGTGCAATTCGTCAACGAGCGTGTCGTGGAATCAGGCTACGGATCGCATATATAAAGCGCCTTCTTTCCACAGTCTTCCTCTCCACACTTCCTCCATACCTACCAAAATACTCCTCGATCGCGTACGATGTGGTGCCGAGCTCCTGGTGGGCATTTGAAATCGGAAATCGACAATCCTCATGGTAGCGGACGCTAGAAAAGGCAGCATTCCCGTTTCATGTCTATGTTCCTCGTGGGAAAGCAACAGCACTAGCAACATGCGGTAACGCCCTCGTGGATCCTTCGTTCATTGGCTGGCACACATCATGCGAGCTTGCCGTGGACCCACTAACAGTCGCATGTGCAAAATCTTTGCTCAAACCGGATGCCGTCTTCGACCATGCGGGCTTGTTCTCACTGTCCCTTCACGAAATAAGGTCGAGAAGCTAGGAGTGTGAGGCGGAAGTAATTGGACGAGCAGAGGGTTTACATGCGATCGAAATACTGGACGTTGCTTCGGATGCCTGTTGCGACTTCACTAAAACATGCAGGAGCAATATCATGGTACGTCGACCTTCTGGGGCGAAATGAAAAACCCCTCCCGGAGGATCAGATGTGGAGCGCGTGTGTTTAGAGATCCAACCTCCTGCAGCTATGTGCGCTGTCTCTAGACCAAAAGTCTTATCTGAAAGCATGTATGTGGACTCGTCATCCGGCTGCTGCGATACAAAAGGAGCAACCCAATGAGTATGGCGTGCAACTACCATCCGCCTATCTACATAAAGCCCTCTCCTCCACGGTTTCCAGCCTCACACCTTCGCTGCTTTGACTAAAACTACAACCTATGCGCTTTTATGTGGACGCAAGCGCTTTGTGTGAACTAAAAGTATACACAAAGAATCCCATGTGCAGTGCGTGCTCTAAGAGTTCTACACACGCAAAATATGCGGTCGCTGTCTCTACACGAAAAGAAAATGTCCAAGTCTGCATGTGGACTCGTTGTCCGTCTCTTTCTATACGAAATTTGAGTTCATTCGGCCAGTATGGCGTGCAACTACCGGCCGGCAGCTATATAAAGCGCTCTTCTCCCCGATCCTTCTATCGTCACACACCTTCTCTGCTTCTACTAAAAGTCCAAGAAGCAGGTCTCGATGTGGATCCGAGGGCCTTGTGGGCACTAAACTCCACTGACAAACTGTTTATGGAGTTCGTGCTGTTCAGAAAGTGGCGACTAGAAGCATGTATGTGCGCTGCTCCCTTTGCATCCAATTCGGCAAATGCACTCAGGAGCGTCGAATGAGGGATAACAGTCTCTATACTCATACTGAAACCATACAGCAGATGGAAATCATGTCTCCCTAAGCGCTTTGTGCGCACTAAAGATTGCCAAAGAAATGCTCATGGTGAGCGTGCTCAAAAGAAAATACTCAGCAAGCTATGTGCGCGCTGCTCTCTTCGCACGTAATTCAACAAACGTACCCGGGAGCCAAAAGATGTGGCGTAACCGTCTCTCCACTTCCACTAAAACCTTCCCGGGACGAAATCATGTGTCCCCAAGCGCCTTCTCCACGAAAAACCCCGACAAAGCATTCCATGGTGTGTGTGTTCAAAAAGATATACATCAGCACGCTATGTGCTTGCTGCTCTCTTCGCACCCAAGTCAACAAACTTACCAAGGAGCACAATCTGTGGAGTGACTCCAGCCGACAAAGCCTTCAAACCGCGCGTTCACAAAAGCAGAAGTCGCTATTAAGCAATGTGCGCCGCTCCCTCCCCACTCAAGCCAACAACCGCACGCGTATTCGACGTATTCGACGTATTCGACGTATTCGACGTATTCGACGTATTCGACGTACATAACCCCCTCCTCCACCCTCTCTCTATCCTCACACACTTTCCCTACTTTGACTAAAACCTTTCTGGACAGGAGATCATGTGGCTTCTCGCGCCTTCTCCGCTTCGACCAAAACTTTCTGGACATCAGCCTATGTGGCTTCTCGCGCCTTCTGCACTAAAACCTGATCCCAACGTGTCTACGGTGCATGTGCTCAAAGCGACACGTATTCTGCAACATGGGTGCTTGCTTGAAAGATATGTCACCACTGACATGTGTGCGCTGCTTCGACAAAATCTGTGAAGCAGGCATTATGAGCTGCTGCTTCGAAAAAGAAGAAGTAGGTGGGCATGTGGAGAGGGCGGCTCGGCTTGTGCACTGAAGCGGGAAGAAAATGCAATCATGGGCAGACCATGAGCGGGTGGACGTCGATGCGAGAGCATAGAAATAGGATGCAATATATTGGTATGTGCGTGTGTGCGTGGGTGCTTGTTTGATCGTACCCGGCCGGGATCAATCGAATAGGGAAGAACGGGTGTTGCACGTGAATCCTAAAGAAGTGCTTATTTGACTGGTGTGTGGGATGAGCTGTGCTGCTTGTTACGAGTAGAGAACATGTGCTCGCGAACGCGGTGCGCTTCACAGGCCCACAGGCGCAGATGAACGGCATCATCACGCAGAATCCGTCAGCTCAAGAGCACGCCGCACAGAGACACGCCACAAGCCGTCCAACCAAAGTCATAACCTGCATAAACGCTAACAAGATCTATCATCTACACACATCACACGCCTATAAAAACGCCTAAGCCATCCCATTTACAACTCATCCCTCCTCCTCCTCTCCTCCTCCGCCCTCCTCTCCTCCTCCGCCCTCCTCTGCTCCTCCTTCTGCAACTCCTCCTGCACATCCACCTTCTGCACATTCTCCCCCCTCACCCGCCCAGCCAGCCTCGCAACCTCCTCATCATACACATTCCACTCAGGCACCTGCCTCCTCGCCCGCTCCAACTTCGGCTCCTTCGTCTGCGGATTATTACACAGATCGATGGTCTTCGCGTCCTTCAGACTCTCGTCGGAGCACCACGTCTCGCACCACAGCCACTCCTGCGGCAAGCTCTTGATCTCGAGGTTGAACTGCATGTTATTGGGGAGATCCTGGTCGAGATTGGACAGGGAGGCGGGATCCGCGGAGAGAGAGTGGTACTGTTGGCGCAGACGATCTCCCGCCGCGAGACGCCGGAATTGCACCAGGTCGACGACATACAGCGCAGAAATATGATACGGCCTGCCCCTCAGGAAGTTCGCCCAATACCCCGTCTTCCAGAAGCGGAAGCCCTCCATCTCTGTGCGAGAGTCGCACATGGGTGTAAACCCGTACGGCGCGCCGCCCAGATCGAAGGTGACAAGCTCGTACATATCCGTGCGAACGATCTGGTCTGCATCCACGAAGATGACTTTGTCGAGGTCGAGCGGGAAGAGCACGTCCAGGAAGAGGATCTTGTAGCCCCAGATCTCGCGCTGCTTTTCCGACTGCGCGCGCAGCCAGTGCGGCCACTTGTACGTGACCAGTTCGTAGTCGAAGCCGTATTCGGCGGCCATGTGCGGGAGGAAGGATTTGAAGCTGGGTGAGAGGAATTGCTCTACGAACCAGAATTTGACCGTGTGCGACGTGTGCTTCATGACGGAGAGCATCATGATGTTGAGCATGCGCTCGTAGAGGTGGCCCGAGGCGACGGAGAAGATGTTGATGTCGGCTTGTACGCCTTTGCCCGAGGACTTGGAGGATTGGAAGAGAGAGGCGCCCTGCTTGAGGACCTTCTCGGTGTTGAAGTTGAGGCCTACTTTGCTGAGGAGCTTGTTTACTTTTTGCGTGCCCTTCTCCATGAGCTCGACCGCGAGGGAGTCGTCTGAGGCAAGCACGTCCGCGGTCTCTTGACCTGGTTTTCGGGACAGGCGCGGGAAGAGAGTGAGACCTTGGAAGGACATGAGCGCGATCTCGCTGGTTTCGTCACCAGGAACGGGTGCCCAGCCGGCGGGTCCGGCGCTATCAAAGGAGAAGATCTCTGAACTGCGACCGGCTTTGAGATGGATATTGTAGAAACCGGGGTTGGCTTTGAACTGGAAGTAGCCCAAGTTGGCCATGATGATTGTATCAGCAAAGTGAGGGTCTTTCTCTGTGGCGAGAACGACCTCGGCGCCGCGAGGCGGCTGACCGCCGTTGGTCGTATCGCGCGAATGACCTTCAATGAGGATGCTTTCGAGGCCGTAAATGGCGTCAATGTTGGCGCCTGCGGGCAATGAACTGAGCTTGATATTGTCCAGGTCGTGGATGGATTCCTCAGGTGCGACGAGCCACGATGGCGGGACATCCATGCCCAGGTTGAGCAACGCTTCCTTTGGGATTCCGGAGAAGTGGGCTTCCAGGCTGTTGACAGAGCCGTCTTCGTTGAAGGAGGGCTTCGAGGCGAGCAAGTATCGGTAGAAACGCTTGACAGGTAACTCAGACAGCATCTGCTTAGGATTAAGATAAAGCTTCAGGTGAATGCCATCCATGTCTGACAGTGCTTTCAATATAGGCACCCATTTCTGAGCCAGCTCCGTTGCGGGATCAATGGATGCGACAACCTGGATAATAGCAGTGTTGTTGTCGCCCGTGACGATTGCTGTGTGGGCGTCATTCCACTGTCTGAATCGGTCGATCCTGAGCGTTGATGCAGACTCAAACATGCCTTCCGGGATATCTGAGATCGTAGAGAGGGCGACAAGCGACTGAATCTTGGCTACGTCGAGGGGAGACTTGACCTTCTCCGTCAGCTCAAGCGCCTTGAGCGCCTTGCTGAGCGGCTCGATACGTTTTCTAGTCTCGTAGGTAACCAATGTTTCAATGTCAGACTTAGAGAAGGGGTTTGCAGCCGGGATAGTTCCGACGAAGCGGCCGTTAACCAGAATACCGTGCTGACCGGGCTGAAGACCGAGTGCATCGTAGATCGGCTGCGCAGCCTTCCAGAAGAGGGTGGTATTCCCCAAAGTGGGTGAGAAACTGGGCTCCTGTGCCGCGATTGTCTGTAGTTGCTCGATGCTGAGGTCGTTGAGTGACTTAACCCATGCTTCTAAGATATCCTCAGAGGCACTAGACTGATCAGCGCCTGCTTGGGGGTTGTGGAGAAGCACAACTTCGACGTTCGGGTTCTCTTCACGATACTGAGCCACCGACTTGAGCAGGCTCAAACCGGGGTCTGAATCGAAATCTCCAACAAGAGTGACATGGGCCCAGTCTTCCTTATTAGCTGATTCTGCAGCTTGTACGCGCGGCAACACGTTGAAAATCGCGCCATGCTTCTCTACAAATTCAGCCATGTCGATGAGCGTGATGTTTTTCTCGTTCTCAGGGATGATCAGCGGGTTGCGCTTCCTCGCAGCCTGGAACAAGAAATACTGCGGAATCCAGCTATCGTCGTTAAGTGTGTCCTCGAAAACCAGTTGCTGGATCTGGCGAAGATCCTGTCCAATGCGTTGACTCATATATTGCAACCATGCCTCATCCTTTCCGATAGCCACGCCATTGACGAAGATGGGAGCGCTTGTTCCATCTGCAGCCAGACGGGCAAGGTACTTTTGCGCACCTTCCAGACGCTGTGTAACGTCCACCGAATGTGATACATCTGTAAATTGAAGAGCTCGGCGCTCGGCGCGAAGAGTAGCGTCCTTGACAACGGCGTCGAACACGGCCTTGTCCGGCTGTGCCAGCTTCTTTGCTTCGAGAGACTGTGTATATATATTAGTACGAACTCCGATTAAGCGTGTGGTATACTTACAGCATCGAGATACTTAATTAATGTACTCAAACCATAGGTATCAATCAAATGGTATACGACCTTCGCCTGCTCAGCAGCGCCTTGCGTCTTGGTGAGCGGGACGAGACCCCATCTAATCGGAATGCCGCGTTGAATCAAACCCAGTACAGTTTCGATGACCATAAAGACATCGTCTTTGAAAGTAAAGTCAACTGGCACAATAGCGTTGTGGATGTCTTTACGGACGGATGGCAGTTGTCCTGGGTACGTCCTCTGCAGCAACGCTTGGATCTGCGAAGGCCAGGTCTCGTATCTGGAGTCCTTCTCAATATTGTTCATCCAGATGATGACATCGCCGCCTTCGATTTCGTCACGGAAGTCGTAGCGCTGGGGTTCGTCTTCTGCTTGCGTTTCCGTGATGGCAGAATGCGAGAGCAGGGAGATTGCGTCAGGGCCGGAGAGACCCTGGCTGCGAACCATTAATGAGGCCACGCTCTCGGCGCAAGTGCTCTAGGAGTGCAAACGGATTGATGTCGCGGACAGGGACTTGCACGCCATTGATCCAGAGGATGTTGAGACCAGCGGGAAGTAGTTGTGCGCGGTTGGACTCGTGCTCTGTGACAAAATTCTCGGAAGCATTGTGTGCCACAATAGCGGAGGAATACTTTGGAAAGTCTTGAACGAGCTTCAACAAGGTGTCCATAGGATGATCGCTCTTCATCACGAAACTGGCAGCCTTTAGCCCGAGATCCGCTACCTCATCTTTGGCGAGCGGCTTCAGGTCCGACACATCTGCTTCATCGTGCAGCTCCGCATCCAGCGACTTCTGCTTCTCTCCCTGGTCAGCTGGCGCCCGATCATCAATGACGATATAGTCCGTCCTCTTCAGCTGCAACGCGACACCGTATCCATTCACCACCAGGGGCGACTTCGATGCATTAGCAGAAGGCTTGTGTCGCACGCGGTACGACGTCTTCCCCTCCTCGGCGGTCTTCCTCAGCGTCTTATGGAATTTCGAAAAAGCGGGGGGATGTGATATCGGCGTAGAGAATCGAAGGCAGCGCATGCGAGCTATTCCCCAATGTCCGGTCGAAGGGCAATTCATACGACCTGCATATATCAGCTCCGTCTCGAACGTCCTGTCAAGGGGAACCCACCGCTCGCCCTTCACATTCCCATGGCTCTCCTCCAACTGCGGGGAGCAATACTGCTTCCCTCCGAAAGCCACCCATGTCTCACAATCCGGTCCCTGTTCACCCTGTAACGACGGCTCCACCGAAGTGTTGTAGAACTGATAATGTGCCTCTATCCTCGGGGCAGCCGACCGCACGGAGAGCGCAAACTGGAACGACGAAAGCGTCTCGCGGTCCGAAATATGTCCGTCCGTCTGCAGCAGCTCCACAAACGATGTGAAGAGCTCCTGGTCTGTCTTCGCGGCATCGAAGTAGCCGTCCGCTATGCGGTCGAGGAGGGGAAAGTATGCGGTAGCGTTTTCTTCTGCAGCGGTTTCTCTGCGGTCTATTAGCTCCCATCTCCTCTCAGGGTTACAGAACGTACAATAACTCCACCAGATAGGGCGCAGAGTTAAACGAAGCCTTCAGCGCGACGTTGATCGTGGGTCCGGCGCGGACACCAAGATGCCTCCACGCGCTCAGCAACAGAAGACCCCGCGCACCCAGCAGCCCATTGAGCGCCCGCATCGCGCCAGAAAAGATGTGAAGCTGCGCAAGGCTCCGGGTAAGCTCTCAGCGAGACCAGCAAGCAGAGGGTCGGTTGTGAGGGTACGTGGTCAGCTCCGGGAGATTTTAAGATGTTGCAACGTATAGCTTTCGGCCCCGGCGCCTGTTGGATTCAACACCGCATTGATACGCGTGTGGAGGATATATACGTGAGTGGTCGTGTGCGATGAACAAGAGAGATTATTTACAGGGCGGATTTCCTGTTCCCTGGGTTGAAATCAGTGGGATATCGTTGCGGTGTGCCTCCAGGTGTTCGAGATGTGGGTGTGACGCCACCCCGCACCGCCACACTGTGGCACTTCCGCGCTCGTCGACGCGGGGAGAGCATTTCAGAACGAACGTAAATCACAATGTCGGCATTACTGCGATAAGCTTCCCTCCTGTTTGAACGGGTTCCTGGTCCTGTGGACTTCTCGAATCAAGCACCAGTAGCTATACACGCATTTGAAATTGGCTTTGAGAATTTATTCTTCGAATAGCTACTTACATGTAGCTCACTAAATTCACGCATAGATTCCCTCGACCTGTCTCACGCAGAAGGTGTCATCCCATCCTAGAGCTTTAATAGCCCACGAATGTCATGAATTTGACGTAGGAAGGTTCATAGTTATCGATGCTATCAAAATACATTTTACAAAGGGTAGCCTTGCTTCGTGTTGTACATCAAGTTTACCCCAGCTACCCTACCTGGCTTTTACTATCGAGGTGGACGGAAGTCGGTACCTTTGCCTTCCCTGCTGTATGCCTCAATAATCAAACTTCAGCCTCTCCTCCCCTCTCTTAACCAACCGTATAGGAATCGTATACCCCCTCAACTGCAGCGTAATAATGCTCGCCGTTTTCTTCTTCAACAAGAACCACGCACGATTCGCCGCCTTCCTCCACACTTCCTCTCGTCCCTTCTCGTCCATCCTCTCCATCTCCTCCTCACTAGCCCATTCGTCCACGGCAAGCTCAACGCTATACTGCGTGAATATGACTGCAAATGCAGTCAGAAGCTCTACCTGCGCGAATCGCCGCCCAATGCACGACCTGAACCCGTCGCTGAATGGGATGTACGAGCCCTTGACGGGCTTGAACAGATTGGACGATGTGTCTTCTCCTGAGGGACCGCGCAGCTCCTCGTCATCATAGGCGATATCCGCGAAGGAGTCGGTAGTTTGGGACTTGTTGAGCCAGCGTTCTGGGCGGAAGCGCTGTGCATCCGGGATGCCGTTTACGATTTCCTCGCCGGGAGGCGCAGGCCAGTATCTGGGGTTTTTGTGGATAGCGCAGGAGAGCGAGACTTGGGTGCCTCCGGGCATGGTGTACTGCTCGCCGTCCATGGTAAATTGCTGAGGGCGGCCTGGCGCGGTGGACTTGGGAATGTTGTTGATGGGCGTCATTATGCGGAGGGTTTCGTTCATGACGGCGGCGGGCATGCTGTTGAAGAGCGGCTTGAAGGTCTCTTCGTATTTCCAGTCTGAGATTGGCCGTCCTTGGATTACTTCGTCGATGTCGTCCTGGAGTTTCTTCTGGGAAGACCAGTGCATCGCGAGGAAGATGAGGGAGTAGTGTAGGGCATTGGCGGTGGTTTCGTGGCCTGCGAGCATGAGGACGAAGGCGTTTCCTAGAAGATCGGACTTCTGGATGGTGGTCTGGTTTTCATCAAGGATGCCTGAGTTGCGAATGAGGGCTCGGAAGAGGTCCATGCCGTGGGCGTCTTGGCCGGAGGATACTTGGTCCTTTTTGAGTTGGAAGATTTCGTCCATGTAGTTGCCCCATTCGGACATGGCCTGTCCTACTTTGCGGTGAACCTTGACAGGCGACTTCACTGTCGTATGTTAGTATGTGTTTACGTGAGAGTTCTGATTTATCTGTTCAGAAAAGGTAACGGAAGGGATGTAAATTCGACCATGGATCTTCCATGGCTGCAATTTCACTCACATAATACGGACGGAGGACCCATAAACGTCCACATGATATTGTGAAGAAGCTCACTGAGTGCCTCACGGTAGTTCATGGTATGTCCTGGCGGCGGCTGAGACCCTGTGAATACTGAATCAGCTCCGTCTGCTTTGTCGACCTGACTATTGCCGTCTTCATGCGGCCAAGTTACTCGAATATCGAACCCTGCACCGCTGATTATAAAGAGAGCCCAGCTCATAGTATCGTGGCCGGGATCAGTAAGAGTTCGACTCTGGTCTGCATTGGGCTTCCACATTCGAAGCAAAGCATTGGTATGATGCAAGGTTTCAGTGAATACAAGCTCATTATTACGTTCTCCAAAGCTCGGCGCCGTGAGTTTTCTGTGCATTCGCCAATCAGCGCCTTCAGTAGAAACCAAATTCTTGCCGAAAACGTCGAGACGAGTGTACATTTCAAGTGGTTTTGGAAAGTCATTTCGGCGCGTGGTTATTTGCGTGACTACTTCCGCGTCTGCGACAAATGCCATTATCTTGGAGGGGGACACTGTGAGAAAGACATCTGAGCCTATTTTCTCATAGGGCTCATGTCCAAGCCTATGGGCCCATTCGGGATCCAAAAGACTGTACCAACAGTTAATATCCGTCGGCATGATATATGTAGGCATGACACGTACTCGAACCATAGTCCTTTGCGCGAGGCTGGAAGTTTGTTCAGTATTGGGATCCACAGGTAGTACGAGGCGAGCCAAAACACGCTGAAGACATGCACTGGTTGCACGACATAGGCGAGACCAGAGCTTTTGGCGATGGAGATGTTGCGCTTCAGACGTTGATAGGTGGTGAGGGCTTGGTACAACAGCACGCATGCAATCGCGCTCCACAGGAACGGGTACGCCATGGGATACCCCGCTTTGCGACGTCGGGCTGATGGGTGCGAAAAGGAAGACGCAAGGAGGCTCAATGGGATTGTGAGTGCACGTTGGAAAGAAACGAGTCAGAGATGTCAAAAAGGCATCGTGGCAGTTGTTGTGGTCGGTCGTGATGTCAGGAGGTCACGTTTCCGCGCATCAAGTACGTTTGAGCCCCGCATGTCGCTTGTTCCCTCCGTAGCGCCGGCTGTGGCTATCAACGTCCATGGAAATGCTCTGAAAGAAAGATGTTCTGCACATGGCGAAGACGCGACGGCGCAGTAGGTGTCGCAAGGCTGTAGTAAACGAGCGTACTGTGTAGCTTCTCCTGGCGGCAAGGCTGGATGTGAGTAAGATGCGGTTGGGGCTAGCGCCCGAGGCACTCGAGTTAGCATCAGGGTGACCTTGCACGGCAGCTCACGGTGAATGGCCAGCAGTGCCGTGTCTCGTGCGTTTTGCTGGAGTTGTCGACAGCTGCAGGTGGCACAGCGATGTGCTCAAAAGCATGGTCGCGCCACTCAGACACGGCAAGTCGCGAGCCTCACAGGACAGTCGCATTGAGCGCCTCGAACAGCAAGCACTGCGGGCGAGCATGTCCGTCCCGTTGCGGTTCAGGAGGCCGCGATACCTACCGATTGCAGCATCTAGAGGGTGCTCGAACCGTGGGGGAGCGCAATGCGAAGAGAGGTCGTTTCTTTTCAGCAGCTGCTAGATTCACCTCTGCGGCCAGCCCCTGCGCCCGTCGTTACATTGCGGCGTTTCGACGGGACTTCGTCGGAGCATTGTTGGGCTGCTTGGAGTGTTTCCTGGCGACCTCCACGATCTCTTCCACCCCGGCCCTCGTGGCACGCCGCCGTCCACGTGGCCATCTGTTATCGTGAAGGGCCTTGGCGATGGCCGGGCGGGCGCGTTGGCAGCAGCATGGACGGAAGATTCTGTGTGCATACCGCAGTCTTTTTACCGCCCTTGCCGTCGCTGCTGAACACAACACGGTGGACTGTGAGAGTTGTGAAGTGAGGCTAGCCCGTCGCGCCTGCCTCGGGCTAGCGCCAGCCGCTCCTGCTGTTTTGGTCGTGCTGTTTTGGCAGCTGACTTGCTGCCGGCATGGTGCACTTTGTATCTGACTCTGTCGACCGCATCCCGAGGTGTGCAGGGGCGCATCGTCCGATTCTCGCTGCATGCCACCGCATCATTGCTGGACGTTGCAACCACTGACCGGCAGGCCCCCTGCACCAACCCTCTACCAGATCTGCCCTCGACTCAGCGCGCCTGACAGCTCGACTGCGGTACTTGCGGTGACTGGCGGTGCTTTGCCGGCGAGATAGTCGCGCAGACCGCTCGTCTTTCAATCTCAACACACGAGCGCTCCGGCAAGGGCCAAGACGCGCATGTCTCGTTGCCCAACATGTCGATCTTGGGCACGCTGGCCGAGGTGCTGCTCGCTGAGTCCTGACGCCAGCGGCGACGAGGACTGAGTCGCCGAAACGACGGCGCCGACGCCGTCACGGGCACTCTCCAGTGACTCCAGCATGCCTTCACCGCACGCTCGACACCTGTTGACACATCCCCCGCCGATTGAAGATGCTGGCGACTCATCGCCCGCCCGCCGCCAGCCGCGCCTCACTTCCAGCGGCCTTCGAGAAGCCTCGTTGGACCAGGCCAAGGCAGCATGACCCATGATCCTTCGCAGAGCGGGGCTTTGGACCGCACGCTCAGTTTCATGCACAGATGCACTGCCAATCTCGCAGCACTCGGCCATGCAATTGGCCGTGTTGCCCTGGAAATTATCCGACGCGACACTCGAGAGGTGACTGTGCTGGAAGCTCATGGGCTGCGCGCTCGACGGAGGACCGCGCACGTCGCCCTGGCCTGGCTGGCCATGCACGCTGCCCAGCCCGTCGCACGTTGCGCCCGGCTCCCGTCTGCTCAGTGATGCAGCGCTGGCGTCTCTGCCTTCTAGAGGTTTGCTGCTGGCTGCAGCGGCGCGCCCTTCTGTCCAGGTGCGCCGGGCAAGTGCAGGAGGCACGGCGCGCTCTGCGAGTCCGGCCCTTCCAGCGCTCCGGGCCTGGGTACGGTGATGGCTGGACGAGGCGTCAAGCGAAGCATCCTGCAGTGCGTGAATCGCGGGTGCTGCTCATTTTCACTCGCCCTGGTTGCGCAGATTCGAGCGTCTCCACCGCCAGCCGAGCGCGCCATCCCCCCTCCCACTGCCCTCGTCAATCACAACTCTCCCCTCTGGCATCTGCCTCGACAAGCCCGGTGCCAATCCGCAGCTCCCTGCCCACGCCCAGGGCCCGCTGCCGTCTCTCTTCCTTCCTGCCCACGCGGCCAGCTTCCCTGCCCGGGGCTAGCCAAGTGCCCTCTCGTTCGGTGCACGGCCCGTCCAGCAGCCACCCTTCGCCGCTACCGAGCCAGAGCGCCAAACGTCGACGCATTGCCTGCCAGAGCCCGCCCTGTCTCAGCGCAGCAACCTCGCTCGCTTGAAAGTCTCGTCGACGGTCTTGCCTGCTTCCAGCAACGTCTCCGGCTCCATGGTAAGGTTGCCATCTCGACAGGGCCTTCCTCGCGCGGCTTGACCAGCGCCCGCCTCTGCATCGCACCCGCTGCTCTGCCCTACGCAGCTCGGAGCCTCCTGTGCCTCGTCAGGTGCTCTCCCAGTCTCCTGCGACGCTTGTCAAACTTCTCTCTCCCCCCAGTGATGACGCGGATTGGCCCAGCACAAGTCCTTCTCCGCCCACTCCACCGCTGACGTGCTGGTGAATTGCTTCTACCGTCCCTGCTCTTGCCGCACCCAAGGCCTCTGCACCTGGCTCCAGCGCAGGGCCACGGCCACGGGCATCAGTGAGTACATAGAGCCCAGTGACGGAATCGCGGCCGCATGGCCTGAGCGGAAACGTCTGATATAAGGATGGACGGCGTTGATCCGGACGCGCCCACCCACAAGAGGCCCCGTTTGGATTCGGTCAATCCCGTGTATAACGGCCTTCCCCCTCCACAGCCGCCTTCTGCCCGACACCCATCACATCCCACTTCGGCCCAGGCTTCCTCACCCCCACCGCGCATCTTTCCACCGCATAGCTTGCCGCATCCCTCGCACGCCTATCCGCCTCCCGCACTTGGACCCTACGGCCCAACTCAACCCTCGCCATCCCTTCCGCCTTCTGATATACGCCACCTCCCCGATCCAAGGAACGTGTCGTCGCCTGCCCACCGCCCTCATGGCCTCCCGGGCACGCCGGTGACACTTCCTGCCCGACATCCGCAGCAACCCCAGCCCGTACCTCAGGATTCCATCCGCTCCTACAGCACAGCACCAACGCCACAGTCTTCCGCCGTGCCCGTCCAGGGCTCGAGGGAGACGAGTCTCAGCATCAACATCGACGTCAAACGTACAGACTCTGAACCTGTACCACGAGGCATGGAGCATGGCGGCCCCAGTCCTTGGCCTGCAAACCATGACCCCCACGCCTCTCGCCATGGCAGCATGAGCAATGGCTACGGTGCCATGAGTCCTCCAAACGAGTCGCAGTTCCATACACCACCGCTCCCGCAGACTCCGCAATATGGTCAACCTCCTCCTCTGCCGTACTCGAACGGGCCCTACATGGCACAGTACGGTCCTGGGGCGCAAACGATGCGACGAAAGCAGGTCCGAGCCACCCAGGCGTGCAACCATTGCCGATCGCGAAAACAAAAGTGTGACGAAGCCAGGCCGTGTCAGTTCTGCAGAGAAAACAACTTCGACTGCCAATACAAGGACGTCCCACCACCCAAGTATGTAAGGCCAGTCTTGACTGTAGTTCGCTTGCTGACCCTTGAATTAGACAAGATCGCAGCATGATGCAGTTGCAGGACAGTGTCAATAGCATATCCGACACGTTGAAAGATTTTGTGGAAAATTTTAACATATGGAAACAACACGTTGACGGGAAGCTCGCGCAACCAAAATTCGCTGCGCATGCGTCGCCAGCGTTTGATCATGCGTCTCCGCAAGCTTTCGGTGCTCGACCCCCGACTGGCGAGCAGCATACACCAAGACTACCAACTCCGGTCCATGGACGAACTCAATATAGCCGAGTCAACAGCATGAAGATGGAATCCCCGGTCGTTACTCATAACCATATATCCCCCGTGCCAGCGCAGCCGCCGACACCTATCAAGAGAGAATCCTTCCAGGGATACGCAGCGCAGCCTGCTACACCCGCCGACAGTGTTGTGACGACCGTTACACAAATAGCTCCAGACCCGGCCAATGACAACGATCGAATTGGTCTAAAGGCCGATCATCGGACGCCAGCACATCGCCTGTTCATCGAGTGGCCCTCCATGACGAACTTCTGCAACGGTGTACCGTTCATTCAACGACTATTGCAGGAAGGCCACCGAATCGATCAATATCCCATGCTTATGGAACAAGATCGAGGACTACTCCGCGTCTGGGGTGTCGGAGAAGGCCACGACCTCTATGATGGTGCTCATGGCCCTGGCAGTCCGGAAAACCACCTCGAATCGGACAGTCCCTCACCTGCTGCTACGAAAGAGGGTTTGTGGGGATGCCCACCTGCTGATCATTCGAGCCCTAGCACCTACAACGGTGACCTCCCACGACATGATCACGTAGGTGGTCTTGGTCCCGATGGAAAGCCCGATTTCAACTCCCAGACTCTATGGAAACTTTACCGGTCGTACCAGGAAAACATACATAATCTGCACCCGTTCCTGAATCCGGCAAAGCTGCGAAAGATGATCCAGGAGTTCCAGGATGTATACAGCCCGGATCGCAAGAACAGCACCATGTCACCATCAGCGGTGCCTGAACGACTCAATGGCGGCATGAAACGAAAAAGATCCAGCAGCATGTTTGGTGACGCCTATGGATTGGCGGATGAGCTTGCCAGAGGCAGTATCGAACGTTCTCTACGCAATGCGATTATCCTTCTCGTCCTTGCGTTGGGTAAAGTTTGTCTTCACAAGGAGAAACTACCCCATCCCCAGAGTGACAGACTGCCGACAGCCAACGGAACATGGGGCTACCATCGAGACTCGCCGCGCTCTGCGAACGATAGTTTCAGCAGCGATGGTTCGGACACGCGTGCAAGGAACATTGATATATTGCCTGGAATGGCATACTTTTCCTACGCAACCGACATCCTCGGTAATCAGAACGGTGGCAATACGGTGGCTCATGCTCAAGCCATGCTCCTAGCTGCCTTGTATTTGGGACAATTCGGGCGGGTCCTCGAAAGCTGGAGCTGGACCAACAACGCTTGCAGAATCTGTTTGGTACTTATCAGACGCGAGGGCAAGAAGGTTTACCGCAAGAAGATTACGCAGAACGCCGCAGGTCAGAATGTTGTCGAAGACCCCAACGACGACGGCCAGTCGGCTGAAGAACGGCACCGTCTGAACTTGATCAAGTGCGTTTACTGGACATGTCTCCAAATGGAAAGCGATATCATTGCGGAGATTAGTGAGCTTCAACCCAGTGCAATCACCCAGTACCAGACCAAGATCGAATATCCCTCCGGAGTCTACGAGTCTTTCGGTGAAGGCATGCCCGAGCTTCATGAAACATCTGAGCACACGAAGAACCTCTTCATTTACTCAAGCCAGATCCATTTGCGTGTCATCCTTAACGATGCACACAATTCGCTGTATGGCGCGCGACTTGGCTTTGATAGCAACAACATCGATGAGATTGGAAATATGGCACGATCACATGCTGAACTGTTAGCCACCTGGCGGCGCCTGTTGCCTGAGCCGCTGGCTTGGAACGACTCGGATCCACCGTCCACCGACATTAACATTGCCCGCATGCGTGCGAAATATTACGGCGGATACTACGTAGTCTTACGACCGCTGTTGTTCAAGGCTATCCATCACATGAAGCTGCCGCCTACCGTAGCATCGAACAATTCGCCGCTCCCCACGGACACTTCGTTCGGATCCAATCCGCATCGGGATATCGTGGATCTGAGTGCCGAGGACGAGAAGGCTCTGAAGATTGTCCAGAGCTGTGTCGAAAGTGCCATTCAGAGTACAATTGCATTTGATCGAATTGGTGCCGACGAAAACCTTCCGTACAGGAACTACGAAAGTCAACGCAAGTCTCGGCTTATTGTGCCCAACATTTTCGGCACGTTGCATGCGTAAGAAACCCATCAACTCAATAAGAATCATACTAATTCAATTGTCTAGGCAATTTGGAAACATGCTCGTGCTCACTGCGGTCTACACCTCTCAGATGCGCAGATTCCTTCCCGAGAAGAACTGCCTGACCAAGGATACTCTGACGGCCTTGTTTACGCGAACCCAAGACATTCTCAGGGATTTATCAGGCAACTCCCCGGTTCTCTCTCTGGACTATGAGATTTTGGATAACCTTGCACGACTACACAACATCCCATACCGACGTTCCAGATGAGTGCCTGATCTGCGGTTTTAATCCGCTATCTTTGGACGGCAAAACCCCCCACGACGTCCTCGAGGATCGAAAGGGAAAAGGAAAGCGAGATGATATATGAATTTGGCAGGGTCAACCCGACCAATATCAGCAACACATCGCAAATCACACACACACTCTCTCTCTGCATTTACTACGGCGCATTTGACCTCTTCTGGTCCTACATAATTACATTGGGTGGCTAGCGCTCGAATTTTGACACCATTGCATAGCCAACTTTGGTTTTCTTGTTTTAACACCACACACATAGCTGGGCGGCCATCTGTCGACTTTCTGCTGGAAACATCTATACCCTGGTGGGAATGGGAGCTTTTGGGCTGCGATATCAGCCATAGTTTTCTTGGAAGGACTATATCCACGTTCCATGTTTGAAAATAGCAACTGCTTTTCGGGTTTGTCTGCAAACTACGCATGGCTTGCATGTATTTGGTATCCGACACTAGCCGTGGCTGTGTCATGTGTTTCGGCACTGTTGCAAATCAGAGCAAAGCGAGGGGGTTGGTTCGGGTTACGGAGTCTGGGCATCCATCCATCGCTTTGCTTTGCTTTGTTGAGAAAGCGTTGAGCTTGAGCACACAGTAATGGAAGAAGTTTCGGATCGTGGATCCGTTCAATCAGTGCGTTTCGGGTGCGTGCGGATGTGGTAACTCGGTGCTGCATCCGAGACGGTGATGCATGGCATGGCAGCGTTTGTTCACGGTGTTTTCACAGCGGCATACCATACAGGAAAGCTTGTGTCTACCCCTCATTCGGTCAGGCCTCAGTGCTGTGCTCAGGGTCCGATCTCAAATCTGCGAGGTGGTCGATCTCTGGCTGGCGAGCAGGTCATGGCGGACAGGCTCCGCAGCGATTGTCTAACGCGAAGGACGTACTGCGCGCGTAATCTGGCGGAGAGCGTTCCTGGATTGCGGCCTGAGGTCGGGCCGTAGCCACGTGCTGTCGAGCGATGTGGGGCATGCTCTGAGGCGCGCCGTTGGACCCAGGACTAAAGATGGGGGATCATGGCGTCTCGCGTGCTGACGCGAGGCAGTGAATGTGGTGGATGTGGAGATTAGTCCGCACGGCAGTCGTGTCTACAGAGAAGGATCGAGGATGGGAAGGAGGCTGGGACTCGGGCAGATGTTTCCACGAACGGGCAGACGCGACGCGACGTGCATGGCAGGTTGATACGGCGCATACGAAGGCAAGTATAGCCATGGTGTGCACGAGCTTCAGCGCGTCAGGGACGCGTGCTCGTGCTGGACGCTATGGAGCGCAAGTAGTGCCTTTTTTGGGAAGGGACAGACATCCTGGTGCGTATCACTGATCAGCGGGCGACCGAGGGGAGGTCTTGGTGCCGTTCAAACGCGCGGTATTTGATCGCGTCGGGCAGCAAGATCGTCGGCGAGTGCGAGGGCGCCTGTTTGATCGACGTGGTGCGGTACCCATCGCCGTGCTCCCTCGCAGGGTACGAGTTGAATGTGATGGATGTGCGATGTGAAGGTTCTACGTGTGAAAGCGCTGACGTCGCTCAGCATGCCGTCACTGTGCTCGAAGAGTGACATTAACGTTCGTCTGTATTAAACCTTCGGTAGCCGGCAGCTGGCGTCCGTTGAACTTAATCGAGCCTCACTGATCGCTACTTGAAGCAGGCCGCACAGACGGCGCCGTCCTCCGCCGTTTATCGCGAGCCAATAGTCCCGCCGCGATATTTGTAATGGCGACTTGCCCGTGCGGTATCGAAGGAGTCGGCGAATCATGCATCGCCGGGCGCAGGCTCCGTGCCCAGAAGTGAAGGATCCGTTGACCGTAAGCGGAATGGCAGGTCGGGGCGGGCTTGTCAGGCGTTGCTAGCCACTCGAGTGTGGTTGGCGTGGGGTCAGAAATAGAGTTAGAGTTTGGCGGCGCGTACAATCTGTCGCTGTAACAGTCGGCAAGTATACTTTCCGACACGCAAGGTTGGAGGCGTAAGGTAGATATGCAATGCAAAGCTGATCATGTGGGCGACTGCGGGGGTGCACGGAGCTAGGCTACATGGCGGCAAGGGGGTGCGACGAGGAAGCGAGTTGCGCTGGCGTTGCGTGCTATACGCGCTCCGCTATAACGTTCACCTGCCCCGTTACACAAGCACGTGGGTGGGGTTACACCGCATGCCCGCCGTATCCGTCCGCGACTAGCCTACCCGTACCGGCTGTCGTCGAGAAAGTCACATCAGGCCATGTCATTTCTGCCCTGCCCCGACCATGTCACCACTCTACCTGAGGGCTCGATACGAAATGAATGCTCAGACTCATCGCATGTTTCCTGCAAGCCATTGCCGTAGCGGTTTTACATAGACAGGAGAGACAGGATCGAGTCACATCCCCTTCGCCCAGCACACACGCAATACCTCGCTACCAGCACCAGCCCTTGCATCGCGATGAGATGTCGCAGGGCCTCTTCGCTCGCTTCTAGAAGGCCGTTACGACCATGTCCATGTCGTCGGCGAGCGCATGCGACCGGGGTCCTCGCCTCACTTCCTTACCTTGCATCCAGGGTCCAAACTTGCAAATGGTGGTCTGCCCAGTCGCACGTTTCCATCGAGTAAGTCAGTCGATACAGAGTACACGACACGCCCTCCAGCCTGCGTCGAGAAACAGGCGCCAACCCGCGCATCGCCGCGCGTCCCGTGCTCCTCCAGTCCAGTCCAGCGCAATTCACGCACCCTTGGGCCGCATCAGCAGATGCTCAGTAGCCGAGGTTATCGCACAGACGGGTGTGTAAATCTTATACCGAAAAGATGCGCAGTGCATGGAGGAATTGAGGGCCCCACATGAGCAGATGCGTCTCCAGCCGTTCCTTCCTTCGAACCGAACGGCGCCTGGCCGGCTCGGATACTGGCGGCTTCCGGGGCGAGGGGCGGGCCGAGGGTCGGGAGGGTGCCGAAGCGGGTAGTTAGGGGAGGAAAGGATGGGAGGGTGGATGGGAAGGGGATGGGATATGGGTGGTGCAGGTGTTTGTCTAGATATGATAGGTATAGAGCGTCGCTACTTACAGTGCTACGGAAGAAGATGACTTTCACATCTCGAAATTGCACGCGAGAGCAGAGTGGACTGGCGATTATGTCTCCAGCTAATCATCGCTTTGACAGGTTTAGCATCCAACAACACATTTCCACCATGCTATCTCCCCGAAACCAGTCAGCGAATTATGTACCCGCCGATAGTAAAGATAGGACATCAACATGGGTGCTCGCCGCTAAGCTTGTGCACCGCACCGATATCGACTTGCGGCTCCGTCCCGCCGACTGAGGACGTCTTGACCGTGGCGCGCCGGCGTGCCTTCGGCTTCATGTCCACGACGCACGTCGTTGCCCCCTTCCCTGTTCGTTTGCACGGCCAGCACAGCACAGCACAGCACAGACAACCCTCACAGCTCAGGCCACGGAGTCACGGACACAGTTCACTCGCGTTCGGTCCTATGTCGCTGCTATGCAATGCATGCAATGCACATCGAAGCAGGCTCAGCATCACATCATCCAAAGGCCCGAATATCCTCGGATCATGCCGTGTAAATGATACCTGTGTGGACGGAACGTAAGACAGCGGTGCCTTGCCTTGCTGGGCAGCAGTCCACTCCACTCCATTATACGAGACGATTGGGGGTTAGACTCCGCGATCTGGGGCGTAGACCTCGCAATATATTACTCAGGCTGGACGATATTGTCTCTGTGCGGGAGTCATGTATGCTATCTATCTATCTATCTATTGCTGTTTGAGCACGTTCGCATTCGCGTCAGATGCGCTGGATGGATGGAAGCGTGTTGTGACATCGTATCGTATCACGACGTTGCAAATGCGGAGGCAGCACGGAGGATGCAGCTGCACCGCCCCCACATACTTGTACCATCCCATGCCCACTGCGCAGCACTAGCGACGGTTTCCTCTTTCGGGGGACCCTGCGTCGCGTCTCATGCATCAAAGCCAGTACCAGTGTGCCATGTGAGTCTTGCCCTCAAGCTTCTGCGCTTTCTCCTAAGCATCAATCAGGACAGGTATGTAATCCTACATCTGCTCTCCTCCCAAGGCGTTACGTTACTATCCTTTACGGGCATGCCGACCGCATCAATATGCCAATACGCCAAGTCCCCTTCCTTGCGCGCAGGAAGCGAAGTCCACCGGAGGAGCCGGCCGACAAGGGAAGGACTTGGCGAATCGCACCGATGCCGTGGAAATGGGAGGTTCCTACCGTGGTATGCGATACGATCAGCCCGTCTCCCTTTTGCCGGCCGGGATGTGGGGTTTCTGTTCGCGAAGAGGCGACGCTCGTCCGGGTGTTGCGTTGTTGATTTTCGGCACTTTCTTTCTGATGTCACGTGCAGTGAGGCAACGCTCGTATGGGAAGAGGTGCAATGTGATTTATTCGTGTTCTGTGATGTACTTCTTTTTCAGGCACTTTTTATCACGTGCTGGTAGGCAACCCGAGGTCGTGGGAACTGCTTTCATGTGACTTGTTGGGTAGGTAGTATTCTGATGAGCGGCGAAGCCTAGAATGAAACCATGGTACGCTATGAAGTAGTGATGTCTAGGAGGGGACTGTGGATGGTGAAGGGGCTATTTGCTAGCACGGAGAGCTGCTCGTGGTCAGCCTCTGCATCGCCATGCTCATCTTCCACCCCTTTTTCCGCATACTCGCTTGGTGCATCGTGCTTCCTTTGTGATTGGGAATGCCTCCTGTAGAGTAACTACTCAGGTGCTCTCCTTGAGGTGGGTTCGTACGAGGATTGTAGTAACAAGGTAGCGTAGCGATGCCTCTTTTGTTTTTTCAAGTCACTATTTCGTTCGTGCCCTCTACACCAGTCTTCCAAAACAGTAGTTTCGGTTGTGTTCTTTCTATTTTTTCACCTCCAGTGGAATACATGCCCAAATGCACACCTTGGGATTGGATTTCATGAAGTGTGCAGCAACAAGGTAGCGTAGCAATACTTACTGTCGTCTTTTCGAATCATCATTTTTCCTGTCCTCTGCACTCGCTTTTCGAAGCGTTAGATATCGATTGTTTTGGTCAATTCATCATGGTCAGGAGTCTCGGTGCGTCAGTATCCTGCACGATGGAGTAGTGCGTTGAAATACTCGGATTACCAGTGCGCAGCTACAAGAGTTGGGATATTAAGTTGGGCGTTGCGGCTTTCGTCTTTTCATGTTCCCTGCTTTGGTCCTTCGAAGCGGTAAATTCGATTGTTCTTTTTTTCACCTCGGGTGGAGTATATGCACAGAGACACACCTTGAGGTGGGATTGTTTGAGGTTTGTAGCAACAAGGCGGTGTGGCAATGCTTACTATCCTGTTTTTAAGTCGTTATTTCATTTATATCCTCTGCTCTAGCCTTTCAAAGTGTTAGATATCGATTCAACTTTGGCATTCTAGCATTATCAGAAGTCTCGGTGCATCGGTATCCTGCACGATTGAGTAGTGCATTAAGATACTCGGATTTTCAATAGGCAGCGAGAAGAGTTAGAATGCTAAGTTGGGCGTTCAGTACCTGTCATGGGGTTACACGAAGTACTGAGAGCCTGACAACACGTCACGGCCGCACTCGCCAAACGGGGACAGCAAGATGTGATGGGCTTCCAAGGTTGTACAACTGCCATGCGTCACGGTTGCCTATTGTGACTCCACGAACCCAACGGAGCATGCACATCAGAACTCTTGCTCGCATCGCCCTCTTCTTAGCCAACACCTCCTATACAGCTGTAACACGCTCCTTTGTATCTTTATAGCAGATAGCAACCACGGGTTGCTTCAAGTCGGCACACGACCGCAAGTCACGGCCTCGGGAAAGCGCGATGCACCACCACGAGCGCCATCCTAGAGGCCATGCTCACCCTCCCACCCTTTTGCCACGGTGGCCAGAGAACGCTCACTACGCGCCCAACTATCCTATCTACCCACTGGGACCTGCGCCGGCACCGATTCTCCATTTCCCCCTCGCAGCAGTACCATATGCGGCCGTCTTCGCCCCTCAACCTCCGCACCGCCATGTGAAGACACCTCCGCCTCCAAGACAGATGCAGCCGCAGCCGCAGCTCCGCCACAAGATCAGTATACCGAAGAAACAGGTCCATTTCAATTTGCCGCTTCGAAATGCTCCTCAGAAACAACCGCAACGCAAACCTAGCCAGGTAAGCTCCATTCTTGAGTAACCCAAATGATAGCTCGCATGGAGAACACACAAGGTTAACGTACATGATACTGAACATTCTATGCAGGCCCGCCTACCAAACCACCACCATCCAGTAGCTCACGCCCAAGCACCGCGAAACCCCCGCCAACAGCCCGCTGCTCCTCTTCCTCGCGCCGCCCACGCACCGCGCGCCCGCCCATCTCATGCCAACCTCCGCCACCAGCCCGCCGCTCCTCTCCCCGCGCCGCCCACCCAACCATCTGGATCATCACCTTCGCCCACACAAAAGCAAACTCCCCAGCCGCAGTCCAAAAGATACTCACCACCGAGCTCCCCCAGGCACACCCCACCTCTACACCATCCACGCCTACAACTACACGCCCCCACCCCCGCACATCTGCGACGCATACTCCGGCGTCTCGCCCATCGTCCAGGACTACGTGATGCGCGACCCGCGCGCCAAAAAAGCCGTCGCCGACGCAACACACGAGCTTCTCTCCTTCGGCCGGCGCGAGATGAAAAAGGAGAAAGACGGCGGCCGCCCGAGGAGGGATGTCGCGCTAAGTGTGTGCTGTCTGTACGGGACGCACCGCAGCGTCAGCATTGCGGAGAGGATTGCGCAAGGGTTGATGGGCATGAAGCTGGGGGTGAGGGTCGTGGTGAGGCATGTTCATCGCATTAGGGGGGCTAAGGACCTGCGCTGATTACAAAAGGGCTTGGATAACAAGAAGATGCAGAGGGGAAAGATGTGATATGATGGACTGGTTGTGAGAAGATACCCTAGATACCCTAGATACCCTAGATACCCCTATTCCAAAGTTTCTATGCCATCATCATCAACTGTGCAGCACCGTGCTTAATATAGAGAGTCCTGCGCACAAAAATTGTCACCGCGACAGTTTGATTTAGAGGCAGAAGAGCTTGTAACACATACTTCTGCGCAATGGTTTCCTGAAGATCTATAAGGCTATAAGCATTTATGTTTCCGCAGAGTACGGCACGAACAGCAAAATCTCCGAGGACGCGCATTTAGTAAATAAAACCAATAAAAAAAAGCATAGGTTACTAACAATACGAAAGCAGGACCGAACGTAGCAGACACTCAGACAAAAGACACCTCAGTCGCACCACCTCCTCCCCTTACGCACATACAGAGACCATGCTTGCTCTAGCTAGCGGACCTCTCGCAAACAACTTATCCTCCAGCTCCGGAAGTGTGAAGTGAGGTCGCCTATACGTGTAACCCACGAAAGCACCTGACGAAGAGCATAAGTAAGTCATGTATCGGGGGCTCTATGGGATGACTTGCCTTTCTTTCTCAGCTCCAATACCGTCTTTCCAACCTGAGGATCCCGAAGAAGCTTGTCCCTTGGCCTCTTCTTCTCCTTCTTTCTCCTCTGAATCTTCTTGATACCCTTCGCTGGACTTTGCGGCGGTGTAGGTAAGTCTGCCCCACCGTCGCCATCCCCTACCTTCTGTTCGCTAGCAGCCACATCACCCTCTGCGGGTGCATGATCGTAACTCGAAGAATCCAGGTGGTCTGATTCGCTCATTATGTCGGCCTCGTCATCGAAGTACTTGGTGATTGGTTGGCCGCCGTGGACGCGGGGCACGAACGGTGGACTTGTGAGGTGCAGATTCTGCCACTGGATCGTACGGAAGAAAGGGTGTTTCTTGATGTCTTCGGCGTCGTTGGAGAAGACGATGTGGCCGGTGCAGTTGAAGTTACGAACGCGACGGGGACCGAGGGCACGGTCGCGCAGTACCCAATCATTCTCTCGGTAGCGCTTTGCAGAGAGGCGGTCGGAGCGGTCCTCTAGAAGGTGCATCATGAGATCGATGGCGTGGCGGGATACTGGCATAAGGGGCACCTAGATATGGTACAGTCAGCTTCAATGCGTCCAACGTCTGCTGAATGAACTCTACCCGATCCATGTTTGGTCTAGCATAGCGTTGCTCTGGTGGAAATCTCAACCAACGTTTGTGTTGCTGAAGCGGTCAACGAAGAAACATGCTGCAACCATTGATTACTACATACCAAGATCCGTGTTTTAGTCGCCTGTCGGTTCTCGCAAAAGAATGGAGTACATCCATATAGGCACTCGTAGAGGATGATGCCAATGCTCCACTAGTCGCATCTTCCATCGTAGCTTTCGCCTTTGATAACCTCTGGTGCCATGTACTGACTAGTGCCGACCTAAACGATGTGGTGAGCCCATGTCTTTGAGATAATGTATACAGTTTGACTCACCACGCTCTTTGCAAATTGGCGTTTTTGGGTCCGATTGAGCCAGTCGAGAATAGGCCCGCTTGCGCCATCTTGTTTGGCTACGAATCTATCGCGAGGAGCCCTTCCATTGATTAGGTCAATCGCCTTTCGGCGCTCCCGCTTCTCCTCTTCCTCTTGGCAGTCTTGAGCATCACCTTGTACCTGCAGGTCCAGATCGCGGAGCAGAGCGTATCGCTGCTCGTTGTAGTATGTCTGATTGTGAGTCCAGTGACCATCGAATGCGAGACCAAAGTCAGAGATTTTCAGATGACCGGAAGATGTGATAAGGAAGTTGTCGGGTTTGATATCTCGATGAATCCAGTTCATCTTGTGCGCCTCTTCGATGCAAAGAATCATCTCGGCGATGTACCATTTCGCGACACCCTCGTCAAGGATATCTTCGCGCAGCAGCAAGCCTAAGAAGTCGCCTCCGACCATGTACTCCATGACCTGCATTGCTGTTAGAGTGCGGGTCTCATGCAAAGATGTTGGTTATGGCTTACCAGGTACAAATTATTGTTGTCTTGGAAGCTCGCGATCAGCGGGACTACCCATTTCGAGTTCTCGGAAGCGACCAAGAAATCGCGTTCAGCGCGTAAATGGCCTTCTTGGCTATTGCGGAGCATGTCGGATTTGCGAATAACCTTCATGGCGAAGACCTGCTTCTGAGCTCCTGGACCTCCGGTTTCACTCGTACCGTCCACGTAGGATGTTTTGTCAGAGCTGCTCCCAGTAGAGTACCCGCTAGCGCTGGACGGGTCGCTCTTCTCGCGCACAAGTCGGACGACTCCGAAACTTCCCTTGCCCAGAACGCGGACAATATCATAGTTTGAAATATGCACTCCCTTAGTCTTCTGTCGCATGAGACTTTTGGATTTCAGAACACGTGTCTGGCGAAGGTGATTGCTCTCCGCACGATGCCACTCTTGTCTCGCCTGTTGGCGTTGCTCATTTGGAAGCGCCATGGCGAACAATTTGCGCTCAAGGTTACGCCTGCGCATCGAGCGAGGGCACGAATTGACCCCAAGCAACGCATTGAAGTGTGACTCGAAGAAGACCTTTGCAGCAGCAGCATTCTCGACGGTTGCAATTGATGGTTTCGACAGCATGGGAGAATCTTGACGGGGGAAAACCAACCACTGGCATTTCAGCTGCTCGCTCGATAGCTCATATATCGGAGAACCTCCTGTCGAGACATTACGGAGACTGTGCTGCGCTCGCTGTGTTGTCTCACCGGATAGCGGTGCACCGGATGACATGAGTGAGGTCGGAGTCGTTGACATTGACTGTAGGCTGAGCAGATTGCTGCTTCCGACCAGACTTGAGACCTGAGAGGGCAGACTTGGAACATCAATCATGGTGCCTTGCACCGGAGGCGCCTCGGCTGTATCCTCGAGCTGTTGCGCCTGAGTGGCTCAATGTCAGCAACACAACGTACACATTGAATTTCTCCAAGCGGCTCACAAGATTGAAGTTGGGCACGGTGGGTCGGGGCTTTAGCTTGGGCCTGTGGATCACAGTAGAATTGTGCAGCAGGCTGGACGACATCCTCCATGTGAGCTGTTGTGAAAGACCGGGTGTCGACCGGCTTGTATGCAGCGCCGCTGGACGTTTGTCTCTAGTATCCATTGCCGGCTCTGACTCGCCATCAAATCCGGCTGCACTGGGAAGCTGCAGCATCGATGACGCCTCCTGGCGTAACGTGTAAGGCGGTTCGATCATCGGAATCTCGCCAACACTGGGGCACTGCGAAGCCGAAATTACCTCCGACGGACTAGCTGGGGCGGTGGCAGCACGCTGCGTGCTATCCGAAGTGTTCGTATTGGAGCTACAGTTTTCAACAATAAGTGGTCTGGAGCCGAGCCCCGAGCCTGCGCATAGTCAGCATCGAGCAATTCGGGTCTTTGTACCAACACACCTTTGCCGCTTCGAAAGATGGACCAGATCTTGATGCTTCCTCGGCGTAGGTTGGTGAACGTGCGAGATGACGGGAGGCTGGCCCTGACTGGCGGCGGTTTGACGGAGGATCCAGAATGGCGGCTCCTGCTGCGCTCAAGAATTCGGACTTTGCCTTTGTCTTGCGAGGATACAATGGGATTGTGGGCGTCTTTCCGCTTCCTAATCGCAACGAGGGACACCATATTGGTAGCTAGGAATGGATAGGCGCCTGTACCCTGCCATTCGTGCACGGTCAGTCAACGTCAACCTGCGGACATCATGGCGGGACTCACCGTATTAATACCTGTGCAATAGGAGACCGAACCTGAGCGATGCGATCACCGAGAGGATGGCGATGTGGGAGGCTGGTGGAAGTGTGCATAGCTCAGAGATGCAGGCGCCCGGACCTAGAAGTGAGGAAAGAACGCACGCAGATATTGGAAGGAACAACGAGTTGGGAACCAAAAAGGCTAGAGCAAGCGAGCAGAAGGAGCAACCAACGCAATTGTCACCACAGCTGTCAATATCTACATGAAAGGCCTTTGCCAAATGGTAGATTGCTAAACGAGCGTCCTTGTCCGTTCTATCATCTTTTTATCAGCCTCATCATGGCTGCCAGTAGAGCATTCACGTTGCGATGATAGTAAAGTTGCATTTGACAATTAGCACGAGGGCTACCCATAGGTTTATTGGATGGATGTTTTGAACAAGGCGAGAAAAGAAGTGTGGGAGTACGAATGGACCAAGAAGGGAGAGTTTATATGCGACAGGCGGTCTCGCTGGACTAGGAACCAAAAAAAAGTAGCGGGTCCAAAGTCTCGAGCATTGATGCTCCCGTACATCTAGCCGACTCAGTGAATTTGCACCATGCACTTCTTCCGGTTCGAAATTTGATTGAGTACTGAGATGACGCGCTACAGTGGGGGAAAGCAGCATCACAAACATGTTGCGTTTGTATCCATCTTTTCGAAGACTCCATACGCGTTTCTCATGTTTCTTTTGGACGACAGCTTAGGGTCACATACCCCGATTGCAAACGCGCTTTTAGTAGGCACGAGGATGAAGTGTGAAGACGGGAATTGAGAGGAGGTGGAGAATTTATATGCGCAGGCTTTCGACCAGGTGATCGGCTAGAAGCGCGACTCACACACAATTCAAAGTGTATGCTTGACTAGTGTGGAGAGTCGTGTTAAACACTGCTTCTTGTTCGAACCACAACCTTATCTGATAAGCGCTAAAGGTGACGCATGTATCGTGACGTGTCCGTTCTGTCCGCCAATCGACTCATCCTTCGGTGTTTCCGGTCGACGCACATTGTGCATCATTGTAACAGTACCTGTCGTGATGGTGGATATCGGATCCTGAAATATGTCCGTCTGATCGGAGGTTCTTTGACACGCGACACTTTACCCAATGAAGCTTAGCTCAGGAGCGCGGATGACATCATCTGTAAGCCTACGCTACCGCTTCTCCGACGGAAATTTCCCGTGCTCCCAATGTTGCTCTACACTGCCAACTCAGTACGCAAATTAATATGGCACACAGCCAGGGTCGTGACGCGATGCCTCTCCAGGAGCTACAGCAACAATCTTCTAGCCAACATGAACAACATGAGGGTCAAGGTCCTGCACAGCGAGAGCGAGATCGAAAGAGGTTGCTAGCTCTTACCGGTTCAGCATTGTCTCAATTGCCAATATGGGGTAACCATTCCCAGATGGTTGATCGACCTTAACTCATGCGCATAGGTTTCGCCATGAGCTACGGCGTACTGCAGGAGTATTACTTTGATCATTGGACCCTACAAGGCGGTCGCGAGCTCACAGGCATCATCGGAACGACATCTAACGGAGTTATGTACCTCTCGATGCCGTTGCTCTTCGCCTTATTCACAAGACGGTGGGCACGATATCGCCAAACAGCAGCTGCATTTGGCGCTATCCTTGCATGCGCCAGCTTCATGTTGTCGTCCCTTAGCACGCACGTCTGGCACCTCATCGCAACGCAGGGTGTTTTGGCGGCCCTAGGCTGTGCACTTGTGTTCAGTCCGCTCACCCTATCGCTCGGCGAATGGTTCAACACGAACAACAGGATCTGCAATCGAGCCGTGGCTTTCGGTATATGCTTGTCTACAAAGAACATCGTAGGATCTGCTTGTCCCTTCTTCTTCCGCGGTCTCCTTGATAGCCACGGCTTCCGTACAACCTTGATAGCTTGGGGCGGCTTGATGATAGGTACCGCGTTGCTATCCATATCCATGATTGCGACTCCTCCTTCAAGCTTGAACATGAGCGATACTCGCGGACGCAAGATCCCTTGGCAATTTCTGAAACACAAAACCTTTTGGATCTATAGTACTGCCACCTTGCTTCAGAGTGCGGGGTATGGTATTCCGCAAACGTACCTTAGCGAGTATGCCAGGAACGTATCCGCACTGTCGCCAACTTTCTCGACATTACTGATTACTCTCATCAACATACCAGGGATATGCTCTTCGACCTTCTTCGGGTTTCTGAGCGACAACAAGTACCTGCAATTGTCCGCTCAAACCGTCACCGCGATATCGGCAATAAGCTCTGCACTTGCTGCATTCCTATTCTGGGGCTTTGCTGCTCGGGGAGGCACAGCTTTACTGGTACTGTTTGCAATCACGTTCGGGTTCTTCGCCAGCGGGTATAGCGCAACCTGGGGCCGAACGATGAACGATATGGAGCAAGAAGCTGCAGAAAGGAATGAAGCCATTGATAGCGGAGTCTTGTATGGCCTGCTCAATGGTGCTCGAGGCATTGGTTATGTTGCAGGCGGACTTGTCAGTGTGCCTCTGGTGAAGGCAGGAAGCACGACCTCGCTTGGTCGCTTTGGCTATGGGACGACGTATGGGCCTTTGATCGTATTTACGGCACTATCTCTGGCCTGCGGCGGATGCGGCATCGTCTTCCGACCGAAGTGGAAGCGCATATTATCTATCCGATGATTGCGAAAGGGCAGCGACAACTGTTCCCATGCATTTTCCTCCAATAACATGCTCTTCTTTACTGGGTAGAATTCTCAACTACGAAGTTTTTGGCTAGAGGAAGGCTTCAATTGAAACATCTCGTAGAGGCTTGGTACGACAATGGCATATATCACAGAGAGTCCTCTGTATTCATACAGGACTGTTCTTCTACTTGGACAAAGGTGTTTTAAATAAGAAGCGTGGTACAGAACCCGCACAATCAACTCTCGTGAGTATAAACCTCCACAGTCCAAGCCGAAATGCCTTAATTGCTGTTGAGGTCAGGCCGGCAGGAACTCAATAGTCGTTGGAATTCCCGACGTAGAGCTGGTATGTTGTCGCCGTTGTGACCACGAATTCGGTATGTCATCGACTCTGATTCGTCGCCAAATTCGATATGTTATCGCCAAGCCAACATGTCCCACCTCCACCAATCCCAATTGCACAGTATACACTGGTCACCGATGACTGGGTTATATGCAATTTGAATGCAGGCTTACTTTGAAGCTCACAGGTCTCACTTCAGGGTTGCGGCGCAGATGTACAGTCCTTTTTTGGGGACTCCAAAAGGCTGGCTCGGGCTTCCACAGCTGAATAATATTACTTCTTATCGCGACTTGTCGACGACTTGGATTCCTCACTCAGCACGTTCTTATTATGGCCTGTGGATATGGGTGCTGTGGCGCCACTCCCGACCCTCAACCTATTCCGATTTCGCAGTCAACACAAGACAACGCAGACACTTGTTGCAGCGTTGAAGACGATCATTCAGGGAGTCCCATTGACGATTGCCCGGATGACTGTTGTGCTGAGCCGGCTCAAGACATACGACTGGAAGAGGACCGCCCTTCTTCAAGTGCTTCCGAGATCCCCAACTGTCGTGAAGGCACGCCCTCACCTTGCTGCGATCGTAAGCTCGTTCCGCGTTTCTTCCCCTCGAACCTTCGAACTAAAATATGCTACAGCCGAGAAGGCAACTGAAGGATCGTCCTCGCCTCCGCAGCGACCCGCATCGCGTACTTCGACGTATCGCTGCTCTCCGACGAAATCATGCTGTGCGCTTAAGCCCACCAACACATATGACCCGCAAGATACCAAAGGCTGCGCTGATGCTCACTGTGACGAAGTAAAATATTCGATCAGCACTGGTAATTGCGCTACGAAAAGGACGACCGTGATCGAAAAGGTCGCGGAGATTAAGACAGACGTGGTACATACCACTGACACCGAGCTAGGCCTCTCCGGCAAGGAACATGTTGTTCTCAGCATTTCAGGCATGACATGTACCGGATGTGAAACCAAGCTTTCGCGGACGTTGAAGACACTGCCGTCCGTCACGAAACTGAAGACAAGTCTGGTGCTGTCGAGGGCCGAATTCGTTTTGGACGTAGGCCTGCAGTCAGTTGATGGAGTAATAAGACACTTGGAACGAACAACCGAGTTCAAATGCGAGCGCATCACAAACCGCGGTTCTAGTCTCGACCTGGTTTGCGCCGGGTATGCCGAGGAGGTTAGCAAGGGCGATTGGCCGAGCGGTGTAATCGAAATACGGGCTGTTGACAAAAAGACAGTACGCGTCGATTTCGATGCGGAAGTTGTTGGCGCGCGGGACCTTGTCCAGAACGGTTGGCCACATCCCATGGAACTAGCACCGCTCAGTGTTGATCCTACTCTGGATGCTGGTGCCCGACATGTCCGTCATGTAGGATACATGACCTTGTTATCCATCGTCCTCACGATACCCGTATTAGTTCTATCATGGGCGCCATTGCCGAACAAGGAACAGAAGGAAATACGTTTTGCAACTGTTTCGTTGGTACTCGCCACCCTGGTCCAAGTCATTGTTGCCGGACCATTCTATCCGAAAGCCCTTAAAGCCTTGATCTTCTCGCGAGTAATAGAGATGGATCTTCTCATCGTCTTGAGCACGACTGCTGCATACGTTTTCTCAGTTGTGGCCTTTGGGTACCTCGTCACTCATCAACCGCTATCGACCGGTCAATTCTTCGAGACCAGTACGTTGCTGGTTACCCTCATTATGGTCGGTCGGTTCATCGCAGCCTTGGCCCGCCAAAAAGCTGTGGAATCGATATCTATCCGATCGCTACAAACCTCTTCTACGACCCTTGTCCTGGCAAATGGAGATGAAGCAGACATCGATACGAGACTTTTTCAGTATGGCGATGTCTTCAAAGTCTCCCCGGAGTGTCGCATCCCTACTGATGGAACGGTTCTATCAGGTGCCTCGGAGATCGACGAATCAATGCTTACTGGGGAGTCCAGACCCGTCGTAAAGTCAAAAGGATCTCAAGTCATTGCCGGATCCATCAATAGATCAGGAGTACTCACCGTAAAACTCACTCGCATCCCTGGAGATAACACTATCAGCACAATCGCCAGTATGGTTGATGAAGCCAAGCTGACGAAGCCAAAGATTCAGGCGATCGCTGACCAGGTAGCTACGTACTTCGTACCTGTAGTTGTATCTCTCACCATCATCGTCTTCTGTATCTGGCTCGCTATTGGTATCACGGTCCAGAAGAAGTCGGGATCAGAGGCGACAATTCAGTCTATCACGTACGCGATCACCGTCCTGATCGTATCTTGTCCGTGTGCCATTGGCCTTGCAGTACCGATGGTAATAGTAGTTGCCACCGGCGTGGCTTCCGAGAAGGGTGTCGTCTTCAGGTCTGCAGATGCAATCGAAATCGCGTGGAAGACTAGTGATGTGGTTTTTGACAAGACGGGTACCCTCACCCAAGGAAAACTCTCAGTTGCTGAGAGCGAGAGCCTCAATCCGTCAGTCGGTACCAAAGCCCTTCTCTTAGGTCTTGTTAAAGACAGCAAACATCCGGTTTCTGTTGCTGTTACGACCCATCTCAAATCACAAGGTGTGTCTGCCACGGCAATTTCGACTCCGAAGAATGTAGTCGGCAAAGGTGTCGAAGGTGCCTTCGTCGGTCGCACACTCCGCGCAGGTAATTCCACATGGCTGGGACTCACAGATCATCCTTCTGTCCAACCAGTCCTCTCTCGAGGCTACACGGCTTTCTGCTTCGCCATAAACGGCGAATTGGCGGCTGTATTTGGCCTTCAAGATGCGCTGCGAGAGGATGCGCTCACCACGGTGGCCAAGCTCCAAGAACGCAACATCGCGGTCCATGTACTCTCAGGTGATGACGACGGCGCTGTCCGCGCGGTCACAGCCCGGCTCAGTATCCCCTCTGCCAACGTCCGATCACGCTGTACCCCGGCAGAGAAACAAGCCTACATCAAAGGCCTCCTCTCCACAATTGACACACGCGGGTCCAAGAAGAAGCAAAGCCAACCCATCGTCATGTTCTGCGGAGACGGAACGAACGACGCAGTCGCGCTCGCCCAAGCCTCCATCGGCGTCCACATGAGCGGCGGAACCGACGTGGCCAAATCCGCGGCAGACATTGTGCTCATGCGTCCAAGCCTGGCTGGCATTCTCGTTGCCATGGCTGTCAGTCGCAAATCAATGCACCGTATCGCGTTCAATTTTGGGTGGAGCTTCGTGTACAACTTGTTTGCAATTCTACTTGCGGCGGGTGCTTTCGTGCATGCGAGGATCCCGCCCGAGTTTGCGGGGCTGGGTGAGCTGGTGAGCGTGCTGCCAGTGGTTGCCGCTGGGATACTCCTCAAGTGGGTGAAGATCTAGGCAGCGGGGGAGGTGTAGGCATGGAGGAAGGAGCTCGGACTTCGCTTCTTCGACTCCAGTGCACCCATAAGTTTTTTTAATCCCCTTTCGCTTCCAGTGTAGCAGCGGGAAATTTTAAATGAGACCCATAAGTTTACTTACCAGGTGCTTTGTCCGTTCCTCATTTTGTTACCTATGATATCAGGGAACTCGTGTACAGTGTCATTATTGTGGGGAAGATAGTTTTAATCAGCTACCGATCGTGCCCTATCACTTCAGGTATAGGAGGCATATCTGTGATCACCAAAGTCAAATCTTTCTGCCAATTTTGAACACCAAGGCCTTCTTTGCGGATAAGGTATTCCTAATTATATTGCTGAGGAGACTACTGATGACATCAGACGTGTCGTGGCCCCGGATTATTAGCAGGATGGATTAGAGAAGAATTCTGATTGTTCCGGAAGGCGAGAGAAGAAGACAAGAATTTTGGTTGTGCACGCTCAGTCATGTGAGGGTGGAAACAAACGTATCACGTGATAAACATAAGCGAAGCGCTAAATATTCTAGTTTAGCTCTTCCTCATCTCACACCCATGATCTGTGCACACTCAACATTCCTAAGTGTACGTCATAGTCACAGCTCTTCAGGGGCTTCGAAATCATCCTGCAGCTGATTCCAAACTGTCATTGCCGGCTAGCCGATACAGGGGAGAAACTCCGCGAGGCCTAATTGTGATTTTCTGGGTGAGAAAATCCGACGCAGGCGGATTTCATCACACAACGACAACGACCAACACATGCTGGAAAACAGAGATTCCGGGAGAGGATGCCTATTTTGAGGAAGGCCATTTTTAATAGCATAGACGCTAGTCGATGTTTTGTGTGAGCCGGAAGGTTTGAATTAGCCATAGTAAAAAGATATCAGCAGTGGAAGGCAAGAGCAAGGAAACGGGATAGAGATGCAAGAACTCGCCATCCAGCCAAGAGGCATATTCTGGCAGGACGACTTCATAACGCCCGAACACGAAGCCCACCTGATGAAAATTTTCCAGAACGAACTTGAATGGCCAGAGCGCTCCGGCCGTCTATCACTACACTATGGCTACACCTTCGACTACAAGACGTTTGGCGTCGATCCGAGCATTCCTTTCAAAGACTTCCCGGTTTGGTTAATCCCATTGTTGCCGACGAGGGAAGGCAGACCACCTGATCAGGTGTGTCTGCAGCATTACCCACCCGGCGCAGGTATCCCTCCGCATGTCGATACACATTCTGCGTACGATCAATTGTACGCTTTATCGCTGGGGGCACCGGTTATGATGCAATTTACACGAAATAGCGATGCCGATGGCGATGAGGAGGGCGAAAAGAAGGAGGTAGTAGAGGTGGACTTGACACCGAGGAGCATGATGCAGATGTCCGGCGACTCACGACTGCACTGGACGCATGGCATTAAGAAGCGCAAGACGGATACGCTGCCAAATGGTACGGTGAGGAGGCGCGACGATAGGTGGAGCATTACGTACCGTTGGATTAGAGAGCCCGCTGTGTGCGACTGCGGCGACGCCAAACTGTGTGACACCACACAGAGGAAGTTGGGCATAGAGAAAGAGTATAGGTGGAAGAAGGAGGGCGAGGGAACAACCGTTGGACTGCTTCAAAAAGTTGAGTGAGAGGCCGTGTCTGGAATGCGGCATCACTTATCGGAGGACTCTGCTATGCAAGGGTTACCATACGTTAAATTATGAAAAGTCTATTTGGGTTCGTTGAAACATGGTCCTTCACTTCTTATTTTGGGTCTAGCTTGTCATTGCCCCTTCGATCGTTGTTTGTTGTAACGCGCGGATCGCGCTAAGCGCGGAATGCCCCTAACGCGCGCAAGTTCCTCAAAACCTCACTTGGGTGCGGTTTCCATGCTCCATTCTCTTCTCGCAATTTTCTGCAGGATTACCCTCATTTTTTTAGTCACACTGTTACCATCAACATTCACTCAGTTAACGAGTAAGTGTTCAGAAACAGCTGACGGGAAAAGATGGATAACATTGAACCAGTGATCATACACGCACTTGCAGTTGCTTTGCTTTTGCGGCTTCCTGGAGGAGAGGCGAACATGCTTGATGGGCATACCAACGACGCCAGTTTTGTTGGCCTCGCACCTGCTGATTCATCACCCTCCGGATGGAAATTCAATGGGTGCTACTCGAATCTCCCGGAAGGCGTTTTACGCTCCGCACGCTTGGGCCAAACCATGACTGCAAAGGTTTGCACCGACATCTGCGACGCGGATCAGGCGGGAAGTCATAAGTACGCTACTGTGTATGATACGGACTTCTGCCTCTGCAGAAGTACAGTTGACACTGCTGGAAAGCAACCGGACGCGGACTGCTTGCAGCCGTGTGATAGGTTTCATGAGCCTTGTGGGGCGACTGGGATGGCGGTGTATTATGAGAGAGCGCAAGCGGTGCAAGCGGTGAGTCGACTAATCAATGGGTGAGATGTTAACGATAACGGATACGCTGTTAACGATCCAGGTATCTGGAACATCAACCACTACCAACACGTTCTTGACAACTAGCCCATCTCTCACGCAGACATCAATAGCGACTAGTACATCATTCACGCAGACATCAACCGGAACTAGCACATTTATCACGCAGACATCAACAGCAACTGGCACCTCTGTAACGCAGACATCAACTATATCCGGCACATCTGTCACGCCGACATCTACGACAACTAGTACACCTGTCGCGCAAACATCAACTGCACCCAGCACGTTGTTAACGACAGAGACATCCGTTACGGAGACTCCAACAACAAGCGACACGTTGCTAACGACGGAAACATCGGTTACGGAGACGCTAGCGAGCGAGACTGGTAAGAAACAACCTGAGGTCCGAGCCAAGAGAGATCTCAGACATGTTGCAAGTGCAACTGCTCCCGCAGATACAGCCGGCCTTCCAACTGATACACGTCCAGCTAATACACTCCTACAAACACAGATATTACTACTACTGCAGAACAGACTACCACCACCGATGAGCCTTCTACTACTACCGACGAGGCAGCTACCACTTCTACAGAGCCAGCCACCATTGAAGAACCTAATACAGATCTTGCTACGCCAGAAGATCCTACACCAGAAGACCCTGCCCCAGAAGATCCTGCACCAGAGGATCTCGCACCAGAGGATCCCGCACCAGAGGATCCCGCACCAGAAGATCCTAATACTCCAGAAGAACCTAATACTACCACTGAGGTGAGTGAATTCCTATAGTTTCAGCTCTACATACTCTGTGCTCTAAAGGTAGGTCGCTTTGCTTTTGCGTTGCATGTTCATATATATATCTTTGAATCCGATCAATCAGCCAGTTGTATCTTGCTATTTTCTGTCGTTAAGGTGCATGGGAAACTCCAATGAAAAATCGTGAAAAGCTCTTCCATTGCGAGCACGAGTGTGTGAGTATTTCCCACATTTGGCCCCAGTGAGTCATAATCAGACTTCCATCTGCATCGTACCTAAATTCTGAAAAAATGTTCTTCGTGGTCTTGTGATGACTCTCGCCATCAATCCTTAGCACATGTTATCATCATCATTGCCAAGTATGCAGACCATAGTACTGCGTCAGAGTTATTGGGCCAATTGGCCTTCGTGTTGCCCATCCCGGGGCACCTGGGTGTCTGATGAGTCCCTGTACATACACTGATTACGGTAGAGAGTGCGGCCCCCCAAATACCATCTCTCCTTCGAATCTTAGGAGAGTCCGGACAGGACAGCATGTAACGTAGTCGTGTTGAATTTTGATACGACCAGAGAAAGGATTTGCACATAAGTTCATATACTTTTCGTTTAAGCCCAGAAATCGTGACAATATGTGCGTGACCAGAGAAGGGCAAGTGAGCAAGTTTTATATATCGCCCACCCGCTTGCATTCAAGTGTAGCGTCACGTTTATGAGAGCGCCGGCAACAAGCCATGTATGTGATGCAAGCATCTCTTGGGTCCAGGCAGGAGGAGCGCAGAGCCACATTAAATAGCGGTAGCTAGATTTCTAGTCCAATGACAAAGCATCGTGAAGAAGCATGGAGATGGCAGTGGAGCTTTTGTAGAGCATTTGCCGAGGCACATAGCTGTTTAGTCTAGAGTTTTCCGAGGTTCACCCAGCATAACATTGACAGGTTCATGTTAGAAACACAAGAAAGCCAATTGACATATAGTAGAAGCGTCCTCCCATCCTAGTGAGGTAGAAAAGGGTCATGAAAAAGCATAATGGAATTTTGTGATGGTTTAGATCTCGCCGCACCGTTCACATGAAGGTGATGCCTTGACAGTTGTTAAGGGGCCCGCGCAGCACGCCATGGCTTCCTTGTTCCGACATTTTGATAAGATCTGGGAGAAGCTTTCGCTACATGAATTGTCCAGCTTTCTCTTTTTTAAGCTGTTGGATAGATGAGAGAACAGTAAGAATGATATGAAATGTGGAGAAGTAATGGAAGCGGTATAGTTTGGGGAGCTTGCGCAGCGCAACATTTGATTTTTTCCAAGTTCTTTCGTACGAAGGAACCAACCCGGAAGCCGCATGGACCCAGCAAACTTCGCTTTTGATTGGGTGACGGGGGACTCTGGGGATGAAGGAAGGCAGTAGGCGTAAAGTATGCAGCATCCCCTCGTTTACATAGACACACGTCGGTGCATTTGGCTGCGCCGCACAACAAGCCATATTTCTTTTCCCGGAGGTCTTCGTCGAAGAAAGGAGCAGCTGGCGCCACATGTATCCTAGGCCATTTCGATTGCAGTACGAACAGCAGGGCGAAAGCGAACATAAGAAGAAGGATGGATGTGCTATGGAAGCTTCGACCAACTGCTAGACGTGGAATGTAGGTACAATTTTCTGGGAGAGCCGAGCTGTGCGCCATGTATGTGTGGATCGCTAGATTCTGATCCGGCCAGACAGTGCCCAGAGCCACATTGTCCTCAAGGCGTTGTATTTAGTGAGCCAACTGGTTCGAGGATGTGTGAGAACAGGCCAAGTAAGAAGGTGATAAATTCATATCGCTTCCCTTCTTCCACATTACCCTTTCTGAGCGGGACTTGAAGAACCGAGCAACCATCCAGAGACCCGTTTCGTCCACTTTAGTACTGTAAGAGGAAGGTTGACGCCACATGAGCAAGGTGCGTCTCGACTTTGCGTTAGCCAGCATGGAACATGCGTTTGTGTCCGGGCATTTTGGAGAAAAGAGAATCAAAGATCTCATGAACCTGAGTCCCGTTCAACTTTGGAAATGCTTCCAAAATGCTTTAAATAGCACAGCGAAAACCAGTGATTGCTACCAAGTCCATTTGTAGTAGGAGACATAGTCTAATGTCGCGTACAGCGAAGGTGGTAGACTTTTGGTCGATCAACACGGTGTGTGTGCGAGGAGCGGAGTCAGGAGGAGAATCAGAAGGCTCGCGCTCAAATGACGCCTGTGCCCGTATTCTGCAACAGCAGGAACAGGACGGCATGTAAGATCCGAATGGTGCTTTCAGCACATACACAAGATAGCGGCTTCTTCATGCAATGTACTTCCTCTTCGCAGGACTAATAAAGGAAATCCTTTCAAGAGGAGCCAAGTGAGAGCTTGAAAGGTTCCTTCACCTACTCGTTCACATATATTCCTGTCGATATATTTTGAGAGAGCCCGGGCAGTCCGCCATGTCCATGGCCTCGTCGGTTTTGGTACCCTTAAAGAGGATGGCGTCCACGACCACACATAGACCTCCGTGGAGTTGGGTTTTAGTATTGGCGCAAGCAGAGACGTTCGAATGTATGGCAGTCGGAACGGGATGACTTTAACCAAGCGTGGGCAATGAACCACGTGACCTTCACGCTGGCGGGAAGTGTTTCGAGCAGAAGTACCGTCTGCCCATGGGCCTATGGACTGAAGGTTTTGAACCACCCTAAGCACCTGCCCTAAGCACCTGGCATATCATCTGGACGTCTGTGATTCCATAGAGTTAGGCGGAGCGCAGCAGCACATTTCCTCTCCCTATCTTGGTTTGTTGACTGATGAGGGGATCGTCGAAAAAGCATGTCCCTTGCGTAGCAGGTTTTTGTACAACATCCGCCCACCCACATGACTACCCAAGGAGTAAGTTTTAGAGCTCGAGCACCACTCCATGTCCATATGGATCAGCCACTTTATTACAGCCAAAGCCGAGCTCGACGCCACACATGCGCTCACAGTATCGGTATTTTGGTAGATGGAGGAGGGTAACGTGTGAGAAAGTAGGCAGAAGGATTGTTGCAAGGTTTTATACCATGCACCTGCGCTAGGTCTCAAAGTCCTGAAGAAGGGATTCGACAAAGAACACCGCACACCCTCATGTCCAATATTCGAAGTCACTGTGATGAAAAGGGACAGAAGGTCATGAACCGCTTGAAGGTCTCTTTTGTACGGCCAGAGCGAGCTCGGCGGACCGTACGTTGATTTGCTGGGCGGTTTTAGTAGCGCATTGAGGGAAGGCAGATGAAGCATGTAGGTTCCCGAACATAGATTTTGTAAAGACGAGCTCGCTCTCGCATTCTCACATAAAGCTCTTGTGGGTTGGCCTTGGAACACAAGGAGAGCACGCCATAGATCCGGCATCCACTTTTTTTTGTAGAGCCACAGCGAGCTCGCGGCCCCATGTTACGGATGCAGTCATGCTTTTAGTCAAGTAGCAAAGGACTGGGTTGTGTGTAGAGAAAGAATAAGCAGAGGACATTGAGAGGTTTCATATACCTCGTTCGCGCACATCGCCATGTTGCGCAGGTCCTTTGGAGAGAGCGGAGCAGCACCTCAAGGCCGAGCATGCGCAGAGCTTTGATGCGGCAGACGGAGTGGGGCACCACATATAATAGATGTGCATCTCTTTAGCATGGGCGAGAACGGAATGTGAGGAAGCACAGAGGTAAAGTCGAGAGGCTTTCCAGACCGCTCACCCGCTCACATAAGATGCTGGATTGCGGCTTTGTAGAGAGCACAAGCAGCGCGCCATGCAAGTGCTTGAAGCCTATTTCAGTCTCCAGGCCCAGGAGCCCGACAGCACATGGTAAATGTCTTTTGCTTCTTTTAGTGAGGTTGCAAGCATAGAGTGTAAGGAAGCAATCAAGGGGAGTTCCAGAGCTCTTATAGCGTGATTCGACTGGTGGTACACGAGATGATGCGCAAGAGGTCGAGAGCCTCGACTCTCTCGCTCGAATAACAAAAGTCCATTGGTCTATGTAAATGGTATCAAGCGTTGAGCGGAGTCCATCTATACAAACGCCGCGGCATATCATTACATCTTCCACGACATATTTCACATGAGGTCAAGGCGGTACACGCATCCGCTCGCCTGGCTCATCCTCGTCATAAATCTTGACCTTCTCGGCGTACTCCCTGATATTAGAGTGTATCGTCTCTTCAATGAGTTCGCCCCGGCCACCGGCAACGCGCAAAATAAGGTCGTTGAGGGAGGAGCGGCCAAGGATGTCGACGTGATCGCCTGTGCGGTCAATTATAAGCCATACCCAATGCTAGATGAGAGAACGGAACGACTTACCAGTGTTCGGTCCACCTCGCGGACTAAAGCGGTCCGGCTCGTGCGGCATCTCGTAAGTCGTGACCTTGACACCCGCTGGATTGTACCGCTTCATCTTCCACCCCTTCGCACACATGTACCCGCTACTTAGCAGATTCACTGTGCCGTCACCCTCACCTAAGACCACACCATGATCGACCGGCCCACTGGCGAACGTCGTATCGAGTGTGATATTTAGCTTGCTCAACGGATCGTGGTCGTCCCTGTAGTAGTACGCGCGCTCAGTCGGCTTGCCGATACCGTAGAAGCAATATATCTTTAGACTTGGTGCTAGCGGTAACCTTGTCTCGAGCGGATTGATCCACTTCGCGGGAATAAGCTGGTTATCCTCGACCACGCGCTTGGTGTGGGCGACACCGTGAGAGTAGCTCCTTTGCACCATCTCCTTATACCACTGTTCGCTGTTTTTCCACAGATACGGAAAGCTCTCTTCGACGGTCAAATTTGTCTTCGTAAGACTTGAATTACTTTCTCGTGCAAAACGGATGAAGTTCCCGTATGAGATGTTCTGACCCGGTTGGTCGTCCGGCGCACCGGTGTGGTCGCCCCAGACAGCATTTCCACCCAGTGGAAGCATGGAGGAAATGCCAGGCATGGCTCGGAATAACTCTGCGCGTTCGTGGCGGCTGAGGAACTTTTCGAGGCCGTAAACGGCGAAGGCGTTGAGTTGGGCGGTGTCTTTCATCTCGCCGGAGAGAACTGCGGGCAAGCCTTTTAGTGCGCCGAGCATGCACCCCGAGATATTGATCCAAGAGTCAATGTTGGCTTCTACCCAGCCTGGGCCGCCGTTTCCGTGACCTTCCGCTTCGACCCAGTGCAGGAAGTAGTATAGGACTTGCGAGCCCATGGAATGAGAGAGGAGAACGACCTTCTTGTTCTGGACACGGACTGCGATCTCAATGTGGGCTTTTAAGCGGGTGAAGTACTGATCGCGAATCTCATAGTTCATGTAGGACATACGCCAATCGTATGCGGCCGTAAAGGCGTTTGTGGGGTCATATCCGATGGTCGCTAGATTCTCGAGGATCTTATTCCAGATCCAGTACCCCGTGATGAAGAAGTCTGTAGCATCGAAGCCTTGCGCAGCTCGCAGCTTGACGCCTGGTGGGTCCAATCCGGTCTTCGTGTCCAGCATTATGTGCTTCTTCCAGCTTGGCTTGTCTAGGACGAGTGCCCGCATCATAGACCATGAGCCCCAAAGTCGCTTTCTGAAGTACTGCCGCGAATCGTCCTCTGTGCCCCATGACTCGAGGCCTGTGGATATGACGCCGGGTATCATGATTACAGGGTGTACAGCCGATATGCCCTGCGACCGGGCATGCAGTCCCACGGCGAAGGAGTCGTAGTTTACGGCATCGCGTTCTTGTTTCTACTGAGTTGCGCAAATCAGCACTCAAATCCTTGTCGCTTCTGCGACGCCAGCCTTCACGTACCTGCAGTTGTTGCGCATCTCTCAAGAACCCCTGCGGAAGCGCATCCAGGATACTGTCCAGATTGACACCCTCCAAACTGCTCAAATCGATCATGTCGTTGCTGCCCGCAAAGAACGCCGCCGCCATCACGCCGGCCAGGCCTCCGAGCGTGAATATCCAAAAGTTCTTCTTCTTCCCATTTTTGACCTTGGCTCCCTTCTTCAACGTGTGCAGTTTCTCCGCCGTGATGAGGCGGAGGTTCGCGGGACGGTCCGGATCTGGCGTAGGCTCGCGGGAGACATCGGTGGAGGAGTCTTCTTTGCTTCCGCCGCCGAAGCGGCGCCTGAGGAATGACATAGACTACGGTGAGGTGGAAAGAAGGCCAGTGGACAGAGCCATAGGATCGACCACGAGGTTGTGCGCAGCTAAATTAGCGGCTCATCCGCGCATGTGAAAGCTGTCGGAGGGGTGTTTTAGGGGCGCGTCATAGCTTCGGAAAGCGCCAAAGCTTAATCCGACGCCGTTCCGATCACCCCACCTTAACTTCAACGACAACCCTCGATGGGCGACGACACGGATGCGAAGGAGAAGGATGGCGATGCGCTGCAGTATGTGCAGTATGATGGATCGAAGGAGGAGACGTATCTACCTGCGATTCGGCAGCTGATCTCCAAGGACCTCTCGGAACCCTACAGCATCTATGTCTACCGGTACTTTCTGTATCAATGGGGGGATCTGTGCTACATGGTATGTTTTCCCCCCTTGACGATCTGATATAGTCTCGCTAATACGGCGTCAGGCGCTAGATAGCGCAAATGAGCTCATCGGCGTCGTAGTCTGCAAGCTCGAGCCCCACCGCAGCGGCCCCTTCCGCGGCTACATCGCCATGCTCGCCGTCCGCGAATCGCACCGCGGCAAAGGAATCGCTACAAAACTTGTGTGCATGGCCATTGATGCTATGGCCGCTCGCGATGCCGACGAGATCGTGCTCGAAACCGAGGTCACAAATACGGCATCGCTCAAGCTGTACGAACGCTTGGGCTTTCTGAGAAGCAAACGTCTGCACAGATATTACCTCAATGGAAATGCGGCGTTTAGATTAATACTCTATATGAAGGAGGGTACGGCGCTGAAGAGACCACCGGGAATGGAGACGGCGCCGGCGGGGCAGATGATGGGCGGGCCGCCGAAGATGGAGGAGTACAGGGGATTTGCCCAGGATGTGGGGGTGGGAGAACAGGCTTTTGTTACTTGAATACCGTAGAGCCGCCGTTGCGGCCCTGGTAGACACGGATAGTGAATAACGTTATGTGAAGTGGATACAAGTCAACGATTGACCGTCATCAAGTCATTCGAGGCACAATAGAAAGACAGGAAGAGCTTCTAATGCCGTGCCACATGACGACATCAGCGAGCGTTCGGAAATCTGAGCAGGAATGCTGCGGAGCAGCGTATCTAGTGGAAGGAACACGTGCAGGCGCTTGAGTGGACGGCAAATTAGACATAACCTGACAGTCATGGCACAGTTTGTAATCACATGATCAAAAGCCCTGCCTTTGTGCATCTCCATAGCTCATCTCGTCCCTTACGAGTCCATTGACGCTATAAAGTCCGCCTCAAAATTTCCAATCTTTCTGCTCCTTACACTCTTCCAACGCCCTTTGCGAAACAAAATCGGTGGCAAAGGGAAGCATGTGCGTCTCGCCCTCTGAGTCGCTCAAAAAAATCAATTCGCGCGAACTGATGGCGAGGCTTTCCAAATCCGGGTCAGCCCGTCTCATGTGGCCGCGTCGTTATAGAAACTACCTGGCAATCTATTATGGCTGCGCGGAGTTGTCCTTTCGCGACTCGCAGTCACCAAACCATCGGTGCAAATGATAAATGGGAAGGAGGAGGCTCGTGGCTCTGCCATACACATGAGCTCTAAACACGCTGATTCGCTTCATGTGCGACCTTGTCATTGTCTCAAAACCATGCGTGTGTCCCTTCTCTTATCTACACTTCTCATGCCGCTGAGAGGCATTAGTTTGTGGAATCCATGTGAGATTGTCTCCTTTGGAAGGTCTAAAAAATGGAGGATACTCAGTTCTATGCCGCATGACTCCTCAAAAATTTCACCCCTCACCTTGCCATGCTGTGCGCTTCTTCAAAATGTAAAGAACAAGCAGCTACGGCTGTGGGAGGCTGTCCTACGGGAATTACATCTGTCAAAATATGCAGAAGTGCCACTCATGTGGACGAGCTTTTCTGAGGCTGCCATGCATGCAGTCATATTCTCCAATTGTCCGGCCCATTTCCGATCAAGTATGCGTGCAAATACCAGCCGGACCTGCCTCTTCCTCTGCTCACTTGGTATATCTGAGTGACATAAAACCCATGGCGGAAGATTACATGTGCGTCTTGAGCTTGGTTTCTCCAGAAATCAACAGCAAACCCCCAATGCAACACATGCTTCAGAATTCTGAAGCCCACGATTCCATGTGGTGTGCTTCTCCACAACAGGAAATCCATCGCAAAAATGTCTGTGGGAAGCTTGTTCTTTCGTTTCCTCTGCACAACCATATTTTCTTTTTGGGATCATGGGAAAGAACTGTTTCCAAGAGCTGCTATACACAGTCTATAATCGCACGCTCGATCGACGTATATCCAGCCGAAGTAGGGTATAAAAGCAATTACAAATTCTTCCAAACCCCTCATACAATGATGCCCTCTCCAGTGGCATTAAAATTAGAAAGGACCAGAAACATGTCTCTTCTGTCTCTATGTCGTTCGAAGCTGGCAAAACACACATGTGTGTCCTGCTTGTGCCTGTATTATTTCTAAAGAATCAGAGTGCATGTCCAAGAGCGTGCACTTTCTCAAAAGGACAGGACAAAATTTGATGTGTTTTGTCTCTTGAACAAGATGATCGCTGGCAATGTCATGGTCGTGGTAAAGCTGTTTCCTTGACAATTCTGAACGAGCTGCAATAATGCGACAAGTCGGGTCTGGCACTTGCGGGTTTGATGTACTTTCAGTCAACCTCTTGCATGAAACCTCTCTACACCTCTCATTCTTTGCACGGTCACCTCGTTCGCAAGGACACAAAAACGCGGGGCATATCAAATCATGCGCGTCTCCAGCCTCTAGAGCGCTAAAAGTGGAAGACGAGTTTCTCCATGTGTTTCTTTCGCCTCTTTCTTTTTCTAAAAAAAGACTGTACAAAGCCTCATGGGTGTCTTCACCAGGATCACTTTGTTCGCGTCGATGTGCCGTATGCTCCTCCTGAAAAGCAAGATCAAGAACCGTGTATGTTGGAAGACGTCCATGCGTGATTCCGATGTGTTCCAAAACACTCAAAAGAAGGAATCATGGGAAGGAAGCGTCTTGTAAAGACGCAATTGCGTGGGACTAGGTGTCGGTCCAGCAGTCTATAGCCCTTGAAACCTACTATATAAACCCCGTACACTCCTTTCTGTCTTCTCCCCGCACTTTGCCCATATTGTTTCAAAAAGTGGAATGCCTTCCCATGTGGGCTCGGGCCTCTGGGTCTCTCAAAGAAATCTGCCACGCAATATGATGGAGAACGACCACTAAACATTCGTCTATACCTAAAAATGTGGCTGCGCTTCTCCAAGGTCCGACGAAAAGAACTTTCGTGGCCGCGAAGCTTCTACAACTCATTTGTAGCCTTGCATGTGGCCTGCGCCCTTTCAAAAACAACACCAAAACTGAACATGACCGTCGGAAAGTGCCCTCTCGCAACGCCATTGGGAAAACCTGCACATGAACATGCATGGGGAAAGAGATCGTTTGTGGCTTTATCCGCTCATCAGATATACATAACCCACTTCTTTCTCCTAGCATTGCCGGCGTAATTAAGTCTGGGGACATCACTTTATCCTCTTCGCACAACTCTAAGCTCCCATTGACTTTCTGTACCTGTGTCTTATTTCCAAGACTGGAAGCAGTCCACGCCATGGAGCGCGACTTTCGCGGATCTTGGTCAAAGCTGAACATATGTGTGCACCCTTTTAAAAGGACTACAGTGAGTTCAGCATGGATGTATGGAACGATTCCTCTGGGAAATTTGTCTGACCGGATTGTATTGCACCATGGGCCATGGAGGCTGGACAATAATTCTGTGAGTTTGTCGCCCTCCAATATCCGGAGCTTTTCCGAAAACCGCCATATCCAGCTTCTTCAATGTAATCAAACCCGCGTTCGTGTCCCTTAATTATTCTCTACTCACGAAGTGCGCTACGAACGGAAATTCGAAATTGGTTAAATTTATGTGGGAATGTGCTCCTGGCTGATTAAAATCCTCATTGATGACGCCACATGGGGTGGGTTTCTGGAAAGGCGAAGGCTCGCAGGCCTGCTTTGCGCTCTTTCAACACTGTTGTACGACATCAACCGCACACTGGTATGATCAAAACGACCCCAAGAGACCCCCATGGGACGGGAGATCTTAGAGCTTGACATCTGCAAGACATACTGATACAACCTACGGGATTAGAATTGGGGTGTCTGTAAGGCATCTTCATGGATTCCCTGGTCTACGATTTTGTTTCTATCTAATCTGTGGATTGCGTTCGGTGAACCATAAAGCTAATGCATCTCCGTCTGTCTTTGATCCTCTGACTCTTGTTCGCTAGGCAACAAAAGTGCGTAACTAAACCTCATGTGCAAGCATATAGCATTTTTCACGAAGTGAGAGGCATATTGTCTTACTCTTTTAACCCTTTCAAGATCCCTGAAATACGCAGCGCGTCCTTTGAGGGGGAAATATGTTAGATGGCACAGTCTTGAAAAAAGAGATTAGCACTCTACACACTAATATTTCAGGTCGAACCCCTATAGAGAGCGCTTGACAGCTATGATCACCTGACACCAGAGTTATATCAGGACCTTCCTCTTTCATCTTAGTCAGCCAGTCAATTTGCCGTATCACAACAGTGTATCTACCTTTCACCTCCACCTCAACCATCCTCTAATTGGGTAGCTGAAGAGTACTCACCTCCGCGGCATGTGGTCTTTTGCGTTCTGCGGGCATACTCAATACTCAAAGAGACTGTGGCAGGCAGCTTGGAGCTCTTACTGGGTTTCGATGCGCTCGAATCATTCGCCTCACTCCGTCGTTAGTTCTGTGCAGCTGTCCGTATCATGGCTATACTACAAGCACTGCTCCACGATGTAACGTATGGTATAATAATATCAAAAGGCGCATCTGCGGATACATTGTGCGTCCTATCGCAGACGATAGAGAGACAGCATGCTTTAACAAAGCAGATGCGACAGACTTCTGATCCAAATCGAATATAATCCAAATGGGAGAGTGGTATATTGCAAGTGCAAAGCATTCTGGCAGGCTAACTACACATGCATTCAATCAGTCAAGCATGTGACGTACATCGGGCGAACAGTCGTAGAATACAGATTCAATGCGTTCTCAAAGACCGACTCCGATGGCGGATCCTCGTCATCCAACAGCTCCCAAGCAGCGGGATCCATCACCTGTCCGTGATAGTGCTCATCATCCTTGGCCGGTTCTTTCCACTTCAGATTAGTCACCGTAAAGTACACATCCTTCTGTTCCTTGTATTGTTGATCCCAACCCTGACTGTAGTTAAATTCTCCATCTCCAGCGTTTTCGTCATAGTAGTCGAAAACATAGAGGTCGATAAAGACCCGTAGACCTTTCCAACCGCTTTGTAACGCGGCAATGGCTTCTTTCCAATCGGAAACATAGAAGGCGGCTTTATTCAAGTCCCACAAGACGATATCAACGGACTCCACGTTTGGAAAAGAGGACTTCAAGTTGAGCAAGGCCTGAGTGATCATCTTTGCACAGTTTTCGCCATTTTTAGGCCAGAATTCATAGTCTTCTGTGGGCGAGGAAGGCTTTCCATCCGCACTAGTCTCGGTTTTGCAGACTTCGGACGTCTGTATTATCTCGACTGAGATGCTCTTTGTGCCAAACCTTCGTTAATGAGATATATGGTCCGTGTTTGTATCGATGGTCTTTTCGCCCTTGAGATATTGGAATGGTTCCTGGATGGGTATGACTATCTTGTGATCTTTGTAGATAAGACATTGCAATTCTTCCGTGATTTGAGCGTCAACGTAGAGAAGTGGAGCGGACGTTGAGGTGTAGACGACTCATTTGGCGTGAATGTTGCTATGCTTGAGAATGTCAAGATCCTCGTATGCCAAATCGTAGATGATGTCGCGCATTTCTCTCGGAAGATCAAAGAAAGTAGCGCCACTAGACATGTTGTAGGGTTTTTATCCGATCGCGGACAGTGCATTTTCGCGTTCATCCATCCAAATGCGATGCTCGTCGGAATTTATATCAGCTGCCCCCTTCCTACCGAGCGGGCCGTGCGCAAGGCACCAATACGCCCTGACTAGGCAACCGCGCTATCCATTTAGCCATTTTGGTATATCAGTCATAATAAGCATCGCCAGTTCATCAAGTATTGCATCCATTGTACTAGAGCTCTTCTCGGACCGTATGCCATTTCCAAACACGGTACGCATAATGTTCTTAGCTAAACCCTTGGCCTACAAAACTAACTCAGGATGTCAGCTGTGAACGGTATAGTCAAGACAGATGCTCTTGACTATGCCAAGGACAAGATTCGAATCAATGCTGTTAGCCCTGGTTTCGTGAAAACAAACTTCGTAGCGCCAGAGATGTGGGCTGCCATAAGTGACTAGTTAGTCTAGCATTTGAAAGGCTAATGATAATGATACATGATTAGTTGGATCCCGGTATAGCGGCGACGCCGATGCAGCGCTTGGGAACACCGGAAGAGATGGCCAATCTGGCCATTTTCATCGCAAGCGATCGCGCGTCATACATGAAAGGTAGATGGCTTCTACCCTAAAGCTGCTCAAATCTAATTTGCATTCTCACAGGGAGCATGGTGGATATTGATGGGGGATACACTGCCCAATTCGGATGCTATATCAGGAGTAATTCTACCTTGCCGTCATGACACTGCGAATCTTCTTCACAAAGTTCTCAGATAAGTCATGAATAGTTTGGGACTGCGGGAACAGGGCTGAGAATAAAACTCTACATCCTTTAGGAAAGAAAAATGCTCGTAGAAACAAGACAATTGAGGAATGGGTTGCCACTCAAAGCTACAAAAGTCGATATGGAAGGACTCTAATTCACGATCCCCCGCCCCTCCCCGCCCCGGCTTTTTTTTGATACGTTTGGAGAGCCTTTTCTTACGTCTACAGTATTGTGCGTGCTTAGTGTTGGACAATGGCCCTGAAGAAGTGCACATAGTATCCTGGTTTGCCTCTTCCTGACGACCGTCATCGCATGTCTGATCTGTTGTACGGTGGCGAATATATCCTGGCGGTTTCCGTGCAACCCTAGTAATGGAAAGAAGGACGATGAGCATGACCTTGAATGCTGTGTCGAAAAGGCGAGCTGCCTCAAAGTGGAACATCTCCACCCACTCTGCGTTCAAAATTTGGAGGTTATCGTTTGATTCTCTTTCTAATGAGTTAGACGTCGCGTTCTGTCCATGATCTATGCGGATGCAAAGGGTCGCCTCGTCACGGTTTTGCCTGGCACGAAGGGCAGCCATCCCAGCTTCGCGCCACCGGGACATGGCGTCGCGCATTAGGGTTTGGAATTCTCCCATCAAAGCTAAGTCGGAAGATACATCCCTTCTAGGTGGTATACTAGTAGTTGGGATGCAAATTGTCTTCGTCATTGTACGTCGCTGTGTCGTCTGGGGGAATCGCCTGGTTACTGGCTGGAAGTCGTATATGCTATGTAGTATCTGTTCGATCTTGTTGGGAAGTGAGTTTGCTCAATAATCACACTTCGGCTTTCAGATCTGTCTGTTTTAGGCCAAATTCTACAGTTTAGTGCCCACAGTACCTCCGGGTGCCGGGTTGTTTTTCAGTCACGTGCAGAGTAAGCCACCTGGGCACCTGCAGCAGACTGCGATGTGCAAGGCTCGGGCCGTTCGCTCGGACGATCGGAGCATACGCGCAAATGGTTATCCACCACCGTGTTCCCCGGCCCTTGAACTATGAAGTTCATTGCTTTCGTCGTTGATTTGAGATGATTCCAGTAGCTGGGACTCGACATACTCGTTTCCACCGACCCCAATGGTGGAATTGTATCGAAACCCCATATTCGAATGTTGATGCACATGTTCAGCGCTATGGGGTTGGTACCATATAAGTAACCAAATGAAGACGGAACACGTGCTTCCCAAATCATTAGACTGTGTGTTCAACAGCCTCCGTAGACCCACTTTCGACTTCAAGCATATCTGATGATCACACCGATCCCGAGCCGTTCAATTTAGGTAATACCGGAATGTTTTTTTCATTATCGATAATGGTTACATAACGCATACAAAGCGCCGCCATAAATGCATCGAGTCGTGCCTTCGTCTGGCTAACCTCCTATTCACGTGTCAAGTAACTCGCACCGCGCACCGCGCACAGCTCCCATCTCCACCTTTCCAACCGCTCAGACACCATCAAACCCATACATACGACGGCATCACCAGCCGAAGACTACACGGCATAGCCCACGATGGCGTGCACAAGGCGCTGCTGCGCCAGACCTATGTCGCCGCCTTCATCATGACGCTGGTTGGATGTCTCTACAGCTCCCCCACGCCCAATATCATCGGCATCTTGACTGTTGGTACGGCTAGAACCTTGGTTTGGGTGACTAGCTCGGGGTGCCGCAGAGCGCTCGGGATCATGCACGGCCTGGGCGGGTCTGTTATGAAACGGTATATACACCAATCCCGCGCATACCGTCGCTGCCAAAGGGCCAAACATGAAGAGCCCTTTGGTGGCTTCCTGGGTTGTTTCGGCGGCTTTGGCGAATCCGAAAACGAAGTGCGCAGCTAGAAGGAGGGAACAAAATAGGTAGATTGGCCCATCGTTCCTCATTCGTTGCCTCAAGCGGTAGAAATTAAGGGTAATGAACGCTCCGAAGGCAACTGTCCAGAGAGCTCGAACTATCCAGCATAAAGCGGCAGCGTTAGTCTCTGTCTGTAGGGGAACAAGGGCGACCCCCGCCGAGGTCGACACCACGCCGGCAATAATACGCCTGTTCCCTGGTATATGCGCATCGAAGAGTATCGCAGCGGCGCAAGGCCCACTAGCGAGCATTGCGACAGCATACACTACTGCCACCTTGTTCCCAGGTACTTGATACGAACGAGGGTATGAATTGCGACTGGAATAGCCCAAGGCCATCTCTGACCCTTGTGAATGGTATTCGTCCTCGGGTCTGTTCGGGAAATAGGTGTCCGATGCTTCCTTGGTCGATCGCGTATACGTTCGACTGGTGTGAATGAAGGTGTTGGCATTTGCTCTTGAAGAGTTTGCCGTCGTCGGACATTGATACAATAGCCATTCGATGTCTGATCTCCGTTTACGAAGGGCGTGGAGGTCAATTTGCCGGTCGACGTCCAAGGAAGGAACGAGTGCGTCAAGCTTGCTCGGAATGTCAAGACTGGGTGGCTGATATCGAAGCCTATGGTTCACATCGATCTCAATTTCCATCAGGTCGTCAACTTCGCCAATGCATCGTCCAACTACATTGTCGTGTTTCACAGAAACATTTGGATTCTGGGACGACGGACCTGGCCGCGGATTGAAGATCACAGAGGCCAGGATATCTTGCCAATGATTATCTTCGGGCAGCGCAATGAAAGGGAAGTCGGAGCGCATGCTAGGGGTATTCTGAATAATCAGGGGCGCCAGAAACGAGAATCTGCTCATTCCATCAAGGTTTATTACCGAAAGGTTTACGATTTGGGAGCCACTGTAGGTCAATGGCCTTTCTTCTTCGAACGGCAATTGATGCACCTTTCCACGAGTGGTGGGGCTCTGTTGATCTGGTGGCAGGACTTGCTTTTCCTCTGTTTGATTGGCAGCACTCTTCATGTTGCTGATCCAGATATTCTGAGAGCTTGCGTGATAGGTAGAAGGTCGTATCAGTCCTGACAATATTTAGAACTTGGAATCCGCACAATGAAGACGTAAGTGTAGCAAGGAAGCTTCACAGCAGCGAGAAATTTGAGCAAGGGTTCGTGGGATGAGAGTATCAGAACATCCAAAGCGGTTGCTTCGAAGAGTCGAGGGCGTATGCGGGGGAATGGGGCAATCTGTCGCGCGCGGGCTGTGCTCAGTGGGGTGCGGATGGGAAGATGTGGCCAGCGCTGGTGCAAGAGAGATGCTTCCAACCTGGATTTCCAAAATGCTCTAACTTCCGGTCACAGATTGAGGCTATGCCTGCGCCTCTCCCAGCTCATGCACGCGTGACGTGGCGAGGCGCAGTCGACGACTACCATAGGTTGGTCTTGTTCAGCCTTGCGGCTGTTGCCCTTTCAGCTGAACAGCCCACTTCACACGAACAGCGAACTCGGATTGCAGCACGATCGAAAACTCCGCAACCTCGAAATCTCTACATTGCCCGAATCTCAAGCACATACGCCTGTCGTCTTCATCGGCGGTTTTGTCGCGCGTGGCTATCCGCATCCGTAAGAGTGAAGAATCGCGAATTCGCACCACGATCCCACTACTCCCAAGACGTATTTGACGTAGAGTCTTCCGATAGAGGCATGTCTGGCTTCTCCCTCGCGGACATCGTCGCCGTTAGTCGGCTCGCGATGCAAGTATGTGAGCAGTTTCGCGACATTACAGCCTTCAAAAACGTCGTAGGGCGTCTTCAGCAAGATTTACTTGCATTCACGGAAGTTCTTCGACATACCCATACGCTTTTGAACACTATGCAACGAGATTATGGACTCGAAGGAGAGCAGCTGCCTTTGACGGCCGATATGGATGAAAAACTTCTGAAATTGGCGCAGAGTTCGCAGTACACGTTGGATGCTATCCAGGAATCAGTGGATCGCTCCGCGACAGTGAAGTGGTTTTTGTTGGTTCGGTGTTTTCGGGACCACATCATTAAACTTACACAACAGTGGCAGATGTAGGACCAATCCTCCACATTATCAATGTTTTGGCAGTGCTAATCAAACGTATAGAATGCTACGTGCGCTAAGCGCTTGTACAAAGCACCCACTGTCCAACAGTCCGCATACTGTCTCACTCACTTGTAACCTCGAGGGAATGAGGATGCATCACAGCGTTGGTTCTGCGGAACAATCCCAAAGGATGCGACACGCTTATGCGATCCACCTCGACCCTGGGAGCATCACAGATGAGTGCGGAGAAAGAGGCAGAGAAGCTGGGAGAAACATGTTATGGGCGGACGTTCTCTGTATCGACCAATCTGATCAAGCGGAGAGGGCAGCGCCGTTTACCGAAGTGCATCAACTGTACGATTATGTGGAAAACCTAGACGGACAGAGCGGACATCCAGATCTATGTATGCAGAAATGGGCCTTGGGGAAAGATTCCAATCCCCTCACGCTGGATTCAATCGGATATCATGGGAAACCGACACAACAGTTGATCGATAAGCGACATCTTGCCTCAAGCTCCATGGCAGCTCTCACGAGTTTTGCATGCGGTCTTTGCATGCACAGTTTCGACACCATCAACAATGTTCAGCACCAGGCGTACACGCACGTCTTGATATCCAGCTGGCTTTCTTTCCAGGATCAACCGTCTACGCCAACCTTCGTAGTCGCCACCCTAGTCCATGGTATCGCAACGCTAGCGTACTACACTCTTCGCTCTCGCGATAAATTCAAAGAGCATTTTCTCATAATCGGGGTCATAGCTGGAATCGGCTCTGCACTGTTGGCAGGAAACAATGTACAAAGTGTATTGGTCGGTATCTTGCCGCTGGTCATTACCTCGAGTCTGCTTCTCTGCACAGCGACGAATACAGTACTACAAAGCTTTCGACAGCATCAAGATGGCAATCCAAGCGGAGGAGAAGATCTCGAACGGCAGCTTCAGAAGTAATGCTCGAGGTTCGTTCAAATTCATTCAAGCGGAAGGATGCGCGTCTCAAACACTATCGCAAGCACCTGGCTGAACAGTAGTAGGCAACTCGCGGATGCCGCGAGATGCCGTGAAGGATCCTTCCCTTATCAATAGCTCCATATTGCAATATATTGTCGTCTTCGTCATGGCCTGCGTGTCGTCTGGCGTACTTCTCTTACCTCTCTACCACTTGTTACAACCTCCTTTCTGTATTCAGTACGCGAAACTCGCGAAAACCAACCTCACCCCTGCCACTGCTCCGGCGGATACCTCTCCATCCCCACACAAACTCCCTCCCACAAGAACCTACTATCCCTACTATTTCCCCACCCTATTCCCTTCTCTCCCACCCATTCACCGGCCACATGGGCACATAACAGTACTCACCCACACCACACTTCTCCTCACACCCCACATCCTGCTCCACCCAGCCGAGCCACGCAATTAGCTCTCGCAGATCCTGCTTCCACCGTTGCGCTCGGCTCTTGATGATGTGGGGTAAGAGTTGCTTGGGCGGGTCAGACGGGGAGGAAGGCTGGAAGTACATGAACCAGTGATATTCGACGTGCAGCGAGATCTTGATGACTGTGCTGCAGAGGGCGTGGAGGGTTTCGGTTATGGCGTGGGAGAAGATGGCGTCTTCGTCGGTTGTAGGGTCTGCATCGAGGGCGTATTGGGAGACACAACGCTCGAGGGTCGTTTGTGCGAGGGGTGAGTGTGTGCCGAAGAGGTCGGCGAGTTTGTCATCGTCGTAGGGAGGAGTGGGGTATTCGAAGAAGGGGAGAAGAAACCAGTGTGTGAGTTGTCGGATGTTGGTTAGCCAGGCCTTGAGCGAGGCTTGCTCTTCGTCTGTGTCTGAGAGGTCTTTCGCTAGGTAGCTGAGCAGGGTTTTGAGCTCGTTGCTGTGGCGTGTGACGATTTCTTTTGCGACGTAGGACCAGTCGATCTTTGAGCCATCTCGTGTGGCTTCAAGGCTGCTTCGTAGTCGTTGCTCTACGGCTTCGCGCATGTATTGCGCATCCTGCTCGTCCACGCTAGTCAGCCGATGCTGCCTTCGCCGTCGTTGCAATCCTAGGAGCTCCTGTTCCCGCCATGGGTGGCTTGGGAACAACTTTAACTTCCACCTTCCATCGGGGCCCAAACCAAAGCGCTCTATGTCCTCTGCTATTCTCACACGAGACTGGTTTTGCAAGCCCGGCTCATAGAAAGAGAAGACACCTCCCGGATCAAGCCTTATGCGTAAATCGCCTGTGTACCTCTTTGCGGCGGCCGAAAACCAGAACCAGTTCGACGTATTCCGGAATGGCTCCCTCGGGTCGCTCATCCCAGGCCCATGAGGACCCTCGTCTTCGATTCCTAATCGAGCTTGAGCATGGAGCTGCAAAGGCCGCTGGAGCCACGGTTGCTGTACCTCTGTCCGAAGAGGTATCACACTATCAGACACGTACGGCGCCGACACATCCAGGTTCGATACCAGTTTCAACGACGGGCTCTCAAAGTCGCACCAGATAAGCTCGAATCCCGCGTTCATCCTTACAATGGCCTCGTAACCCCATCCTTTTCCTCCTAGGCCGCTGTTACCCAACCACTTGCACAGCTCCCTGGCACGGAAATATTCGTTCGCAAGCGGATTCCAGCCATCTGGCGGATGGCCTCCCGGACGACCCCCCGGTGGTCTTCGCGGCGGACCTTCACCATCCTTCCCACCATGTCCTCCTCCTGGAGGTTTCTTTCCTGGCGGTCTATCTCCTGGAGGCGGCCGGTCCCAACCCGGTTCCCTACTATCAGTTCCGTTCTTCAAAAACACCATCTGACTCCACGTCCCATCCCCCATTAAATTCGCGCTTGCGCCATCGAAATAGACCGCTTTGACATCTTTCATGACCTTGTAGGTAAGCATCCTGCTCTCCGGCATGTTTCCCATGATTGCGTACGCCATGTAGATGTCGAAGGCAAGCCATTCTGGGCTCGGTACTGGATCGTTGTCGTGGCGCCCATGGTAGAACAGCGTGTGGCGGGGGATGGTTACGGATGCGATAGTGTGGCCGTTGGGGAAGAGAGTCTGTGGGTGGACGGATAGTAGGGCGGACAGGGAATGGGTTATGTGGGGTGACGGAGATGTGAAATTCAGGAAGGGGAGGAAAGACGGGGGAGATGCTTGACCGGCTGCGCTGAACGCTAGAATGCTCGTGAGAGCCGCTTGCAATGCCATATTAAAAAAGGACTGTCATCAAGAGCAAGAGGACATGTTGATACGATGTTGGATAGTCCAGAGCTTAGAACTATCGTGTTGACGCTGAAGCTGGATGTCAAGATAAGGTTTATCGCATCGCGTATCGGTGACGCGTCATCCAAGTGACTGCCAGACTGGGATAGACGAGTTCATATCCTTGTAAATAAAAAGATAGAGACGAACAGGAAGAAAAATCGAGAACGTGAGTGCCAGAAAAAAGGTTGTGGAAATGTGATACCTACCGTCCTTGTATGAAGAGAAGCTGGGCAGCAATTAGTCGCATCGTGCAAAGAGGTGCGCGAGTCATGCACGACCGAGGGGCAACTCGACGTCGGTCGCTTAAAAGCTTCCCGCATTGACTGGTGTACCGCAGTTGCACTCAGGTAGGGCTGGAAACATACTTGATGATGATCATCGCGTCGCCAGATCTGCAACGTCAATGCGCGCCCATTATGGGGAACCTGTCGTTCAAGCACGGTGGTGCGACGCATGACGTCAACGGCAGCATGTGAAAGTCGAGCTCCATCCTCCCCATCCACATCTCACAACGCCTTTAGCACCGTCACCCTCCCATAGGACGCGCAATCACCTAATCATCCTCGAGATATAGGTAGCGAAAATGGAAAACCCAGGTACGCGACTCTGGATGCGCATGACGTTCGCGACCACTACTGACGTTCCCCAGCTAAGGAAATCCCCGGCGTAATCCACCTCCTCACACAATCTCCTCCATCGATACAGCGCGAAACAATCGAGACATACTTCACGCAAGATGCCTCATTCACACACCCCTTCTGCCGGACCGGCAGCTTCGACAACTCGCGCTTCCTAATCAGGGCGATATACCGATGGTACAAGATACTGAGTCCCAAGATCGAGTTGACGATCAATTCAGTGGGTAAGTCGTATTACCAGACACTGCTCCCTTGCACGAAGATTGCGCAAGATGAATCTTCCCAGAAAACGCTGACGGGACCACGATAGCATACGACGAACCCAACCTCCTCCTCTACGTAAACATCACCCAAGTCTTCGGCATCTGGGTCATCCCCTTCCACCGCGCGCGAGTGAACCTCACCACCGTCCTCGCGCTCAGGCGCAATCGCGGCGACGAGAAATACTACATTCAGAGCCAGAATGATCTGTACCAGACAGACGAGTTTGTTAAGTTCGTCCTACCGCCGAGCTGGATGTTTGTGTGGCTGTGGCAGTTCTGGGCGACGTTCTTTTGCTTCCTGGGGGCGTTTGCGCTGTGGCCGATTAGCTATGCGGAACAGTGGGTTTGGGATGAGGGCGAATCGCGGAAGAGCCGGAGTAAAGTCGAGGGGAGGAAAGGGCAGAGGGTTGGTGATGTGCTTGATGATATTGAGCTGAAAGACCTTGAGCGGAAGGCTTTGGTGAATAAGCCGAGTAGGTAGTCGCTGATGCCGAGAAGCTATATTCAGTGAGTTCTTGGAAGACTCCAAGATAGGCATGGTTAGGTGATCTATGGGAACTATTCCTTGGGTCGTGCGCACATTTTGGAATTACTGGATGTATATTCCTGATGTGGAGCGGCCCGCAGTAATCAGTAGATTGGCGGTCCACGAAGGTTGACTTTCTAGCTCCGGACGCCCAATATAGAATCAAGAAGCGCCGAAGAAGTTATTTCCATTGTGGCTTTTACCAAGAACGGAAATTGCAGCCCAATCTTGAACATGACGTTGCTTCCAGGTCTTGAATTTCTGTTGTGTTGCGCGACCGACAGCGCCAGACCGCCGACCTGTAGGTTATGCAGCATAACATCTACATTCGCGCTCTCGCAACCAGTATGCGCGATCGGATCTGATCGGCGATGGTCGCCTGCGTAGTCTCCTCACGCTATCCACTCTCATACCCAAATATTGAAATGACAGACGTGCAGCAGACGGCGCAGTTGCGAAAATAAGGTACGGCTCGAGCCAAAAACTGCTGTGCCGATCAACCGAAGAAGATTTCTGACAAGTCGCTAGAAGCGCGATGGCACGTGAGTGGCGTGCGCTACCCTGGTAGCTTCTTAACGGACGTGAAACGGTGCGGAGGCGTCCCCATCAACGGCTCGTCCCCGCGTGCTGGTAGGTGCATACATGCTGCTCAATTACACCTAGTGCCACGGCGCCAGGCGACTCAATTTCACATGGTGCTTTGCGCGCCGATTTCTAGGTTATTTTGGGCAAGTCTAGGAGTGGTGGGGTGTGCAAGTGAGTATTGTAGTGCTCACGCGAGGCATCGATAGTGTTAGTAACTCGGTGTGCTCTTAACTTCGCCTATGCAAGACTTTTCTTCGTCTAGTCGTACGAAGTGCGAACGTGGCTTTGACGAGAACGCCTGATCAGAGCAGTGCCGATTTAGGCGAGTCGCTATCGCGAGCTTCGAGATGTTGAGCCTGGGATGCAAACGAGAAGCGCATGGTGTGTCGTTTCGAGCAGACGGCAACCCTGTCACATTGAAGAGAAGAAAGCCAATCACGATCGGTGCACTCTCGAAGCGATAAGGCGCCAACTGACGGGCGTCTTGGGAGACCATGGCTTCTGGTGATCTGCCGCCATGCATGTCTAAGAGAACCAGTCGGAGTGGCGCGTAGGACGGCATAACCCTCCTAAAAAGTACGCCGCATGGCGCTGGTCGAGTCCGTGCATCCCCCATGGACTGAGATAGATAAACTCCAAGCCTTTCCCTGCCGTGTGTCGCCTCTCCTTCATCTGGTCTCTCTTCACCTGTCTTTTCCCGTCGCATTCCTTTTGCGCGTCCATTCGTTTGAACCCTCCACGTATCGCATACACCACGCTTTTCGCAGTCGCGACTTTCCAGAAGTGCGGACCCCTCCATAGCCTGGGAACTACCGGTTTCTTCCACAAATTACCAAGATGTCGCTTCGAATCATATCCTTGGCTTTCATTGCCGGCGCGCTCGCAACTCCTTTCGAGAAAGTAGCACGTGACTCTTGCAATCCATGCAATCCCAAAGGGGCAACTGGATCCAATCCTCCTAGTTTCGGATCTGATATGAGTTCCCTTTACACAGACGTCCTCGCCTCAGTCAAAGACATCCATTTCGACACCCGCTCGGACACAGTCGAAGCTCGCGACGATGGTTTTTGCTGCGCGGAGACGCTCGATTGTGTAAACGTACAGAATCTAAACATCCCCATGTGCTACGACAAGTTTACGACGAACTTTGCATTTCCCGATCGCTCGTACGGTTCGTTGACGACTGGCGAATACACGCAGGGCGGCGCCGAGGCGAACCTGCTCACTGGCCAGTACTCGAAGGATGGCAGCGAAGGGAACATCTACTCGGAGGACCCTTCCGCGAAGCCTAACACAGCCACCTTGTCGATCCCGCCTCAGTGGACTGGGTCTGGTGTTGGAAGTGCCATTCCGGCTACGGCGATTGTAGGAAGTGCCACAGCACCAGCGCAGACATCGGCACAGACGACCGCGACCGCGTCGGTACAGTCATCAGGCCAGACGTCAGCTACATCGGGAAATGCTGCGTCCCAATCGGCAGGATCTGCTACTTCCTCAAGTGGCGAAGCCGCTTCTTCGACGTCAACTCCGGGTGTTGCAGTTCAGGGCAACCCGTCGCTTGTGATGATGGCATTTGCAGCAATATTGTACGCTGTATGAAGAGATGCATCCCGAAGACCTTTGATGGAAATACCACGAGGATGATACCCGTATATGATCATAATGTTAATTCTGGCATGTACATGTCCAACGCGATGTATATAGACGATATGAAAAGTCATACCACACGTCAAAAATAGCTTCATTCGCTTTCGAGTACACTTCTGAGTCTTGAGACCTCGTCCTTATCGACCATTTCGCCGGGCTGTGTGATAGCTGCAGAGTGATACCACGGGGCCTTCGTTTGCTGACGCAGCGCTGCAACGTTGGTCGATCGAACGCCTCCACCAAGTATGAACGTGATCCGATCACCAAAGTCTTTCTGCAGTCGAGCGACATGAGCAGCTCCAGAAACAGCGTCGGCCTCGCCTCCACTAGTGAGGACTGAGGTAAAGCCGCAACGGATCAAGCTCTCGACCGCTTCCCCTTGATCCGGCACCGAATCAAACGCGCGATGGAATGTGCAAGGAAGTCCTCCTGTCATTTTCACGAGCTCACGGTTGCGCGCTTCGTCAACGCGGTTTTCTGCATCCAGTATGCCGAAGACGAACCCACTCGCTGTCGGCTTGAAGTTCAGGATGTCAAGCTGCATCTGGTAGAACTGTAAAGTTGTATAGACGAAGTCTCCGGGTCTTGGCCGAATCATGACATTGATGGGTTTCGTTGTCGCCTTGCGAAGCTCGGCCAGGGCATCATGGGAAGGAGTGACACCGCCAACAGCATAGTCGGCACAGAGCTCGATCCGGTCTCCGCCTGCCTCTGCCGCTGCGATTGCGGACGGAACATTGAAACAGGCGATCTCAAGCATGGTTGGAAGTTGTACGAAGGTGTCGAGGAGAAGGGTGGAGGCACATGGTGGAGGAAAGTGGAGCCTACGAGTAACCTGCGCTAGCATCCGTATCGAGTTAGCGTACTCTCAGTACACTAGTGTAGGCCGTATGCATAGTCGTTGCCATTACAAAAGATATAAAATACCTCTGAATCGTCTTGTAGATTTGGGGATCAGAATAACTCTGAACCACTACTCTATCATCCCAACTCTAGCCTCCTTCCGTCCCTTCCATCAGAACCTTACTATAGGGTATACACAAACTCAGGGTTCTCCCTATCCGTCAAATCCAACCACTCCTGGTTCTCCAACCTGATATATCCCTCTGCATTGCGGATCTTCTCTTTCTTCTTATTCTGCCAGACGCAGTAGACGTGGATAAACGCCATAATGACCAGACATATTGCGTAGCACACAATAATCGTGATTTCTGCGGGGATGTAGCGCGGTGCGTCTTGTGGGCGGAACGTTTGTGGTCCTAAAGTCCCCATCAGTCTGATGTGTTCTTTGTGTAAAGTGGATTCATGAGGGTGAAAAGGGCGTCTTACCGATGATGTTACCCGTACAGTACCCTATGAGAAACATAGCGGCGACGGTGGTCTTTTTGGTGTAGCCTGCGATATTGCTGGATATGAGGCTGAGGATGGCGACGAAGGGTGTTGGACTGGCTTGCGTGAGGTAGTACCCTGCGAGGCGGCCTTTGTTGTTGGATAGCGGGAGCGCGACGATGAGTATCATGCCCAGGAGCGCGAGACACATTCCGCTCATGGAGACGAGGACACGGTAGCCCAACCTAGCATCTGTCAGCTTTGCTAGAACATTGAACTGGGAGGAGGGCAGAACATACTTGTCACCGAGCCATCCACACCCAATTAGCGCAACGATCTCGACGACGCCTCCAGGAGTACCGTAGAGTAAAGACTCCTCAGGCGTATATCCGAAGCCCACGATGAGTTGAGAGAAGAAATTCGACAGTCCACCATTGGGGATATCCGCTACGAGCGCGTAGAAGAAGAATGCCCAAGCTAGCGGGTCCAGAAAAGCCTCCTTCAGCTGGTACAGTTTAAAGTGTTTGTTTCCCACACCCTGGCCATTCACTCTGATGCGCTCGATGGCAAGGATTTGATCTTCTTTGCTGAGCCAGCGGCAGTTGAGCTGGTTGTCCGGAACAATCCAAAGGAAAAGCACGCCGACCGCGGACGTGAGTAGGCCGGTCACAAGGAAGATGAGCTTCCAGGGCTCGATCAGAGTACCGTGCTTGCGAGCGCCGACCGCGATACCGTAGGCGACGACACCGCCGAAGATCTGTGCAAAGCCGTTGAAGCTGAACCAGATACCTGTCCTGAAACCCTGCTCTTTCTTCGTATACCATTGAGACGTAAAAAGGGCAAACCCTGGCGTGACAGCAGCTTCGAATACGCCCAGGAAGAACCGGATTGCAATTGCCCCAGAATAGTTCTCTACCGCGGCGAAGCAAGACAGTACGATGCCCCACATGATGATGTTGAACGCCGCTGATGGAGTCAGTGTATGAAACCCAGTCATGCCGCATCATACCTACAGTACTTGCCCAACGGTAGCCGTTGCAGCAGACGACTCGTTGGGTACTCCCACGCCAGGTACCCGAAGTAGAACAAGCTCCCCAGCCACGAGTACTCCGGCCCCGAAATGCCAATCCCACTCTTGAGCTTGTCGTCCGAAGGCGGTAGCTTAAGGCCCATAATCGAGGCATAGCTCAAGGTCGTCTTATCCAGATAATTCAAGCCGTACACAATACACAAGATGGGCATCAAGTGTCTATCAATCTTCCTCAACAACCTCCTGTTCGTCTCCTCGCTCAGCTCCAACGTCTGCCCTTCGTACCCTTCAAACGCTTTCATCGCCGCATCCGCATCATGCGAATGCTTCAGGATCTTATCATCAATGTGCTGTATCATCTCGGGCGGCGGAGCATCGACCGCCGACTCCTTCTCCTCATAGGGCGGACTCGTAATCTCTTTGCCCGAAGCCATGGCTACTGGAAAAGTACCTGCGACAAGTGTGACAGGGTGCGTGAGAGGTAGGAAGTACAGATGGTATGCAAGAGAGGCCGCAGCTGGAGGATTACAGATGACATCAACCCGAGGTGCACATCACCCCTCATCCTAGAGCCTTTTAAGCGGGTGATGGTGGCGCTTGCTCGACGCCAGTACTGTCATAGTAGGTACTAGGAGGTAGATAACGTCGCACAGGGTCTCCCAAAACACTCTTGTCTATGTCTCCCCACCTCTTGTTCTCGGCTGTGATTCGTCGCTTTGCATCTCGAGTATCTTGCAGCGATAAGCCTATGTTCCTTGCTCCGCATCTCGATAAAGGTATCATGAGTCCGCCTGCGCGATGCGATGATAACAATTCCGCGGACATGGACCGGGAGTGTAACAATTGGCGTAATGCGACGGCTAATCAGTGGATGGGGTTGCAGAGCGGAGGCGACGATCGTATGGAGGCGGCTATACTGGAAGAGGAAGGCGTCATGGAAAATGCACAGTTGAGTAGCGGACCGGATGCATTAATAGATGCCGGGATGCATAAAGAATGCGCTGACTGATTTCAAAAGAGTTAACTTCGTTCGTTACGTGACGATGCTCACAAGTGTCGTTACAGCAGTCGAGCGATAGGACAGGTCGTCGCTCAGATATGTTCATTCGTGCCTGCCCGATGTTCGATTATGCGCGCGGGCTGACCGGGTTAGCGCACACATTAAATTTAAGCTTAAGTGCAGCGAACGCTTCGTGAACGTGAATGTACTGCTTATGAATTATGCCATTGCTATGCTACTCATGTCGAATGCGGCATTCATTCGCATGCACACGTAAAGGACCTCGGTGACACAAAAGCTGCCCTTTACGAAGTAGGCACCATAAACTCCGAAGCCCTGCGGGCTGTCCCAGCCCAGAAATGCATGTTGAGAAACGCCGCCGAGATGCTCGTGACAATGCCATCAGAAGTCCGCGCCGAACTTTTCGTACGTACAGAAAACACGATCATGATCCGTAAAATATTTCACAGAGAAAGGAAAGGGTGCAACAGGGTGTGAAGAAACTAAGTCCGAACGAACATGTTCCTGTTGAGCTTGTCAAGCGCGCGCGAATCCGTCGCAGTGCTCATGCTTGCCAGCCTGTCCGGGGGCAGTTCCCTGATTGCGGGCTGAGATCCGCTAGGGCTTCGGCTGCCTGAACGGCTGTTGCTTTGCTTCTCTCCATTTTGCTCATGGTTGTTGAGAATTGACCCAATCTTGGGGATTGTTCGTGCCGGGGAAGGCTCGTTCGCGGCACCGTTCGACTCCGGTGGCATCAATGACCCCTGAGACTGAGATTCAGAGGGCTGGGGCGTTGGAGGCTTGTGAGCCGAAGTGGGAGTGGTGCTGTTGATGGCCGGTAGTTGAGGTCCTTGCTCTGGCCTGGGCGCAGCGGGAGGAGCAGGCGGAATATGGCCATTAGGCTGAGAATGCCGCTGGACAAGCTCGGGTCTCTGAAGAGCATGCGGAGGAGGGGGTTGCTGGATATACTGCGGAGGATGACCCGGGTGGGGCGCCATTGCAACATGGCCTGGTGGAACGTGGTGAATGCCAGGGTGAGCAATTTGAGGCGGCGGTCGGTCAAAGACATGGCCTTGTTGCGGAGGATATCCCGGGGGAGCATAGATGACCGGGGCGTACTGGAAGTACGGGTAATGGGGCTGACCGTAGTAAGCGTGCTGGTATGGCGGCGTACCGCTGGGGGGCGTGGGCGGGTGGTAGACAGGCACGTATACGGGCTGTTGCGGAGGACCTGGTCGCGAATAGGGTGATGTTGGCATCTGGTGCGGCGACTGGGCATACGGCGAGCCGGGCAAGGGGCCGCGTGTCACGGCTGCGACAGGCTGGGTCTCGTTGACTGTGGATTCGGGATACATGTTTTTAGGAGGTCGGATGTGCCGTAATGAGCTGTCGGTTGACGGTTGGGTCAGAGGCATCGAATTTGATCGCGAGTAGTAGCTGATGAGATGCAAGTGCTGTCCGCTCGAGGTGGTGATGCTGAACGACTGCTTCATAAGACCGTCCGGCTTGTACCGGTAGCCGTCCGGGCCCTCGCCTTCAGAGTCGCCAGTTGCTGATCCGTCTGGGGACTTTCCACTTGCGCGCTTCGGTGCCGGCTGGTTCAGGTTGCTGCCTCCTCTTTTGCCCTCCATCTCCCGGTAGGTCAAGAAACTGCCCGACACCCGACTTGCGCTCCAGGACTTGCCATCGGTCCAGCGCCGCATGCCCGCTTCCCTCTCGTCCCAGACAAATACCGAGCCCGACTTGATCTGCTGGCGTTCCTTCTCGGATAGGCGTCGCTGCACGCGAGGGAGCAGGCCTATGCGACAGGCCTCGAAGAGCAGAATCGCATCATTGGGCGTGCGAACGTGGCCGTGATATGTTTCCATTGTGAGCGGTCCTAGGTGGGACGCGACCGACTGGGTATAGGTGAGCTCTGAGAGCACTGAATAGGAATCGCAGCGAGACTATGATTTCATGTCCACCTGTGGCAATAAGGTTAGCAAAGTATGTTCGAAGGAGCGAGCGATGGGTGCAAGAGATTGCTGGCGTGGAGGATTGGAAGCTGCGGCGACCACTCTCTATTGGGAGATGATGTGTCGAAGCGACCCACTTGATGTGGTGAGCCGGGGACCGAAAGTGGAAACTCACCTATAGGTAGAGGTGCTGGGAGGATGTAGACAGGCGAAAAGACGACAGCAGGGCGCGTGTACAAGTCCGGCGGAGAGGTGTACGTGGGCTCGAGGATATGTTGGCGTGAACCTTGACGGCGTGTGAAACAACTGGAGGGTAGCTGGGGAGGAAGGTTTCTGGGTATGCGGGGATTGGCAGGACGGACGGTCAGGCAGAAAGAGTAGAAGGCCGACTATTGCGTGCGACGCCGTGTACAAGTAGTCTTGCCAGGACCAGGAATGCTTTTGGCTCTCGGCACACGCCCTGGACTTTGATCGCCCGCCCAGGCCGCTGGTGTGGCGCCGATAGCGAGATAAGGCCCGCCAAGCAAACAAGCTTTATTTTAAACGCCGCCGCGATCCATGGGTCCTGGAGACCATCCTGCTTGCAGCCCACGCCGCGTATGTAGCCAGCAGCCGTCTGTGAGAGTACGCAGCGCGTCCCAGGGGGCGGCGTAGCTGCTGGCCGTCTCTTTGTCTGCCTCCCGTCCGCCTACCCAGCAGCGTGCCAACCCGAGCGCCCAGCTGCGTGCCCAGCCTGCACGATGCCATGGTCCGTCCGCTCCAACGACGCCAACCATGCTAATCCCAATCTTTAACCACGACAAGCCTTCGCCCCTTGGCTACAGTAGTCCGCTCCCGGCCTGACAATGTTGCCCAGCCCTGGCACTCCCGCGGATGACATCGCAGCCTGCCAACCGTGTCCTCAGATCTCCATTTGCGCAACACCCCAGCATTGGCGCACACAAGCCCAGCTCCACTCATTATTCACTCACGGCGAAACGCCCCCGGCGAGCTGTCGCTGCCTCACTATCCGCATGGCACCTCGCGGCACAGCTTGGCCCCAAGCAACTCCCAAGCCAGCTCCACGCCGCGCTGTCTCGTCGACCTTCCTCTGCGTGCCCACCAAGGACTGTGCCTCGTCCCGGCGCGCTTAGAAGACTGACAAAGACGACAGCTTGCTGCGCTCAGCACAAGCGAGCCCATCCGCACATGAGCGTGCTGACGCCCGGCTGCCTGCTCCTGCGTTACCCACGCCGGCTCGCACGAGAGGCGTACAGAGCCATCCATTGCTGGCTGCATACGTGGGCCTTGAGCGACCTCGCAGCACTGCTGCGCTTGTTAGAGAAAGGCGTCCGCCCGACTCCACACCCAACGTAATCACCCTCGCATTCCCACGTCTGCTAGCGCCTCGGCGCTGGGCTTGGTGCACTTTGCAGTTTAAGCTTACCTTTGCGTCCGCTACGGCCTGCCTGGTCTCAAATCGCCCACAATCCCGGGTCCGATGCCCTTCCCACTTGCAGAAAGCAACCTGTCATCCTCCTCATGACTGAGCCCTCACGAACAGTGACACAGCATATCTGCGCCTGTACTGACCGACGCAGCCAGCCGCCAATACTCCCCTTTCCTTGATTGTTCCGCCTGGTGCCGGTCCCCGCAGGCACGGCGCTGTTGCTGTATCCACTCCGCGGCGGGCCCAGCCTGAGGTTGTCTTGGACGCCCCAAGCTGCGTGATCAGGAGACTCCTCCTAGGCTTGGAAAACTGGCGTCTCAGCTTGCCCCAGCGAGACAAAGGCCCGAGTCAGATTTATTGGCCCAGCCCACACAAGCACAGCCAAGCAGCAAACGCCCACTTTGTTTCGACAATTGGCCAAGCCTTGCGGATCGGAGTGCGGAGCACCCCCGTGGCCGCGTCAGCGAACCAGCAGCTAATCTGCCGTACGAGGATCTCTTCTCGTGCGTTGCTCGTTGAAACTGACCTTGGCACCTTCCACTCGGTCTTTGTCCGCACCTTTTCAGTACGCTCACTGTGTCACACGACTTTGTCCATAGAAACGCGGGTAGTCTCCAACATGGATGCGTGCAGATGTCATACGATGCGAATACGGCTTGGCTGGCTGATCGGCGCTTCGCTTACGGAGCTCCAAATAAGGTTAAAGACAGTTAAGCATAAATCGCTGACCCGCTGTCCCGCTTTCGTCCACACGGCGTCTCCGCAGCAAGCCACGGGCCCGGAAGAGCAAATCTTCTCGAGCCGCCCTATTTCTACGAGCCAGTACGAGTTGCGTTGGCTTGTACTTAATCTTGTTTCCAAGATGCATGGCACTCCTACCGTACTAGTCGCTGTAAATGTCACCATTCGCTCCAAGAGTTTGTATGTAATACGGTAGCCGGATACGATATTAGCAAGCCACGCCGCGACCCTACCTCGCACCCCAAGCTTATCGCGCGAGCACAGCAAGAGGCTAGGCGCTCTAGAATGCGCCTCCGCTACTGTGGCTTCCACGCATCACGCTCTACGGGAAAACGGCATGAGCAATGTAATGCAAGCCAAGCGACTGGTCTGTCTGGTAGGTTCCGATCTTGCTCTGCCCAGCGGTCAAGTTTTTGATGCGCGCCCATCTGCGATTCTTGATTAATTCGTCTATTTTGCGGCATCACTTCCCTATCGAATAAATGAAACCTACACGCAATGTCTCAGAAACCCGGATTGACGCCGCAGACGGAACTGCGGCCTAGATTGATTGAGCTCTTGCTACCGTACTTGAGTGCTAGCAAAACCCTCTTCAGGTTATCGGTCTGAGGCACTTCACGGGCACCAGATGGAGGTACAAATTGGCCTCACATCAGCTTTCCCACTTCTCAATTACGGCTGTCTGCGATTGTACGAATTCCTGATATGGCTACGCAGGACTCTTCGCAGGGTGGCCTGTACATTGATTTTGATTCGCGTCGTTGCTGCATTCAGCAACATTCTGGCCCCTTTGGACCCCGGATGGACCTGCGCGGGAGAAGGCAACCAACTTTAGCGCAGAATCCTAAACATTCGTTCACTTCGTAAGGAGCAAAGACCACATGTCACTGCGAACGCCCCGCACAGTCAGACATACACCGAAAATAGCGCCTGGTAACCCCACGCGCCGTTCGCGGCGTCATGTACGACGTATCCGGCAAGCGATCTGAGTCGTCTTCTACGCGACATGAATTCCACGTCCGTCTACTATGGAACCGTTATTCCTCGCCGGATGACGCTTCTTTCACTCCCAATGAGTTCCTGGTTGAGCTGTGCTGCACAAGCTCTTGGGAGCGTGACGACTAGGCCCCCAAAACGGCAGGTATCACTTGCTATATTAATCCAGGCACTTTGCCGTATCGCGCAGGCATACATAGCAACGGCGCGACATGTGCTGCTTTTGCTCCAGCGTATTGGTACGCCGCTCGCGCTTGCGGGATACAGCTTTTCACGGACTTGCTATTGTGCCTTGTGATAAGCGGGTGCGTCGATGCACGCTTTGCACGGATTTGCGTTCGCAGATCCGTACGAGAGGGCGGCATGCAGCGTGTTCAATTCCTGATATGCAGATTCGCCGTGTACTGCTGCTCCTTCCTAGGGGAAATGGCCCGGGCGAGGCGAAGTAACAAGGCAAACACCGGACTTGCCTATCAACAATCTTGCCTTTCGGTACTCTACTCTTTCTGCATGCAAAGAGACCCTGCTCTGTGAGGTCCAGGTCGACCTTCATTCGTTGTGGTCGTTGTCTGCAGTCTGCACCACCAGATCCACAACAGTCGACCTTCCTGTTCGGTTGGCGCTGCATCGCCAAGCCCCCCTGTGAATTCTTTTCTCCGAGGCCATCGAGACGATCCGCAATCCGCCACCATGTGAAATTCGGTATTGCGCGGGAAGCAACACCGCCCAATAATAAGCTTAAACGAAACCGATCGTCAGCCTCGCATTCGAACGGCACATATCCGACATTCTATTTGTGTAGCTTTGCGGGGTGGGACACATGTGCAGTAGCTGTCAGAATCGCCAAGTCAAGACAAAAGAAGACAACGGGGTTTTGCTAATCCTGCAAGACGGAAAGCCGCCCCCAAATCAGTGTCACAGAGGCGGGGAAGCTTTTACCAAAAGGGTGCAGTGTACGTTTCAGCGCTTACTTGGTCCACAGCCTCGCAATCAGGTTGTCATTTTTTAACTTAGCCAGGTTACGTTGCCTCCGTTAAACGTCGACGCAGCTAGATCCAAATGGGGCGATATCCTACATCGCTTGAGCTTATACAGCGGACAACCAGCATCTGCCTTGCAGCTCAAGCTGCAAAGCGGCACAGGTACGCTCAAACACCCTTGGGTGCGCCTCGCTCGTACGCATCGCAGAAGTCCACCGTCCTTCAGGACATCTGCCTGCGTCCTGCGTCCTTCCGTTCGTTTGCGTCAATTCGCGGTACTTGTCGTGCGAAGGAACGGGGCACAACAGACTGATGCCCGGCCCCTGTCATGTGTCATAGCCCGTTATTCTAGCTCAGCGCATCGTCACGCATTTTCCTCGCGCGATTGAGATGATCTATGTCGCTCCCTCAACTGGGCCTGTGGAGTTGTGCCTACTGCCTCCGCCGGCCGACTATCACGTGTACTATCCATGCCAGACCAGGACCCGATGCAGTAACGTCTGAGCTTGTAGTGTTCCCGAGCCTTTAAAGTCGGTCGCCATGGTGAAACTTGACAACGCGACAAGAGTTACGAACGTTGTGTTGCTCTCTTCTGGAACAAGAGGGTCGCTATCTTGACAGATGCCTCCGAGAAGTCGCATATGAGCCTGTGTACGAAGAGTCCACCGCATCGCCTTCTTGTAGATCGACTTCAGAAAGCCAGTCAGTTTGTTTCGCTGCATGCATCGTGGACGGTGGTACTGCCTAATCATTCGTCCGACTACGAGCACACGCGAAGCTGAAACCTTAGAGCAAGCCAAGGTTCATACGTAGCCTTAGGAGCTTATAGCGCAAACCTATCTTCAGAATGAAATGGATACCAAGTCAAAGATGTCGCTATACACGAACATGACCCACCTTGCCACAGCCATCCCCGCCGTGCAGAACCCTCCTAGGGAGGATGAGATCGAATACCAATGCAGCGCCAAGTCCTCTTGGTACTCAACGACTCGACAGCCTATACCATTGGAGGATCTCTCTATTGGCCCAGGAGTGGCCCAAGATGAATCTACAAACAGTCTCCTGGGTGCGAACGATACTAAATACCATAACAGCTCGGTGAAAAAACCGGCCACGGAGCCGTTCTTTCTACATCCCAGCATGTGGCTGTGGGAGGTGCTCTCACTTCTATGCGCACTTATTATACTCATAGGGGTAGTCATCATCTTGGCCCTGTATGATGGCAAACCTGGTCCAGTCATTGGAGGTATCACGCTTAACACAATCATTGCGCTCGCTGCGACTTTATTCAGAATTTGCTTAATGGTACCTGTGACGGACTGTATCTGCCAGTTAACTTGGGTGTGGCTTAGATCAGGTTACAAACCGTTGCAAGATGTCGTGGACCTCAACATGGCGAGCAGGGGGCCGCTTGGGAGCTTGCGGCTACTCTTTCAATTCAGATACAGGTAAGTTACCATGCATCCCTCCCATAGCGGCCGCTCCAGTCGTTGCTCTATGCGACTATATTGTCGAGTAGATGAACATTACTAACGTCTGTGAATGTAGTCTCAGGGTCTCCCTTGCTGCTATCATTGTCATCGTCGGAGTTGTCATAGCTCCAATTTTCCAACAAAGTGTCGTGTTTTACAGTGCCAGCATTCCACAGGCTTTGGAACATGCCGACAACCTAACGGCCTTTGCATCAGCAGCTTTCACCTACACAGGAACCATAAACTTTACTGGTCGTGTCTATATCAATACTGGTACTTAGAGCCTATGTATTCCGTTTCGAACTGGTGGCTATAATAACCCTGTTAGGTGACGATGTACCCTTCAACCTAGTTGCTGCAATGTACAGCGGCATGTATTCTTCCAGCATGGCCAACCTTCCCGACCCACCATACTCGTGCCCCACAGGAAACTGCACCTGGGATCCATTCCCGACTCTTGGTATGTCTGTACAATGTTTCGAAGACTCGGCAGACTATTCTCTCAACTGCTCGGAAATGGATACCACATCCTTGCCAGAACGGCCGTTTCGGCCATGCAACATGACAAGTCTATATGAGAACAACTATTCACCCTCTGAACAATTAGTATACGATAGTGAGGCTTGGGATAAGTCAGTGTTGCCTAAGTATCTCCCCGCTCCTCAAAACACCTCAAAGTTCGATTATGGATTTCCTGAGGACCCGCAAGACACGTGGACATCGCTCCAAGCCGGCATCACATTTTTTCGATGGAACTTGGCGCGGAATCTCCTACTGGTTCCCTCTGAGGAAAGGCATGAATCTATTGTCACGTCGGAGAGCACGATAGAAGCTGGACACTGTATGTTCTATCTCGAAATGCAGACCATCAGTGCTCAAGTGCACAATGGTGTCTACCAGGAAAGCGTACTTGGGTCTACAACTAAGATCGATCCTGTCGGGAACGTGGACCTACAGCACCTCGGGCTGGATGGAATTGCCGAATTTGAAACGGGCAATATAATATATACGTACCTGCCTTCCTGTCAGCTTCTATCGAACCCCACTCAGTGTGAGCACAGCAACGATGACAAGCCGGTATACATTACAATCCCTCGGCAGCGGTACTTAAGCATCATAAAAGCACTTCGTAAGAGCTTACCCATGGCCAATGTCACGTCATGGGAAATTGGTCTAATCGCCGATGGGTTTCACAATGCAGAAGCAGCAGTATCCCTCTACATGTCTCCAAACATAACGAAAACGATGCAAACAATTGCGCATTACGTCACGGTTGCACTGCGCGCAAACGATACCATTCTAGAGCGACAGAAACATCCAGACAACAACACGGGAATATCTACCGACTACGTTGCCCCATCGCATCGCGTGGCCGGCACTGTATACGTGCAGACCGTGCTCTTACATGTTCGATGGGGATGGCTAGCTTTCCCGGTAGCATTGACATTGGTTGTAGCGGGGCTACTCTTCGAAACCATCAGAACAAGTCGATCTCAAGCTATCGGGGTGTGGAAAGATAATGCACTGGCAATTCTATTGAATACTCAGTGGAAGCCTGAGACGGAAATAATGGGTGCGGCAACGAGTAAGGAACTAGGAATGATAGCGCAGGGGCTGGAAGCAAATATCGTTCAAGGAGAGGGCGTATCGAGCGCTAGACGATCCGTGGTCATACGGAACAGGCGTGTGGTAGAAGGGGAGTGAGTTGGCTCACGTCTTCCAAGGGAGAAAAACACGGATATAGCACAAGCGATGGTTTAGTCTATGGAGAGGGGGAGTAGGTCTAGGCGGAAGGAGCTGTGAGTATACTTGATCAATTAAGGTCCCGGAAAAGAGCCGCAATAGAAGTCCATGATTTCCGAATGAAGAGTTCAAGCGCGTTAATCAGCAGCGTTTCATTGGTACTGCTAGACGCGCCAAGCGCCGACAGTTTTTTTGCCACTCCCGGAATCGATGCGACTTCCAATTGCCGTTCTAGGAAGTTTGCGCTTGGACCGAGCTAACGCACGCCTCGCCGCATCCCTGGAACTTTTTCTTCACGTCGTCCTCGTCTCCCGAAAGCTTGCCTCCTTGTCCTTTCTGCGTTGACGCACCGCACTGTGTCCATTGGTGCTCTTGTGCGGTGCGCTTGCCAATGTCTGTATGTTTGTGCAGCTTCCGGGCATTGACGCGCTCCCGTACACCCTCCAAGTCGCTCGCGCCCTTCCTGTACCAGACAGCAACCATCCAGCAACGCAATCCCATCTCGCGCCGCAACGCTTCCGATTCATCGCGTCGGAGCCGATCCGAGCATGATGTACCCTTCGAAGGCGAGGAGCTTCCGCCTGTCATTAACGATGCCAAGGTGAACCGCAAGACAACGATCACAGGCTCGGAGCGTGCCGCGTTCGAGAAGCTTTATAAGAAGTTCAACAATGCTGAACAGAAAGAATTTGACGAACACGAATTGGACCAGATCGCCGACGAGTACTACGAGGATGACGACGACAATAGCAAAGACAGGTCTCCAGAGTCGATAGACTCCATCTTCGATGCCGTGCTGTCGGGCAAGACTCCTAGGACGGATACACAATTTTCACCGGTTCGAGCACGTAGCAAGAAGTCGCGCACCGATATGGAGACCCTTGCCAGGGAAATCCTTGCGCCTGAAGAAGAACACGAAAAGAGGAAAAAGAAGGAGGCGGCCGCACAGAAGCAAGTGCGCATAAGGGATCTACGCAACTCGGAGAAGGATAGGGTGAAGGCATTGCTCGAGGCCGCGCCGACCGACCAAGCGCTCTGGGCTGTCTTGGAGAAGGAGGTTTTCTCCGTGATCCGGGGCATGGACCTGGAGAACGGCTTCCTCGCTCGCATTAACCCAAAGAGTCTCAAGTCCAACGTCCAGCGGGCGGCCGCTGGCCTCAAATCCAGCGAGATCTCCGCCTCAGACCCGACAATCGTCTACCCAAACTACGGCTACCACCTCCTCACTGCGGCCCACACCTTGCGCTCCAATTTTCCAGCGTCCCCCCTCATGTTCAATATCCTACCCACCATCAAGAGCCTAGGCCGCTCTTCCTACGCCCTTGGCGCTAACACTGCCCTATACAAGGTCCTCATTCGCACTGCCTTCCGCCAAAACCATTCTTACGCCCAGGTCTGCTCGCTTCTGCAAGACATGGACAACGGTGGCATCGAGTACGACTACGGGGTGGCGAACCTCGTGGATGAGATGCTCGATACGCATCATGCTGCGGATAAGGGTCACTACGGGCGAGGCATGCAGGCCATGATGCGGTTAGAGTTCTACGGGGAAGGAGCGGACAAACTGCGTGCATGGCGGTCTGCTATCAGGAGGCGTCTGGGCGACTTTGCCGAGGAGAAAAAGGAGAGGGGACATTTGATTAGGAAGACGGGAAGGAAGGACTTTTCGGCGCTGGGGCCGAGGGATGATGTCTTGATTAAGACGGAGAAGGTTAGAGTGGGTGGGAAGAGGTTTGGAGCCGGTGTGCATGACGACATCCCGCTTGTGGACGGGGAAGTTCCTTTCGTGGAGGAGCGCTCGCGGCCTGAGGCTATGGAGGAGATGAGTCCGGATGTGGAAAGCTTCCTGCGAGACACGGTCGATGCGCCTGTCGATGCGCCTGTCGAAGCACCCGTCGAAGCTACCGTGCCGTCCGTGGAAGAACAAAGCTCTGCCGATGAGAAAGAAGCGCAGAAGCAGCGTATGAATGACACTGTATAGTATGTTAAGTCTAGAGAATACTGTTGTAAGATATGATACCAATACACTACCTAATGAATAGATGTTGTCTCAACACAGTGCTATACTTCAAAAGTGACGTCAGCCTTTCCATTCCCGTGGCTCCTGCGTCGCGCCACCGCTCTTGCATTCACTGCGTGCACTTTTTCTGCGTGGCTCAGACTGGGGAGGCAGGCTAGCGGTCTACCTTACTCGGCCCAGGGGGTAAACTCCGCGCCACGGGTAATCCGCATGATTAGGTGTTAGTAACCAAGGCAACCAGGGCAGTGGTAGTGCGCTCGTTTACAGGTATGGAGGCATTGAAAGCGGGCCTTTTAAGGATAGTGTAGAAGTCGAGGACGTATTGGTGAGCATTTGGGTCGCCCCACTTCTGGAGATCCATAGTCCACGGGGCCCCGCAGTCACTCCACACGCCAGGAGACAAGAACGTCATTCTCTTCGAATCAATAATCGACTCCTAGTCTAAGATTTGACAAGCTTCCAATCATGAGCATCTTCCTCCTGGCATCCATGCCACTCACGCACGAGCACACAAGATTTGTATCCAGTGAAGTCACAGCAATCCGATCCATTGAAATTCAGACCCACAAGACCATCCTGTACTGAAGTAATCCCACCACAAGTGACTCCCATCCCCCAACGCACAAAAGGCCGCCCTACCAAGTTTCCGGATTCACATTCTCCTCCCCAAAAACCTTCAAGCAAAGCGGAAAACAAACCAAAATCTCCACCACGCCACATACGCACTCAAAAGTATCTCTCTCACAGCCACTCCACTTCTTGTTGTGTTCTTCCCTATGCCTGGCGGCCTGCTGCGCGAATTTGCGATTCCGTTCCTGGTAACGTGTGGTTCCTGAGGCGGCTGGCGACGAGTATTGCATGCTGAGTGGCTTCGGTGATTCGTACTGAGATGTTTCGATATCGATCAGCTTTCTTGGGCTTTGCGAAGGCTCCAGGTCGATGAGATCCTCAGCTTTCTCAATGTCGCGCATGGGAATATCTGTCTGGGTGCCCCGACTAACATTGCGTCGTCTGCGCTCTCGCTTTTCGGGTGGAATGCAAAAACAGTCCAAGACGGCTTTGAACTTTGGAGAAGTTGTCAACATCTTGAGAAGATGGACAGGATAACAGGCTGAGGGGCGAAACGTTTCCACTGAGTGTGCGTTGTCTGGAACAGGTGTGGTTCGTTGTCTGGAGTAGTTGCGGTTCAAGGTCTTGAGTGGTCTCGTAAAACTTTGGCGATTGGGATGGAAATTTGCCTGGTGTCAAGACTCGACGCACGTCTTTATACGTGTGCGCAGCTGCGCTTGTGGTTTTGTTGAGCTGCTCTCTGGCCGGACTACCAAGTGCGTCCATTACAATTTTTAAGGTACCATGGGACGAAATACCGAGGACCGAGGACCGAGAACTCGAAAGAATTAGATGAACTTCATAAAGGCTCTCCACATGAGTTGCATTGTCGATGCCCAACAATTGACTGTAAGGACTCCTGGCTGTAGTAGGGCTTCTGGACGAAACGTTGCTGTGCTAGAGCGCTCGGGTATTGAACTTGCTGCAGAAACCTGTCCGGGCGGAACAACCGAGTCCGAATCGAAGCTTCTAGCGACGGTGCCGGTTGCGTCCACAGGAACGGACTGCTCGGGTGCAAACTGGAATGCCGACTGGATTGTATGGTATATGTTCTCTGCCTTTCCAAGCGATAACAAAGATGTCGCTTGTAGAAAGGTATACGAGGGACTAGATACGCCGGATCACCAGGTCGACTAGACAGGAGGGGAATTGCGTCGATCGTATGAACAGAGCATAGATGCATAGGAGAGCGTTCAAAAATGCGGACCCGAATGGATTGCGACGCAGCGAAGAAGAACGAGAGGCGATCGAGATGGCTGGTGACATTGACGAAAAGCAGCTAATCGGGACCCAGCTTGCAGAAGGACTTGAGCTTTGAGAGGGGTTTTGAGCCGATGTATGACTGTGCCATAACTCCGTGTCAAGATAAGATGAGATGGTAACTGTGCAGTTTTCAGCAAGATGCGCTTGACATGAACCGAGAGCGAACGTACGAATAATCCCTCTTAGTGGAAAGCCTCAACACCACGTCAAGGTGAGGGATGGGTTGAGGTTTTTTTTTTTTTTTTTTTTTTGGAGAAGGACCGTGTGCGGGATTTTGTGGTGTTGGTGTGGTGATGTTGCCCTTGCCCGGAGGATCATCGCGTCATATCGGCATCCGTCACTACAGCCTGGAGTTCATAAGGGCTGCTCTGATCCTCCGGGAGGGGCTGGTCTTCCGAGGTGGGCCGGTTTTCGTACCGTTCGCGGACCTAGAAATGATGTGAATCAGTGAATATCCTCACCACCGTGGGTTGAAGGTCCAAATGGGCGATGCGAAGGAATATCAGCGATCTGAGACTCACATGCTTGACCACAAGCGACAACAGATAGCCAAGGAAGAACTTGACAATGTCGCTGTAGCCAAAGCCGCCAAACAGTGCGGAACCGGTCCACCAAGGTTGACCAGCCACGAGGCACAACATCACCATCACCAAACACCAGAAGATGCCGCACACGGCCTCCTCGATTCCCCTCCAGATAATGTTGTTAAAATGTTCTTCAATAAAACGAGAGTAATCCATGTTCGTGTAATGATACAAAATAAGATAGGTGAAGAGCAAAACAACACGGAACCGCAGCAGCCTATATCTACGGCTTGTTTATTGCATCTTGGGAAAGCACGGATTTCTTCCTCCCCAATCGATGGTTTGGGAAGCAGGAGGCGATCTTGGCGGGAAGCGCGAACGCACAACCAGAAAGAGCCTACAACGATAAGGCAAGAGCCTCCCCCCAAAAGTCTATTCTTACAGCGACTTGTTCAAAGTACCTTGGGTTACTCCAGGATCAGCTATGCACTGTGTCGTATACGCTCGGTGCCGTCAGGCGGTCTCAATGTAGTAATGTAATTACGACTTGTACAGCGCCTCAATCAAAGTACTCTGTGTTACCCCAGGCTAAGCTATGCAGTACACGGCTTACGCCTGGTACCGCTAGGCGCTCTCCATTCTAACAACGTGCCCCTTCGCCATCATAAGCGCGTTTATCTCCGTTCAACCCAATACCGATCAAGTGCCTCCTGCCTCACTTCATACGCCCAATGCAAACAAGTCTGGCTCACGACCGGACTAACCTCTCCCGCCACCCCATCAGCGTCATCTCCATCATCAAACACACTCCTTATTCCCCGTTGAACATACTGCTTCAGCAAAGTCCTCCTCCACCGTCCCGTCTCCCCCACGCACTTCTTCCATCTCGAGATCTGACGCTCATCATCCTCGCACCTCCGGCCCATCCAAAATCTGTAGTACCACTGGAACCAACCACGCACGTCGTACTCGTGTGCTATCCACCCGTTTTCTTCCCATTGCTCGATGCTCTGCCCGCAAGCAACGCCATGCTTGTTGATTTCGCGATTGTACTCTGGATTGACCATGTACTGGTTGACGTCTAGCCCCGCCGTCCAATCAGCAGGGAGCTCGCGCCAATCATCTTCGACGGTCGTTCCAAGGCGTTTCGAGTATAGTGGTCTCCAGTACGAGCCACCGAAACAGCCCTCGCGGATAATGTCCGCGGGCGATTTGTTAGGGGTGAAGTCCGGGTGGGAATCAAAGTGATATGTTCCGAAAGAATCTCGTTTCGGAGGAGACGCAACAGGGTCCCAACTCGTCCAGCCGGCTTTGATACTGTCCAGATCCGGATGTTTAGCTCTTGATTCTGGGGCTGAGGAATTGACGGATAGGATCTCTCGTGATGTCTTTGCCAGTGGTTTCTTCGAGGAGTTTCTGCCACGCGATGCGCTTTCAGACTTTACATTGGTGTCATCCTCATTGTAGTCTGGACGGGAAGGAGCGGTGGCAAGGCGTGCTGATGACCGTGTTGGTTGTGTGATATCAAGCTTGCGCCGCTTCTTTGCTGGAGGTAGTTTTGGTTGGAGTTCCTCCTTTATGTGCTCGAGTTCTAGCTCTCGGAGCAAGATTGCATTACGCTTAATGTTCTCTTGTCTACGCTGCTCAAGAGTACTCATTTTGATTGACGGATGAAATCCATGGTTCGCGTTGTTAATCGCGTAGACGCGTAGTGCTAGGTACGTCATAGACGCCATGATGCACTAATCCCATACAATCCTAGCGCTAACGGCCGACCGCAGCAACTACCAAATCAATTCTCGGTCACTGTTCGAGAGAGAAACAATATACAACACACGACATGCACGTAACGGTGAGATACGCACGGTTGTCCATGACATCGCTGAACATAATATCTAATCATGCACTGTACACCCTACGAGGCGCCTAAACGCCCTCCCGCAGCACGTCCGCGAACTCCAAATCAAGAACGCGGTCATCTTCAAGTAAGTGTACAACAGCCAAGCCACACATGTTGAATCTCCTCTCGCTTACGAAACTTTGTCATCAAAGCGTCTCCCATCCCCCGTTATTGATATCCCCCTCCAACCTCCTCGCGATAAAGCTCTGCACGCCCCCCTCAAGCCATACCTTCCTCAGCAGCACATCATACCTCTTCTGATTCAAGAAAAGCTGATGGTGCCTGCGCAGTGTCGGATCCGTCTCTCCATGCTTATCCAGATATGGCGCTGTGTACCACGTGCCGTGCTCCTCGTTCAAGAAAAGCACCATGCACTTGCGTATATGAATGAATAGCCCGATATTTCCGCCGCACTTGGCCTGGTGCTGATTACACCCACCGCGCGAGTCGGACGTCATGCAACACACGCCCTGGGAGCACATGATTTCGCCGCAGAAGAGGCAAAGGGCGGGGTCGGTGAGTTCTCGGCCGGTGGCGGGGCAGCGGCGACGGATGGCTTCGTCAGTAAGAGTGTCGTAGTTCTTGGGGAGACCGACGAGCTCGAAGATGGAGGGATGAGAGAGGGTGATGGGCGCGGGGCTGTAGTGCCCCTCGCGAGCCCAAAGAAAGTGGCGGAGCCAGCCTCCAACGACAGATCGTGTCGTGTGGCCGGCGGGGGTATTGCTCGACAAGGAGGCGAACATCTCGTGTAGAGACGGGAGCTTCAAGAGCGACGATAGACGGTCTAGCTCGGGATCGTCGACGCGGTCGAAAGCAATTGGAGGAAGTTCGACGCCATAACGCACATGCATAAGAATAGCGGCTTTGCGTACAAATGGTAGCGCATACGTCGATGCCAATGTGAAGATACTATAGAGAAATTTCGGATCCCGAAATTTGTCTGGAATTGGTACGTTGTTGAAGTCTGGAGGAACCGGCGAGTTGCCGAGACGGGAAATGTTCAGAACGATACAGACGAACTTGAGAAGACCGTCGAGCTGATCTGGGGTGAACGTGCCGTGGTTGACCTTTTCGGCGTTAATAAAGCGATCGGTTCCATATTCATCAAGCAAATCGGGACGATCAACAGCGAAGGCAATGGCAACGCGCACTAGCTCAGCTAGGTAACACAGGCGCAGAACGTGGTGGATGTCTTGGTTGATTTCCGGTACTGCAAAAATCGAGACCTCGCACAAGAAGGTAAATGGGTCCTGGCTCAACAGCGACGGTATGTCTTTAAGATCGTAGGGCAAGCTATCGGACTCGAAAATGTTCGGATGACCAATGAAAAGCTGGTGGAGATGCTCGAATCGCTTACGTGCTACCTCTTTCAAGGTGTGATTGGCGTGAGAGTAACGTAGACCTCCGACTGAAATATATGAAGACGCCGTTTCAGAATAAATTCGAAGGTGCGTCAGTGACTGAGGGGATATCTTGTCGAGCAGGGTTCCTCGCATGGAATCTGACTGCACCCCGCGCTGGGCAATCTCAACCGAGGAGATAGAGTAGCCGAGGACCTGTACAGCTCGTTAACATATGACACCAGCTAGTAAGGCAAATGTGATTGGAAACAACACATGTATATATCATGGAAGGATAAGGTAAAATGACCTACCTCTGCCAAAGCGTCAGTGTGAGAAAGTTCTTCTATGGCCACTGTGGGGTTTTTCGGGTACGTAAAAGCTGAATAAGCCCCATTGACGCTTAGTGATTCCTTGAGGCGCAAGTAGACCTTGACAAGCTCGAGCATTGGAAATGAGGCGTTCGAAGCTCCTAAGACGGCCCCAGCAGCAGCAGCACCGATGGGCTCCGGGGGAATTACAACAGGTTCTCGAGGGTCGTCGTTTTGCAAGAACGCTGGTACTTGAAACCGTGGTTGCGTAGAAGACTGAGGCACTGGTAATGAGCTGAAAGTCGGGCTGCTAACGTCAAGAAGGCGATTTGCGATCGGTTGTATAAAACTTTCCCTCCCGTACTCGTAGAACGACTTCTGGGCGTGGGACAGACTGCTACCATCACCCTCTACGTCAGGAGAATCCCTGTCTGCCTCAGCAATGGCCTTTAGAAGCTGCGAACTGATCCACTCGTCAAAGGAGAAAACGGTCTCCAGGACACCAGGGTAAGCTATCTTCTTTCCCTTCCAGATGATTGGCAGAAAGACGTTGCCCATCGCCTTGCATAGTGGACACATGAATTCTTTGTGCTCAGGTCGCTCCGGGTGGTTCCTCGCGATCTGGCTGACATGCCTTCGTTGCGTTGCTTGCAAGTATACCTCGAAGCATGCATAATGCATGATATGACCACAACCCGTAGACACGGGACCAGGTCGTGTGTACTCGCACGGGAAACCTTTGCCTAGGTCTTGCCGTTCTGTGGCAACCTTGTCGCCCTTGGACGTAATCTTCTCGACAGTACGCCGATTCTTTCCGGAAACGCCAAAGGGGCGTACAGCATCCGCCGAGCGATCAAGGCTAACCGGATTGTCTACAGCTTCATCGACCCAGTCCACATCGGATGTCTTTGTCTGCCGCAATATGTGACTGCGCGAAACGTAGCCGAAGGATCCATATAGGCGCTGCTCATTCGTTTCCTCCTGGCACAGAATGCATGTTCCACTAGGATATTTCTCGACCTTCTCTTGCTCCGCAGCCGGTACATCAGTCTCTTCCTCCATGTCGCTGAATTCCTCTCCCCAGTCAAAGTCCTGATTTGCCATGAATTGGCCCTGTTGCTCCTTGAAAGACGCCATGACACGCGCTTGTCTCTCGAGGGCCTGCTTTTTCTTTAACTCTTTTTCTTGAAGAGTGATTGTGGCAGGGGAGGCGGTGTCCATACGCTCAGCAGCCATGTTCAGGGCAGCGGACGCGATGATGAACGTATTTGGCTGCCGTTGCTTCAAGCGGTGCATGATGAGTTTGATCTTAGGCTCGCAGGTCTTGAAGTCTTCTTTCTCCGACAGGCTCTTTAAGATGGAGAAGATTGTCGGATGATCAGGCAATCCAAAATTGGCACGCTTGGTCAAGACTGAGGTGACGAAGGATTCAGGCGCATCCTGCGACCACTCATGCTGTGCTGATTTGTCTTCCAGGACAGCAACAAGCACAAGCTGGAGGGCAAACTGGATATAGCTTTCAACGCGGGTGCCAGGTATGTTAGGAGTGCTAGTCGAAGACATCAATCCGTATCCTAATAGGTAGTATATGATCTGACTAAACAATGGCTGGCGGGTGAAATCAGAGAGATTCTGGAAAAGGCCGGAGGTTATAGGTCGCAGCTTGGGCTCGAAGACGATTTCTACTGCTTGTTTCCCTGTCTTCTTCGCCATGTGGTTTTTGTATATATTCTCTGCCTCTTCACGTTGATTACGGCTATATTGATGCATGTAAGGATCGACGAGCTCGATGTACTCCTCTCTCAGTTCAAAGGTTCCAGAGTCAGATAGACCTTCTGGTGGTCTGAATTTGGTGGTATCGGCAAGGACGTCATGGAATTCCTCGGCATTCTGTACCCGTTCCGAGAGCCTAGTCGTCATGTCTGAGTACGACAGTGGTTTGAAGCATAAAACATGGGCAATATCCCTGCGTATCAACGCGATTTGGGGTTCCACTTCGTCTTTCAAAGGAATGAGCGACGATCGATCACTGAGCAGAATGATCAGAAGGTGGACGAAATCTTCGACGACCTCTATAGCTTGTGTGTCTTCGAAACCATGGTGAACAGCCTCGTACTTGCCGCTCATCCAACCAAGTACACCGAATCGGTCTACCATGCTTGCCAGAAAGACCGATGGATTGCATAGGACAAGCGCTGCTTGTAAGAGGAAGATGTCGCGCTGATAAGACACATCGCGCTGCGAGACGCTGCGGTACTGCGTCATCTGATGCCGCAAAGTTATGCCGTTCCTAACCCAGATGCTGGCTCTCATCTGAGCAAGCCAAGCGCACACTCGCAACGGAAAGTCAAACAAGGCCAGCAGATACTCTTCTGGCTGGTACTCCGGTATAGGACTTTCTAGAGCATTCTTGCCCTCCTGCAACTCGTCTTGAGAGAAGAGTAGCAGGCCTAGAAGATGCTCCTTGGGCATACTTCGGGCGCGATCGACGAGCCATGATACTGTGTAATGTAGCGCATGGTGGAAACTCATCGGTTCCTGTGCCACGACGCAGTCCACTATCCGGTAAGAAGGACCCACCAAGCTCGATGGCTCTGCATCGAACTCAAGGCAGTCCAGAGTCTTGAAACGGGTCTCGCTCTTGAGCTCAGCCTGGTCAAAGCGGTTCCGTTCAGCGCCAAGAGAATTGACAATAGCAACCTTGGCGGCGGCCCGGATAGCTCGACGGATGTCGCTGGGGTCGTCCTCGCGCTTCCACACAAAGGCTTCCGAGAATTGTCGGCAAAGCTTGTTGATCTCACGTGTGATCAAAGATGCACTGATCCAAGCTTCCGTCTCGTACTCAAGATGCTCCCCAACAGCACGAACGTTTGGACAGATCCCCTGGTGCAGTTTGACAAGATCCAGGAACTGTAACAGATAGCGTTCATCCTCGCGGATCCTGCCCTGCACATGCTCCGAGCCGAGAAGGTACTTCATGTCAAGGAAGAAATGATACATCCGACGATTGGTCACAGCGCCTTGTTCAAAGGCTAGAGTCGCCTTGGGATCTACATTCCAAGGGTAGCCCACCTGGCGAGTCGTGAGGAAAGTATACAAGATGGCCATGAGATTCGTGAGGAAGTTCCCTCGCTCCACGATCTCCGCTGTTATCGAAGGTGTAGTGAGCATCTGTAGGGAAAGGTTGATGATCGAGTGGTCTGGCTCTCGGTCTGCGATGAGGTATAGTTGTGCCAGTGCAGTGTACACCCCAGCAAATCGTAGCCCCAAAAGACGCTTGAATTGCGGTATCGTCACAACCGTGCTAATGAAGACATCTCGGACACCTATCCGTAACTGTTTCCACATGCGGAGATCGTATAGGATAAGATGGTCGAGACGTAGTCGCTGCCAAAGATCCTCATGTGCAGGGGTTCCGGGCGTTCTGCCGTAACTTTCCGGTTTTTCTAGCCAGTATCTGGGAGGTCGCATAGGTCGTAAAGGTAACGACTTCGTCCGGGGCGTCTCTGGAACAGGCAACGATGGCTCAACATGGCTTAGGGCTGGAGCCCCTATCGTAGGTTCACTGTCGGACTCCGCTGGCGTTAGGTCGCCGCCTTGGGGAAGAGTGTTGCCGACAGGTAGCCGTACCAACAAAGAGACTGGATCTTCAGGCTCCATGTTCACGTCTCCATCTCGATCCGTCTCATCAATATCCATGCCCTCATCTCCGTCACCAGTATCAGCAGCGCTCTCGGCTTCCTCCTCATCAGCATCTGAAGCTTGAGTACCGTCATTAGTTGCGGTGCGTTGGCGATTCAATTGTGCGATCTGCGCACGGCGCTGTGCGGTCAAGTAACGGATATAGAAGCCTTCCATCTCAGCCTCTTTATCCTCCATCTCATGATCGTCAAGACCATTCTTGCCAATGACTTGGTTGGTAGCTTCGCTGCCAACGCGCCAAGGCTTTAGTAGCTCCTCACATACAGTGCGACGCAAGACTTGACTGTCCTCACCAACGCTGCATCCGGCAATGTCGGAAATCCAGTTAACGATAGCACCGCCCATATGCTCTCGGAATGTGTCGCGTGCTGACCGGATAGTGACGGTCAACTTGATATCTTCGATGATCTTCGCCATCTTCAGGAGATCTGGGATGCTCCCCCTTGTGACAACCGTAGCGCGGCCGATATCATTGACCTCGTGGGCTTTGGCAAGCCCAAATGCCAGCTTCTGCTTACATGCCCGCGCGACCTGGTCTCGCACATCATGTACTGTATGTTTCTCGTCATTCCATAATACAAGACAGAACTCCTGGTGTTCCTCTGGCTGGTCACCCGGACCATACCACTTCGCCGTCAACCGCGACGAGCGCTCGTCTTCTAGGATAGATTCTTGCGTCTTGGGCAACCGTAGCTGTTCCGGCGAACACGAGAAGACATCGATAAGATAGTCGAGTGTTCGAGCAATGGTCATGCGTATGCTCTCAAGTAGCTCTTCAGGCAACGCCGATCCTTCCTTTGCTTTTCCTGCTGATTCGGCTTCGGCCTCGGACGTTGACGAAGCAGTGTGGATGTTGCAGTGTACAGGCCGCACCCATGCTTCATCGTCTCCACAATCGCAACAGCCTGAATTTCCCGGGGACACGCTGACATATACCTGGTGTCCCTCATGATCTGAGGCGTCGAAGCATCGCGCGCAAAGCACACAGGTGTCGTCTGCAGTGCACGTCTTGCACCGGTATGTAGCTTCTCCGCTCTTGAAAATATGTCCACATGGCTTTCCCCGTGCTGCCTCGGTGTATTCGGCACCCTCTACGGCGCCTTGTGCATCGCGCAAGCTCCATGGTTTCTCTGGGTCGGTAGGTGGGCCGTGGGGGAAGAGGTGCGGGAGATATTCACCCCGCCCCGCAAGGGAATGGAAGAGAATCTGCTGGAGCTCCCGGGTAGCATCCTCTGTATAGCGGTAGTTGTGCCGTCGCGGCAATTCGCGCAGGTGTCGGCAGAGCTCCTGCTCCTGCAGGGATACGAGCATCGTGGGCGTCGAGGTGGGCTGCAGGCGGGGGAACAGCGGGGGGTACAAAGCTCAAGTCGGTCGTAGCTCCAAAGGGCGATGCGCGTGGATGTGCCGTGGACCGGCCACTTTTTGCAACCTTATTTGTATGTGAGTGAGTGCCTCAGGGCGTGGCGTTAATTATTCATGCGGAGAGTTAGAGGACTCGTTCTAGACGTGCGTCACTGCCAAGACATGTACGCCAGGGCCGCGGCTGCCCTGTAAGACACGCGACATAGGTAAAGGTCGCCGCTTTGAGTCGAGACTGCTGCAAGGGTGGAATTCCACGGGTTATACACTGGGACACTACAGACCGGACTTACTCACTTCTTTGCGCGGAAGTCTACAAGCTCACGGGCTATAGCTGTCCAACAGGCAATGTCCTCTCACATAAACACAGCCTCGCCATAACCTCGCCCGGGCGCGCATGTGGAAGAGGACATAGAGTTGTCTACTTGGTAACGGATGGATTGCAAATGGACAAACACATGCGTAAAATTGACATGGGAAATTCTATTGGTGCATTGGCTGCTGATTTCGCGCTGTAACATACACATTTGTACAGTGTCTAGCCTCGGAAATTGCTGGAGAACTCTGGAAACCGCTCAAATATTCCTCATGATACAGATACTACACACCCCTACTCGTCGTCATCGCCATCGTCCTCGGCCTTCTGTACGTATCGGTACTTAATGTCCTTCCATTGCCGCTGCAGCGCCATTAGCTTCCATCATCCTTTCTGCGCGACTGGAAAGTACATACACCGCGGTTTATGCTGTCCCAGATGCGGTCGGAGCCGGTGTCAAACGCCCTAATATCGCCCGTCAGTATGCGGTCCGCGGAGGGTGGTGGAACGTCTGCCTGTACGTACAGCTGCATGGCGAAAGCTGAGGCGAATACGGTGGTGAGCATAGTCACATTGCTCCGGAAGATGGTGCTGCAGTCCAAGGTCAGTGGCGGCGCGGAGCGGGTAATGCGAAAAGGGAGGCTTGCTTGTAGACGAAGGACGTGAGCTGCGCGGACTCGTTAGCATCGCAACCTGGGAGATTCAAGGGGTCAATTGGCTTACGCCGGCCATTGTGAAGGTGCTGCGAGCGCGTGGGAGCGGCTGTCGGGGGTGTATCGTGGGGATCGTGGGTGATGTCGAGGGTAGAAGCTCGGTTTCGTCGAGATTCTCGCCGGCAACAGCTATAACGGGTGCGCTGATTGGCTGGGCTATTAGCGGCTTGCTCAACCACCACCTGCCGATCTTTTACCTTTCATCACGCCAGAGCCCCGCGCATTGTTGATGCTTCACAGTCGCTTCTCCTAATACGCATCTAATATTGAAACGCTGCATACTTCGGTCCACGAAGTCTGGTTCGCATCCTTGCACCCGCGCTTTTCGTGTGGGACATACCCCACTACAGCTCTCGGCCGGCTCGCTGGACGTTATCACGTTGCGCAAAGATGCCTACAGTAGAGACGACGAAAGTCTCAAAGGCTGGAATTACCACATCCGAGACTGGCGAGCGTCATATTCCCTCGTCCACACGCGCCGACGGCTCCGTACGGAAGGAAATCAGAGTTCGCCCAGGCTACCGCCCGCCCGAAGACGTCGAAATCTACAAGAATCGTACTGCAGAAGGATTCCGTAACCGTGGCAAGGGAGGCGTTCCTGGAGCTGAAGAATCAAAGGACGAGAGCGAGCCCGGCAAAGGGAGCCCTGCCGCGAACAAGAATGCCAAGCGTCGGGAAGCCAGGAGAAAGGCTGCGACTGCTGCTGCGGACGCCAACGATACCGCAGAACAGCTGCCCACCGAGAGCAAGGCACCTGTCGAACCCACACCGCCCGCCGACCCTGAAGCTGAAAAGGAGAAGGAAGCCAAGAAGCTGATGAAGAAGCTACGCCAGGCAAAAGAGCTCAAAGACAAGAAGGAGAAGGGCGATGTTCTGCTGCCAGAGCAGTTTGAAAAGGTGATTAAGATCAATGAGCTTATTCGGCAATTGGAAAATCTGGGTTTTGATGCACAGGGTGAGAAGAAAAATGGCTGAAACTCGAGCTCTAGGATAGAGAGAAGTTTCAAGCCGAACGCTATGCCGATCTCGTCACGAGAGGAACCATTGTCGAAATCGAACAGTCTCCGAACGGTACGGTCGTATACCAAACATGCCCGCCGATGTAGGAATGACGCAGGGTCCGTGAAGACGACTTCCTTACGCATCGAGTTTTCGCATCATGATTCACAGCGCAATGCGCTCAACAGGTCGACCATTCGCGGTATCGCTAAGCCTGAACAAACTTTCTATGGGCTGATTAAGGTGTGAACTGTCTATGGAGGGTCTTCGGCTACATTTCTGAATCGGGCGCACAAACGCATCTGAATACAGTTCTACTGACTAGTTGAGACTTTTCAGCATTTGTCAACGGCGGGGTTTTTGGTTTGAGATCTGCGTTTCTGCTGTATGAATGCAAGGTTGGTCACCACAGCATCGATCCCAGGACCCACCAGCGGCAGTGATTGTGTGGTTGTCACTATTAGACTGCCTCAAGCCGCTCCCATCGCAACTACCGAGTAAATTCCAAACCAATCGCGCCCTCGAGGAATTCTCAACCCCTGCGACCGATGTCAGAACCAACTCAGCTTGCTGTTCCTCCACCCTTCAACACGCCACATCCACCCTCACAACAACGCACTGTCTATTCATCGTGTCATATAACCCGAACTCATTCGTCGTTCGCAAGCATATCTCCTCGACCCTCACGCGAACCAAAACCTTGTCCCCACCTCCCATCATAACCTCCGACCCACCCACTTGCTCCTCCGCCTTTCCCTCCTTCCTCCGCCCAAAGAACCCCCTCTTCTCCTTCTTCTTCGCCTCCTCCAACTCCTTCACAACCGGCATACCCCTCTCTTCCCCATCATTGAGCACATCTCTCAGACCTCTCTGCAACTCTTCCACCACAACTGTTGAACGCCAAAACGCACCCGTATTCCCCTCGCCCACCAACCTCACCACCTCCACTGCCTCCTCCCCACCATCCTCAGCAATAACCTTTACCTGATTTTCAACGTTCTCCGCGCCTGCATACCCCGCGAACGAGAACTCGTTCTTTTCTGGTGGCGGTGGAAGAGGGATGTCCGAGGGCAGGAGGGCGAGAACGGTGGAGGGCAGGCCCATGGCAGCGCGCGAGGATAGCAGCGGGAGAATGGAAGTGTGGATTACGGAGCGGATGGTGGTGGCGCGGGTAAGTGTTAGAGTGTCGAGGAGGGATTGGCCGCGGGGTGCTGACGACGATGCGGTTGTCTGTGGGCGGAGGGAGTCGGTGTAGGAGGGTGGTAGGTTGGGGTCGTAATCGTCCTTTTCGTTGGAGTTCGACATTAGGACGGGTTTAGCGATGTATGAGATGTTTGTAGACGTGATAATGTTAGTTGTGATAATATCGCGACTGTTAGAGCGCAATCAGCGCCGGCGATGGTTCTCGGTTGTTGGGGTTGGGAAGTGGGCCGGTGTTGAGTAGAGAGCGATTGCGCGAAGGGCTTTCGCAGAGCCACGATACCGGTCACCTGGAACTCCTAGGGCTACCACGGAATCTGCGCCCACAAGTTTGTATGTCTAGCACAAATAAGGTGACCGATCCGTGTCATGCCTAAGACCTCGCCTCCGTGAATGCCTTTCAGCCTAGGGCACAGCCTCGTATTTGACCCCGCGCACGCCACGCCTAATAACGTAGCTCCTAACGAAGCACCTTGCGAGCTTAAGCCAATGTAAAAGCCTTGAAGGATTCTAGCATCTCAAAATGTAAGTTACCATGTTCACGTGAAAATGCGAATATATTGAACTCGGGCCGCGCGGGCTTGGTTCTGAACGTTGGGCCGATGTATAGGAAGAGTTGTGGCGACAGTATTGTAGATGCGACCCTCTGGGGAGTAGGCGTTCAGAGACCTCGTAACTAAGCTATCTCCTAACGTTGATGCCTAATCTCCCGAAACACTCCTTACCCTCACCCCACCGCATGCTGACCACAGGGCAAGAAAACCCCGCGAGCTATCTCGTTGCAGTCACCGCGCAGCTTGCCTCGGCCCCCTTCATAGGCGAGGCCAAGTGCAGTCGACGGGTGGCTGTGGAGCGTTAGGCCGAATCCGCCACCCGTGGGGAGTTTAGGACCTGGACCGTGCATTCACAGCCCAATCACGGCCCTCCTTATTCGCCATATCTGGAATGCGCAGTACGGTTCACCGGTCGATTCGTATTGCCGCATGCCGAGATATGGTGCGCGACTTTGACCATACAAAGATGAGGACGCTGTATAAGTATAGGCGGATGCCTCAACTTTGGATGTCATCAAGTTTGCTCTGAGCGATTGTCTGGGAGCACCGCCTTAATCGACGAACAGGAACCAAAGTACATAGTGAGCAAGTTTGCGCATATACTCCCAACCGTGGTATTGAGACATCACCGGTGGACGTATACCTTGAAAGCCTTTTTTTCTTCTGGTATTTATTCCACCAGCTTCAATTCGAATTCGATCTTCCATCTAACTACGACCAGATCAGCCTGAGCTCTGCAACTACTGCGACTCAGCTCCGCAAGTGTCATCTAGAGTACCCTTAGGAAGATATCACTTCCTTCATCTACCCTGTTGAAGCCATCAAAGATGGTCTGGTATCATGTCGCCGAGCCGAACTCGTACCTCGTCATTACTGGCGCAGGTATCGAGAAGGTCACAATCAAGAAAAAGGTACCTTTCACCTTCTGACCCTTACATCCGCAATGCTAAACCAATCGTACAGGCATTCGTCCTTCCCTTCCAGAAGGTTTCCAAGATCAGCATCACGCCTTTCGACTTCTCCATGAACCTGACTGCTATGACTGTTGAGAAGTTGAAATTCTCACTCCCTGCAGTCTTCACTATTGGACCCGAGGACTCCGTTGAATCCCTGGAGAAGTACGCCGTACTGCTGACGGGCGAGTCTGATGGCAGACCTACGGTATCTGCCTCACAAGGCGCAGTCGCCGTGGCAGCCGGAAGGAACCATGTCCAGGACATTGTGAAGGGTATCATCGAGGGTGAGACGAGAAGCATCGTGAGCACCATGACCATGGAAGAGCTGTTCCGCGAACGCAAGATCTTCAAAGACAAGGTCATTCAGCAAGTGCAGTCTGAACTAGATAACTTCGGATTATGTATTTATAACGCCAACGTGAAGGAATTGCAAGATACCCCAGGATCAGAATACTTTGCCTTCCTATCACGCAAGGCTCACGAGGGTGCACTCAACCAAGCGAAGGTCGATGTCGCCGATGCGCGCATGCGCGGTGAAGTCGGCGAGGCCGAAAAGCAGGGCAAGACCAAGCAGGAAGTCGCGAAGATTCACGCTGCAACTGCCGTCCTCGAAACGGAGCGCAAAGCAGAGAAGGCAGCTGCGGACGCCAAGTTGACCAACAAGGAAATCAGTATCGGGAAGGACCTCAATCTCGCGCGCATCCAAGCAAAGCGCGATGCCGAGCGACGCGACGCAGAGCTCAACACCGAAGTCGAGAAGAAGAAGGCGCTGATGGAACTCGAGCGCCTGCGTGCCACTACCGTCACACAAGCTACCATCGCCAAGGAGTCTTCCCAGCAAAAAGCCGATGCAGAGCTGTACAAAGAGCAGAAGCAAGCGGAGGGTAAGAAGTATAGCGAGCAGGCTGACGCAGAGGCCGCTGCGTTCCGCCGCATCCAGGACGCAGAGTCGAACTTCCAAGCCAAAGAGCGCGAGGCCGAAGCGAACTTCTTTGTCTCCAAGCGCGCCGCAGAGGCAGAGTACTACCGTGCCGAGCGCGAGGCCCAGGCGCATCTCATCAAGCAGCAACGCGAGGCAGAAGGTCTGTCCGCGATGGCCAAGGCATACGGCGATATGGCGAACGTGCTCGGCGGACCGCAGGGTCTCATGCAGTACCTCATGCTGCAGAACAACACATACGAGCGGTTGGCCAATGCAAACGCCCAGGCTATCCGTGGTCTGCAGCCCAAGATCAACGTGTGGAACACTGGTGCTCAGGGCGACGGTGCAGCTGCGGATCCTACGGCGCCGATTAGGAATCTCTTTCAGAGCTTGCCGCCGCTGCTGAGCACGATTCATGATCAGACGGGTATGCAGCCGCCGAGCTGGCTGGCGCAGATGCCTCAGGAGAATGGTGTGAAGGGACAAAGACTGGGACTGAAGAGTGGAAATGAAGTGTCGGAGTGATGAAGATTCCTATCACTAAGGAGGTGCTGGAAGGCAAGTGGGCGAACGAAATTGCTGACAACGCCCGACTGAACTGGGTCTTTCCTTTGTTTTGCATTCAATTGTGGAGATACCCGCTGGTTTGGCGTTGCTTTTCTCTCCTATGTTGTTTGCATTGAGTAGTTAATGCTGGGCTTAATACGTTCCATGGACTGCGTTTGTATGAATGGGTTGGATGATAGAATGAGCTAGCACCGTCCAATGCTTCTGTGATTATTAGCCATGGAAGCTTTTTGCGAGTCATGCGTAATGTTGACCAGCAACTATGTGCTGAATGCCTTGAAACAGCTTCAATCGACTCCGGTGCTTCACTCTGTTCTTCATATTGATATGCTGGCCTTCCAGTCTTATTTGTATGTATTTAATGACGAATCATTGACTGCGTCTCCAGCAAAGGCGACCGGCAATTATCTTTAGTCTTCACAGAGACATGATTGACGCACTTGGTGCCAATCGGTCTGGTATACCGACCAATCAAGCCCCAAATGAGCTATTTCAATACAGGTAGTTGAGACTGCACCATGGATTGTGTATAGCGGATGACAAGTTTCATGATATCCTAGCGTGTTCGGCGAGATCATCGTGATCTACCTTGGTATCTAACATTTAGTTTGACTTTGGTGCCTTTACTATACACCATACAGGAACACATTGCTTGCGTAACGTCGAAGCGTTGTGGTTGATTCTGGAAAATGTTCATTTCAATAAAGCGCAAAAAACGTTTCCGGGTCTTGAGCGCAAGTGAGCCAAACTCGAAAGGAGATGTTTGGGATAGTCTTCACTACGGAAGGTTACGTAGAATTGCTTGGTTTCCTTGCCCCGCCACCCGATCTCCAGGCGTGGTGTTTCCTACGTTTACGTTCGGACCTTCGAACCAAGAAGGACAAGGCTACCTAGATAGCATGGAACGTCAGCCAAACACATATGCATAAGTGTGTTTCCCATTTTGCAATTTTCCCAATCCCAATTGCTCCAGCCAGTACTATAAACTTTTACCTATAGTTTAGCCCGGGTTTCTTCATGCTCGTCTATGAGTGAGACATTTCCTAATGCCCTAGCGCCTTTGGTGCCTTCCATGAGCACATTGAAGGCTTTTTGGTCGCCGAGATCACGCCACCGCCACGCCTGAATGGCTGCGCGTTCCTGGCCAATTCCCTCAATTGCATCAACAACCCAGTTACCAATATTGGGTAGATACTTGAACGCATGCCCACTTCCCCCCGTCGCCACAAACAACCCCCGCTTTTCAGGAACATGATCTATGACAAAGTGGTTGTCGAATGAATCTGTGTACCAACAAACTCTCGTCGTTTCGATCTCAAGACCCTCATCCTCAAGCTCGGGCATGTACTCTGCGATAAATCGACGTAAAACCTTCATAGCCTGCGAGGGAATCTTTCTCAACTGATGATCTTCCGTCCATCTTGTTATAGGTACACTTCGCTCGATTCCATCTTCCTGCCGTTCTGGGTTGGTGTACTTTGTCCCACGGTATCCGATCTTAAGATAACCGTTCTCGTCCCTTGGAAAGCCGTATAAACCACCTTCAGCTCCATCTCGCACTTTCCAAAGCCACGTTGGGAATCGTTCAGGAGAGAACCTTTCCCATAAAGACGAGGCGCGCGGTATCTTGTATATGATGACTGACCCGGCCGTGGCTTCGCACAGGCCGTCCAATTCCGGGAGGAGTGAAGGCGTCCAACCGCCGCATGCCATGATCGTAAGCCTGGCAGGATGTCTTTTGCCGTCCTTGGTCTGTATACCGATAACGTCTCCGCCGGAAGTGGTCATGAACCTGTCAAATGCACCAGCGGATGGATCAAAGACGAATCTGGCGCCAAGATTCCGTGCCTTTTGCAAAGCCACCCTGCATGCTTTATCCGCTATTGCGACACCGCCAGTAGCATCTAGGACGCCAACATTCGACTTACCCCTCTTTTCCCGCAAGAAAGGATCCATCGCCGAGCCCATGCCTCTTGCTTGAGCAATCGTCTGGTGCTCTTGGTTCGTAGTAATCAGCTGAGTGTCTTTGTGCCCCGCGTCTTCCATGTTCTTGATCGTAGCTTTCTCAAACTCTGGTAGCTCATCCCCATCCGTCAAACTCAGGCTACCGCACTGGATGAATACCCTGTCCGCGCGTGACATGCCCTCCGGTAGATCGAAGCCATTCTCCAAGTCGGAGTTCCACTGTTTCCAGGACGCGATTGCTTCCGTGGATAGTTGTTGGTATTCAGTCTGCGAGCCGTACGCAGAACGGATGATCTTGTTGATATCTGCGGAAGCACCATCGCAGCCCTTGAAGTAGGAGTATAGTGTCGTGTCGTAGGGCTGTTTGTCGAAGACGGTGACATACTTGTAGCCGCGTCGGGCTAGGTGTAAGGCAGTGGATAGGCCAAAGATTCCGGCACCGACAATGTTGATTTGATCCTTCTTGGATAGCGACGGTAGCGACATCTTATTGCTTGTGCATCCAGTGCCTTGTAACTCCTAATGTGCAAATATCTAAGGGAACAAATTCAGGGTTGTCGTAGTCATCAATCGAGAGATCAATTTTGAAGTGCTACCTAGGTATGACAGTAGCGACGTGAATCGGAGATGAGCGCAGTCTGATGGCGCCACTATGTAGCGCATCGGTTGGGATAACACGATGGATCCATATGCTGATAATAATCGCGTTCTTACGACATGACTCCGTCGGAACAGCGACCCACCTCTGGAGAGAAAGAGGTCACGAGTCGTCCCGCATGGCTGGGGGTTGCCGAAAGGCGCTAACGACTACCGATCGTTCCTATCGCGTGCGCAAAGTTCTCGGAAGAATCCGAATCGGCCCTTTCCCCAGATAAGCGATAACGAACAGCCAGGACGCCAGCATGAACGTTTGCCACGGTTGGGTCATTTTCATGATAGGAGGAATCCAGATTCGCGGCATGCCCCAGGATGTCTTGATTCGACGCGGGGAAGGCAGCACTATATGTTCGGAGGCCCAATAACCAAGAACGTGGACTAAAACAACCACGTTGGATGAGACCATAAGCAACGTCAATTCCATCATTCCGGATCTCCAATCAAGTTCATCCACGGACGGCCAACACATTCAAAGAAAGCTATGGGCGTTCTCTCGGACTCCACGTTAGCTCGATATGTGCGCGCCATCAAAAGCTCGCCTCGCGAGCTCATCTTCAATCGTCGGTTGTTAGTGTCAGCTGCGTTGTATGCAACAGCTGGTATTCCTATTAGTAAGTCGTGACTGAACTATATTGCTTTGCAAACATCTAATCATCTTCTGCAGCATGGGACCAAGGTTCCTCATCCATAATTCCTTCACTTCCCGGCTTCCAGCGAGACTTCGGCATCACCTCCGGCGCAAACGCATCTCAGATATCGAACTTCATATCCTTCGTGTACTTGACTGCCGGCGTCGGAGCTGGCCTTTCGTTCTTCATCAACGACCGCATTGGGAGACTCTGGTCTCTTCGGTTGTACATGGTAATATGGATCGTCGGACAGCTGATTGCAACTTTCTCCACGGGTCGACTTGGAGTACTTTACGCGGCGCGGTTCATCTCGGGTCTAGGGATTGGGCCTTTGACCGTTACCGGGCCTATGTCAATCGTCGAGATCGCGCCGTATGAGATACGAGGACTGGTAAGACACTACGGAGCTGTGAGAGAAGATCAATTGTAGCCCCGCTGATACAAGATAGCTTGCGACCTGGTTTTCCGTTGCTATGCTTCTCAGCTTAACAGTCAGTTGTTTCATCGTGTACGCCAGTTTCCTGCACATCGCCGTGGGGCGATTACAATACCAAGTTGTCTGGTTCCTGCCTTGCATAATCATCGCGATGATAATTGCACTGAGCTTTTTTGCGATGAGCGAATCACCCCGTTGGCTGATGCTCGTTGGGCGCGACGATGAGGCTGTGAAGACTTTGGTCGCTCTTCGTGGGCTGCCAGCCGACCATCCGTATGTCGCACGCGAGATTTCCGAGATCCGGGGCCAGATCGAGAGCGAGCATGTCAAGTATGGCGATGCGGCTGGAGGAGGTATCAAAACCGTCATGCGAGAGACATTTCTGGTTCCTGCTAATCTTCGTCGGGTATGTTGACCATGTGCGATGTAGCTCTGTTTTACAGTCCCTTGTCGAACGTTTTGGTGCTGTGAGTTACTCCAGGAGGGGTAATGCAGTGCTTAAACTTCCGATCGAGTATTGTTTGCAGAGCTGCAACGTACTTGTTCCCGCTTTTTCCATACCCTATACTGACTTCGTATCTGCGCATCTAGGTTCAACAAGCTTGCTTGTCCTACATCCTCGCTCAGCTATCGGGAGCCAATTCAGTGACAAGCTATCTTGTCCCTATCTTGACTATGATAGGTGTCGGAGGGTCTACCGATCGGTCTATGTTCCTGACTGGGATGTATTCCATGTCAAAGTTCTTCTACACACTTATCGCATCGTTCTTCTTCATCGACGCTCTCGGCCGCCGCAAGTCTTTGTTCGTCGGTATCACTGTTCAAATGATCTCCGATATTTACATCGGCGCCTTTCTCAAGTATAAACAGGCTGGCCCCGTGGCGCCAGGGTCTTCCGAGGGTGCGATCGCAGCAATCTACATCCACGGCTTTGGTTACGCAGTCGGTAAGTGGATGGGCAGCTGTACTCCGAGTCAATCTGACATGCTACCTTAGGTCTTCTCGTCCTACCCTATGTCTTTGGTGCTGAGCTGTGGCCGAACAATATCAGGTCCTTCGGTAGCGCGCTATCGCAAATGTTCCACTGGCTCTTCTACTTCGGTGTCAACAAAGGGACGCCGTCAATGCTGAAAAGCATGCACAACTGGGGTACCTTTCTCTTCTTTGCTGGTTGGTGTTTCGTGGCTTTGCTATACGTCTATGTGGCAGTGCCTGAAACAGCCGGCCTTAGTATGGAGGCAACTGACAAGCTGTTTGAAGGCCCATTCTGGCAGATGTCGAGACAGGCGAAGAGACAGAGGGAGATCGGCATGGTTCTTGAATCCCCTTCCGGTACTGATAGTGTGGAGGAGGTGGACGAAGCGTTTCCAAAGGGCGATAAAGGGGATGTCGCAAAGGCCGTGTGAACGTTTCTAGTTGCTCTGAAGACGATAGCAGCACGGGAGTCTGGGTTCGATAGAGCAGAGCAAAGTTGCTGTTCTGCATGTTACGTCATATTTCTCAGTGTACTCGCTTAATGACGCCACCTCCTTCGTAGAACACATTGGATGTCAAACATGATTAAACCTATCCACGGCGCAATGTGCAAACCCATGTCTTCGCGATTATACAAAAGGGTGCATGTGACTTTGATAGAAGTGAGAGTATGGTGGTATTAGTCATGTTAGCGCTAAGGAATACGATAAGCGAGAACCCCTTCCATCTTCTGCTCCCTTATCAATCCTTCCCCAACTATCACCAACATGTAGCAGCTATGAACCTTGTCCGTCTATGATTGATCATGAGCAACGAGAGACCTGGCCCAAAGCGCGTTCGCTTGGGAGAACGCACAATGCTCGCGTGCATTCACTGCAAGAGCAAGAAGCTGAAGGTGCGCAGGCCGATGCAAATACAGCTTGAAGCACGTCCTGACTGTACATCAGTGCGATGGACAAACACCTCAGTGCCAGAACTGTGTTCGCACAAACCGAGGTAAGAATCCTGGCTTGCTTCCATTCGCTCTTTCAGCTCACGCAAAAGCAGATTGCTTGGTCGAAGACCCCGCCACGGGCTTGCATCGACCGAGGGACTATCTTAAATCTCTAGAAACACGCGTTGCTTACTTGGAAGGTCTTTTACAAGACTCTAGACCCGATGTTGCACTGGATCATCTGGATGGCCGAGATGGACTAAGCAACCAACTGACCAGTAATGCCATGGACGGCACTAGTCATTCACATGTACCGGCCGGAGGCATCGATTTCCTTGCTTTTGATAACGCGTCGCCAGTAGGTAACGTGGATGAAGAAAATTTGGACGACCTTTCATCTGAGGTGGCCTTGCTCTGCCTGAGCGCCGCGGGGCGCGAGCCGCATTACTTCGGGCCTTCGTGTGCTGTCTCGTTCTCTCGGATAGTGAGTGCAACGATGGGCCTGCCAAAGCGACAAGGGACCTCCCAGCATAGTGTTGCCGGGCCTGAAAGACACGACCCAGAAGTCCGTCGAACAGTGTCCGTGGGGTTCCCGTCCGCGAGCCTGGCCGCTACACTTTCACAAGCGTACTTCACGAACATCCACTCTCAATATCCGTTCCTGCACAAACCCACCTTCTGCGCTTGGGAAGAAGAATGCTACAGGGCTCATTCCGTCGGCGACTTGAACTCGGCTGGCGATATTGCGCTCTTCTTCGTGCTCATGGTTTATGCCATTGGATCTCTCGCGCTCGGGCCAAATCATCGCGACTCTGCCGAAGCGTACTACGCCATGGCTCTTGACCACCAAGAGAGTGTACTTGATCTTGATGGACTTGAATCCATCCAAAGCATTCTATGCTGTGCTGTTTATTCAATCAGGTCGCCCGTTGGTGTCAGTCTCTGGAAGATCTCTGGCATGGCTATCCGTCACTGCGTTGAGCTTGGTTATCATAGAAGTGTGACTAGGTTTCGTGCGCATGCCGATCCATTGACAGCTGAGATGTCCCGGCGCTGCTTTTGGGTAGCCTACGACATCGATCGGGTCGCTGCTTTTATTCTTGGCCGACCTATGGGCATACCTGACGATTCGATAGATGTTGAGATGCCAATGGATCTACAAGACGACCACATCACCAGGGAAGGCTTTTCAAAGCAACCTAGAGCAGCGGACGAGCCTGCAACACCCATGACAGGAGCTATACACGTGATCAAGCTTCGAAGACTCTGGTCCAAGTTTGCAAACACATTGTACCCTACTACCACGAAAAAGACAGTTCCTCACGCGACTACAAGACAAGTACTGGCTGGTGACTTGCGTCAAGAGTTGGAGGAATGGTATGCAGCTGTACCAGAGCCGGTCGATCACGCTTCATCAAGCGCTTTGTCAGTGTTCGCATCCAAAGCTTGGTTCCAGCTGGCATACGATCACTCGATTCTTCTACTATACCGCCACTACATCACGCTCCCTCCACAATCAGGGGAAGAAGAGAGCGTGACGCGGGCCTTCGAAGAATGCGCGCATCGATCTCGTGAGATGTGCCTTCTATACCGACGGCTATATCAGAACTCAAACATACAATTTACCTGGGGCTCGCTTCATATTCTTTTCGTCGGAGGAATAACTTACCTGTATTGCTTATGGAAATCCGGCCGTGTTCGACAAAATGCCAGACAGTCCGATGTCATTAACACGTGCATGGCTTGCAACACTGTACTCGTCATCATTGCAGAACGGTTCAAGCAGGCCTCCACATATCGCGACACGTTCGAAGCTCTGTCAGAGAAGACTATTAACATGATTTGCAATGATACAAATGGACTACTCAATCCATTCCGAACGGCCGATAGTGACTTGGACCCATCCGTCAACGTTCAGCCTTCAGCATCTCAAGAATGGATCATGGGCCTGAATGAATTATCTATGCCTATGGAGTCTGAGTGGTTTGTTCAAGAGTTAGTCCAAGGCATGCGGGACTTTCAGCAGCCGGACTTCGCCTTCGGAGACAATGGGCACTTTCCAGCGTGAGATAGCAATCGTCATCAACTATGCTATGTGCTATAATGTTGATAACTCGAGGTGCGCTGTAAGGGCAAAAGAGAATGAATGGAGGATAGAACCGACCTGCAACTGCATTGTTGGTTCCATCAGAGAAGCGCATCCTCAACCATTCCGAGCTCGAGGGCACATTTCCTTAAGCTCGCATCCTGCGCCATTGCGTACGCTGTATCCAGATCCGTCACTGCGCAACCTAAGTTTTGCTGGAAGCCGAAGTGATCTGAAAAGCTCGTTATTGTATCATTCTTGGCTGTCGTATCATTACCCAGGTTCGACTGGAAGATGCCCGCCGCGGACATGGGGAGGAAGTCTTCGTACGTTATCGGCACTGCCACTAGGACGCCTCGAGAAATTAGATCGTCTACAGACGGGTTCAAAGGTATTGTGGCTTCCTTTGCAGATGCGCCCAGAGAGTAATCAAAATAAACGAGACCCTGGCGCCGAAGGTCATCCCAATTATCTGGGAAACGCGCGAACGTGTCAACCAAGATCTTATCCTTCTGAGACGCATCAAGATATCGAGGACAAGCTGAGATCTGCCTCATCGTCTCATTCAACAGCTCGTCATACAAAGCTCGTCCTCGGTCAGTAACGGCCGCGCCTCGTTCCTCTATCTCGCCAAAACGAGCCTTATGACAACCTTCCTCGAGGCCTCTATCGCTAGGGAAGTGTGTTGATTCCTCCAAAGCCAGGAAACTCGTCTGTCGCAGGAGGACAGGGCATTTTCGAGGAGGCGGTCCTTCTATCCGTTCCTTGACTCGGAGCCCCTCGATCCTCATTCGCTCTTGGGCAGCTGCGATATCTAACGTTCGTGGTGTGAGGTGGTTGATGTGTGCACTTTGAAAGCATGCTACATCTGCCAGTATGGGGTGCTCATCCTTCAACTTCTGGTATACATCCTTCGATGCTGCGGCAATTGGCCTCCATCCAAATGTCTTCATCGATTCTCGTACGAAAGCAGAAGCCTCGTCTGGCCTGAGTCTGTGGTTCTGACGTTCTGCTGCATCTAGAAGTCTCACCAGCTCCGGACTGAAGATACTTCGTTGAGAGAGCAAATCAAGAGCCAGGTCTTTCGATTGGGCGTCCTTCAACAAATCGGGTCGCAATAAGGTGGTGAAAACCCTGAAAGGGTTACGACTTAGCGCAGCTGTTGTCGTCGGTCGGAAGCAGGTCGCGTGCATCGGAAGCCCTGCGGGTGAAAGGTCGTAATATCCAACCGGATACAGGCCAATGATGGCGAAAATCCGACGCACTGTCTGAAGCTCGTGCGGCGTCCCAAGACGAATTGCCCCATGCCTCTCGAGGTCAAGACGTTCTGACGCAAGGTTGCCATTTCGCATGGCGGTGATCTTCGGGTCGGCCGAATTTCTGAGCGCTTCTTCATTGACGCTTTGCACGATTTTGATCAGATCTCCGTATAGCGGTACTTCTTTCTTGTACATGGCCGACATGGCCAGTGAGAATGTCGTCCGAAGTTCATTAGGGTCGACAAACTCCTGCTGAGATGGGCTTGGATTGTCGATTGCTGAAGGCGCCATTTGGTATGCAAGAGTATATCGAAAAAGTGCGTGCTATCAACCTTGGCAAATTATATGAGATTGCAACAGAGGTATTCAGATTGTTTCGACGTTTCCTGCTCAATTACATATTTCCACCTTATGCGGCTTTGACTCCGTTGGCCACGTCTTTCAAATTCGAGGATCTGCCACGGTCGTATCCGAACGTACTCCGAATATGGAATAGCCTGCTAATACTCCGCGGCGGCCAAAACCGAGCACGTGAGACGTGCATGAGCCCCGCCTACGAACCTCGGAGAAACCACGGAATCGTTCCATTCCTTGCTCGGTTTCCTCCGTATCACGCCAAATCGGTCACTAAGTGCAAGGACTAGTCACCTTTAACAATAGATCTGATTTTGGGACAAGCTGCTCGCCCTAACGTGCTACAGACAAGCATTACGAGACAGATCATAGCCATGTCATCAACCACAACGATCACATCTGCCACCACGTCGATCGAAGCCACGGGAAAGTCATCAGCACTTAACAAAACAGAAGGGAGCAAACCCAAAAGCCGATATCATATCCCATGGCCTGCCACGAAAGAGGCGCACCGACAATGGCAACTGGAGCAAATGGCTGGCGCTTTCCGCGTATTCGCTAAGCTTGGTTTTGCCGATGGAGGAAGTGGACACATCAGTCTGAGAGGTCAGTCCAAACCGATCGGTCGTTTGAAATCGATACTGATAGGCCTAGATCCCATACAGCCCAACACGTTCTGGATCAACCCTTACGGCGTCCATTTCGCCCTACTCACCGTCTCCGACATGGTTCACGTAGACGAAGATGGAAACCGCATTGGCGGTGCAGACAGACTCATCAATACTGCTGGCTTCATCATTCACTCGGCCATACATCAGCGGAGACCAGACATCAACGCCGCGTGTCATATGCACAGTCCGTATGGCCGCGCATGGTCGAACTTCGGTCGTCCAATCGATATGCTTAACCAGGATAGCTGCATGTTCTACGATGACCTCGAGGTCTATACGAACTTCGGTGGCGTTGTGTTCGCTAAGGAGGAAGGTGGCCGTCTTGCCGACGCGCTGGGACCCCGCAAAAAGAACATGATTCTGCAGAATCATGGTCTACTGACATGTGGGGGGGACGGTAGCAGAGGCGGCGGCCTTCTTCATAGCGCTAGAGAGGGCTTGCCAATGCCAGCTGCTTACGGAAGCGGCAATTGGAGGTGATATTGGCAAAAGTAGCGGGCTGAAGAAAAGCATCGTCAGTGAGGAAGAAGCGGTGTATACGAAGAAAGGAACAGGTACTCCGGAGGTCATGTATATGCAGTTCGAGCCTGAGTACCGACTGATCTTGAAAGAGTCGAACAGGGACTTCCTGGATTAGGTAGATCTCCAAGCTATGAGTGCCAATCTGCCGGTGAAATATATTCCTTGCCTCTGTCCATATATGGTATGGGAGTGGATGTCGAAGTCGTATAAGTGATAAAGTGGAAGGGGATGGGATACCCTGAGTGCACTTAGTATACGATTCCTATGTCACTGTAGGGACAAATTTTGTCGTAGGACGCGTAGGTCATGCTTGATACAACAACGACCTTTAGTGAGGTCTTGTGCCCCGTACGGGCCGTGTCCAACATCTGGTACGAAAACGTTTGCCAAAGAACGGTCTATTGCTTTTCAATGCAACTATATTTCCCATTGTACCGGCTTCCGCCTCACTAAACCGGAGTAAAACCACATCCCCATAGTATACACATCATACACAGGCACTCCCACCCTCCGCTGAATAGCCCCCGCATACGGCGGCATCTGCGTACACTCCAGCACTATCGCCCCAAGCTTATCACCACTACCTGTCACTTTCTCCAGTAATTCCCCCACTGCATCAATCATCTCCTGCTCCATACGAATCTCATCATACTTCTCGCCCTCCTGGATAACCCTCCGCAAATGGCCCCCCTTCGGCATACCCTTGATCCTTACACGTCCCGCATCCACACCCAAAGCCTCCAGATGCGCAACACCCAATCTCTCCTCATCGTACGTAAGGACACCCACAATAGCCTCGCTGCCTAAAAACGCGCAAATACTCGGAATCTGCACCAATGCGCTCGTGGCAATCGGGATAGGGAGTTTCGAAGCTAGTTCGCGCTGTGCGAGCGCGAGGAAGCCGCAGCTTGTGATTATTCCGATGCATCCTTTTGCTGCGAGTTCTTTTCCGGCTGAGACGAAGCGCTCGATGAAGGCTGGGGGATAGGTGGTGGAAGTGACGATTTGGGCTTCGGAGGAGCCGGGGACGAGGGTGTGGATGAGGGGGAAGGGCCAGGTAGAGGGGTTGAATGGGTCGCCTGGGGGTCTGTGGATGGAGACTTCGACGGCGAGGAAGCCGAGGGGTGGGAGAGGGGCTGTGGTCATGTTGGTCTGGTGTGGGTTGCCTTGACTTGATTTGGGAGCTTCCCACGGCGACCGGGCGTGGTCCGAGCTGAGGTAGAGTGGAAGTAGGACAATACTTCGTCAAAGGTTGGATACCTTTGTTGCCCCAAGTTGAGCAATACAGTATCTGAATATTGAGGTAGTGATGTACTGTGATGAAAACGCGCCCGACGTTCTGGTCGCATGTGCTATGGCCTACGGATGCGTTTCAGTCAGACAATTACATCCGACTTCCGTTCGGTATTCTCATCGAATCCAGCACCATCAGAGTCGCAAAGATGTTGGGGGGACGTTAGCATCTCAATTGAGTCATGCGTAACCATGGGACTGATCTGATTGGCCAACAGCGGCTCGGATTCTCCCGAGCGTTCCTGGTGTGATTAGTTCCATCGATAAGCGGGGTGGGGCTACCATCTCGGAGGAACCCAAGGCCCCTCATGCATCCCCACAACTGATTCCGATGCGACCTCGGAATCGGAAGAGCAGATAACGGGATGGAAAAAGTGCGCGGTCAGGTCCAGTCATCGTTACAGTCTTACATCACGCCCGATTGACATTGCTCTCTCATTATCCGCTGTGCTTTCGAGATCCGGCGCGTGCGACCCATCATCTGCATTGACACACACAGTCGTTCCATAAAACGATCGTGCAGTACTTGCTCAGGATCTTGAAACTGTACTGCTCATCCGGGAGTAACACAAGACACCGAAGTATCCGACGATCCACCCCTCACCATGGGCTCAATGCCAGTCCGCCAACCTCACATCGTGTGCCTCGGCACCCCCAAATACGCAGGCCCCTCCTACATCACCACCTTCTCCCAATCCTTCACATACTCCGTCCTCACCGCATCCAACCGTGCCGAAACCATCTCTCAGATTCCCAAACTCATCGCCGAGAAAGGGCCCATAGATGGCTTCGTCATCCGCATGGGGACACCGCCCTACGAGCCGTTCGACGAAGAGCTACTTTCTGGCCTGGTCCCTGACTGCAAGATCATCACTTCTGCCTCGGCGGGGTACAATGAATTTGACGTGGAGTGGATGACGAAGCGAGGAATCGTGTTTTGTAACAGCGTGGATGCAGTTGCGGAGGCAACGGCCGATATGGCGGTCTGGCTGTTATTGAGTGTGCTTAGGAACACAAGCAATGCGGAGAGGAGCGCTCGAGCAGGGAAGTGGCGAGGTGGGCTCGTGCCTGTGAGGGATCCCACGGGTCTTACGCTGGGAATTGTAGGCATGGGAGCGATTGGAAAGGTAAGTCAGGTTCTCGGTTGTAGGAGCAAGCGAGCAATGCTGACGAGGAACAGTATCTTGCGAAGAAAGCCGCGGTGTTCAATCTCAAGGTTGCGTATCATAATCGCAATCGGCTACCTGAGGGGGAAGAAAAGGCTTACAACGCAACTTATTGCTCTTCCCTCCACGGGCTGTTGTCTGCCTCCGACGTCGTCAGCATTAACTGTCCGCTGAACGCCAAGACGGAGAACCTGATCTCGACCGCTGAGTTCGCCGCCATGAAAGACGGTGCTTTCTTGATTAACACTGCTCGAGGAGCCATAGTCGACGAGGCTGCGCTCAAAGACGCGCTGACGAGCGGCAAGATCGCCAGAGCAGGTCTAGACGTCTTGTGCAACGAACCGAATGTGGATCCGTGGTTTTTCGAGCAGGACAATGTGATTGTCCAGCCACATCTAGGCGGACTGACAGATATTGCGTTCCAGAAGGCGGAAAGGGAATGTTTCGAGAACATAAGGGCGTTTTTCGAGAAGGGGAAGGCGAACAGTCCCGTCAATGCGGATGAGGTTCGACGATAGTTCATTTTAGTCTTTGTCGAATTTTGGAGGACCAGGATGCGACGAAACTACAATGGAGTGCATCTGCACAGTTCGGACCGATATTCGCAGCTTTTCATCCTGAAATTCGTGCATTGGGATGCTCCGAAGTCCAAGAACCTCGGTGGACTATGCGCGAAGCTCCGTGTGCGAAGTGAGCTTGATGGCCGGTCCCGACATTTGAAGCTTTCGTGGGTCACGGTGAGCTTGGGTCGCAGCGCACGGGCCATTCACCTGATCGAAAGTGACGGTGACCGACACAGCATTCAACCTTTTGTCTCGATATTACCCGATTAGGAAGTTTGGCAAAACAGTTCACCATCACTCCCTGAACGATCTTGGTTGGCCAAGTGCAATGTTGTGAAAATGAAGATCTGGGTAAGCGTCAGGGGTCGCGTATACGATGATTCTTGTTTCTGAGATCCCTGCGTAAGGAATCATACCTAGCTAGCAACTGCACGATTAAGATGCCCGTCTGTTCCATATGTGCACCCAGGCGAGAACGGAGCGTTTATGGAGATTTCAGCGGCGGTGGATTTACAGAGGAAGTACTTCTATCCTTTCCTAACTGACTCCAATAAATTACAGCTCTTGTACCACGTTGCCTCCGGGAACTGGAGGATTTCGGCCCTTCATCTGCAACGACAAAATATAAAGTGTGCCTTGTGGGTGCCCAAAGATCGCACTATCTGGTCAATTTCGGCGCCATGCTCTTTTGAGATCCAAAACACAACCTTTGTTCAATGTGAACGGAAAAAAATTCGACGAATGCGACATGACTGCAGAGTCAATACACCTACCCTTGCCGCACTGCTAACGGCACTGCATCGAGTAAATGCCTTGCGGCGCTCCTACATGCGCTTCCATGCAAGCGGACGCCGTGCCCTTTCTCACCAATCCGCAATGAGGAGCTTATACCAGAGTCACAGTCGTGGCAAATGGGTGCTTCCCACGACCATGTTGTCGCCTCATGACTTCCAGAGTAACTTCTTCAGGTAGGAGATGTTCATCCTGCGATGTTGGTGGCCGTGCATCGTCCATTAAAATATTGAGATTCTTATCTCCAAAGAATTCAAATACCTGTATGGTCACAGCTGCAAGTAGTGAATCTGCCTCGGGCGTGAAACGATAATCTCGGTGCCGCAAGCATCGTACAGGGCATTGCCAAAGCAGTAACAATGAACAACGAATCGACTTGAAACGCTGGACCTATTGCCGCCAATCTTGAGCATCATTCTGCAAAGACAAACATTCCCTCCCGTGCGGCATCCACAGCCAACGGCGCGGCAATAAAACATGCTCGCGGTAACGCGGCGAATGCGACAACGGCCTTATCTCTCAGCCCTGCACTTCGCCGTACACCTCGCCGAATGCTCGCACGGCACGGTTCGGGCGTTATTATTCGCCCTAAGTGGCAGTGCACTAACCTGGTGCTGACGGGGAAGAATTCACGCACAGAAATTGTCACCGGTCAGAAGAATCCATCCATCCAAGGCGCAGCACATGGCAGAATGTTGATGGAATCATTGAGGGAAATGAAGCGCGAGACCAGCGTATGGGGGCAAATGGCGCACTCCCCAGACTGGACTGCGCTAGGCTGTTTCGGGGCACAACGGTGAAGAAAGCACGTTCCTGCCCAGGCCACCTGCTACGCCTCACGAAGGCTTCTGGAAAATGTGTCATGTCCACTTGGACGCAGAAGAGGCCTCAGGGTAGAGACCCTAACCCACCAGCCACTGCACCGATGTTGCAAACGATAGTCGCCACACAAGGCATCTTCTCGTCGCCACGCCTTGCGAAGGCCAAACTACACCAAGTATCGCCAACAATGACAAGCGCATCGGTCCTTGGCCACGATCCGAGGAGCCGAGCGTTGACAGCTCGATAGGTGGCGCTACATCAAATACGAGGACGTATTCAGCCTTGGGGCCCTGTAGAGCGACAGACTGGGGAGGTCTATGATGTAGTGTCCATCACGCGACGGCTCACCGGTGGGTCTCTTGTGAGTGGGCCCGGATCGCGGTTATGCGGCCACGCTAGCCGAGGACGCCTTGGGTGGCTGTTGATCGCACGTGGCGCACACTCGATTGTACGTCCATCTTGAGGTTGCGCGTTGGTGCGGGAATAATACCATCCGTGCAATTCACCATCGCATGGCGCGCGCTTTCTCTGCGCGAATTCCACAAACAGAAGTCGATGGAGAGGGGGTACTGTGTCTGACCGGAGGTGTTTGCGACGTCTGATGTGTAGACATTGCACCAGTGTGTGCACAGCCCCCTGCAGTGCACCCCAAGCGGCCAAGCCCTGCAGCCTGGACAGGGATGCTTGTCCTTCCCCGCTCTTGCGATTCCAACCATCGTGAAGGCTATAAAGAAACACCGCTGTCCTGCCAACGACATGAGTGCATTCCACGACCGCTACAGCACACACACCGCAGAGTCCTCTGCTGCGTCCACCCGTCCCATTGTTCCACGTAACAACAGCAACCCTATCGCCGACAACACTAATACACCCGCCATGAGCGACACCAACGGAAAAGCACCTGTCAATGGCGACGGCGCGATGGTGCCCAAGCGCAATGTCGACGAGCCGCTCGTCAAGATCCAACCGCCCAGGAGGGAGGACTTGCAGCCGAGCTATGCGCGTGCGATCCAGCCCGACGATGCGGACGCCGACCACCACGGCTGGTACGGCGCGATGGTCAACACGCTAGGTTCCTGCATCGGTACCCTCGGCGCGATTCCCTGCTGCATCGTCTGCCCCAACCCGTACAAGCAAGTGCAGCAAGGAAACGTCGGCCTCATCACAAAGTTCGGCCGCTTCTCGCGCGCCGTCGACCCCGGTCTCGTAAAGGTGAACCCGCTGTCTGAAAGCGTCATCCAGGTCGACGTCAAGATCCAGATTGTCGGTGCGTAACCCTACCCCCACCATTAAGGCTTCATCGTAGGAGGCATGTGACACGCATGCTAATACACAACAGAGGTCCCTAAGCAGGTCTGCATGACTAAAGACAACGTCTCCCTCCACCTCAACTCCGTCATCTACTACCGCATCACGTCCCCCCACAAAGCCGCCTTCGGCATCACAAGCATCCGCCAGGCCCTCATCGAGCGCACGCAGACCACCCTCCGCCACGTGATCGGCGCGCGCGTCCTCCAAGACGTCATCGAGCGCCGCGAGGAAATCGCCGCGTCTATCCGCGAGATCGTCGAAGAGACGGCCGCAGGCTGGGGCGTAGACGTCGAGTCCATGCTCATCAAGGACATCATCTTCTCGCAGGAGCTGCAGGACAGCCTGTCCATGGCCGCGCAGAGCAAGCGCACGGGCGAGGCCAAGGTCATCGCTGCGAGGGCCGAGGTCGAGTCCGCGAAATTAATGAGGCAGGCTGCCAACGTGCTCAATAGCGCGCCCGCCATGCAAATCAGGTACCTGGAGGCCATGCAGGCTATGGCCAGGAGCGCAAATAGCAAAGTCATATTCATGCCTGGGCCGACTAACTCTGGCGATTTTGGAGTCCAGCACTCCGGGGAGGGGGGCCCGAGCGATGCGGGGACGAGTGGGACGAGTGCGCTGCCGGCGGGCAACATGCAGCAGACGATCAACGCGCGTGTATTTGAGGAGATGTAAGCCTGGGTGAGCTCAGGCCACCTCTCTGCGATATGAGAGGTTGTGGAGTATCGATTCTAGCTGGTTTCTCGCGGTTGAAATTTCCCCCTCTTTGCACGATGAATTGTTTGGCGGAAGAAATTGGAGGAAAACAAATACAAGTTGACGGGTACGGCACAACGAGGGATGGTTATTTTTTATTTCTTCGTTTCTTGGTTGGTTGGATTGGATTGGATTGGTTGGCTATGATACCCTTTGGCGTCGGATATTGGTTCACTCGCTCGCTTTTTCACATCCATGTTATAGTAATGACGCCATTTCAAAAACGTCCTCCCTACATGACATGGTGAATTTCTCTGTGGAACAGTGCTGCTAAAGAAAATAATGTAACGACAAGCGTGGAGGTCATCGTCACTGCAGCTGTGCGCCGCATCGGGAACGACGTCGTGTCTTCTGTTGACGAGATTCTCCGAAGCTCACAACAATCCCGAGCAATTTTCTTGTGTTTTCTTCATGATCCATGCCCTTGTGCAGAGGGACCGTATATCAGGATATCGCGCTCACACGCCGACCGGCTCTTGGTGAAAGCACCTAGCGAGATTTCCTCCTGCGGCTCAATCCATGAACAGCACGACTGAGACTGCAAGATGACATGGGACTGGTGTTCGTATGTCGAACTGCGATATACATCGTCCGCAATGACGTCTCCAGGCTGATAGAGGGCTTAAATGTGGCCGCTCGTGCTGACGCTTTTGTCAGCTTCGAGGAAGGCGCGTCATGTGGTACTCTGTAGCATAGCACCGCACCTCTCCCATTCCAACTCTAACGCTGATAATGGCGACGATCCTCTTCGTACATCAGCATAGCATAGCATATCATAGCCACGACGACAGTGCAGATTCAGAAAATAACATAATAAGGTCCAATATACTGACAGAAGCCATTCCGAGCTGTGTGCACCTTTTCTTAAACCTACTGTTCGCTTCCCAGCCACCACACCCTGGCGACTTATCTCTCCTCACAGGCAGGCAGGCAGCTCTCCGAATCTTTGTGCTATGTTCTTCCTGTGACGCACGTACGCAGCCTTGTTGAAGTTTCGGCGAGTCACCACCAAGACCGTCTGCATGGGTTTCTCATCCTGCCAAACACTCCTGTTCCGAGGAACCCTCCCGAAAGATCTGTGCACGACCCCGTTGTCATGGTCCGGAAATACCCATCATCCAGCACCGTTGACGGAAGTATAGGAGCGAGCTCTGGCGTTGTGTTATCATCAACCACACACTGAGGAACCCGCCCAAGCATGATACTAACATCGATCACCTCAAGGATCCGCATAGCGTTGGTTAACAGGCTCCATTTTCCTTATGCAAGCGCTTTTGCTTCGTCGAGAGTTCATTACCGCTAGGCGTAGTTTGAAGCATTGGCAAATGGGGACTCGAGAGCGGCGACGGCGACAAGGTAGAGGAAAGAGGCCAGTGGACCTGCGATGGCAGGCGATATAGGGCCTCGACACGGCATGTTTAGCAGCTAGCGGCCCTCAAGCGGGATCCGTTGCGCGTTCTTGTGCATGCGAAACAGTACTTCTACCACAAGATTGAAGAGTGGCAGGATGTATGGTGGAGTATTACAGTGAGGAGGTGGTGATTCGTCCGCCGGCGCACGGAGATACGCAGCTAGAAGCGGTTGTACGTTCTTGAGAATGACGCCGGAGGAGGACTTTGCGTTAAGTTCTACGACAGCGAGGCGTTGCTTGCGGGTAATGAGGAGATGAGTATCTGTCCGCACAGCGCCGTCATGTACCATGCGTCCGTGACGAAGTTGCAAGCTGCGAGTTGCGACTTCGGTACATCTAGTGCCTCTGATTCCCGACAAACATACCCGATAGCAAAGACAATGACTCGTACTGGAAAGGATTTCATTCATTCCGCTGTCCCACAACCGTGGTGACGGCAGCTAACGCCCACGCTATCCGAAGGGTACTCCCAGCCCATGGTACCCAATGCATAATGCTGATAAAAGGAGATCCTCGATAATGTCTCCCGGTAAACGCCAGGGGTAATGCCTCCACCTCCACTCCTGAACAGGGTAGCTATCTACAAGAAGTTCTCCCGCTGCTTGCCCATCACGAAATCACGCGTCATCTCGAAGCTCAGCCAGCTGCTCGCCATGCTAGGCGCGACCTTGAGCAGATTCGGCACGATGCCCTTGTACAGCCCGCGTGGACCCTCCGTCTTCACGATATTCCGAATCGCGTCGCCGATGCCTGAGTACTGGTAGCCCATGCCGGACATGGTGTTGACTTGGAAGCGTCGCCGAAGGACATCGAACGGGTAGGTGCATGTCTGGGCGACGGCGCCGGATACCGCACCCGCAGCTAGCTTTCCTACCGCGCTGGGGTCTTTCTGGCCTTCGGGTGTGAATTGTGTGCGCGCCATCTCGTAAACCATGAAGTTGAGGCCGACGTAGGGCGCCACGCCTGCAACGGTGGGGATGATGCCGCGGTAGAGCGCGAAGAAGCCGCCTTCGTTCTTGTACATGCTGCCCATGATGCCCCACATGCCGGGGAGCTTCTGGCCTGCATCGCGTTTTAGGGTCTCGAAGGAGGCGGATTGGATGGAGAGGCGGGTGCGGACGATGTCGAGGGGGTAGGTGAAGGTGACGGAAGTGATGCCGGCGAGGCCGCCGCAGAGGAGTCGTTGGTATGCGTCTAGGGGCGCGCCCGGCTCACTCTCGAAGAACTGTCATCGTAAGCAAGAATACCAGTATGTTACAGACCTTCATCGCAGTCTTCGTTCATGCTGTCCTCCCGAAACCAGCCCCACCCTCATATCACACCACTTTCCGACCGTCCAATACCCAGAACCACCAAACCAGTTCTCCACCTTTCCCTTTCTCACCTTATTCACCTTTTCCCAGCTCCTTCTCGGCCATGAACGCCACAAAAACAAAGAAAACGCCAGGCAGATCCGCACCAAAGAAAAAGCAATCACTCACCCTCTTGTAGACATTGTATGCGCCGAACTGCACTGCCGAATAAGGCACGATCCGAATGCAATTGGTCCCGTTCCCAGCCATGAAGCCCCTCCAGCCCTCGTCTCGCCACATCTTCGCCAATGCCTTGGGGACCGACATCTTGTATTCATTGCGACCCACGCTCTGGACCTGGAAAAGAATCTTGAGACGTTCGAGCGGCGATACGACGGTGCGGGACACGGCGCCTGCAACGCCACCGGCGACGAAGGAAGCTACGACAGGCTGCTGGAAGAATTTGCGAAAGTTATCCGCACCTTTGTCGACGATCGCAGGCTACGCATGATGGGTTAGCGCGAGTCGCGAAACCTAAGTATGCGGAAGGAAGTTGGTTCCCTCGCAGACCCCACGAGCCTGGTACTGCACTTACAGGCGTCGGTGTCTCCGAACTCGACGATGTGGTCATTTTGACTCTTTGCGCCAAGACTCGATCAAAAACGTCAACGCCGCGCGCCGCCTACACAATCCAGCCTGCGCGCCTATGGAAACGAAGGAGAAGTCGCCCGTGCTATAACTCGCTCATCGGACGTTCGCTCTATGTTGTCGCGAGCTTTGTGTGTGCGGTGGTAGCGGAGCGAACGAAGGTGCGGCGCTGTCGTAGGTAATAAAGCGGGCCATCCAATGCGTCGAATAACAATACGGGGTGAAGCGCGCAAGCGGAATCGGTCGTCACGGCGACTGGACGAGGTGCGGTGTCGCGGTGAATGTGGGTTCTGATAACAGTTGCAGTCGAGGACAGGGTGCCGAGGAAAAGAGGAAAGGATCGGGATGTGGTACCTAGTGCGCCGCGCCCACGTCCCTTGTCCGCTTTCAGCCCTAGAGACATGTGCCAGGGGTTCGGCGCCTTACATAAATAGCACTCTCTTGCAGAACGCCCCCATGCTTTGGTACCGCGTGCCGGGTCGATCTTGACATGACCTGCAGGTCGTTCTGTTTTGTGCACATGCCTGACGCGCCTCAGGCTGCCTATGTTTCTTGATTGTACTGCTGGCAGATGCGTGTGACTGTCGCTTGTGTGACACGTGCTTGTTCAGCAACAGAAGACGTGTCCTCGTTACTCACGATCACGTTCAACAATGACATGTCGTCAAATGCTCACGAGCACGGTATCTTGGTTCACCGCCAGAATTGTTCGCCAAGCTGAGCTGACATAAGTGGTGACCGTCAAGGTCACGTGTGCAGACTCCGACCCAGGTAAAAGCATCAAAGACTGCGACGGTACGCCTCCTGTTCCCCTTCAGAGCATCCAGCAATTTGTCACTAAAAAGAGAGGGAGGAAGTTGCCATAGCTCCTGGTCTGGGAACTCTCTAAAACTTGAATTCGCTTGGTGCATCTGCATTGAGTCAAAGCTCATATCACATGGCTTATGTCTCCTTTCACGACATTCCGAGTTTGAAAGCGTATTGAACTCTTGCTGCCCTCCTGCTGGAACCTCAAGGTTCGAAATGGCCTATGTTCGTATCCTTGCTCTCCGTCGAGCCCGAGAGTATCAGTGCCTCATATTAATTCTCTCATAGCGTATCAATATCGACATAGAGAGCCGTAATATGAAGGAGGTGTGGACCCTTGAGACGCAAACAATTAGTGTACTCATATTGTCTGTCGGGGATTAGACGGACTAACAAATCACGTCAAAGCTATTCCCACGAACGTTGCCTACCAGCACGTGATCAAAATGCCGAAAGAGAACATCGGTGCCTAGCTCTTATGTGGGGGCCAAAAGACTTTCCTCAGCAACTTGCCTCCCGGCTCTACTCACCTAGCTTTCCGACGACATCGCCTGCCAGGTTCTAGAATTTCGGTGAACATGGAGAATCTACCACTTATTGTACTTCAAATTTTATGTGAATACACCGCAGACCTCGAACCGAATCGAACTAGTTTATGGGCTCTTGCATCAGCTTCGAAGGCATGCTATACGGCTACAAAGCGCGAGCGACTCTCTCGTGTCCAGCTACACTTTGATACATCTAAGCAGCTGCAACAAGAGCTGGAACGACTTAACGAGCTGTTCGAGTCAGCAGATGATAAAAGATATGTACGCCATCTCAAATTCAGTTCACTGGAGAGCAAAATCGACAACGATGGATCGATACACTCGTCTGAGATGTCTCTGAGTACAAAGATTCGTCCTTCACACATAGAGATAGCATGGGACGAAATGTCATGGAGTGAACTTGCAAATCTCCTACCTGTGTTTCCTCTTCGAGACCTGACCTGGGCTTCACCAACTCAAATTCCGCAGTGTGTGCTCTCTCTGTTGCACGAGCATAATCCCGCCTGTCGTTTGCACGTTCAATCGTTTCGTCTGCGAAGCCTGCACCAAAGATTCAGCCATGAAGCTGTCAGCCCCGCAGATTACGTACTAGCGACATCACCTTGCTTGTATACTATTGCCGGCCCGTATTGTCAATACGACATGGCGGGGTGTTGGATATACGATAAGGAAGCGGTGCAACACATTGTGGCGGGCTTGGCCCCGAATCTGCGCCACGTCCATATATGGTTTGATACCGCGCCTTGTGAGGTGACCGGGGCTGGTTGGCCGCCTCCGACAAGACCGCCGTGGAGGGGATTCCACTCTGATAAACTAGACGGATCGCTTCCTGTTCCGAAGACGAAAGGGCGGCTTGAAAGCTTACGCATCGCCAGTTACCAGATTGCGCCATGGCTGACTTATACCGAATTCTCGTATCTACAGGTGCTCACTCTTGATGGGAAAATCGGTCTCCAAGGATTACAAGCCATCGCAGAAATCGCAGTTAGTGGTGAACTTCGAGCTCTCCGAGCGCTGAGACTGCCAGATCTCGACATCCGGACTAAAATTGAACCTTTCCAGGCCGATTGCGAACTCAACCTTCTACTTTCTACACTACAGCCTTTGAAGTCACTCTCCATGGAGCCACCGGGTAATCTATCTCTTGATACGGCCTTTGACCGACACGGAGCTACTCTGCACTGCTTCCATGTGAGGAAGTATGCTCTACGGATTGATCAGACCACACAGCTCCAACGTCGATGCCCGGCTGTCACAGAACTGAGTCTCGAATTCCTTCGCAAAGCCGGCAGCCATGAGGAACTACAGATATATCAGACTCTTCGCGCTATTCCTCGCCTTAAGAAGCTCACGCTTAGCTTTCATTCATCAACTCATGGCCCGATCTGTATAGCACATGTCCCAGGAGAAGAAAGTCCCGATGGCGAGGACACAGACGAAGAATTCAAGGAACGATTGAAACTAGAGATCCAGAATATCTTGCGAAACACCGCTATGGACGAGACCCTCGCGCGCTCCATCTTCGAGGAGTTAATGACTACCAACCATCCTAATCGAGCAGATTTGCACCCGACTCTATCTTACATCCAGCTGTTGAATATCATGCCTAAGTTAGTCTGTGGGCAAGATATTGCTGAGCAATTCAATGACATTCTGGAATGGATCGGGAGACAGTGGGTCTGCGAACGAGACCGGCGTGACACTCACAAGGATGAGGCCACCGTAGAAGAGCATTGCTATGAGCGAAGACTCAGGCGTGGCAATTGGTTGAATAACAACCTAAATAGGGCTTACGGCAGCAAAGAATTTGCTGGCGCTTGGAAGACTCTTTGGCCAGGGACAGATACTGATTGGAAGAATGGTTGGAAAAGCATTCCACTTTTCGACGACAGCGAGGCCTGATACCAGTAATCGGATTGGGAGAGAGCTGGTCTTGAGATGGCATGGCGAGGCATAAAGGGCCCCAAAATCTGTCGTCTCTTCTCTTCTTCACCCTTGGCTCTATTTGACGAAAAGTTTTGGGAAGGACGGCCTATGAGATGCAGGCCAAATATAATCGCCACAACTCTATGTCGTATGTTCGTGTGCGTGCGGTAAAGACAGTAACTTCTGTAACGTCTACCTCATGGAGCAGTTCCGAAACCTTGGCAGGCATGCCCATAGGGTGCAGAATAAAAGATATGCTCGGAGCGAACCATGTCTGTGCTGGTGTGCTCGCGAGTGCGTTCAAGGTAATCACAATGCACCCGAGCATGATCCGATAAAACATGTCACAGCACTCACCGCGGAAGTTGCTCACCATCAAGATGCACATGGATAAACGCTATAAGAAGCAACAAAGTCTTCCAGATCGACTGTTCTTCACGTCTATCACTCTTCTACCAAAAAGATGGAAGAAGAGCTCCATGCGGTGTGGACAAAAATCGGTCAAAGGACTCAGGAATGTCTTGCGTGCGGAGTAAGATAGAATTACGGGACAAAATTGGTATGAGGCATAGTTAGGATACCTCGCTGATATGGCTGGGAGGTGCTGGACTAAAAGTGGAAATCAAAGCCCGGCATGTGTGTTTGCGCTCGTTGGGGAAGCGAACACGGTTCGACAACTGGCCCATGGGATCCTACGAATCTGGGCAGTGGTTCACATTACGCGGTGTTTACCATGAGCACATGCGAATTGTGGAGTATAAGAGTCGATAGCTCCGACTGTGTGTTCTGTTCTTCACGCTCATATCCCTTCACTACAAAGAGCTGGAGTAAATCATTCTGAAAAGAGGACTAAAAGATTAGGCAAAACGTTACATGTGTGGCTCTGTGTCGAGAAGACGACTGAGATTCCTGGTCGGCTCCACTCAGTGGAAATTTGGAAATGTGGAAATCATTCGCGCTAATACGTCATTAAATGTGATAGGTCTTTCAAAATTGCACTGCGTCCATCGAGCTCGTTGTTCATCATGATCCTCCCACGCTAAGCATCATCATTGTGACAGGCGAAAGAGCCCCTGGAAAAGCTTATAAATACATTCAACTTCCCTGACTATCCTCACTCTTTACACTTGGGTGCTTTGTACTAAAAGCAGCAGTGCTCATGGTACATGGGAAGTAGACTAAAATCATCAAAACCATGACCAATGTGTTGCTTCGTGCTAGGAGAGGCTGAAAGCTTGGGATACTTGATAGACAGACCAATGTTAGGTTTTCCTAGGCCGATACTGAAGACCATCTCCTTACTGAGCCGATGATTATCATCATTCTCAAAGAGAAGTCGATGCACGGAAAGACAAACATGACGTGGATACAGTATAAATACCCGTCCCTTCGTGCGCAATTCTTCCTCCTCACACTCTATGGCCTTCGGGGCTACTAGAAAAATTCCATGAAACAATCGCATGAGTGCGGTCTACCTAGGACTACCCATCTTAGCGATGTGTGTTCGTGTGGGAAGGGGCATGTCACTGAGCACGTCTCTCTGTGGCAAGGACCACCTCTTCACAGCTATTTCTCCCTGAATCGCCCACCATCATCATTCCACAATGAGGATCTTCACTGTGGTCCACGGCAAGCAAGCTTAGGAAAAGGCTATGATTGGCCTGCAATGGTATGAATGTGCCCTCTTTCCTGCGCGCCTTTATCCTCACATCTCACCGCGGTGTAATAAATCAGCTTTCCTCCAGGCCATAGGGGTGGAAAAACAACCCAACCACAGAAGGATCATGAGTGCGTGCGTGTGCGGAGCCGGCTGAGGCGGTGGAGGTCATGGGGAATGGACTAAAAGAAGGATTCACGATTGTCAATGTGTCTGTCTGTGTGCGAAAAGACATCTATCCTCGGTCAATTTGACCTATGCAAAAGCACGCGTCCGCCCAACATGCCCTAGAGGAGCTGACCACCATCATTACATTACTCTGGTGGTGATAGCGAAGGCGGGGCTGAAGCCGTTAGGAAGTCTGGATTCACTAACTGTGACCACTCCTGGCACTCCATCACCATTCGATTCTAGGGTGTCATAACTCGCTGCAATGTTTATGAGAGCTTTTGTGCAGTCGCGAAAGGCCCCTGAAAACATTGTTTTGCAGGAAATAGCAAGCATCGTACCATTCGTGTATCGGCCATCCCGTAGCATCTCGTATTTGTGGCTCCAAATTCCCGCTCTCAGGGACCCATAGCCCAAAGCCAAGGGATCTCTAATTGGGCGGACACGCCAGGTTCCTGCATCCGATCATTCGCAATGGTCGTTCCAGGGACCCGGCACCGAGCGCGTGGCTACTTGTGGGGTAGCGCGCTTGGGTGACAGGTCTAGATCTCCAGGTGTGCGCCCAATAAGGAATAGGTGGAAGTGGGAAAGATTCGCGAGGCTGAGAGCTTGTTAGCGAATTCTAGCCGTGGCGTCCCTAGCGACCAACAACATGCAGCTGAGCAGTATTTTAGTCAGGGACATACCCGCCCACCAAGCCTCGTGCAGGTACCATTTAGGACTGAATTGACGAGATTGCCAGCATCCGCCGTTGTGGGCAGAATACATAATGAGGCAGCTAGGATGGAAAGCACGCGCTCATCTCTCGTTGGACTTGTCGACCTCACTCATTCGGTCGTCAGCCATCCACTATACTCTCATTAATATTAATTCCTAATTCATCGCGTTGATTAGACTTGAACACAATGCACTACGTCCTCTTCTGGGTCTTCGCGGCCCTGACTTTCTCAGTCACTGACGCGCTGAAGACCAGCAAGTCTGCGCGTTGCGGTCCCTCATTTCACCTTACTTGCCAGGGCTCCAAGTTTGGCAACTGCTGCTCCCGCTATGGGTACTGCGGAACATCTGACTCCTACTGCGGAAATGGTTGTCAATCAGGTTTCGGGTCCTGCAAGAAGTCGCCTCCAACGCCTAAGCCTAAGCCGGTCGTTCCATCAACGCACAAACCTTCTACGAAGGCTGGGTACAAAACATCAACACCATCTGTAGCGTCTTATTCATCGACTGGGAAGGTTCCGAAGACTCCGAATGCAAGGTGTGGTAAGGGGTTCGGTTTCTCCTGCGAGGGATCCAAGTGGGGAAATTGTAAGTCTGCCTAAGAATTGTTATAGAAGGTACGAATACTAAAACGTGCTCAATAGGTTGTAGCCAGTACTCCTACTGCGGCTCGACCGACGCATACTGTGGCAATGGTTGTCAATCTGGTTTCGGCACGTGCAAGAAAGTGTCTCCGGTCCATTCTTCTCCGGTCCACTCGTCTCCGATCCATTCGTCTTCAACGGCGAAGTCGACGCCGTGTTCATCGAAAGCTAGCTCTACCCCAGTCAAGTCAAGTTCTGTTCGTTCGTCTCCGATCCGTTCATCTTCGACGACGAAGTCAACGCCGTGTTCGTCAGTCGTTAACTCTACTCGAGTCACGTCAAGCTCTGTTAGCTCTCCGATTATCTCTATAACTTCAACGGCGAAATCGACACCGTGTTCGTCGGTCTTGAGCTCTGCTCCGGTCATATCAAGCTCTGCTCAACCGTCGTCAATCTCTTCGACCAGTGGTACACTTAGCTCGACTCTAAGCTCCTCCGCCTATTCGGTGGCAGACACTTCAAGCTCTTCGCCGCCTTCCTCGTCCCCTGGATCGTCGGCCGCAACCACCAGCGATGTTTCGAGCTCGACTGATGTCTCCACCTCAACTGACGTTTCTACCTCTGATACTCCAACTCCAACTGACGTTTCGAACTATCAAGTTCCAACCTCAACTGATGTTTCGACCTATGACGTTCCAACTTCAACTGATGTTTCGACCTCGACTGAAGTTTCCATCTCAATGGACATTTCTACCTCTGAAATTTTAACATCAACTGACGTTTCCTCGTCTGACATCTCAACTTCAACTGAAGTCTTGACTACAACTGACATTTCCACCTCAACTTCAACCAATGCACCAATTTCGTCCGATACACCAACCTCAGCCAATACACCAGCATCAACCGATACACCAACATCAACCGATACACCAACATCAACCGATACACCAACATCAACCGATACACCAACATCAACCGATACACCAACATCAACCGATATTCCAACATCGACCGATGTGCCAACCTCAACCGATGTGCCCACTTCAACCGATGTTCCAACCTCAACGGACGTTGAAACATCGGTCTCCGCTTTGGCTTCAAGCAACAGTGCTACACCGACGTCATGCACTGACCCAAACCACTTTCAGAATGCTGGCTTCGAGTCTGGCGATATGTCCTCCTGGGGCTCGGCTGGCTCCACTAGATACTGGACAACAAGCGTATCATCTGACGTTCCCCACAGCGGAACTTACTCTTTTGCGGCAGTGAGAACGCTGGCCGGTGTAGGACTTTCGTACGGTCTTACACAATCGGTGACATTCGCCGTAGACACACTTGTAGAAGCATCGGTATATGCACGCGTGAGCGGTACACCTAATGCATATGACTATGTCTCTCTAAATTGGTATCTGGACAACAGTGGGTTTGGAAATGCCATGACGACCGTGCAATACTCACAAGGGTGGGTACAGCACTCCTCAGGCCAGCTGACCATCCCCGCTGGTACGCACACACTTTATCTTCAGATCATGAGCCGATCAGGACCTGTTGGGTTGCAGTTTAACATCGATGACTTCAACCTCGGGGTCATCTCGCTGGTGGATACTGATGTTTGCTCGAGTGCGCCTGCTTCTTCGACCGAAGTACCTATCACTTCCTCCGGTGTACCGAGTGCTTCATCGTCTGAAGTATTAATGACACCTACCGAGACTTCGGTCTCTCCTACTGAAGTGGCTACTACTTCATCCGAAGCAGTGCCATCTTCTGATGCGGCTACTACTTCGTCTACTGAAGCAGCTCAGGCCACCTCAACTGATACATCCTCATCTTCTGAGGGGTCAACTGCTTCC